ATACAGTTTGGTGAAAATACATCATTGATGATCACCATTATTGTGTTTTTACTTCTTATGCACAGTTTGCTTACAAATATTTTCCAACTTTGTAGTTGCAAAAATTTACTGTTCTCCAACAACAAATTAATTTGCTCATTTGTTTGTTTTTTTGTACAGTTCTCTGTCTCAGTAGAGTTGGATACCAAGAAGGGATATCTCATCAGCAGCCTAAAGTACTCTGAGCAACAGTGGATTGCAAAAAAAAAATTATTGCAGAGTATCCTTGTATGGTTAGCAGGATACTAGACTAAGTTGACTTGGAAACTGAATGGATTGGTATGGTCTAAAAATCTATTGCTTCACCTCTTCTGCTTGCAGTGAAGAGAGACAATTTTGTGGTGCTGAATCTCTTGCCTTAAACTAAAAAGTTGCAAAATAATCACTCTCACCTTTTAAGTTCATGACCTTTGTTCTTGTGTGTTTGTCATCACATGCATTTAATGAAGTTGTGACCATTTTGGAGGTACAAGTCCAAAAAACTGCTACTTTGGTACTAAGATGAACAGCTAAAATTTCTGAGCCCGTTTGCCAATGAAGTCCAGATACAAAGGTTCAAGTACTTTGGGGTTGTATTAATTTTGTCTTTTTGTTTAGTTTTTTTGATTTTGCAATTTTTTAAAATATTCCTGTTGTCAAACCATTAGATAAATATTGGACATAGAATAGCTGATTTTTTTCAGATATTTTGGGAGTCATACATTAGTTTTTCAAGTCTTGAATGGGAGACAAATTACACACATTGAGCTAAACTTCCACTTCCATTTCTGGTGTTTTAGCTTATAGTTTTAGAAAAACAATATATATATATATATATATATATATATATATGTAAATGTGGGGGTAGAGTCTACCTTGGCATAAAGTGCTCAATGCTGTAGTAGCAGAGCTAAGTATACATAAGTTAAAGAATTAAAGAGGACACATCAATTCTCTGTGACTCTGAATCCTAAGCGCTTGTCAGACAGAACTTTTCTGTCTGACAAGCGCTTAGGCACAAAACTCAGTCACAGAGAATTGATGCTTCCTCTTTAATTCTTTAACTTAAGTGTGTATATATATATCCTTTTTTTCTGGCTACAGGCACTTTTTGCACTTTGGCTTGATTTTAATGTGGTTGTAAAACTTGTTTTTATTGCATAGAGTAGCTGATGTTGATTCAGCAATCAGAGATTATGTCCAGCACAAATTTTAATTGTTGGAGATCTTCAATACATCAATCACCTGAATATAGTAACAGAGGGAAGTGTAATTTGTCACTTCTCACAAGAAAAGATTCTTGATGCTCTCATTGGGTTACTTGGCTCATTTATATTTTCTTACAATCGGTCAAAGGCAATTTTGACTTTTTTTAGAGCAATCATTGCTCGAAATTGGGCACAGGCAGACTCTTGTCACTGTTTCCTCTATTTTCAATGACTTGGAAAATGCTTGTGGTAGTACTTGCTGATAGTTTATATTTTGATAATATCTAAAGTAGCAATATGAGTGCATGTATTCTCACATCCACTGGAAGAATACTCTTTGCTGCTCTAAGGCTCTTTGTTTTTCATATGCACAAATCAAACAAGATCTATATTCTTGTGCAGGAACTGGACCATTTGTTGCCTCTGTCTTATTTTGATAATTTTCTGTACTTTAAATCAGTCTTAATTATAAGCTGCTTTACATTACCACATTTGCTAAGTCATTGAAAAGGGAAGCTTTACTCACAAGTGTCTCTTGGGTGTAATTTCTTGCAATGCTTGCACCGTTAAGAAGTATACTGATTTACGGAAGAGATCTATTTTAGAAAATGGTTGAATTAATGTTAAATATATATGTATGTTATATTCTTTCACGTGATGTTTCAAAGTTTGTCTGTTTTATACCACAATTAAGATTCTTAATAACTGTAAAATCAGGTAGTATAAAAGGTTTTTACATAAACAATATCTAGAATTTAATAAATGAGTGTTTGAAAGATAAAGTATGTGGTGTATTTTCATTATTTGAATGTAAGGGGGAAAATCAGCATGGAGAGGAAAGAGCCCTCTACTTCTGAAGTGGCCCACATTGGAGCTGAATTGGCTCTTTTTAAAGGGGCCATTTGTGAGAGGGCTGAAATTTCGGGGGCTGTTTTGGCCCCTATAAATTTCAAAGTGGCCCCTGTATTTTTCAAATTCACCCTTCACATGGTCCAATTTGGCCCCTACAACGGGGTCAATTCAGCTCCAAAATTGGTGCTAAAAACAGCCCCATTTCAATGGGGCTGAATTGACCCTAAGCGAGTGCCAAACTGGACTCACTCGTTTTGGCCCCATTTTTGGGGCCAAATCAACTCTTTTAATTTTACAGTGTTGTACATGTATCTTTAGAAATTAGTGGATTTTCTGGAGTCCTTTTATAGCTGCAAATCTAAATCATGATTGTAAACCTCTCCAAGACCACGTTTTATCAACGCTATCCTTGTGATACTACATGATTTACATGATTATGGTTCTGGACTAGAGTTGAAATATTGTATTTCCAAATTGAATATTGCTTAAACTAAACCTTTGTTCGCAATGATTTCCATTCTCGCCCTCACCTCTTTCCTTCCTCACTCGAAAATTTCAGATGATTCTGTAGCACAGTGGTTTACATCAACTTAGTTTATTTTATTCGTTGCTACTGGGGAGAGGCATTTAAACATGTTCGATGAAAAATCGAATGTTTGGTATATTCACTCCTGAGAATCGTGGTGGGGCGATTTTTATCTTTTATAATTTTTTTTGTGCGTTCACATGCAGCCATGGCAATTTGACGCAACATGTAAAGAGTTCTCAATAATCACACCTCTTTTGTTTGTCTTAACAGTGCATCATTTGATTGAAATCGACTTTATGTAAACTTAATAACCTTTTAAGTCTATTGATAGGTTAACAGAAAAAAACTTAAAAACACAAAGAGGAGATGAACGAGCTCAGTTGACTTTGGAAAGAACTACCGACACGCCGCCTTTCAAAACAAGCATGTAAGTTTGATTCAATTTGGTATTGATACATAGGACAAGCGTTCAAAACGGATTGATAAAAAACAAGAATACGAATCAGTTTGCTTAAATGGGCAGTTAAACTGAGGAGAGCCACTTTTCTTGTAAGCATTTCCTTCTTTGGCAGAAAGCTGCGCTCGTTTTATTAATTTTGAGAACATTGGTTATTATTTTCTTTTTCTTTGTTATATCTTCAATCTCTAAAATGTTTCTGCGAAGTAAAAAGTGAGGTTAAAGATGAGTAATCAAAGTATTTACCATATAGGAGCGTTCACGTACAGTTATGAGTGTGGACTTCTACTGCTCTTCGTATTTTGTACAGTACGAGCTGAGGCCTGCGCCGATGGCGAGGGAAACAAATTTTAAATCAAATTATTTACACGTATACTTCAACCATAAAAGAATAGGACAACTTCGATACAGATGATATTTCAACGTATTATTTTTTGGGGTCAAACTCCACGTATTTATAAATTAATAGAAATTTTTTCTAGGTAAACACACCCAAGAGATTGACACCATAACTCAATTTACATTATGTCGATATGAAGAGTAATGAAGACTTGATTCTCAAAGTTAAAGATTTGAAAGGCAAACAAAACACATCATATTTGAACTAGGTCTCGCTTAAAATAGATTTGAAAACAAAAGGCTTTTCCTCCTTATCCTTCATTTCATTCTGAAGCAAACGTTTTTACTCTACAGATTGATAGTTTATACAACTATATCGAGTTACCTGCAAAAGCGGTTAAATGCATTCACCTACTTTTGAATTTCCAATTGCTTCTCATGTGCATTAAGGATATCAAGTGATGTCTATTGTAGGAGGGTTTCAAAGGAGTAAATCGTAAGCCGTAAAATGGCCAAAAAATTTAGCTGTTAGCCGTAAAAATTGACAAATTTTAACCAAGTGATAGTCATAAAAAAAATTAAACGTTAAAAAATTCCAGTCTGGTGACAACAATGGAATGATATATAAACCTATAGCCGCTGAGATGGCCACAATTTTAGCCTTTGCCGCAAAAGCCATCGACCGCAAGTGAGCGTTCTCGTTTTCGCAAACCAAACAAATCAGTTCATAGTTCATGACCATAAAGTAACAAAAAAGGAAATAAATCTGAATGAGCAAGAGGAAGCTGAGACTAAGTTTAGACAGTGTTTCAGCGGTGCAGGTCGTGATTGGTTCAAGTTATTTATGTCAAGCTCGTGAAGGAGATGATATGATTCCTTTCACCTAAGTTCGATGCAAAGTGAGGGTGAATCTACTTTTGAACTTTTACTGGAACCTACCGTCACATCTAATTACAATGCGAAACCAAGTGACAAGGACCGAGAAGTCGAGAAAAAGAGAATTCTATTCAGAAGCGTTTTCGTGTTATCGTGATAATCAAATCGCTCGATAGATGTAAAAGTCCCACTAAATATGATTTGAGGATAACTAAGTATTTTAGAACGAAAGAGAAAGTTTGATGCCAACCAGGAGGATCAATATAATGAGAGACGCAACATTTCAACTTAAGTGTTTATTTCTAGGCAGTTTCGGTAATTTTCAAATAATTTCCGGTATCATTTTCAAATTCCAAAGACGACTTGGAAATAATTTTTCTCGCAAAGCTCCTTTAGGAAACTATGTTAAAAACTAGGAAGAGTAAGGTTGTTTCGGCATAGGCTTGTATGGGGTTAGCTTTTACAGGCGCGGTATGTCACACTTTCCTCTGATTCCTACATGTTCCTGCCACATACGTATCTCACACGGCGAGTTGACTTTTTACATTGACAGAATCATGAAGGCATTTGCATCGGCTTCACGTTGTCTCTTATGTTAACTCTGGTCCAGAAAGGTCTTTGCTTTGACGAAGGAGGGGCCAATATAGAACACCAGTGGAGTGAAGGATTCATTGGAAAATTCAGTATCACCCCCGGGCCAACGTTAAGCAATGGTTGGAACATGATCGTTACATTTTCTCAACCAATCAAGATACTCGAAGTATGGCAGGCGAAGATACAGATGCAAAACAAACAGAATACCGTATTTGTGTTAGAAAACCAGTCGTGGAATACACTTCTTGAAGAAGGAAAGAAATTTGAGTTCAACTTTAAGGCAACGAAAAGAGGCCGTGGAAACCCACATGTGGTGGAAGTCGCTGTTGGGCGCACAGAGCACTTGAAGGGATTGTCTTGCTGAAATTAACTAAACGTTGCAGTCATATCAGTTTGCAGTTACAGGTGATGGCATATGTTTAAGTTTTTCCCTCGAAATATCGGTTATTTTGTATTGGGACTATTTGTTTTAAAGTTGATGCATTGATTGTTCATAATGATTAACAGAGTTTCAATTTTGTCGTCATCAAAATTGATAGGTGAAGAAAGAGCAAATAAATAAAAGTAAAATTGAACGAATAATAGGGATGAAATAGTAATTAAAGGGAGTTTCCTTAAATTTTAATAAAAATACCAAATGTATAATTAACTGCATCAATGTTCAAGAATCGGGAGTAAATGAAAGAATACCGAGGCCGGAATAAAAGTGCAAATAGATAAATGTATGAAGAAATGTATGTTTGAACCTTATGCCTATAAATTGTACGCCTTTGCTTTTCCACCGTGATCACTGTTTTTTAACTTTTTTCATATATATTTTCATTTACTTATTTTTTTTCTAACAGTAATAAGTTGACTTGAACAATCCGAAAATTTTGAACCGTCTTAACAATATATAGATAAACTTCTGGCAACATTTGTCGTAAACTTTTGACAAAAAACTCAACCCCTATTTTAGAAGAAAGTGGAATCCTACATTTAACAAGAATATTTTCCACCAAATTTTAGAGAGTTTGAATTGATGAAGCTCTGATCCTTCATATATCGGAGTCCAATCCATCATTAAATAAAAACATTCAATGCTTTTTCACAAAAACGAAAACCGATTTCACACGGATTTCTTTTTGGTTTTTTTTCTTTTGGCTTTTTAAAACGTTTGACTCTTTATTTGTGTTAATGCACACTCGTAGCAAAGATGCCAGAAAGCAATATCAATGATGTAAAATTGAAAATTTATCGAAAAGAACAGTCTCATCGTAAAAGCAGGTATTCGAGTGGGAAGGATTAATTTAAAAAAAAGCTCTTGCTGAGTCTGTTACTCCTGTCCTACGAGGCGCGGCGATCTGGCATGCGTCCACGTAACAACCGAGTCATGTTAGAAAGGACTCGGCACTAAGCGACAACATGCAGAACGGCTGGCGGAGGCAAAACTGAAGGATGGTAACGAGCACGCGATTACTGCATATTTTAAGGACTTAATGCTTTTTACCAACCAGAATTAGAGCTGATTTCAATTCTAAAATCATTCCGTGATCTATGAGTCTTTCCCATCGGTTCCTGTGTAAAAACTGGATCTACATACGACCACATACGTTCAACTAAGACAACGAATTAGTCTAGTTTCAACATAGCAAACAAGATGTTCATGCAAATTGCTTCTCGATATGGAAGATTTACGACAAAAATATGGCGGTTAAAGATATTGATTTCAACCACACTTGCTTTTTTATGTATTAAAAGATAATCATGAAAAACAACACAGCAAGCCGATTATGGACGCCAAAGGAGGTAAACCAATGCGAATTGAAAAAAAAAAGGCAGTAATAAGTTAGTAAACGTCAATCGGGTGGATGGATGGATGGATGGAAGGGAGTATGGCCAAATAAATGAGTAGATTAGAGACTTTATTCAAATACTCTTTGGTGCATACTGAACAAGTAGACATAGTACCGTCGCAAAAAATTTCTTCAAGCTCTTTCTCGCTTCCTATAGCCATCCCATGATTTCATTTTGCCAAAGGTTTACATAAGCGTGTTGTATGTCAGTTGCGTAGATGTATAAAAGCTCTGGGAGTGGACGTGCTGTGTTTGTCAAACTGCCGAAGAAGACATTGAACACTGCACAATATGAAAACTCTGTCATTAACAACACAAACGAAATATTGAAGCCAATTTGTGAATAGAATGCCTATTACGATTGTAGTGGCAGATGTCTAAACATCTTTTGACGAATTCCAATAACTTATTTGTTGAGCTGCGCTATCGTTGGGGAGTTGTGACAATGAGGTATTGGAATTAAATGCTGAGGGTACATATAACCCGGTGGAATACGTGCCACCAACCAATTCAGGGTCCGTTCAACAACTAATTGTGAGAAGGTGAGTGCCTCTGTTTGGTATGAATAGTAATTTAAAAAGAAAATGTTGCGCTTTCATATGAATGTTGCGAAAAAAAGAGAGAAAAACATTAAGTTCTTTCAAGCCGATGAAATGATATAAATTCAGTGAGACGCAGGAGAGGAGTACTTGATTTTGAAACTGGTCTAGATCTGATAATGTAATCAATGCTCTACATTCTTATGATTTAATTACAATTTTAAGATTTTTTATCACCAATGGCAGTTTGAAAATTTTGGTTTACGTTCACATTGTATTTTACTTCGCCTGCCTTTTAAACAATTCATGTCACAAATTGTTGAATGGCTGACTCGCACATGGAGTGACACGGAAATCATTACTTAATTCTATGGCAGAATATATATAGCTCTATAATATATATAGAGTGTTTTTATAACCTATCCGCAATCAAGAATTTTTATGTTTCTAGTTCCTGTTAAGCAACACGCGGTTCATTTTAATCCAAAAAGTTTCTTATAACAATATCGCACACGGTCAATTCTAATAACTATATATTCTTGCGGCATTATTAAGTGGCTAACTTTGATAACAATGAGCTTTGTTAAACGATCTGAAAATGATCGATCCTATATTCACAAAGCTTAGTGTAAACTTCAGTTTATACAACAACATTGCGCAGAAAGAAATCAAGTCTTCCTGAAGCAATGAATAATACTCCATGTAAAGTGAATAGAGTCTGAAAGTGGACTAATACATCTAAAGTCAACTGCACGCTCAATCTACGACATTTCCGCTGCGCTTCTAACTAAAATGAGTGTTTCCCAATTAAAATTTTGTGAATGTCTGAAGCAAACCGCATCAGTTCCGTCGCTTTTCTGGTATATCGCTTAGCAATCAAGTCAAAAAAGGAAAAAACCGACTCTTACTTTTCAAACAAGGGAAAAGAAAAACTGAGGCTAATTTAGGCGCATATCAATGCGGCTAATGCAATACTTAATCGTTGAAGTGTCTTTCGTGATGTGACATATTTAATAACTTGGGCAGCGTTCACTTCTCTGACTATAAGTCAAGTTGGCATTTTTCGTTCAAATTTCGTTCATTTGTTGATAGATATTCACACCATGTCGTTGTTACGCTCGGTTATTCCGCTGTCGATTCTTGTGCTGCTTCACGCTCCTAAAGCATTCGGTGAACAAGCTAAAACCGTGGTTGTTGACAAATGGTACGACGGATTCAAGGGATTAATTACTCTGGACCTCACGGATGATGTTACCTCTGGGTGGACCTTGACTTTGTCTTTTCCAGTTCCCACTCCGAATTTGGAAATTTGGCGAGCAGAGATAGTTGACAACCAAGGCGATAAAGTATATAGAATGAAGAATATGCCATGGAATACACAAATATCTAAAGGAACCTTCAAGTTGTATTTCATCGCCAAAAAGTCTGACGTAACAAAGGATCCTCCTATTGGCGCCGTCATGTTTAGTCGCGGTGCACCAATAACCAACCAACCGCCCACTGCTAGCCCGAGTCCTCCTCCGCCAGCGACGAAACCGCCCAGTTCATCTCCTGGCCCTGACACCACTCGACCTACGCAGCCGCCGCAAACCACTGCACCTCCTTCGCTAACACAATCGCCGTCTCGGGGGCCCGGAAAGTATGACTACAGTGAAGTGCTGAAACTTTCCATCTTGTTCTACGAAGCTCAGCGATCTGGCAAGCTTCCACCTAACAACCGAGTCAAGTGGAGAAAGGACTCGGCACTAGGTGACAAAGGGCCGAACGGTGAAGACTTAACCGGTGGATGGTATGACGCGGGTGATTACGTTAAGTTTGGTTTTCCGATGGCATCATCTGTCACAGTGTTAGCCTGGGGTATTGTGGAATACAAGGAGGCTTATGTAGCTGCTGGCCAGTACAGCAACGTGTTAGATAGCATCAAGTGGGCCACGGACTATTTCATAAAAGCTCACACCAAAAAAGAAGAATTCTATGGTCAGGTAATACGGTTAACAGCTATACTTGTTTTTGCATTTTCCTTCTAGATAACTTACCCAAAAGTTAAGTGTAATAACTGAATCGCTTTGGCGAAGGGGTAAAGCTCGAAATGTCAGCTCTAGAAACTCTTAACGGTGGTCGATCACTTAGCACTACAAATTCTTAGAAACCTACCCTGTTTATTCATTTGTATTAATGTTTGCCTAATCTTCGTCTAATGTAGATTTAAGAAACTGATATCTTACCGCCACCTCACAGTATCTCTCTCGTTGCCATATTTTTAGTGCTGGGTTACTGGCAAGAAACTAATCATCGACAGATATATGTGAGAATAATATAGTTTTTTGACTCATCAGAAAAAATGCTGAAAGTTGTCTTTTGAACGTGAAATCTTTATGAATAAATTAGGTTGGAGATGGAGACCTTGACCACGCTTTTTGGGGCAGACCTGAAGACATGACCATGAGGCGACCCGCCTGGAAGATCACTCCACAAAATCCTGGATCCGATCTCGCAGCTGAAACTGCAGCAGCACTGGCCGCTGCATCGATTGCCTTCAAAGCTCAAAATACTCGGTAAGTTGTAGACAAGGAAAAATGCCTACAACTCTTGGTATATCGTAACTTCAGCTAAATTATTATACCGACAGTATCCGTCCTTTTAATTCCCTCTCCCGCTTTCGAAACTGAGCATATCCCGGTCTTGCCTTCCTATTTTCATCCTGCATCTCGCCTTTGGAATTTTTCGTAACCCACATCCCACTTCGATTTTAAGCCTCATCCCGCATCCCGCCAAACCTGTGTTGGACCCTCATACCAGTCGTACTCAACATAAATGGTCTCTCCGGTAATATTGCTTTATGTTTCACAACTTTTACTTAACTGCTCTGAAATAAACTTGGTACTTGGGTCCCCAGAAAACGAACCAGAAGCTGCCTTCGATTCTCACGAACATCTTTATGCTGGTTGACTACTAACTTTTGAGACAATTTGATTTTCAGTGCCTCTAAGAAGTATGCTAGGAAACTTTTAACGCACTCAAAGCAACTGTACGCGTTTTCAGACAAGTATCGTGGAGTATACAGTGATTCCATTCCCAACGCAGGGAAATTCTACAAATCCTACAGCGGGTTTCAGGACGAGTTAGTGTGGGGTGCAGCTTGGTTGTACAGAGCGACAAAGGAGTCTTCATATCTTGTGAAGGCTGAGAAGTACTTTAAGGATTATGGGATGGATGGTCAGGTATGTTGAGAGTTATAGGTCTTCTGAGATACAATTATGCTTAAGGGAATTTTTGTGAAACACAAGACTACAAATCGTTGTAAATCATAATTCAGTTCTGTCTTTTCTTCTCGCGTCATGCCTTCACATCCTGACTAAGATTGGACGATCTTACTTTTTCCCTTTACATGCGATTGTCGATAGTACAAAGGAAAATGTTTTGAGACTTTTTGTCCACACAATGCGCTTCAAGGCTTTGGTATCTTTATCAAAAAAGTATAACGCTCACAGATAAGTGCGGTGCTTAGAGATGAAAAAATCTAAAAGTGGCTTGCTAAATGCGAAGTTTGCTGGTTTTTTAAATTTTTTCCCTTCTATTATTGCAGGTATAGGCTTTTTTATCAACCACACGTAAAAGGCTCTTTCACATTAAAATTAAAATTTAATCCCTCTTTTTCTCCCTTACAGGCCTGGGCATTTTCTTGGGACGATAAAAAAGCCGGGGTACAGTTGCTGCTCGCTCAGTTGACGAAAAAAGAATCCTACAAAAACGCCATTAAAGCATCTCTCGACAACTGGCTTCCCGGAGGTAGTGTCCGTTACACTCCCAAGGGCCTTGCATGGCGTATCAAATGGGGCTCGAACCGATATGCAGCCAATACAGCTTTCCTGGCGCTGGTTGCCGCTGATCAGGGTCTAAAGCGAACAGCTTATCGCAATTTCGCAAAGAAACAAATTAATTACATGCTTGGAGACAGTGGACGCAGCTTCGTGGTTGGGTTCGGAAAAAATCCACCACGAAGACCACATCACAGCTCCAGCTCCTGCCCGTCCGCTCCACAGCCATGCGGTTGGGATAACTTCAACGCGGATATACCCAATGCGCATGTTCTAAAAGGTGCATTAGTTGGGGGTCCCGACGAGAATGACAACTACAAGGACGACAGAAAAGACTACGTCATGAATGAAGTCACTACTGACTACAACGCTGGTTTCCAGTCTTCTGTCGCGGGTCTAAAACAGCTGGAGCTGTAATAGTCCAACGGAAATATGAAGTTTTTTCAAAGAGCTTAAGACTTAAGAAGTCTTTTTTTTTCATGCTGTTTGTAGTTGTGCCTGAAATACTTCAATAAAATATCCTAAATGATTACGAAGTTCACTCGTAAATGACACTAGCAATTAACACCATCCTTTCATTATGAAAACGCAATTTAAAAAGAGATTTTTACAATATTAAAAGTTGCCTGAATATTTACTTATCTCGTCTACGGTACAATGAAACTCCACGTCTACGATAAAGTTCTAGAAAGAAAAGTACGCCGGAAGCGATATATCAAGCGTCTCACGAAGTAATACGTTAGATCAGCTGTCGGCGGTGGATACGGCAAACTTATGAAACTAAGAGTGCAATAACATTTGTTTTAATTTTCGAAAGGGCTACTGGTGGCACAGTCTCCTGAGGTTAATGGCTTTCTGAGGTAGGACACAAACTCAAGGTAGCAAATAATCTTTTATTTTCAAACTAAAGAAAAGAGCTTTTCTGATCTACTCTGCTCTGAACTATTAAGAAAACGAAGCAACTTTAGATTCGACGGGCTGATAAGAATATTGGAAAAAAAATTATTATTTCTTCCCCGAAAAAAATAGGGAATGAAGGAATTGCGACGTAACACAAATTCGACTGTCGGGGGGATTCAACGCGATAAAGAAGTGATCCATTTAGACTATGAATTCAAATCGAAGCATCAACGTATGGGAGATCTCTAACAAAATTTCTTCAGACGAGCCAGTGTTTCTATATTTTGCCCATCAGACCAAGAAAGGCTGCAGTTAAGGCTTGCACCTAAGAATAACTGCGAGCCAACTCTTTTTTTATTGTCATACTTTTTGGGAGTTAAAAGGTTGACAAATAATGAAATGATCCTCTTATGCGAGCTTTCAATTACAGAAGCCAGAAAAATTCAGGCTTCCGCTGGGTTCAGACGCTTCTCGGATATAAATTAGGCACAAAGCCCTCAGGTATTAATTATCTGCGCCAGAGAAGCTACATGATGAGAGTGAGTAGATTCCCTCTTCACCCGTTGTGAGTTAATTCAGTAATTTACATGTTGCACACTTTTTTATTAACCGAGGCTTGAGTTGAGTATTGTGACGAACAGTTCTATTTCAGCGTATTATCAAAGTTGGATAGATCAACTAAGAGAAAGTGACAGTATAAATAGTAAATCTAAAGAAAAAGAACATCGGTCGCCATTAAAGACCAATAAAAGCTAGTTTTTAGATAAAGGATGTCCAGCCGGTTATTTACTTTTGTTCGAAAAAAAACTCCAGGTTTAGGAAGATAACTCCCAATTCAAATATATCGCCGGGTGCTTCTTGAACCTTCCCGCTTCCGTTATTTCATGCCACCCTCTTCCCAGCCAAGACTTCTGTGCCTCCTTTGAGTGGAAGTTTTCCATAACTTTTGTGATGCAAATAATGGCTTATGCAGCTGTCTTGAATCAGGTGCAGATGTTAAAGAAGTTTGTAACCCTGTGTGTAAACCCTCTTAATAAGCCGAATAAAAGATGCACTCTTTTGAATTGCCCCAGCTTGGTTCCTGGCCCAGAGGCAAGAAACCCGAGCTAAGCAACATCCCAATCCTCTTAGCTGCCAAAGTAGTACAACACCACCTAAACAGCTTTAATTTCTTTCGTTTCACAGCATTTTTAACATTTCGTCGTAACTTTGTAATCTTCAAATCTGTCGGAATTATCACGATATAAAATATAACTCAAAACTATATATCTTCAAAAGGCGGAGGAAGATGTAGTGAGAACTATTTCTAGGGTCCTCAAATACAGTGAATATACATCAAATCTCTTCACGAACAAAAAGGCAACTGCTGTTTATGTCATCAACTTCAGCATATCTGCGATTCTCATGCCGTAAGCTCACTTTTCATCCACAGAGCTGTATTATGAGCATTATGGGACGAATCTCGTTGTCATCGTGTCTGCTGTTCTTTCTGCTCTTCGCACGCCACACCTGTGCAGAACAGTCCCGCATTACTGTTGTCAGTGAGTGGAACACAGGCTTCACCGCCAAATTCACCTTCAGACTACAGTCCAAGGTTACTGACGGTTGGATCATCACCTTGACTTTCAGTAAACCAGCACTGAAACTCCAGACATGGATTGGTGATATAAAGTCTGTGTCTCCAGACCGCAAGCGCTACGTGATTACCAACAAACCGTGGCAAAAACAACTGAATGCTGGCTATGAGCTATCTACTGAAATCGTTTTAACTAAGCCTGTTGCGAACTCACCAGCTCCTGGCGGTGTGGCCTTATTCCAGAGGCTTGGTGCTGGCGCTGGGGGAGGAGCTGGAGGAGGCAACGCTGGTGGTGGCGGAGGGGGACACACAGGCGGTGGGGGTGGTGTGATAGCCAAACCGACTGCACCTCCAGCCCCAGGTCCGTTCAATTACAACGAGGTCCTCCGCAAGTCCATTCTGTTCTATGAAGCACAGCGAGCTGGACGTCTTCCCGCCACAAACCGAATCCCTTGGAGAAAAAGCGCGACTCTTCGGGACGGTGCAGATGTTGGAGTGGATCTTAGTGGTGGTTGGTTTGACGCAGGAGATTTCGTCAAGTTTGGTTTCCCTATGGCTTCAAGTGTAACAGTGCTAACCTGGGGTTTGTTGAACTATAAAGAAGCTTATATTGCAGCTGGGGAACTGAAAAGCATGTTGGACTGTATTAAATGGCCATTGGACTATTTCATGAAAGCGCACACCTCTAAGTTTGAGCTTTACGTACAGGTGAGAACGAGACATTTTAATTTTTTAAGAAGAGTAGAATGGATTGCATCATCTACGCGTGAACTTCTGAAGGGGATTTCACCCAAAATTTGGGGAACACGACATTTGTTGCAAAGACTATATGGTTTGATGGTATTACATGGTATGCCGTATATTGATGTCCAGAATTTCCTTTTAATCAAAATTCATATACATGTAATTACCTTAACTTGGATCGAACTCTCAGCATGAGGAGCCGATCCATTGGCAAGCCCACTGTTTGTGGAGGTTGGTTTAGGCTTTGATCTGAAACCATAACCTGTTCCACGATTATTTTGTTTTTGTACGATTTCTTTACTTTTTAAATTGCTTGGCTGTTATCTTGCTTTGTTTCTTTTGTTTCGTTTGATTGTTTTGTTTTATTGTTGTTATCATTCTGGTCTGCGAGCGTGTTATTTCGTGGCTATCAATTAACTTATGAAGAATCGTTATACACTTTTGATCCCTTCTACTCTTTTTTCCCCCTTACAGGTTGGGGATGGTGTTAAAGACCACGAATATTGGGGCAGACCAGAAGACATGCATATGGCCAGACCTGCTCTGAAGATCACAGCTCAGAGGCCTGGATCTGACGTTGCTGCCGAAACAGCCGCTGCCTTAGCCGCGGGCGCTATAGCTTTCCGGAAGTCTAATCCAACTTATTCTAACCAGTTATTGGCGCATGCTAAGGGGCTTTACGAATTCGCAAGAACTTACCTCGGGAAGTACAGTGATTCTATACCCAGGGCTGCAAAATTCTACAAGTCTGGTGGTTATAAAGACGAACTAGTGTGGGGAGCTGCTTGGCTTTACAGGTAATCCACATTGAAGTCAATGAAGAACATAGTATAAACAAGAAAATCAAATTAAGTTCATCCTATGGTCAGGAAATTAGAGACCTTTGACTCTTGAAATATTGAGATGAAGAGAGCTTTATTGATACTAAGCGATTAAGTTTTTTAACTTATTTTTTACAAGTTGTTCTCACTTTCAGAGCTACACGCGATAGGAAGTATCTTACCTTGGCGGAGTCCCTTTATAAAAAGTATTACCTCAGTTCATCTTGGGCTTTTTCCTGGGATGACAAGACTGCTGCAGTACAGATGCTTCTGTATGGACTGACGAAGAAGCCGCAGTATAAGCTGGCCATTCAGAAGTACCTTGCAAACTGGTTGCCTGGTAAAACTAATTTTCGATCTCACATAGTATCCTGAAACTTACAGACTCTTAACAATATAAGCTTAGAAGTAGCTCTGCTCACCAAATTTGAAGATAAACTTTGCAAGTCTCATATAACGTAACCCTTTAACTCCCAAGAAGGAAGCGATAATTTCTCCGCCCAATATCAATACAATATCATGCATAGAAGTGATGAGAATAAAGAAAAAACATCAGTAAGGGGATTATTAACTGATCCAATACCATATTCTCCGAATTGATATCATGAGAATCGTATGGCAGAAAGTAAGGAGAATAACTAATGAGATCTTGGGAGTTAAGGGCTTAAGTTCCTCCAAAAATGTTTTAAATATACGAATAATTCCTCCATGACATTAGGTTTTTTCATTTATAGTTTTTATTTTGATTTGTTGTTTTTGTTGTTGTTTTTATTTTTCCAACCATTTTTTGAGTTATCTCAGGACCCTTTTGGAGAAGTGTCTAGCTATTACAATCAACACACTGGGGGCTTGTATGCCGTTTTCTTCAGTATGGGTCAGGCCTACCAAATAATCTATGCGTTAAACGTTCACCGTTCGGTCGCAAAACCTTAAATGATATATGAATGATATAATCTCTGAAATCTTTTAATTTAACGCCGTTCGCTTGTCTTCTTTAAATCCACAAGAAGCGCTTATAAGAATTTGTTTCTGAACAATACAAAAGGTGGTTCCCTTAAACGCACTCCAAAAGGCCTTGTTTTCCGTGATGCCTGGGGAGCAAACCGATTCGCCGCCAACACGGCCTTCCTAGCACTGCTAGCCGCTGACCAGGGTCTCAACCCGACCACGTATCGTCAATTTGCAAGAAAGCAGATCCACTACATGCTTGGCGACAGTGGACGCAGTTATGTGGTTGGATTTGGGAAGAATCCTCCCCAAAGACCTCACCACCGCTCCAGCAGCTGTCCTTCAGCCCCTGCCCGATGTGACTGGGGAAACTATCACAACTCTGGTCCTAACGCGCATGTGCTGCCTGGTGCCTTAGTTGGTGGGCCTGATCGTTATGACAACTTCAAAGACGATAGAACAGAGGTAAAGTACTCCGAGGTGGCTACCGATTACAACGCTGGGTTCCAGTCTGCCGTGGCTGGGCTGAGGCGTCTGCAGTTGTAATAAGTAGTTGTCACAATGATGTCTTTTCAATGGTGTCTGCCTTTGAAGCAATAATTAGATAAGTTGATTTTTCTTAGTCAAACAGGTATTTACCAAAATTGTTATAGAATGAATAAAACGAATCATTGAACGTCATATGATATTGCTTACAAACTTTTCGAGGATATGTTATTGAATCTCTACATAAGCGATCCTCGCAGCTATGAACACTATCGAACTAATAGTTGATATAAGACCTGAAAAAAACTCAGGCCCGTACTTGAACCCATGACCTTTACGATACCGGTGCAGCGCTCTACCAACTGAGCTAACAAGCCAGCTGGGAGCTCGTTACTATTTTGATCCGAAATTCATTAAATACTGTATTTTGAAGGAGAGGGCAAGGTCACTCTTATTTTTATGAGGGGGGCGGGGGGGAAAGCCGGCTCTTGGTCGCCTGACAAATTTCCCGGGGAGCATTCGAGAGATCTGTGACCACTTACCCTTTTTTCCCATCATAATACGTCCCTTTTCCACATCGTGATGCATCTTGTCCTGACTGCAAATTCAGGTGTCAGACGAAACGTTCCAGTCGAGAAATGAGGGCTTCAGTAAGGTTTTCAGTGACGAAAAACAACCCTTCTTAGGTTACCTTCTGCCCAGTTGAATCACCTAGAGTTTTCTTCAATTCCACGCTGTCAAGTTTACATTTTGTTGGTGAGGGAAGAGTTATAAAGTAATTTGAGAAGAAAAGACTGCCTTTTTTCATCCCTCTCAGCTCAACCACAAAAGAGCATATTGGAGATGAACTTTTGACTGAAACAAGGGTTAAACCTTGGCACTTAATTAGACAAGAATAATAACAAATTTCAAATTACGCAGAGATGAATCCCCAAGAGATTCACATGTCAATTCCAAATTTTCAAATGATTGTTGTGAGCTGGCTGTACACCGAGGATGTAGCATGATCCATTTTGTTCAATACTAGAAACATTCTTGCATCAATTTCGCCTCCTTATGCGCAAAAGCCGCGAAGACTGTTGTTTCGCAGATTCTCTTTTGTTAATTTTTTAAAGCAATTTGAGCAGATCGATGTTTGCACAGGCACGAAAGAAAGCTGGAAACTGTTGTTCTCTCCGCAATTTCAATTTAGATGAAAACAGTTTCTAACAAATAAAATTTTCTTAATTGAAATTCAGGCAAATTAGGCGAAACGAAAGCAGAAATTATTTCAGACAGTCAAGCTAACAGAAAACAACAAGACCGACTACTTCAACGGATTGATACATTCAATTTATTTTCTTATCATCACAAGTAAATAGTCCAGCAACAATTTTAAGGGTCAAGAATGAAACGGGTACACAAAATGGATGATATATTTACGTGCTTTTTTTTGTTGTTGTTTCATACAGTAATTATAAACGGTGGGTTATTGTAGTCGGAAAATAATGAGGCCTCTGAATACACAAAAACAATTACAACTACCTGAATTTGACGAATACATCGATGAAAACTGCTGGCAAACGAAGATGCTTGTTATTATCATTTTTCATATTCACTAAAAAAAGTATGTTATGCACTGTCTTCCTTTAATTAAATTTCCGAAGAAGGAAAGAATTAAATATCACCCTGATGTTTGTCTGCTTTGCGATTAACCAATCAAATCGAAACATTTTGGTCGTACGTGACTCTCTTGTTTCCACTTTTGAAAAGCAACAACAATTGACTTCTCTAAAAAATCATAACTCGAAAACAAGTCGTTTACATCTGAATTACCAACATTTTAACGAAGAATAAGCATATAATGACCCAACTTAGAAATATTTGTTCGAAATATTTTTTTTCGCCCACAGGATCGCGGTCTTTAAAACGACTTAAAAACTGTTGTAATAATTATCATCCTCCGTAATATCTTTGCACATCACTGTACCGTGTTTCTAAGCCAGTTTTCCTAAGCATGCTGATCACAAATAAATGTGTACGCCACCTTATATACTGAAATCGTGATGGCGAGTAGCATGGCAGTGCTGTTGATCACCAGGGCAGCTGTTCGCGGAGTAGGCACGTTTCCGATATCTTCTTCCTTCGTCCATTCCCAGTTTACCCAAATTACGCGCTCTTTCCAGATGGATCGTGGCTAGATCTCTTCGTGGCTCAGTGTCTTTTTGGATACAGTTTAAATCGGATGAATTTCCGTTGATTTCAATACCTTGGGGAGGAAGAGAGAACTGACTTACTTTTCTCTTCAGGCCTTTCTCGTACATGCTTTGCCATACTGCATCCACATCACCGCGATCAGGAGTTGATTTAGATTGATAAACACAATCCAGGTCCTGCACCGCTTCCTTCTCCCAGCTTAACATGGCGGTTGGCCTGTCTGCTATCGAAGTCGACATATCTGGTCTACACCGCAACTCGAGCTCTTCTGGTTCTGTAAACAAACGGCTTGAGTTTTAAATGAGTCCAATTGAATCGTTCGTGATTGGCTTGAAAATAGCTTCAATTAATTGTCTCTGTTTGTGTCACTTTCCTAAAAGCTTATCTTTCTTTTCTGGCTCAGTTCAAATCTTCTTTGGCCTCAAATTTCCGGGGACAATTCTGTTAATATATTTCCCGCCGGATTGGTATCAAATTCAGCGCTACTAATACAGCAATGTTTACCATTCGATTCAGCCGAGCGACTTAACCTGTAGTGAACATATCGGCTCGGTAAAGCGAAGATAATCTTAGATTTGAGGAAAATTATGGAAGTGATGACGTCCTAGGACAAATTCGAGTGAAGATCTGATTTCACCCCGAACTAATCTTGTGCGTGCACCAGGTTTCGAAGGTTATTGTGCTAGAAATGAATTATTTAGATGACATTAGCTTAACTAATCAAAATTCTGTTTGTAAGAACCGAAAAGGCCTCTCTGTGGAGACTTCTTTGTCGCAAAATTTATTAGACTTTTTCTACTTCCCACTCTAATAAATGACAAAAGTACCGAAACATGAAAACTGTGTAGAAAATGTGGAAACGGTAAAAATCTTAGCGATAGTTTTCACTTAGAAAGAATAATTGTTTATCATTTCACTTCAGGGGTGAAACCCGCACGTGGTGAAAAGCTTTTGTCTTCGTCTTAAATGTAAACAATGCGTGACCGATTTGATGTCAAGGATATTACGTACGTTTAAGGAACACAAACATAGACGGCGCACAGTAAACATCACACATTAGTGTCATAAAACATTATTCTAGATTTTACCGAAATGGTCGAAGACATAGCGAAATCCGTAATTCCCGATTTCAGCACGTTTTGCGTGCGCCTTCAACAACTGACAATTTTCTCGAGGAGTGTTTAACATCTTCAAATAGGCTTCCAAAAATTTTCTTAACATTATTATTGACAAATATCGTCGATTCGCCGTCAGGCGTGCATGCAAGTTGGATTAATTTAACTGCATGCGAACATCCTCTCTGAGTGCTTCATTTCCCATCGCCTGACCAATTTTATTTTTTGTCAGTAAAAATTACAGTGGAAATATTCACCCGAAATGAATTGAAAACAAAACATCATTTTACTAAATACACGTTCCTTGCTGCACAAATGTTTTTTTTTTTATCCCGAGTTCATTTTCACTTGGCATTGTACATTTAGAAATGAAGATGATAATTTTTGCTTTTGCCAGCTTTTTATCCTGTTTCAGTCTGTCGAGGCCGGTCGGCACACGAAAAGAGCCAGGTTATATTCAAAATCTGTTCGTCCTTATTTTTATTGCTTGATATGCAAAATATTTTTTCCAATAGACTCATTTGACAAATGAATTAAAACATTAATGTAAACTTTATGTATTTATTTAAACAGATTCTTTAAGCTAAATCAGTACACGACTCTATCCGTATATTCGTTTAAAGTACTATTCGATATAAATGTGACCGGAAGTCAAAACCGGCTAGCGATATCCACAAAATTCAAGAAATTTAATACCTTAAAAAAGTTATTTTCGATTTAGGATGAGCGATGTTTAACGTTGGATGTGCGTCGAAACTCCACCAGTTAAAGAACTTAAGTAGCTAGTTTTAATAGAAAAAATATGGAGTAAAGAAACATTAATCGAAGATCAAACGTCTTGATCTTATAGGACTTGCAAAGGTACAACGTACAGCTCGGGAAAAAAAATACAAAAATCACTTCAAACGTAGAGCGCAAAATGTGACTTTACATGCAATGCAATTTGCGCCAATGAAGACGAACTTTCAAACATACGCTAATGAAGAAGTGACAAGCAACACTAACAACAATACATATGGAGAGGTGCAAAAATAATTATAATAAGAAAACTGGCCAGAGACGAAACACACTATGCCGCGAAACATGCGAAAAACAAATCAGGGAAAATGTTTTCCGTTCGATCTTGAAATTGCCCGTAAAATGAATCTTTTCGGCGTTTTCGGCCCATCCTCTTCCGTACACCTTGCCGCTCGTGTTATCTGTCCTCATCCTTGAAACCATCCATCACTAGCTGTCTACATTTAAGTGCAAATACTTTGTTTCTCATTCACGTCGCAAGGGAAATGGACAACTTCCTTTTAGTCCTAAATCTTTGAATGGTTTTCCTGGTTGATTCCAGAAATCGACAACGCAAAATTTGATCGGTCATTTAAATCTAACCTGGCTCTTTTACAAGCTGCAAGTTACGTTCCGTTGTGGAAAAAGCTAAATTTGCCTACCTTAGCAAACTGTCATTAAAAAAAAAAAAAAAAAAAAAAAAAAAAAAAAAGACTGTCAACCTTCAAGAGATTAAAATTTCTTGCAACCACAAAATGGTCATAAAGAACGAAAAAAAAAAAAAACCTCGTAAACGTCAAAACAGCTGTTTCTTTCCGTGAATACTAATGTCTGCCGGAGAAAATTCTGGATACTTTTCTATCTATTCTCGTCACGTTTAGTAAGTTGCATATTTTCTTACTTAAATAGCACTAACTGACAACAAAAAGGAAAATTTGATAAGAGAGCAGCTTTCAGAAAACAAAAATTTCCTCAAGCATATAAAATCACGAGCACTTCAATTGTTCTCTCGTTTCGTAACAAAAGGACAAAGATTTTTCAATTGTAATTTACGTAAACCTCAAGTTTAAAGACTGCAATACACTTGGCGATTTTAATCGCCGATCGCGCCCAATTTGCTCACTAGCGAAAATCGCAAGTGATTTTCGCCAGTCGCCAACCAATCGATGCGTACACACTTGGCGTTTTTTGAAGTCGATTGCTGCGATGTGGCACCTCAACCCCGTTTCGTTTTCAGCGAGTGATGTTTGGAAAATTGGTGAGAACGAAGCGAAAACATTTGTTACCTATTGTCATAATTTTGCTTGCAGGGCGCTCCAAATCTAAATGATAAGATTTGCTTTTTTTCGTCTTTGCAAAACCAAGTTCTGCTCCTTCCGCCATTTTGAAAAGTCAAGTGATATTATATCGTCCAACTTCATTGGTTGATTTAACCGGCGATTCGCAGCGATGGGAGAGGAAAATCGCGGGAACGGGCCCGGGCACTCTTGGCAAATAGCAGCGAATAAAAATATCTGAAATGGAGGTAGATTGCCTCGCTTGTTCAAGATTCTCCTTTTGTGGTGATGTTTATATACTTTCTGTTATGTTCGTCCACACTTTCCTGCTCCTTTCCTAACCCTTTTCCTTTTTTTCCATGTCATCTTCATGATCCTTTGCAGCCCCCGTTCAATGAAGATCAGGGAATTAATCTTTTGGGTTATAACTGAATCATAGATCTGAAAATGTAGCCTGATCGTCTGGATGGGTGTAGTCCAGAGAAGGATGTAGTCCAGAGAAGGATGTAGTCCAGAGAAGGATGTAGTCCAGAGAAGGACGTGGTCAGTGGTGACTGACATTTGGACAACTCGAGCGAAAGTCATCAGCAGAGTCAAGTGAATGCTTGTAGTCAGTCGAATGTTGTAAGTCCGTTTCGTACAACTGATTGGTCAGTTTTGCCTTGATGTTATTGGCTGTAAGACTCAAGTGGCGTAGGTCTGTCATGATGTCATGGTCTGTCTCGATCCGTCGGTAAAGTTAGCTTGTTCTATTCGGTTCGTTTATAATGTTAATTTCGTGTATAAGTCGTTTGTATGGTGCCGGTAATAGTTTACACCTGTCGAGGGGAGTCTGTTCTAAGTTAGTAAACCAGCTTTCCTTAATCACTTGTTTAAAGTAGATAGTGCTATAGGTTAGGCATTACGTAGAGTTCCAGGTAAAAGTGTCAATCTTTTCTGCCAGTCTCACCGATGTGGGAGGCGTGATAATCGGAGCAACTGATCTTACTTGAAACCACTCTCTGACTGTTCCTCTGTTCGTCCTTGTTTTTGAGTAACCGGCTGTAGGATGCGCGAGATGTTCTCAGACAAGCCTTTTATGAAAGGTATAGTCGCTTTAGTCCTAAGAGTTGCGGTGTCGTTAGTTTCAGTAGTTGCAGTAGGTCGGTGAGCGTTTCGTCGGATGAAGTCTTTGTTGTAGTTGTTATTTGAAAAAACACGGTCAGGGTATTTGTTCTCGTCGGATAAGCTATCTGTCGTGTTGCACTAGCTGCGCTCATCGTGTTATGAGCCCTAAGCCTCGCTTAAGGCTCAGGTCTTATTTGAAAGTTTTGATCGTCACATTTATTTCGTTGTAGTTTTGTCTATAGTGCTGAATTGTTTTCACAAGTGCGCCTCTCTGACAAATATTGATAAAACACCTGTAACATTTGAATCAACAAGCTCTCTCACTCTAGAATCAACCGAACGAAGTCAATTTAGGAAGCTCGTTTTTGTGACCAAGAATATCCAAACAAAGCATTTTACCTTGAGAGCCCTAACAGCGTATGATAAAGATGAGAAACACCAGAGAAGAGAAAGAAAGCAAGAGGGAAAGAAAGAAAAATTTGATCAGCTTGTGTGAACAATGCCAAAGTATGGAGATTGCCCAATTTTCATGGCCAGACGCAATAATAGACATAAACAGGCTGTCACGTGAACTAGTTTGATGCAGGTGTCGCTAAATGAGGGAAGGGCATTATCAAAATAAACTGTTATTAAATCATTTCAGTTTTGTTCCAAAACAATTAATTAGACCTGGTGTATCCTTACCGATGTGTTATGTTTTCGAAAATATTGGAGAAAAATCCTTTCTTCGTTTATATTTTTAAAAACATGTCAGCTAGACTCTTGGTATTTACGTGGCTCAATATAATTGTGTCGTGATGAACTCAGCCGGTTGATTGCTTCGCCCAACAGGTAGTTCCATTTACGTCGGAGTCTTAGAATGTAAACTTTGACGGGTCAAAACAGCAATGGTTTTCAATGAAACCTCTGAGGTTATTCGATAACAAAATGCAGTCGAAAACATCTTTAAGTTTCGAACACAACTTTTCATAACATTTGAGCTCTTCCCCTGTTATTTATTTTTTTGTGTCAAATTGGCGTAGTGGATATCAAAAGAAGACATACAATTCTCCGTTTGAATGATGCAATTTTTGCGTTCGACTTGAAAATTTACCACTCACCCCACAAGCCAAGGACCACATTAATTGACCGATCGGTGATAATTTCAAGTTGAAATTTTTATTAGCGAAAATTTGTTTCTTGTTTCTGTTTAATTACAAACTAAATCATATTTGAACTATAAAATTAAAAAATATGTATCGGGAATATGTGCTGTTGGTGGCTGTGTTTATGCGACTGTTAGACAAGTAGAAGTTTCATATCACTATTTGCTCGATCAGTCCGTGTTTCAGAGCAACCTTAACTTTAAACTGAGCCTTTTTATGATATTTATGTACACTAAGCATTAAAAGAGGTTTACTGGATTTACTTAACTGAAGAAATAAGTCCTGGACTGTTACGCTACATAATAACACGATACAACACTGAGCGACGAAGCCAAATGAATACTTTTGCAATGTATGTTGTCGTAAGCCGTTATACCTTTCCGCTTAGTATCCAATAATTTTGCATCAAGCAGTTTTTGTCCAGAAATGTTTCCTTCTCCATCGTCTGCCTTTATCGGCTTTGTTCAGTTTTCCCGCCTTCAGAGCGCGCTCACGGTGTACTTCCGAGAAGTCAAACGCACCGAACTTGTAAGATTGGTTGTCATCTTTGCCACTGTCTTTCTCCTGAAACGTTTTCTCCAGTGGAAAGCTACAAATACAGGAATGGCTTTGCTTCAGTTGAAGGCCTTTTTCGTAAAGACTCCTCCTCATGGCTAACAACTCCGCGTTTAAGATCGATGACATGAAATCGTAAACAAGGCAGTAATCCTTGTCCTTTTCTTCCTCCCAGCAGGCCATAGGAAGAGGTCGATCCAACGCGCTCATGTCTGAAGGTTTTTAATTTCACCGCGGCGAGGAACGATTTGCTGTACAACTAACTGAGTCAAACGGAGCTTATATTTCGAACGGTTTCCAGTTGCTTCCTATTTTGAAACGCCAACGGAAGAGGCCTTGTCGCCGGGCTAATGAATGGCACAGATGGCAACACAACCTGTTAATGACAGCTGTGCACGTGATCAACCAATTGTATTGTTTATATCAGCAGAAATATAACTGCGCATGCTTAAACGACATGTCATGTCATGCCATGAATATCCAAAAAGTTGCTACCTAAATTTTAAAAGTTGCTGCCAAAATTACTTGATATTTTTAAATAAATGTTAGTAAAAAGCCTTGCTTTTCGTTCTTCATAATAATTGATAACATCGGTCAAGAAAAATATCTTGAAACTTAGCTTCAAAGAATTGCTCGAAATATGGATGAGATTTATGGAAGCTTGTAAGTTTAACGGAGCAAATTTATTTGTTTTTAAAAGGTCGGTAATCATTTACGAAATTCGGTTAAATTGAAATTTCTTTGAAATCGTTAACTTTTTCGTGCTTGATGTGTGCTCTAAACTTCTATTTTGCTAACAAATTGCTCAAAAAGTCAAAGTTGGTCGAAGTCCAAATGCCAAAAGTGGCTCAAAAGTTGCCGAGCACAATCAGGACAGGCTAACGGAGAGGGGGGGGGGGGAAGAGAGTACTGGGTACTGGAAGTGTCAAGTCTTTCCGGCGGAATACACGTGGGATTTCTTTCAATATGGAGGAATTTAATGGTAAATAATTCACTGTCAAATGGCTTAGAAGACAAGGTCTGCAAGGTTTAGGTTTGGTCAATATGTAGAAGGCCATGGTCACTGATGTTGCTTTTCCAAAAAAAGTTAGCCTTTCAAAAAAAGTGACTATCAATTTTTTTTTGTCCTGGAGGGGCAGGAAGTTGAAACAAATGCCTGGCGGGGGGCCCGGGCAATGTTGAAGCTTTAAATTGATCGACGTATTGCTGTTAAAAAAAAGAAAGGAAACATAAAACTTGGGGTGTTGACCTTTTTCAACATTTCACCTGTTCACCTGCATTTGTGCCAACTTGCGGCTTTGACTACACTCAGTCTTTGCCAGGCTAGTGATAGAGTTATCTTTTATTTTTACCTACATTAATTTACATGATACAAAAATATATATATTACATGAAAAATGGAGAAAGTTTAGGCTGCCCATAATAACCATTGAGGGCTAAAAAGATAAGAGAGCCTTACTTAGGTTATTAATAAATTATGACATTAAAGGGTTAGGTTCCACACACGCGCACACACTACACAAAATACAAAGATAAAAAACAACAGTAGCTAGGGGGAAAAAAAGACAATAAAAGAAAGTTAAATATGCCAGTATTTAACAACAAAAAGCCAGAAAAATATAGTTTCGGTAAATTTGCGATTAATACTTAGCGATAAGAATTGACTTAAACTTTTTCTTTAAACGTTTGATAGAGAGAAGCTTTATGTCATCACTGATATCATTCCAAACTTTAGCACCTTTCATGACAATTCGACGTTCAGTCGAATAGCTTTACGTGTCTTCCCCACTCCGTTCCAAATTATGTTACTGCAAATTTTAACCTTTTTTGCACGTCTCTTCAAATCTGAAGCAAACTAGATCTCGGACCGAATAATATATATTAATACGAAATTGACCCTGACAGTACGTGTAATTTCAGTTATTTGTCAAATTTCGTAGGGTAGTGAAGCCTCACTGAAACCCTTTGAAACTCTTCTAAAATATGATATTTACAATCATCGTTCCATCAGTCAAAAATGTCGAAGGAATTTGAGGTAAGTTGATATTCTCTCAGAAAGGAATCCTTTCTGCATCTTATACCTTCTTTCTCTGGCTGACTTTCATAACCAATTTTACTGCAGCATTGTCTTTTCCTCTTGCTTTTCCTCTTGCTTCTTAAACGTACAGGATTTTCAAGTTTTTTGGGACGTCACTCTACCTGCAAGGCAGAAATGTGGTCCACCTCTTGCTATCGAGGTTTGTTATGCCTTTCGACAAAAACATCGTACGTGACGCTTCCTGTGATGATGACGTCCTTCTTCCCTGATTGGCTGCACTCCGCGATTTAGAGCTCGCTTCGCGTGAATGGAAACCAAATCTGTAGTGACTTTCTTAGAATTCCCCAGTTGTGTATCAAAAAATTCGTTCTCCTTAATGTCCTCCAGACTAGGAACAAACCTAAACTTGGGGTACTTTCCTCGCTTTATCCTCCGATGACAGTTTAACTTTGGGCTTTGCATCATGCTCAGGTCTATCGCAGCAAGTTCATCGTTGAAATCCCAATAAGATTTTTGGCCATATTTGAAGTCAAAGTCGTAAACTTTAGCTTTGTTCAATTCTCTCATTGTAAGCGGTTTGTCTTCCTGCGTAAGGCACATGGTTGAGGTCCCTTGAAAAAGTTGCGTTGGACACAGCCTCAAATTATGAGCTCTTTTTAGTTCAAATGCTGTTGAAAACTGCTGCAAGATAAGGATTTACAATCTTTATTTAGGCCAGAGATGAAGCCAATATAATGATTATCTCATGGAATCACAGAGATGTCGAGGCACTAAAAAACGAGAATGCAATATACTTTGATTAGTTATCTAGGAACACGGCGATATGAAACGAAAAACGTTTTTAATGGTCACAATAGCTATGTTCTGAAGCAATCATATATCATACGTTAACCTCGACAGAGTAAGAGCAAAGGGGTAATTTTAATGCTTTTGTCGGAAAATAAAGTTTCCGTTTGCTATTTAGGAAATAGGAACTTTTGCCTCTGCTTATTATAAAAACATATTGGTCTGGAGGGATTCGTGACTCAAGTCGTTAAATCAGTTTCTTAATTAATCAATTTCTTCCTAGGGATAAAACCAGTCAGCGAGTCTTTCTTTATTCCAAATAGTTTTGGACTTTTAGTTATTTTTGTATATAGATATAATGCCCAATTCTCGTGCATGAACTATTTTGTTTACCAAAATAAAGAAACAAGTTGTCTGCTGAAGGCAATATCAAAAGTTTGGTTCAGCTGATGCGGAAACATATGGGCTCTGAAACAGGACACGTGCCATTCTTTCACTCCCACTGCTCTCACTGCCTCTCCTAATGAGACGTGATTCCATTGACCCCCACTGGTATATTGTCACTACCGTTTACCAACGCACTCTTAACTTATTTTGGCTATTGTAACCTACTGATGGAATATAATGAGCTGAATATCTATATTTCAGGCTGATGAAACTGAAAGGAAACTGTACAACTGTCTGGAATTCAGTGTACTCTTCCATTGTAAAAACTGTAGTTCTGTCACAAAAAAACTGAGATTCTAAGCGCGCTCTGCATGAATGCTCGAAACCTGTTGTTTATGAGACCGACTAAGTAATAAAAAGTGCTTCCTATCGCTTTACTGACCCAATAACTAACTCACTTGGAAGGTCGATTAGAACACTCTCAACATTCCGTAACGATCATTACGTCATTAAAATGGCGGAAAGTACAGTCTGTCGCTCAAATGAGCATTTACTGCTGAAACTCGGTGTTGACATCCATCCAATGAAGAAAAAAGGAAGTACGATATTTTTTTACTGTTATCTTCTCTTGTTGAATTACAATTAAGTTAGAAAACTAGTCGTTGTCGGATCTAATTTGATTAAAGAAAAGAATAATTGTTCTTATAACCACTTGATTGGTTTCCTTATCTTCATTCCGTTATGAGATGGAGTAAACTTATTCTAACATTTAACTTGTTTTTCGAAGCAAGACACATCTTTTTCTCTATTGAATCAGCAATATTATCCTTCCGGTTTTTTCAGACAATTCGACTAACATTTGTGTCTCACAAAAATGAGATTTGTTTTTAAATCTTATGTTATTGCTGTGATACATCTTTGCTTGTAACTTTACAACAAAATTGGGGGAAAATGTTAAAACAGGAAACACTATCGCACAATTATATGCTCAATAGTCTTAATTGTGAGGAACCTTAGATCAAAGCACGGGAACTTGCCCTTTCGCACTCATTTTAGTTCTTTCCTTGATAGCCTGCTTTCGGTTGTTGTTATTGTTGATATTTTTTTTTGGTTGTTGCTCAGACACATCAATATTTTTTGTTAAAAGAAACTCGCTTTTAGCGCTAATGGTGTTGTTTTTATAGCTCTTTCGAGCCACTCCTCCTTTTGAGTCCTTCATTACATGCAAAACGTGAATTCTTTGACAATCTACAAGAATACACGTGTTTTCACTGTCTTCAATATCATGTGTGGATTACTCCTATAAATAAGAAGCATTTGGTGCGCTTTCAAGGGCATACTCAGCAGAAATGAGTAATAACTCGATCTTCTGATAAGAAGTCATTTAATGAACAGATTGACACGAAACTCGAACCGTTGAAGGGAACACCCATTCCGGTTTGAAAAAAGATGACATCAAAGTGATTGATGAATTTGCTATCGGGAGACAATACTTTGTGTGTACGTGTGCAACGAGAACTTGTACAATTCATAAGATATTTTCAAACTACCTTTAAGATAATCGTGGTTTCTTTGCTTATAAAAAAAGCCGTGATTGGATGACTCATCTCTTTGCACGATTTTCGTTTAAGGTCGGGTTAAATCTTGGTATTTGGTCTGTTCTTCGATGTAACAGTATCAGTGCTCGATGTTTGTTGTCCATTTTCCTAGAAGCAAATCCACGGACAAATACTATCTGAGCTTCAGTCCATCTTCGAGTGTTTGGCTTGAAGTCATATCCTTAAATAAACCTTCTATATATTGGCTCTGATTAGAACTCGCTACTTAAGGAACCCGATCATTCTTTTGCATTAGTTTTATCAGTTATTTCCACAAGAGGGAACTTTTCGGCAACTCAACATGTGCAAAACACAACTTTATCAGGAGGCTTCAATCGTGTGCACTTGCCTTTTACATGAGGACAAACCACTCACCATGAAAGAATTGAACAAAGCTAAAGTTTACAATTTCGACTTTAAGTATGGCCAAAAATCGTCGTGGGATTTCATCGACGAACTTGCTGCCATCGACCTGAGCATGATGCAAAGTCCTAAAGTAAACCGCCACCGTCATCGGAGGATCAAGCGAAGAAAGTATCCTAAGAGTAGGTTTGTTCCTAGTTTGGAGAACATTAAAGAGAACGAACTGTTTGTATCACAGCTGGATCATTTGGATAGGATCACCAAAGATCTAGTCTCCATTCACGAAGAACGAGCTCTGAATTGTGGGATACAACCAGTTAAGGAAGAAGGACGTCGCCATCACAAGAAACGACACGTGAGAGGCACTAGTAGGAAGGCGTAATGTGAAAGGATTCCCGACAATGACCATCTTCGGCCGCATGAATGGAACGTGTATGTCGATTCGCTGAGCCTTGCGTGCTAAAGGCGAGGACGCCATCCAATGTCAAAAACGGTCTCCCTACAGATTGTTGAATGATAAGGAGGGAACTTGTATTCGGAAGAAAGAACACATTGGTTGTGAGACAAACCCGAATTTGTACGATGGGTTCTCAGCGAGCTCTAACATTCCTTGAAGTTATTGTAAAGTAATGGCCATGCAGAGACTGCCATGGCATTTATTTCCATTAATTAGATATCTGGTTTTCTCGGCATGCTAAAGAATGGAAACTATCTTGTGAATAAGTAGATTCTTCTTAATGTCTCTTAGATTCTGCCTGAACCTCACAAATCAAAGATCAAGAAACTTTTAGACATAAAAGATTAATCATTGAACGCTTAAAAACACTCCGTGACTTTTAGCACGTTCTTGGTTTTCACTTATCAAGGTTACATTCATAGACATTTGTTTCCACTGAAATACAAAGTTACCTGTGAAGGCTAAAAACACTTTGTGGGTAGGTTGCAGTTGCTATTATGTAGGGACACTGTAACTCGATTTTTTTGAGAAAGTTTTGGGCGATATTTAGCGTAACTAAGGCGTTGATTTAGATATAGACCGCTTACTAATGAGGGCAATTAATTAGTTCCTAGAATTTGAAGTATCTGGTCCTGTATCATAATGTTTTGACTGTGTTGTGACCCAACTATATATGTATTGTACATAAGACAAAATAAATGATATGGAAACTAAAAGTGAAACGACTAGAAGATTCAAACTGTTTGATTTCTATTTTTGCGCCTTTTTTCTTTTCAAAAGATGTTATTTCCGGAAACCCTCAGCAAGGTTAACTCAGTGAAGAATCAATAGCCAAGAGAAGTTTGAGGATGAAGTTAATGTGAAGGGTTGAAAGGCCGCGACAAAATTTGTCCCTTACTTTAAGCCTACCGGTGTTCGGGAAACAAAGGGATGCAAAACGGCAAATAACCTGTCGGGGAAAAAGCAGGAACCGATCTTTGTTATTTTTCAACCTTGTCTCGTCAATTCGTCCTGTTTCGTAATTACTTTCATTTTTGTATTAATCATCACTTCCTCCGATATGCACCCTTCGAAACCAAAACTCGCTGAAAATAAATTTTTGTTCTAGAGAGTAAGCTGAAATTGTGATATCAGGAAGACATTTTTTTTTATATTTTACCGAAAATGAAAATAAAAATTTAGAAGTTGATACCCGCTGACGTTTGTTAAATTCTGAAATTTCATCAAGCGAAGTGCGTGACTCATGAGTTTTATTTGCTATACTTGTCAAAGAGAACTCGAACACAATAATGTGACCTGAGCCGGCTAAGGAAATCATGTTTCTTACGTTGATATTGCTGCTGTATTTCAATGTTTTGACTGTGTTTTGAAGTAACTATGTACTGAAACTCCATTCAGATAAAGAGTTATGGTAACCGAAACCGCAGGAATAACAAATTTCGTTCTTTTCATGTTTTTCTTTTTAGACAAATACTGCCGTCGGCATTTAGCACTCCCTTGTACCCATCATCCTGTATGCTCTCTTGAGAATCGATACTCAAATGATATTGATTTGAAGATTTAAGGAGATGCTGACATGGAATTGATAAGCTGCCTTCAATGATTAAATTGAAAAATTATTCTTGAATAGCTGACTTTACTTTAGCGCGGAAGTATTTGGGAAGGTGTTCATGCATCAAAAGAAGGTATGAGAAGGAAACGATTGAGTAACACTTCAGCGAAGAAAAACGTGATGATACGGCGCACTGAGCCACTGTTTGTATTCCCCTTTTCGTCTTTACAGAAATATTAGAAAGGAAAAAAAAGGTGTAAAAAAGTCAAATAGCAGTGAAAATTCTAGCCACAAAATATTTTTATACAAGCTTTTGGAAATGTATTTCTCAAGTAAATTGTAACTCGTTAACTTACGGCTGGGAATCTATCTGAGATAGAGGCAGAAGGCAAAAATTCCTGAATTCGCAAGCGGGACTTGAGCGCAATGTTTAACGAGTGCGTTTGAAAATTCAAAAAGGTATCAGACGAAACCCCGAAAAAAAAAAACAGGAAAGGTATTGGCAAGGAAGGCAACATCAGCGAAACGGTGATACGGCAACATCACCATAATTAAAGAATTTTTTCTTGCTTTTCCTTTGAAAATACTTATCTCTGCCCTGCCACGTTGAGATGTGAGAACACTTGAGGTTTCCTCTGTATACTTCACTGGCGAATTTCATTGGTAGGTGATAATCAACGGCGGGAAGACAACTAAAAGGATCGGAAATGAAAGTTCTCAGTTGAGTGGGGTAACTCTACCGAAAGTGGATATGCGGCAAAAGTGGATTTGCTATTTAAAGCTCAAGGATTTTTCCTATGGTGAATAAAGCTCAAAAAGTAAGAGTCAGATCACGTCTTAAGGCAGTTTGCGGCAAGGAAATTTAATGTAAATTAAGGCGAGAGACGGCAAAGTACCGTCCCTGTTTTCAAATGATTGTAAATTTTAGAATAGATTTTTAACTCTCGGAGCATCCCTGTTTTAATTTTTTATTTGGAATGTTCTTTTAGTGTCCACAACTAGCTAATATATAGCTAATTACTCTGACGCTTAAAGAAAGTTCATTATTATTATTATTATTATTATTATTATTAAGTATAACATGAAAGTAGAATTAAGAACTGAAAAGAACTAAGAGGATTATTGTCCATGTTCTGCCGACTCTGTATTGATACAGTGACAGGCCATTTCATCCTGCACAGTTCTCAAAGTTAAAGTAACTTAAGAAAAGACATAAAAGTGTGCATTCATGCAAGTGTTTTTGGCAGTCTGTATGCAATTTACAAAAATTTTCATAATGTGAATATGTACACTTGCAATTATTTATCTCGTTTTCTTTTTATCAACACTCCAAATTATTCGACAGGTGACAATGCTTGGAAAATATTTATGTATTTGATGAAAAATGCAAAAAATCTGGACAATCAGAATGAAGCTATGAACCTAACTGGAGCTATACCTCAGAGTGCAAAGAGCGCTAAATTTAGCATAATTGGAATTGTAACCTTACAGAAAAATGAAATATTCAGTTATATTTAATAAGATTTTTAATGCCTCTCAACGAATATGACAAACGATAATGTATATCACGAATATATGATAGTGGTCCAGAATGGCGAGAAAACGTGATTTTGTGATCTTTGAAGATTACCGTGAGCATGATGAGTGAGTTCAGTAATAAGGGAAAACATGACCTAAACTCATTACAGGAAAAAATGTAGCTATTTGCTTAATAGTGAAAACAATACTTTTTTGCCTTAAAATTTGGCCTAGACGTGAAAAAAAAAAAAAAAAAAACAAAAAAAAAAAAAAAAAAAAACCACGCACAGCTTTGACGGAGCTTTGTTTTCCGAACTCCCCCTCTGAGTAATCATGCCAAATGTAGGCTCACGATTTTCCAACCTGTTAAGATTCTGTGATAATCCTTCCTAAACGTTTTCCTTTCTTCTTCATTACTAATTGGTTAAATAATGGAAGCAGCCGATGTGTCTGTATTGAATGGTTAATTTTGAGTACTATGGAAAATTGCCAATATCTTTGAGGCATGGGAACCTCATTAAGTACTTCAAAGTAAGATATTACTGACTGTTCAGTAACATAGTGATGAACTCCGGTACTCCGATATCATTACTTTTTGAATTTTACGTTTCACCGACTCACGCAACAGGCTATTTTCACGCTACAGACAATTGACATCTTGACATGAAAGCGCATATGAAAACTTCAAGGCCCGAATAGTTGTGTAAAGGGCGGATAACGCCGCTATCCTAGATAAATAGCTATCTCCTGGGCGGATAAGCGATTACAAAACTACAGTAGTGCACCATCTAAGAGTCAGAGACTTATGATCTCAGTTCCCTTTGAACAACCGGAACCTGATAAAAAAAAAAAAAAAAAAAAAGACAAAAAAAGTAATAACCACATAGCCGTAACCAAAAGAGAATTGTCACACTCTTGAAGAAACGAGTCATTCATAATACAAATAGACGCACAACTTTCTCTTATGCATATCACTTTTCTTAAATGAAGCTTATTGCTATGGCTTAACGATTAAGTCCTATTGTGATAATTATCAAACCGCACTAATAAGAGAGAGTGGAACTGACACGTGGAATGTTTGCCTCCGGATACCGTGTGTCTCGGGTATACTTCTACAAAAAGATAAGCTCCGATGAAAGCCTCATACTTGTTTTTCTATTAATATTACTTTGAAAATATAAGAACAACAACCAGCCATTTATCTGCCTTACGAACAACAGAGAACATGTAAATGGGTAACACGAATTGACAGCAATTGTTCAGAAAAAAAAAAAAAACGCTCAGAAATAGTGATAAACCTATCAAACTAAAGGGTATCATGTATTAAAATAATTCTATCATTATCAAAATGCATACTAATTAAAAATATTTAGAGATAGTCTTTGTAAAACTGACGAGTTTCGGGAAATATGAAGGGTTGCTAATAGACAAGAATATGAAATGTTTTCTTGTCAGAAAAGGTGTCTCTGTGGGGATGGGGTAAGTATTGTACATTGATCGACCGTATCACTCGCGGTAGAGAGAAAATTAACCTTGTACCCAAGTTTCTTCCGCGGCCGTGTCTATTTTGCTTGTTCAAAGCATAGCCAGAAAGAAGCGAACTTGGAAATTCAGGTACAAAACGCTCGTTAGTACATTCCTATGTAAAAGTAGTATTACTGATTCCTAGTATTGTATTGTGAATATAGCTTGTTGATTCTTTAATAAAATTCAGTTGAGCAATAGCAATGAAAGGAGTAACTTGACTGAGTCTAGACGACACAACAATAATAATAATAATATCTTGATTATCTTGATGTAGGTGCAAATACCGAGGAGTTCGGATGTGCTGAGGTAAGAAAGTCGGAAGAGTTGAAAGATCTTAAGGATTAAATTACCAGAGGTAAAACGCACGACAGAGTCTGTGGATTAACAGTCCCGTTTAATTGCAAAATTGAACTTTCCCAATAATATAATTTGCAATAAGTAGTGGAAAATAATGGCCAGAGAGATCGCAAGAATTTTGAAAATATTTTTCCAGATTGCGTTTTATAAAATTGTGCAGTATTGAACTACTGCCAAAGAGGTATGGCTCTATAAATCACCGAGAGATCAGAACTGATGCGATAAAAAGTACTTTTTGATGTTCAGCTGTGCTCAACCCTTATAGAACCAGCGACTTTGCTATGATATGTTAATCAAATTAAAAGAAAATAATCATTCAGAAACCAATTGATTTTTCTCATCCGCCAATGAAGAGGCATATATGAAAATTTACTTTTTGTTTGATTCTTGTTGTATTGACGCGTATTATCTTTGATGTTGAGTAAGTAACTCAAATAGTTTTAAACCAAACTAGGGCAGGTAGATATTTCACTCTTTTCGAGGTCGGAAGTGATGAAATGCGAACGGTTTAATTTTTAAAAAATGTCAGGACAAGGCCTGCAAATAACCAGTCTCAATGAAATTTTGATCTTTGGAAATCATATAGCACTGACTTAGCCGTCGGCTAACAATTTCGTTCTTTTGAGCCAAAACCTGACTTTTAAAGAAAGCAGTTTAACTAGATCTACCAAACTGCTTTGAGAGGAAACGAATGATTTTATACCTGTTCGTCAGCTAGTTTTGAGATACGAATTTTGAAGCCCTTGTAACACTGTTTCATTAAAAAAGATTAAGTATCTTGAGGCTTCGTTATTCTGTACTTTGGGCGTGGTCGAAATAGTCTCTCACTCAGCTGCCTTCTTCTCGAAGCCCATGGCTTTTTCCCTTTTTGTTTTTGACTTGTTTTGTAATTTTTTCTGTATTATGGATTGTGTACTGAAACTTTAAAAGAACGTACGAGAAACCAATTGGATAAGTTACAACACGGATGGAGCATAAACTTCAAACCGAAAGAATTAGACTTTTTACTCCGCTAGGTTGATTGATTTTTATATCATTGATGGAAAAAAAAATCTCTAAGCCAACTTACTGTTCTCTGTTTATTAAAATTGAATCACGTACATAGAACTTAATCAGCACGCCTACATCAATTTCGTTTTTATTCTAGATTGATAGTCAGTTATATTGGCTCGCGATAATTGGCGGCATATTTTTAATGCTGTTTATTCGTGTATTAGATAACCCAAATAGTTATCAAACCAAGCTAAGAGTAATATTAGCTCATAATAGCTCATAATCTCCGAGAACTCGGTGTAACTGGGAGGTCAGAAATGCATGAAATGCAAACAGGCTTAATTTCTTTTGAGAAAAACACGAAAAAAATTTAAAGAATCAATAAAACTATTGAACGCTTGATATTTGGAAATTAAAGCATTGGTTCAACTGTCAGCTGTCAATTTAGCAAGATAAGAGGTAGTCCTATCTTTTATGAATGGTGTACTTCAGGCATGTGTAAAACAAAGCAGTACACGTATTGAGTCACAGAGGAAGAGGTTTAGCTCTACCAATCCCCGAAGAAAGCTAACTCCTATAGCTAAGTGCCTTAAGAGTTTTAAGTGTCTGATTCAAAAACGGTTTGATATTACAAGCCAGGTTACCTGGCCTCGACCCCCCGCGCGACGTGTTACACCTCCCTCTTCCTTCTCGGTCTTCCAACTCTTGCTTGTTCACTTGGACGACACAGCTCTCACTCATGATTAGAAAAGTTTCTTATCTCGTAAGGTTTTACAGTAATTACCTTAAGCAAATATTTTCTCCTCAACGACTGAAACTTTAAAAGAACGTGTCAGAAGCCAAGAAGATGATTCACCACACAGATGGCCCGTTAGCACTGAAGTACTTGAACAAAAAATAAAATAAAATAAAACCGATAGGAATTGGCCGACATTTTTCCTGTCTGTTTATGGACTAGAAATATTTCACCTGAATTTCTGCCAACTTTCTATTCGTTGTTGTTTTAAAATTGAAAGACATTCGTACGTCTGCAACAGTCTTATTGCGAGATTGATATCCAGAGTAAGTCGTATTGGCTCGTCCCGATTTCCCGCCATTTTTGTGGTGTAGCCGGTAGATAACCCAAATAGTTATAAAACCAGTCTAGAGCTAATACAGTCTATATCACTGATAAGTCGGAACTACCGTTCCAAAGACGTCGGAAGTACTAAAATGCGAGAAGTTGAATGTTTTCTGGAAAATAACCCGACAGTTGCAAAGTTTGTAAATAAACAGTGCTATAAAACCATTGGACTGTGGCCATTTTGAATGCAATTTTTCAAAACCAGGAACTCAAACCGAACTTGGAGAATGACTGATGGGTTTGGAATAAGTATAAGACGAGTTAGTATTGGGCAACCGGGCCATAGAGGTGTCTCTTACCTAAAATTCTTCGATCCTTCACCTCACAATAACAAATGAATTATAAATAATCAATGAATAACTTTTGATACCATTTAATTAACTACTTTTTTAAAGCGGATTGGTTTTTTTTTTCGACGAGGGAGCCAAAAATTATTCCGTGCAGGATGCAGATATCCATCCCTAAAAACTGAAGAACAGTGCAGAATAACAACGTCAGTCGCGCAATCCTGTTGGCCAGAATAATTAGGTGTTAAAAATTAGCGAAAGATGAGAAATGTCGAAGAAAAAACGCCGAGTAGTAAACCGTGAGTATAATCGAATGTGAAGTGCGATCGATTTTAAAAGTCCGTAAAATTTTCAAATGTGAGTCAATCAATTACCTTTCGAGGAAATTTTAAAAGGAAAGAATTCGAGTGCTCTTGAGATTGGATATTGCCACTACACCGTTTTGATCGGATTTCCGTTTTTTATGAGCTGCTAGATTGAGAAAGTTTGTCTGCAACGCAGATCACAAATTGAAGAAAAAAATTAATGACTCGCCAAACGTTTCCCAGAATTTTGCCATCAAAGAATTGACCGAAAATTGCATTTGATTCTGTTCTTTGAAACCGAACGGACTCTGGGCATGCTAAACATATTTTAGCAATGCAATATAGTTCTATCTCTAGAAACCACTACTGACAGTCGATAATCAGCTTATTACAAAGGTAAATAAGACGTTATAATCTTCATTAGATTGTGAAGAGTAATAATTCTAGATCTTATACCTACCAGTACAAAAGGAGAAGAAATAATACTATTTACTCAGTCATACAGCAAAGGTAAATGTTCAAATGCATACGAATTGTTAATCAGTTGGAAATCGGATCAATTAAGGATGAAGTCCGTGCCCTCTTCACTTGAAAGCAAAACAACTTCGTGATCCATCAGAGGCTGACACCAATCAAATAAATTGAAATAAATAAAGGGGTAAGTTTCTAAAGAAACTGTGGTGCTGCGTCGGTGGGAGAGTATAGCGGGTAAATTAGTGTTAACAACTGGGTTGAAAACGTAAATCAGCCACCGTAAAGAGTAAAAAAGCTGACGTTTCGAGCGTTAGCCCTTCGGCGATTGACTTTTTTACTCTTTACGGTGGCTAATTTACGTTTTAAACCCAGTTGTTAACACTAAATTACCTGCAATTGAAATAAAAGAAATTAATCTTTTGCCATGATGAAGAGGAGGATAGTGGCAACTTTTACATCCAATAAGATGTTTTGCATTAACTACTAGGGTTGCGAAAGTAGGCGTAAATAGTTACACACAAAGGCTTGCACTCGACCTTGATATTGCTTTCTTCGCAAACAATGCTCTCTCCCTAAGTCATAATTAAGTTTTCATCACAAAGAAGGAAAATTCGCCGACGCGAGCGCTTGCGTGCTTCTGTCCTGTGCTGTTTACAAACACGATCTGCGAAAGTCTGGCGCCAAGGAAGCCTAGTCGGAGATAGAACGAAACCAATATCTTTTCACACTTTAATTCCGTAAAATTCATCGTTCGTTATTTAAATTCTGTACAAATGTAGACAAAAAGCATTTAACTGTAAATGATGTTTATTTGCTCTTGAATATTAAGATTTCGCTTTACAGACTCATTAGCACGTATGCTTCTTGAATGCCGAAATCCCAATATTACAAAATTGGAGGAATTGTTATCGATCCCTATATCTTCTCCTCCTTGTGGGTTGTTGGCGTGGCAAATACCGACGGATCCATCGCTTTTACTCAGATCTTTTTCGAGTTAATAACGGACGAGAAATTTACCGCATTTCATTCAATATAGGGATGTTATTGCTTCTTTGCACTGATCTCTCTCTTGCGACTCTCTTTTACCACACGCATAAATGTGTGCTAGAGCAATGTACATTTCGGATGAAACTGAAAAAAACCGTGAAAGCTTTTTACGTCTACAAGTTGTTTAAATGTTGCTCTTTGAGCCGTTAACTTTACTGATACACTCAGTCGCTCGTGGTTAAACGCTCACATCTTCCATCTTGGCGAGTCTTGACAAGGTTCCCTTTTTTCTTTCAATGAATTTGTAAATTAATGGCTGTGCAAGTATCGACGGTATTTGAGTCATGTACCCATGTTATTTTTAACTAATACAGCAAAGCGAATAGTTATTGGGCTGTATCAGCGTTTTTTTCTTTGACCAGCATAGTCGTAGTCAGTTTGTCCAATCACATCCTTGCACTCGAACTTCTTGAACCTCTTTTTCGACGTTCTCGTCTTCCTTCTTCCGTTATAGACATACCACGATTCAGGGCTCGCTCTTCGTGAATGGAGGCTAAATCTTTCTCTAATTTCCTTATACTTTCAAAATGCGTTTCAAATAGTTCGTTCTCTTTGATGGCTTCCAGGCTCGGAACAAATCTAAACTTTGGATACTTTCTCCTCTTTTTCTTTCGATGACGGTTTATCTTCGGGCTTTGCATCATACTCTGGTGAATGGCTGCCAAATCTTCGTTGAATTCGCACGCAGATTTTTGACCATATTTGAAGTCAAAATCAAAACCTTTCTCGACACCGAGTTCTTTCATGGTGAGAGGCATTTCATCGTACTGATGAAGCATCCTAGTGTCATCATGAAATATATTCCCTCTTTGACGCATTATGTTTTCGTTGACGGAATGCTTCGAGACAAGCTCTGTGTAGTTCAACTCTTCTAAAACAACTGATTCAAACTTACGGTTCCGTTGCATTTATGCCTAGCGACGCAGAACCTCTATCACGTCGCATTATTTAAAAAGATTACAGCAACGCCCTGGCACTCGAAAAGCGAAACTACAATATCGGCCGACATCCCACATGCCATAATTGGGCCTCACGTGAATCATCAGGACAAAAATAGTGAATGAAAATACTTAGTTCTGTAGTTTTAGTTTTAAAGCGGAAATCTAACAATTCAGATAAAATTTCACAGAGGGGGTCGATGTAAAAATGTAAAAATCAGCCAAAAAAAAGACCTTCTCAAAAGGCCAAGAATTTCTAGAAAGTGACTTACATACGTAAAGAACTTCCGTTGGAGGCGGCCATGAATTATATTGGTGAGCGAAGCAACTTCCAGTAGCTTGTAATTATTCACGTTTTGCACATTTTTTTCTATTGTATGCTGAAAGGGCCAACCGAAAATGTCTTGACTTACCTCAATCTTGTGGCTGATTAACAATTACTCATGTGTTATAAGCAATAATAACCTTGCAGAGTTGGGATTTACTGTCTTTATTAGAAATCTATAACGTTAGCAACACTATCAATTGCTACAAAATTAAGGAAAGAATACGCACAAAACCATAACAACGTCAGAAGAACAAGTCGCTATTGTTCACCGTTGCGGAAACAATTACGGAGTGTTTGTCTATCCGCTTTGTTTGTTGAATATTTGACAACTGGCCTCATTAGGACATGAAGGCGTTTGATAAATCACTCCTCAAAATTTGTTATTTTTTTTGTATGTGACTACCTCTTTGTAAACATTCGATCTTCCTTATAGAATGGACGGAGGAGAGCTTGATTTTGAATGTCAAACTTGGCGGTAAAAGGGTGAAACGGTCGTGAAACGGACACTCAGGAATTGTGAAGTATGACCACGAAAGTGCTGAAGAATGGTCAACCGCAGTAGAATTTGACGTTTAACAGGGAGATTCAACTCAACCAACTGGATCCCCCACTAAGTTCTCACGTTGTTCTAAAGGACGTGGCGAAACTTTTGAATTTATCTTTAGACTTAAGTTGAATTTTACATTTTGTCTTTGTACGTGTACGGATGTTTTTCGTCGTTTATGGGAATAAATAAACGCCTCGCTGGCTGTTTAGAATATGGGGCTTTTCGATTCAGTTCCGTAAAACCGAAACCTTAGTAATAAAGGAGGTCAAGCATAAGAAAAGAAAAAATGACGAGGAACTAGTAAGAACCCGATGTTAAACAAATGAATTTGGTTCTAACAACCGTATATAGGTTGATGAAATAAATTGGCCACTGTAAAGAGTTTCTAAAAGCTGACGTTTCTAGCGTTAGCCCGGCTTTCGTCATTCACTCTGACGAAGGGCCAACGTTCGGAACGTTAGCTTTAGAAACTCTCTTGAGTGGTCAATTCACGATATCAATTGATATCATCGAATTAACTTGTAACACCCTCTGCTAACGCAGCACCACAGTCCCCCGTCAAAACAAATGAACTGCTGAAGCACTGGAAAACGTGTGTGACCGAGTCGGGATCGCTTTTCAAAGTGGTTTGGTGTTTTGATTGGTTGGAAGATTGGCGCGAATTTTCTAAACCAATTGCGGATCGGATTGAAACAAAACCAATGCAATCCCGAATTGCGTCCGATACTTACTTGAAAAAAAAAAAAAAGGTTTTATTTTAGGTTTACGGAAAATAGGAGTTACTCATAGATAACATGAAACATATTGTTCTAGGAATTAAACGACAGAGGTCTCTTGTTACAACTTGATTCTTTTTTACCTTCGATTATATGCGACTATGATCACAATTCTGAGGTCTTTGGGGCAAATATAGATATAGTTTTATTTCATTTGTTTCAAGTCTATTCTGGAAATTATGACACATTAAAAAAAAAAACCTCAAACCCTTAGAAACATAAAAAACCCTGCCACGCCGCATCCACAAATACTCTTGACTTACACTTTAGGTTTGGTTTCCGGTGATAGCTACTATTATACTATAAACTAGACACACAACAAATGCGGAATATCGGTGCATTTTAGATACCATGGCGACTCTCTCCTTGCTTTTCAAGCCGAAATATCTGAGATTCAATACACAGGTTTCCAAAAAACAAAAAAATTTCACTCCTTACCTGTACAGAAATAGTTCCACAAATATCAGTGCGGAAAGGAATTACCCCAACACTTACCGTATCTATGGAGACTAGTAAGCTGAGACTCTTCAGATAAAGATCAAGGGAAAAACACCTCTCTTTTTCTGAACCAAGCCGACATGGCCGGTGAGCGGATAATGCGAAGAGATTGAGTCTGGTCCCTAATTTAAGCGATTATTCTCAGGTAATTCTTCATAAAGTGTTTTTAGCAAACTCCCTCAAAAAGTTCAAAATTTGACTCTTGAAAATTTGTTAATAGTTTCTTCTCATTCTCCATGAATAAAGTATGTAAAAAACACTAACCTATATGCCTGGAAACTTCTTATTATGTGTAACGAGGGATACTACACAAAATGATGCCTGTCTGATGTAGTTTTTGTAATTTAACTTGATTACACGAGACACTGATTTCAACTCTGTCCAGAGTTGTCCTATTTACCAGCAGGGCAAGTGGTAGTTTCAATATCTGTGATCAATTTTATGAAAAATATCATTATTTTGATCTGTAAAGCTTTGACCAAAGCGTGCAATAATATTATTGATCAGATAAATCTATTTTAAGATGGAAATATTTGCTCTCACGTTCTCACTAACAGGTTTTGAACTAATTAGGCATACAGTGGTACGTTTCGTCAGCTGATGATGTTTTTTAACTGCGGGGTAAATTATCACAGATAGTGTCCATAAATAACAAGCAGGCTTCTTTTATTTGTAATTGATGTCTTGGAAATGTCTTTTATGGTGAGCGGTGAAATAATTTTTCCTTATGTCTTAGGCTTTCTTCAACTGTTTTGCTTCTATTTTCTTTTTCGCGTAAAGAACACACGAATTATTAGGAAGGCGACAAATCGTGTCTAATAGTAGTGCGACTTTATGTTTGAAAAGAACAAACAACTTGCACGTGCCATTGATTTTTAAAATTTCGCGAACATTTTTATACTCAAGGAAACCTATATGCTTAAAATTAATACAATTTGACTCTAACAATGATTTGGTGTGCTCCGTAAGTAATAACGAAATAAACATTTCAGGGGTGGCTTCACCAAGTTTTAGAAATCGTATCGTGACCATAAAGCTTAAATAACTGAGAAAAAGGGCAGTAATCCTCAGTACAAGAGTAACTCCTACACTCCAGCAAGTAACAATTTAATAATCGTAAAATTCGAGTATTTATGACTAAGTCGGCATCGAAATAACAGTTCTTGAATGTCCAATACTGATATTGGTAACTTTCAGGAGTTTTCCGGGATTTGAAACAATTTTAAACAAATTTCAAAATTAAAAATATACTGAATTTCCATTCGAAGTCTTGTTATAACTCTTCAATAACGCACTTATTTGTGTGCCATACATGTTAACAAGGGCTGAGCTGGTAAAGTAGAACCGAATGAATAAAGGGGGTAAGTTTCTAAAGAAGCAGTGTTGCTGCGTCGGTGGGAGAATATAACAGGATAATTAACTATTATCAACAGAGTTGGTAATGTAGATTGGCCATCGTAAAGAGTTTAGAAACTGACGTTTCGAGCGTTAGCCCTAGGCCATCGTCAGAACGAAGAGTTGATACTAAATTACCCTGTTATAACCGAACAAACCTTGTCCCTTGTGTTATGTATCATTTAACAGTAAAAAACCAAGAAATTCACGCCACAGTTGGAAAGGAAACTTAACCCTGACTATAGCCCAAGCGTTCTATTTCCTTGAAATGTTCCTAAGCTCATATATCTTTCAAAAGAACTATTGTGTTGGGAATAAGGCACTGAGATATCTAAGAATTAGTTCTCTCATACTTTTTAGAGTGATGAGTGTGAATGAAATCGAAGCAGGAACGATTAAACCAATTACTTCTGTATGTTAATATCAAAAACGCGCATAGAAAGAAAACGATATCAGAAAGTTTCTGGATGTAGCAAAGCTAAAGAAGTAAAGATTGCCTTATTTCGATGATGAGATGTCTCAAACCGTCTATATATGGAAGGAAATTCGTACTTAATACTTTTTGCCGACTTTACAACAGTTTTTCTCATCCGGCATTCTCGCCGAGATCATAGGTCATTTTGAGTCCGTCATTTATCAGAACTGAAACAATTTACATAAAAGGATTGTTTGCTTTTGGCGAATTTCGCTGAACTCTCTAATATGACATAATCGAGCCTTCGCCAAAACCCTTGGCAAAACTTTGCTAAAATCGCCATGTTGCTATTGCGTGCATTACTGGACAAACAAGTGAAAATACAAGAAACAGGTCCATACGGAAGTCGAAAGCTAATATATCAGTGTAAAAATGACCAGTACAATATTGATTGCAGAGACTTCTTAACGCTTATTACAAGCACCTTGAAGAGTAACTTGGAAGACAACAAGCTAGTTTATTAACATAAATATCTACATGGCTGTGCTAACGTCTAATTCGCTAGAAAAAAAGATTAGAAAAGGAAATTACTATAATCAATACCACCACTACCATTACTAGCATTAGAAAAAGTAATGAAAATAACGATGATAATATATTTGTCCTTGAGAAGATATTTGGTGGAGGTCCGAGTCTTTCCGCTTTAATCTAAAAGACACACCCTGAACATAGAGTAATTTTCATAAGCTCTACGCCATCTAAGAGCCATATGGAAAATGAAAATTATCAGAGAGCCGATGTACCTAGACTTTTGTTCTCTAACGGTGCATGTTGGGTCGTCCATTGTTACTGAAGAAGATAAGGAATCAGCCTGCTCCAACTATTTTTCTGACAAAGCTCCTCTCCCAAGGACCTTTGTTCCGCCCTCGTAAAACAACTTCAAAACTTCCCTGTAAACGACGAACTAGCTGGAAACAGTTGCCATCTTTCATAAATTAAATTCATACACAAGTCTTTCGACATTTCTAATCTTTGCGAAGTCTCCTTCGCGGCCGTTACGTGTCACGCAACACTTTCCCCCCAAAAAAGGGAACTGATACTAGAGGTGTGTAGGGCGCTCTACCATACAGCATCATAACTTATTCGCGGGTCATTCTTTGCAGTTCAGCTGCTAAGGCATCCGATTACGAAATAGAAACTGTCTGGGATTGGAATCCTCTCCGGCTACTTGGAGTTTATGTGTCTTACTGGCGTGAAAAGGTTTCTCAAGCGTACCCTAGGGTGTCAAGTTATTGCGTAACGCCTACTCGGCTAGACATCAATGGATTAGGAAATACATAAATTACTCGAAACATGATTTATCTGAAGTAATTAGGATGAAGGTAAATTATGTCATCACCACCATTGTTTTCGCAACGTTTGTGTAGTCATAGAAAAGTAGCCCGCTTTACACTGTTCGTCGACTTAATCAATGTTTTAATTGCCAATCCACCGAAAGGCAGAAAGGGAGGTAGAAATTTAGTGCTATAGGTCTTTGCAAGGCTGTCGTTGTTTCTCATGCCAAAATGTATAATTCAGTGTTTTTTAAGCAGTTCTCACTCCATACGCAAATGTTCTTTTAATAAGCTCGTTGATTTGCGCGCGCGGGAATTATTCTCGAGAAAATAAAACACGTGTGTTAATCAAAATTTTGCGCACTGGTGACTAAGACGAATGCGCGTATTGCAAAGACAGAATGTAAAGCGATTAAAATTATCTCAAACAGCATGTGTCTTTCCCAACTAAACAGTAACTTAATGACTTAACCTCGGGACCTGAGTGTGATGGGGTATATTTTTCACATGATTTTTAAGCTTTAGGGAGCAAAGCTTACTAACACGAACACCATAAACAAACATAAAGTATGTAGGATTGATTAAACGTCTTTTGAGTGCTAACTTCTCTCGGTTGTTTTTACGGTAAAATAAAAAGGAAACAAGCAGATCCAGTGGCCTTGCGAATCAAGAAGTGGAAACTTTGGAAAGGTCTAGAAATTGTTGCGAAAATATTTCATGGTCCCTGCACCCATCAACAAATTGAATTAATCTCTGCCCGAAATAGAACCGCATATTTAATAGGATTTCCGTTTAGTGAATGACTTGAAGGACACTCAACAATCCACCTGAAATGTTCGAGCTATCATTTGGCGTTCGCCTGCTATATAAAAAGGGAAAGACATATAGTGCGTCTTACTCTTTCGTTTGCCACGGGAGAGGAAACTAACTAATTGACTTCAAGTTGAACGTGTTTCGGTCCGTTGTAAACAAAACAAGCTTTGACTGGCGTTTGATATATGATGATGCAGCCCCTCCCCCAAACACACCCCCGAGTATGAAACATCCACACAAACATCCATCGAAGAGAAAGGAGACGAATAAGGATCTTTAAATGGAATAACAACCAGAATTTTAAAGAAAAATGGTTCTGTACTTGCGTTTGAAAGCCAGAAAGAGAACGTTCTGAGAGAATCACCAGGCAGAAGAAACTTGGATATACGCCCATTTTGGCCTGATTTAGGGAAACTCGCATAGCAATATCATATTTCTTAACGAGAGGTTCCTGCATCCCGAAAGAGAAAATATTACTGATATTTTTCGGAGTCAAATCCCGGAAATGAGGATCGCAATATTTCCGTGTCAATTCAGGGAAATGTCTTCAAGGGATAGAAAAGGAATCCTCAGAAATATATCATGAACGGGAATACAAATGAAGTAAATTGAACAAATCTCTCGGAAAGTACAAACCCAGTTAAAGGGCGAACTGCAACTTTTTTTTGCCAAGTTTGATAAGATCCAAGTGAGGAGGAAAACAGAAATCGAAATTCTAGAATGCACAGTTTCGAATGAAATGTAAACACAAGTGATACTGGTCCTTGTGCCAATAAAACTGAACCCTAAGGCCTAGCAGTCAAGTATTACACTTTAAGCACACATATCGTCATCCACGCAACACAACAAGTCCTTAAATTTGTCATAATTCAGTTTAATGTTCATTTTCGACTACCATACATGTATTAACCCTTCAAAGGGAATAAAATGCTGACTTCGATTTCAAAAGTTAACCTAAATACATCACTAAAATCTTGTTTCACTTTCCCTCTTAAAATGTGCCACATAGAAATATATTTCAGGTTTTCCCTCTGATTACAAGTGAAGCGAGTTGTGTTAAATTAGCAAAAGTAAAGGCGAGCGAACAACTACGCAATACTTTTTTTGCAAGATATGCAAATATTGTTTGACTTAGCCTGAACTAATGCTTTTTATTTAACCTATTCCGTCGACGATTTTCGCAGTTCCGTCCAAACAAATAAAACGATGCTAATGTATAAGCGAAGTGAACACTTCTATATCATAAAGCATTGTTCCTTGTATCGTGGAATTTTCTTCCCGGAGGTTAGTTTCTTTTACGCTTGAAATTTACATTCGTCACGTGAGTCACTGGTGAAACTAACAAAGTTCCAGGTTGTCATTTGCAACAAGAGTTGTTTATTTCATCATCTTCCATTCCATGCGCTTTAGATCGCGTTTTCAAAATCCTCAAATCGTTCCTATTGCCGAGTCTTGGCAAAGTTTCTTTACTCTTCAAAGGATTCTCGTGTCCTGACACACAGCAAGCGCGACATGTTTTGCCGCTCGCTGTTGTCGATCTCATCGCCTTACAGTAAGGCGAGGTTCGCATCAAACAGAGTGTTCTCAATTCGCAGTTTAAGCGTTTAAGGATTGTTAGCCTCGTACAACTTGTCGTTTGCTATTTAGACTCTTCCGCTTGAGCTCCTAGAATGCCTTTTATGGCGATGGCGGCGACCTTCCTCCTTCACAGCCAAGCCACAACTCAGGGCACGTTCACGATGTATGGCGGCCAGATCTTTCTTTTCGTCCTCAAACGTTAATTCAAAGAGTTCATTCTCTTTAATGTCTTCGAGACTAGGCACAAACGAAAGTTTCGGATATTTTCTCCGCTTGATCCTTCGGCGACGTGTCCCTTTAGGATTTTGCATCATGCTAAGATCGATGGCTGCAAGATCCTTATGAAAATCCACGGCAGATTTCTGGCCGTATTTGAAGTCGAAATCGTAAACTTTATCAACGCTCAGTTCCTTCATAGTGAGCGGTTTGTCGTCGTGAAGAAGAACCACAGGTGAATCTTCGTGTAGAATCTCTGTTTTGCACATGACTTCGTAATTTTCTCCTGCTCTCACACTAAACTCCGTCCAGCTCAAATGCTTTAAGACAACTGATGTAAAATAATTATTAGGTTGCGCTTTACACTCAAGCTCTACGCGGGCGTACGTGCTCGCAATTTTAATTAGATATTGAATTTCAAATAACAATCAATAATTCAAAACATGCTTGCACCGCCAGCCAATCACAGTGTCGTTTCTTGATGGGTCGTGCTATTTACTCTCGTTCAATAACAAAAGACATGATAACATCAAAACACTTGATTGACCCACAAAGCAACAGAGGTCGGCCCATTTTTATCCCATTTAGATTTGATTCTGTTCGAACAATGCAAAACATGCAGATTCAATATTCGCCCAAACTTGCTTCGATCGTCTTTCTGAATTTATTGATCCAACAGATTTTCTAAAATATCGCTGACGTGCTCTCAATGCAATTCGGTTGTGCGGTGAAGATTGACACGTCTCGGGCGAAGAACAGCCCTAAATCACTCATCTTGCTTTTGTCTTGACACTTTGACAGATCACGATTCACGTCATCCGGTTTTGTTGGCGCTGTGACAATCAAGTCTTAAACTTATGATCTCAAAAATCCTCAAAACAGTAACCTAATGAGGACTCTTGCCGGCTTTAATCGAATTATTTTTGCTCCCGAAGCATTTCAAGCGCTTAAAAGCTCCAACATCGGGTAACCGATATTGGACTGTGGTTGTATTGTAAATGTTGGAGCAGACCGAGCTCAACCAAATGTAAACAGACACCAATCAAAATAACTTAAGTTACAGATGAAATTTCAAGTCCGTTGTAGAGATAATTATGAAATGTGACGGAAAGCTTTAGCAATTCAAAAAATAAGAAATGCATAATTCCATCTACTTATGAAACCTGTTTAATCTCTTACGATAAATGAGAAAGCGCACGACAAATTCGATGAACTGTGACCCAATCGAGACGACAGAATTAGAACAAAACCGCACCCTCGCCAGTTGGAATAACCTCTTGCGAAAGCGAGACAAATATGTGATAATTCATTGAATCCGTAGATCAAAAATAAGTGTCACCCTCGACCTTCTAATGGAAGTTGAAAGGTATCTGGCGATCAGTCTCGCGAAAAAGAACATTTTGTATATTCTAAGTGCTCATTGTTTAAAATTCCGGAAATTGTGTGAGCTGCAATGGACAGAAGATAGAAGCAGAAGTTTAATAGCAGGAGCTTTTCCGCTACAAATACGCTCGAGAGCGTTCAAGCGAATCACATCCTTAGGACAAGGTGTTTCATGAAAGGAAATATTAATTCAACCACAAGAAAGGAAGGATAAGGATTCATTCAAATCTCAACATGCGGGTTGAATTAAGACAGTAAAAGTACAACTTGCTTTGAAAACAAATAAGAAAAGTATCTTTCAATTCTAATAACAGCGCTCGTAAGGGGTCCAGGAAATTAAAAATTCTAAACACAAGCCTGAAATCGATCAGATCACGTAAGATCAGAACTTGATAAAGGAACCGAGTCGAAAACAGTCTTAATTGGATGTGAAAGTTTTCACAGATTCAACAGAATAAGAAAATCACACTTATTCTCTTGATGCACGGACGGTTGTTATTTTTTTTTCAAATTTTCAATTAGGAAGTCAAGATTTAACCAAAGCATGATAAGAAAGTAAGTTGATGAAAAAAATTGTTTCAAATAAACATCATTAAAACCAATCAACCCGTTTAAGTCTTTCTTTCCTTCAGGGCAATTTCCACAAAGAAATAATTTCATACGAAAACCAATTAAAAATTAGATGTTTTCTCACATGAAATGAGGGTGACAATCGAGGAACTCACGTGCGACTTTCTGAACACGTATGAAATTTCATAAAGAACAGGGAACTACAGTTAAATCAAACACCAAAAAAAAATTCCTATGTTTCCGTAGACGTGTAGAAGTGGTTAGATAACTCGATCAAAAGGAATCCCCTTGAAAGTACGTGCATCCACGCATACCTTTATGTAAAATTTGAGTCCTGATTACTAAACATCGTTATTTCTTGGCACCCAGTCTACTAAGCTGTTCAATAATTGGCACCCGTTCTCACGATATAAAGATTATTTTTTAATATGCCCTAATTTTTTAGAAGTGATTTTCCTACTATTTCAACATGGTTGGAAAATAGTTTGCGATACACAAATAAAAATAAATCACGTAATTTTCAACTTTTAGGAATTTTTTTTCCGTCACGTACACATACAATCAAAAGAACTGCTTCGTTCATAATTTACAGGGGATAAAGGCTTAGTATCACGTAAGTTTTTCACTGGTAAGAGTTTCACTTCATAGATATTTTCGGGAATTTTAAAAAATGATAAAAGACTAATGAAAACAGAACCTTTTTTTGGAATAAGAATTACCTCTGCATTTGTTTATAAACAAAAACCTGATGAAAGCTTTCGATGAAAAGTGATTTTTATGCTGCATTATTCATCAAGGATAGTCAACAAACAGAGTGAGACTGTGTCCTGTATAGGACTTAACGATTGCCATTTCAATTAGCACGGCTATAAAGAGAGAATGAAACAGCTTTCAGTCGCTCAGCGGTCACAAGTGCCAAAAAAAATGAATAACTAAAAACAACAGAGATATTTCCTCTCAGGGCACACCGCAAAGCATGTTTCGCGCGCTCACTTATTTTTGGCGCACTTGGATATTTATTTCAAGTAGAGAACACTGCAGCAAAGCTACTGGTTTATCTATATTTGACGATTTTTTTTTATGATAAACCGCAGTTGTGAATGCTTGTTTTATTGTTCTTCACAAAAAACTAATACTAGTTTAAGCCATGTTTTCCAACACGCTCCCTACACCTCACACGCTCAACCTTGCATGCTCTCAAATGGAGGCACGTCCCAGACTAATAATTTAGTAACTTGGTTAACTTCATAGACATCCTGCCGTTCGGTTTGAAAGTTCCAAATCACTAAATTTCAATAGATATTGATGTATAATTCTGTTTTCAAGACTTTTTGGATATTTTGCGCACCTTACTTACAAAGGATGTTTGATGTTAGAATCCTCTAGGGATTTTTTCGGTTTGCGAACACAAAGGACTTTCTTGAACTTTCGAGATTTTCATTTGTTTAGTAGGCTGGTTTGGTTCCTTCATCTGGCTATGGGCACTAACTTAAAAATACTATCTTTCAGCCGGCTGGGCTGCTCTGGTAAGCCTGGCTGCAACGGGGAAAACCACGAGACCCCGCGTTCTATTCGATAGAACCAGTGTATTTGCTTGATTAAAGGCTGTGGAGTTATCACATTTCCATCGTTTTTTATGCAATCTTTCAGGGGTAGTGTTGATTTCAAACTCATATTTCTTAAACCACTTAAAACAATCGCAGTAAACAATTTTCAGGTGCAATTACAGAAAGTCCATACAGGAACTTAGTACCGAAAACTTCACAAAAACAAATAAAGGTATTTTTTCTTGCCAGAAGTGTTGCTTGTGTCGTTCTTATCCAAAATTGGCGACTTCAAGCTATTTCAGAGATTTTTCTCCAGTCAAGTCTTTTGTCGTCTTCAAGTTAGACTCGAATGGAGGAAATTTCTCAAAATTGCTTGAGGTCGCTAATTTAGGACAAGAACGACACAACCATCACTTCAGAAAAGTAAAAACTTTCTTTATTTCTAGGAGTTCGATACTATGTGCTTGTCTGGGATTTCTATAGTACCATACAACCGATAGAGATGTCCGTTTCAATGTTTTGCACTTTTTTGCGGCGATCGATTCGTATTGTCTAGCCTGTGATGCGCTAAAAAAAGATGGGGCTGGTTAGCAAGTTATACCAAATTGTTATTATTTTTTTCCTAAATTTCTCGAAAAAACACAGTATTTTATGCGAGGACTGCGCTCAGTCGAGTAGGTGCTTTAAGTTTAGCATTGCAATATCCACTTATTTAGTCTTTGCTTCTGCTACCGAGTTGAAGACAGGTGAAAATAACTAACAAGAGATTCGGCGGTTGTAGCTGTCATTAACACCGCTCCGTGGTGATTAAACAGAAAAGAAAACGAGTGCAGAGCCGTCTAAAATAGTTGAGCTGTTCATTCAATTAACTTTGCATATTCGATTGCAAAAAGATCGGGATAAAATGCGTTTTCAACAGCTTGCTGATTTTAGTAAGTCCTTTCTGTCAAAGAGCGATCACATGACAGAATTGTGACGAAGTCGATAGGCAGTCGGTTTTAGAGCAAAATACATCAAACATTCAAAAATTCTATTAATTTCCAAAACGGAAAAAAACAAAAACCCGAGAACACCTTGAAATACACTTAGCCCTTTCTGGAGGGGAAAACGATTCCAAACTAAAGCAGCGGCGGATAGCTGAGTGATTTTACAGTGGAGTCAAGAAGAAAAGGAAGTATTGATAACTACAATTAAGTTGTACAAGGCCGTTTACCTGTCATAATCTGAAAGCCCTCGAAATCATGCAGCTGGCTTTGGCAAAATCTAAAGAAAGAAAAAAGACCATTAGCTTGTGCCTACTTTTCCTCGACAGTTTTGGGTTTTTTTTTGACCTAGAAGTCTGAAAACAGTTCGATTACAGACAGCCGCCGACCAATTCCAAGATCTGCATTCGTAATACTATTGCGGTGACCATCTGTTTTGGTAACGTTTGGTAAGTTATCCAACGTGTCCAGTTAGTGAGGCTTTATAGGCGAATAAACTACCTCGCTATCTCATATTAAAGAGGTACTTTTCAGTACTCGGTACAAAATAACCAAAATCGTATTTGCTCGTAAACACAACCAAGCTGTCTGGTCTATTTGCAAATACACAACATTACACAATCGAACCTTATAAAAGGGTCATTTATAAACAACGCGCTAATGACTTCTACGAACGCTGTAGAAATCTCACCTTGAGTCATTGTGCATGTTCCGTTACTTTTTGCTATGCAGGAAAGGATTAGATATAAAACGAGCTGGTTATAGTAAGAAATGTAGTGTTCATTAAAGATTCATGTGATGTAATCTATGGTACATTTCTTGATAATCACATGGCTCAGTGGGCTTGTACGGGAAAAAACGTGACTGTCTAAAATTGACGCGTGAGGTGTTTTTAGAGTTACACTTAGCGATAACATAGTACTGTTTCTGGCTTTAGTTCAAATTTAGTCACGCTTTAGACTTTTATAACCTACATAACTGGCAGTTTTTTTTTGGCCGCTCGATGAAAACACGTTGACGAACGGGTGGTGAAAATTGTGAATTCACAGTTTTCTAGCTTCACTGTTTTCCATTCATCTCGCGGATTCGCCGCTCTTTTACGTGGGCCCGCGTAAGTCACGTGGTTAGCGGGTCGTCGAGCGGAATAACGTGGTCAGGGGTGGTGGCGTCGGTGTGCAACGTGAGGTTGTTGTCATAGCTGCCCTCAAGCCCCGACCGAGTTCGCACTCGCTGATTATTAGTGTTTTGAACATTTCTTCAAAACTGAGTATGCTCCCAGTAATTCAAAGACTTAATTTATCGATTTTCGTCTGGATAAAAATTGGATTATCGTTGCCAAGTAAAAAACGTAGATTTATCGACTCATGAACCTACTGTATTCATGGGACTAAGGTACAAAGATAGTGACAAGAAAAGGCGACTGTTTGGAAAACAGCTATGCTGAATAAACAATGTTGCTCGCATCGTTTCTGACTGGTTGCAGAGAGTTGGGTAAGGATCCTTGATACAAAACGTAAGATTTATTATTGAGTCAAGTTCGAAAAATTTAGACGCTGAATTTTATATTTTATATCGAATAATATAAAATCACTTGCAGTTTGCGAGATCTTAAGAGGTGTTGCTTCTGTCTTCATACCGTACAACGGATCTCCTTCTCTTGTTTTTTTTCCTGGTGTAATGGCGAATGAGTTCTTTTGTTTGCCTGACTTTTTGTTTTAAGCAGTTCGTGTGAGCAAACTCAAGCAAGCAAGAGAAGGAAAACCTCATACGTGCTTCCGATTTTTTTTAAGGCTGTGGTTGTAATAAAAGCTCTGACACGGTCTCATACAGAGGTACAGAAACGTGAAAACCGAGTCTCTGTTTGACATTCCGAGCTACCTGTAGCTGCTTTTAACGTATACCTGGCGCCCCTGGTGTGGAATGTTATTTGTGGCGAACATGGCTTTTCTCGCTGGGTCTCTTTACGATTCGAGTGCATAAATATGTTCGGGTCTAAAACAGAAGTAAGAAATGGAAAACTCTGGAATCAAAAGTGATCTTTAACAATTGATTGAAACCAACCAAGGGTGAATTATATGGAAAGTGTTAAGTTACTGTCTATAAATAATAGTCAACACTTCAAACCATATCTGATTTATTAGCAGAAGGCAGAATGGAATAAGTTGAAGCTGAATAATTGTGCAACCAGTCGGTATATGATGCATCCACAGATGCCACAAGCCTAGCTAGATCGTTTACACAGATTTTTAAGGTTTGCTAAGACACGGCATAAGTCCAATTAATTAACAGCATGTGGCTAAAAGGACATATTTTTATAGACTTATATTTAAACAGAAAATCTATTTATATTCTCCACGCCTAATCAATTACGTTGACTGAAGACAGGTTACGTCTTAAATAAGGCACGTACGAGTGGAACGAGTCCTTGAACATGATGAACACCGATGGCATGTACTGGAGGCGAAATAATGAAAAAGCTTGAAGATGTTGTTTCAAGTCTGAGTTTAGACGTTTTCGGTAAAGAAGGTGGCACAGTAAGACAGAAAATCATGTGAAATCCTTCAAAGGGAGTCGGGAGGAATGGTTGGTGGATCGATGAAGAGCAATAAAAGGATGAGAACTACCAACCGGGTCTGTTATCATTCCTTTATCCTACAAATTCACACTTAATATTTAAGCGAGAGAACAAAACATTCACACTGCGGAATCTGTCAGGCGTTTTATTAATTCAGTTTTTTTCTATTCAGTGATCTATACAAAACCATCAATGACACAGAGTACATGAGTCCAACAAAGTCATAAGATTTAGATGACATCATGAATAAGCAATTTTTCTACTCCAAATAATTAAAAACCTTCCTTGGGAGTAAAGAAGAGAGACTTCATTCGAACTTTCTTTTTATTAGTTCCTGAAAAATTAAAGAGCCAAGGTAAAAGAATAAGGAATTCGATAAACTCGCCGACATCATTGATTTTAAATACAACGGTGTTGTACGTGCGACATAAAAAAGAAGTCAGACAATTTGGACGTTGTCCACATTAACAAACAATTATGGTTAAAGTACAAAATTAATCGATTTTGACACAACTTGGAAATGCTTTCAAATGGAAATTGCACACTTTTTTTCTAAAATCAAAACGCTTCAAAGTAAATTGAGTAAAATTACCGAAGCCCTACATTTTAAAGGAAATATTCTGTATGGTTTTTCATTATTGTGCTATACTCCCTTAGTCTATAAATACCAACAAGTCCGTCCTTATATAGTTCCTGCGTAGCTTCGGTATTCATGTAGCCTCGTACGATGGGTGAAATAAATATCAAGGAAGAACTCATCGCTTTTCTCTACGTGAGACCAGTAAGGAAGTAACTTAGAACGGAGAATGTCAGTCAGACCGACAAAAAACGAGGAACTACGTTTGCATCACGGTCTTCACTCAACTGAAATATCACATCTGTAGCAACAGACCTTTACAGAAAGGTCTCGATGGCTTGTTCAAAATATTTTTCGATCTGTTCATTCTGGACGTTCATCTCAATGTTTTTCTTTTTAATTACATGCTGTGATTTCTTATTTTCATCTCGCTGACTGACTGGCTATGTCGTGTAATCTTTCTACTATCGTTCTAAAATGACCATTCGATCTTGACGTTCGAGTTCTGTTGGATAACTCACGTCTTTGTTTTGTACCTGTAAAATGAAAAATTCATTTCAGAACGCAATTTTGAATCGCAAAAAACTGCTTAAATTCATCTCAGTAAGAAAAATTTTTCTAAAAAAGTAAAACTCAACCGACATCATTGTGGCGCTTAATCACTAAATTACTTACTTGAAGCGCAGCTGTCCTGACATTCTTTTAAGCTGCCGAACTTATTATCATTACCCACGCAGCTGTAGTATTTGAACGCCTGGCACATGTTGGTAGAGGGGTCAAAATAGTATTTCAGTTCTTCCGTGCTACATTTATTACTTCTCCAGACACTCGTGCAAATGACTGCACCTTCTCCTGAAAAACAAAAACACGGCAAAATGTCGGATGATACGTACTCCAATCTGATGTCGTTTTTTCTTCTTTATTCAAACCATTTCCTTCCATTTTTTCTTTCCTTTTTTTCAACTAAGCAAAAAACACGTACGAGATTTGAAAAATAATCCTGCATTAAAGTTTTGCTCAGTAGCGTTTATTTGTAAGTCAAATAAGCGTGAATTATGTAAGTAAATATAGAATTATCGTGATTCGCGAGTACATGAAAGACATAAGCTTAGATATACGAAAATTTATCTTCAATAATATATTTCAATCTTATCATCGTGAATAAAATAAGAATTCACCGAGTGGAAACATAATTCTCTATGGTGATTAGTTGTAAAAATAGATTTTCTTTATGGCAGGGCAATTAAGTATTTTCGGAGGCTGAATAGTGAAGGGGCTTAACTATTGTGCATTTGGCTTTCTACAGTTAACGAGTAACGTAGATAGGTGCAGACATTGACACGTGTTTGGAATATATTTCCAGTTTTGTGAAAAAAAAATTCCGATCGTGTCAGCAATCGCAGATGAAAGTAGATTTTAAAACTTTAAGCACATCTTACAGACAATTTATCTTGTCTCGACACATAAGAACGTCTGTTTTGAATCCAGGACTTGGTGGATGAAACGAGAATTGTTGCCCAAAATTTTGTGACCGTAACTAAGACCTGTGATGTAAGATGGAGCATGGATAATCAATGGTTACCAAATGGAAGGAGGGCTTCTACGTGGGCGAGGAAATAAGAACCGACAGATTTGATTTTTTAATCAAACATCTATCGATTAGCCAACGTGAGAGCAATAGCCTTTTAAGCTGTTTATAAAATACACTCCGAGCAATTTTGGTTGCAACCTCACGAGAAGTTTGCTTTTTCACTCAGTTTGTAAATGCGCTCCTAATACCATTAAATCTCTCCCAATCCCCTTAAAATTGATTGAGAGAGAAGTTTGAGACAAGGAAGGCAAAGACAAGAGAGCGTTTAATCAACAGCAACTCTTTAGTTGTTTAAAAATTGTTCTCGCACCTATACGAAAACAAAAAATCTTTGGAGCTAATTTAAAACACATTCATATTTTTAAGGTGCCCTGACGCTGAAGTAAAATCAGTATTCATGTGAATGCGATATATTTAATTCCCTAACACAATAGACGAAAACTCTCGAAGTATTACGGTATGTTTTTCATTATGTTGATCGAAGCAACACAAACAGCTAACACAACGTAAAATGAACGTTGGCAAAATGGAGTTTGTAGTAAACATCACTTGGCTCTCTAAACAGAAATATGAAAATCTTAACAGTTGATTTGCAAATTTGTAAGTAGTGATTCTATTTCCAAAAATAATCAGCACAACTAAAAAATGGAAAATAAAATGCTAAAGCAAGCTTTCTGTAATCATCTTCAAGCGAATAATTAGCACTCAAACTAAGGTGTCAAAAACTGCAATGATCATGAGCGCAAGAGAATTTTCCAGAAAGGAAGATAAACAACTTCTTCTAAAAGACATCATCGGAATACTAATAAATTATTATAAACAAATACGTTCGTTTCCTTCCGCGATGCGACAAGAATAATACGAAAGTGAGAATTTACGAGGGTCAAAAAACCGGCGACAAGGCTGATGTGGGAAAAGAAAAACAAGATTTACTAAATAAAACCAAACCCGACACAAGTATCTACAGTACCGAACCACATAAACAAATCAAAACACCGGATCAATATCTTTTGATCGGGGTACTTTTGTGTCACATAATCACATCCTTGTCCCACACAGTACGTGCCTCAGCCGCAAGGGAATTGTAAATATAATGACAGTTAGGTATATTGCACGCATCTTTTGTTCGTTTCTCATGAATTTCGAGTGTCCGTGATTCTACTTAACACATCTGCTTTAATAACTTAAACAATGTTGACATAATTAATAGAGGTGAAGAACAGCAAAAACGTGACTGTCCTGCCTTATAATATATTCCAATTGATTTTGGCACAACCTTACTTCATATGCAATCATTTCTTGGTCAGATGAGAGCCTAAACATGAACAAAAGCACGTATACACCTTTGAGAAGAACAACCTTACTTCATATGCAATCATTTCTTGGTCAGATGAGAGCCTAAACATGAACAAAAGCACGTATACACCTTTGAGAAGAACAACCTTACTTCATATGCAATCATTTCTTGGTCAGATGAGAGCCTAAACATGAACAAAAGCACGTATACACCTTTGAGAAGAATTCCAAAGTTTTGTTGTTGCCGAGTAGTCGAAAGTCGATTAAAAAATTTTTAACCGTGATGTTTTCGTGTTGTGTCCACTGATAAAGCCAGAATAAGTCACTCATTGTACTTTTTAATACCACCACAGACAAATAAACTTCATGATACAAAAACATAAATATTTTTTACTCTTTGGTTCTTGAAAGAATGAATGTTCTGAATTGGTATAAGTACAATAAGGTTTATCTTGATCATGTCGTAACAAAATCCAAGAGGACAGAGACACGAAATTAGCTTACCTTTCTAATTTGATCTTGAAAAGACAGACTCTTCAAAACTCCTCTACCTTTTTCGCTCAAATCATCGGAGCATTGCATATAGTAGAATGCAACGAAAAGAAAAGTAAAGCAATCGAAACAGCCGATCAGCACGAAGGTTTATCGTCCAAGCTGCCCACGAAATCTCCAAGTAAAAACAAGCAGATTTCACAAAGCCAGAATGTCGCTTGTGTTCACGTAAAAAAATCTATCGCTGTTTATAGAGTCTATAGGCTACTTACTCTTCAAAAGATCAAAGAAATGACATCACAGATACGTCTCGAGGAAGACACGGAGTCTTTAATGGTTACTACGCAGTTAAATTCTATTTCCCAAAATATGATTTCATTCACATAATTGCAGGACTGGAGAAAAGCGAGCAGGAATTAGACCGCCATAGCGGCTGAGGTAATTTCCGTGATAGCGGTTAATTCGGGGTAAATGGTTTACAAGTTATACTTTGTTGTGACGCAAAGCAATCTCTCTCAAGGTTCTGCTCTCAAACATAGAATGTTTGAAACGTAGACTGAATACTCTTGTGGTTATTTGCGGATATTTTCCAAAGGGCACTAATGTTAACGGAATGTTGAACATCCGTTTGCGTTGTGACGAATCTGTTTTAATATTAATGTTGAAGAATATACGAAACAATTCCTATGAAAAATATGAATAAAATATTCGTTCAGCTCAAAACGTGAGCGATAGAAAATCTGCTTACAAGGAAGAATTCAGTGACACACACCGCAACATTTAAGGAAGAGAAGAACAATGTCAATTGGTAACGAAGAACCTTTTCAAAGTAAAAGGATTATAAGAATTCTGTATTTGGAAAATCAATTTTCACGCATATCTCTATAAAACATCAAGTCGAATTTTTAAATATTTTGCCGTTTCTATTAGCAGTTAATAGAGGCTTTAGATGCACGCGGCATATATGAAGAACAATTTATCGCGAAAGAGAAATTTTCGATCAGTCAAAACATCTCAGTACGGAGAGATGTTAGCTATCACTTCTATATTTACAATATTTTCAGCATTCACTCGGAATTATCACGGAATTTTCTGAATTTATCTAACAACTGAAGTAAATTAAAAGGGAAACAGAGGTAAAGTGTAGGAAGCCACTTTCATATCAAATTCCTTCATGTCGAATATAGCTAAAAGATAGAGCGTAAAAAGTATTTTATACCACAATTACGCCATTTTACCATATTAGGGCACTAGAACGGGGAAAATATGCCACGGCATTTCACTGTCGAACAAGGAAAAGTGAAGCAACAAAATGGCCTCTCTGAACGATCCAAACTTCGCTTCAGATACAACGAGCCTTTGACCGCTCCAACACTTTATGCCTGCGTTTGTGTAGTCCGTATTTCGCGCACGCCTTATGAGATCAGTTCGAACTTCATATGAGGCTATAGGATGCATCTGGAAGACTAGAGCTTTAAATTAGTCGAATAAAGAAATTCCTTATTCGATGGTTAACATATAATACGAGCGGACATTTTTTACATTGTTCTCATTTTTCCTCGCCCCTACAGAGCTTGGAAAAATACTGCACAAAATATCCGCCGCATTATAGGTTCGACCATCGATTGACGTGTGTATATTGTTAACGATTGACAGAGTCAGAAAATTCGAGACAGAGAATCGTGTGCAAATCACAATCGATAGAAATTTCTTATTGAGTATAGGCGCCAAGATTCCGTTATTGTCTCTATTCGTATTTTTCGATTTTTGCCCAGTTTAGTTTTCGCGTTTTTATGCCTTTGGTTATTTAGTCTTCTGTTTTGTATGATAGATCTTATTCTGCATCTTGTATGTCTTGGTTAGTTTTATTTTCTGGTAATTCAGGATGGTTCTCCGTCTGTTGAAGTCTAGTTAAATAGCTGCTTGTTTCAGACTTAATAATATTTAATGGCTTCGCTTTGCTTCGCTTCGTTTCGCTTTGTTTTGTATTGATTCGTTTGCTCTTGGTGGTTAGATAAATTTCGCGCGTAAAGACGTATGTGACAACAGTAAATGTAGCTTGTTCGGAATATACACTGCGAGTTTGCTTTTGATACACTTAAATTTATAGTGTACATTTAACGATAGAGTAGCCTTACAACTAGTTTTAAAATCTTACTTCACTTTTCCTCTAAATGTAGTTGTCGCATTTTGCTAAAATTCAATACATGAAGGCTTACATGCTGAGATGGAACGTGACTCCACTCATCAAGAAATTCACCTGGAGGTACACGAAGGACATCAACGTGCGACTTTGCACGTCTAAATCAAAATCAAATACCTTACATCGTGACTACTAGAGCGCCAAGGACACTTGTCCTGGCTAGACAAGAAAACTCTTGTTTCATCGATATTTAAGACGAACATAACTTAATCTCCAACATTGGCCATCACGTCCGCTGGCAAACGTTTGTGGAATTCATGGTTAGAGGTCATTGGAAGAAAGAGATTTGGGCCAGCTTCTCGTGGTCATTCATGTACTAATACAACACAAAGGCTCACACCATAAAACCGACGACTAATGCTTCTTGTATCAAAAACCAGGTGTAAATTTTACATCAAAATTGGCCAATAAAACAACTTAAACATCAGTTCAAAGTGTTTTTTCGCTCTATGTTATGTCTAACCAGGTATCTGTTCTACTTGAGCACGTGCCTTCGATGTGATGTGATATGATACGGAGACGTGAGTTGTGACATGAATCCGCTATCAGGATACATCAAGGAACTCAGTAAAAATGAACAAAAAAGAAAAATCCAGTAGTATTTCAAAAAACATTTTACGGTCACAGAGTGGTTCGTTTCTATCAAATACAATACGTTGGCACAGACACCTTCCAGTTCTCTCGAAATAAGTGGTGGACCAGTGTTAACACGTAAGGTGGCCATCCAAACATGGATCTACACACGCACAAGAAAACTCGCAAAAAACGCGTTCGTCCTGAACCAGTTCAGTCGTTGGAAGTTGGACCAAGACTTAAATTTTGGGTAGAATTATGTTCCGCACTTAGGTGTCGATGACGTTCCGAAATAAGAGCTTCAAACAATTTCTTTCATGTAGGAAATTTTTCTTTTATTAAAGGTATCATACGAATTAAATCTAACAGTTGAGCTAAAGGTCGTAAAAACGGGAACGAGTGAGAGTGCGGCTATCCAAACATGGATCTACAAACGAACACGCACGAGAAAACTCGCAAGAAACGCGTTCGTCCTGAAACATTTCATTCGTTGGACGATGGATAAAGACTTATACGAATTAAATTTAGCACAGTTAAACAAACGGTCGTAAAAATGGGAAAAAATATATGTAATAATAACTAAAAATCAAACCGTATAACTGATGTTTAAGACCTACCACAAATATTTTCGCATTCTGCAAAGCTCGACGAGCCTTTTCCCAGCGAACAACTACTCTGTATGTCCGATAAATAATTAACACAAGCTTGAGTCAGGGTGTTTTTCTTGGGTGAAGAAAGAGCATCTTTTATCTCAGATAAACACGGCCCGTTATTTGGTGGTAGTCCACAAAGATTCCCTGCAAAACAAGAATGACCCGAAAGATAATTATGTTTGCTTGACAAACAAAGGGGGACTTGACAGGGGCACATATTTCTTTACGTTTCGTGTTGTGTTAGAAAGGTGTAGCGTTGGGGTTTTACTCGTACGAAATGAGGTCCAGTTTAGATTTCATGTAAATGGTCTGAAACTAGTCTCTTCTGATATGAAAAAGATAATAAGGTCTCTTGAAAATGTGGTTTCAGTTTGATAGTAAGCCTTGTGAGCTTCGATTCCCCCTGAAACGTTTATGTATCAACAGTTCCATGCAGATGTGGTACCTCACTTCGACGCAAGACCCCTGTGAAGGCATGCGACTGTGCTTCTTAAATAAAACACAGTCAGGGCACAAGCTTCCAATCTATTCAGAGCTCTTCAAGCTTATTTTGCATTAGAGTTACCAAACGCATTCCCTTGCTAGTATCCATTTTTCTAATTCACTTCAATTCTAAGCGGGGAGAGGCATCCTGGGAGGGGTGCAAGCCAGGACCTCTCGTCCTGGGACTCATGGTGTTGGGGCTCAGGGTACTACCTTACAGCGTCTCCTACCTTCCTCTCAGTAGTAATCCTTGGTCTGAAGGATCACTAAATATCATTCATAATTGACGTACCGATTCTACAAGATGGGCCTGAGTAGCCAGTTGCACATTCACAGGTTCCATCGGCGTTACAAGTTCCACCGTTCAAACAATCTGGCTTGCATGCAGCTGGGCAAATAAAAGCAACGTACAATGACTATGAGTTGGGGTTAATCAACAAATACCAACCACTCGCTATGACTAGCCGTGCTTCTCTAGCAATGGTTAGTTTGGCGAAAAAACGGGAATAAGTTTTTTTGAAATATAAAGACCACGCCAACTTAGTGTCTTAACTTACGTCTACTGAGTAATGCATTGAAATAATTTAAAAGAAAAAAAAATAACAACAACAACGACTAAATACAAAAAAAAAAACAAAACAAAACAAAACAAAAAACAAATATCAAACAACAACGACAAGAAGTTTAATAGCACGAGTTTTGTTCTCTGAAGAGACACACATAACGTTCTTGTTAGCTTAAATATGTACAGCTTACTTACATATTTCACATCTTTTACCATTGTACCCTGGCGGGCAAGTACAGCTCTCTGGCTCAGTGCATTCGCCGTTGTTGAAACAGTAGCCGTTGCAGACAGCTGAGAAAATTAACCATGGCTCGTTAGTTTTAATTCGTGTCTTTTGCAATTTAGATTACAAGAAGCTAAATGTTTGTGGAAGTGGCTAATGGATGTCTTTTGCTAGTTTGGAAATCCCAGAGATTAAAATGTAAAAATTCTCCCTAAGATGACAGCTAAAACTAAACAAGAGACATATGCTTTCATTCCCGTCAGTTTGAGATCTGAACTAAGTGCACGTTCAAAACCTTATCTATATTTTGTAATGACCGTTCCTGGTATGAAGCAACCGTTACTAATGTGCAATTACTGCAAATGGTTAGCCTCAGAGATTGTACAATGTAACTGTGTAGGTGGGATGTATTTTATATAACCATAAGACAGAGTGCAATCAATACAGGCCCTTTAGCCAGGGAACGCCCGATCGGTATTGTCTCTGATGTTTTTCCTTTCAAAGCATATCGCAAATTATCTCAACAAAGAATTCTTTTTTTGGTTTGAAGTCAGGTGTATGTAGTGTCTTAGCTCGAAAGTTTACTGACTTCAAAACCGCAAGAAGATTTCATGACAACTTACGTGATTGACACAGAGAGCCTGTGTAACCTTGCGGACAAGAGCAGTTGTTGGAGCTGGGATCTGTACATTGACCTCCATTGAAACAGGTCACAGAGCAAACAGCTAAATAAGCAGAAGAAATAGAAATCAATTGTAAACAGTAAAAGAACAGCTGTGTAAGGTTTCTAAAAGGGGATGAAGGATAAGGCAAGATGAAATGGGTGAAAATTAAGCAAATCAATGTTACGTTGAAGATCTTACCGTCCTCACAGTGTTCTCCTTCATAATTCAAGGGACAAATGCATTGTCCCTCTACACAAGTTCCACCATGTTGGCAAGGCTCGGTGCAGTCATCTTCGTGATTGAAAGAAAAAAAACCGCAATTAAGGTCAACTTATTCAGAACATCTGTAATTACGTGCCACAATTTAACAAAAAAATATAGCGCGATTGATAACAGAAGAAAATCAAATAAAAAGAAAAAAACGCACTCAAACCCTGGGGTTGTGGCTTAACAGCTGGTTTCAAGGGCTCGTCGTGGAAACCATTGGAGGAGAGGGTCAATTCTGATTGCGCAAAGACACCTTCTTTAGCATCCATCCAGTCATTGACAGGGAAATCAAACCTTCTACCTTTCATATCCTTGACAGAAATCTGAAAGAAACAACAAGATGAGTATTGAGACTTTATGCAGCCATGAACGTTTTAAGACGCATATATTCCTTTCAAATGTGTACATTTCAATGAAAGCATAAAACCATACAGTTCACCGCCCACCTTTTCTAGGTACCACTTCTTCGATTGTCCAGTATTGTACATCTCCACAAACACTTTTGTAATTAATCCGATATCGGAAGCTGCAACTCGGAACGTGTCAAGCCTTAAAAGCGGAAAGAAAATTATGAGGGATGATCTTTTAATATCCTCTGGTATTATTGGTTAAATACTCCCAGTCGTAATGCACATACTCCAAGTTTTCGCTGAGGGAGCTTTAGTGCGAAAATGTGTCGCCAATCTTAAAACAAAGTTGACAGTTATCGTCGATTGAGTAACTGTCCACAAAAAAGTCACGCCTTTGGACCAAGAGATTAGTTTACAGTCTCTTGCTTTGAACAGGTGCTTGTACGAGACATTGCAAATAATCCGAGAAGCCTTCAAGTGCAAGAGCAGATTAAATCATAGACCTCGCTGTAGTTCACCAAACATCTCAAATGAAGCGTTTTTGCACTTTATCAACCGATACAAGTTGTAGTACAAAGATAGCTTACTGTCCTGTCCTGAAGTGCCTTACTCCCGTGGGTACATTGGAAGTCAACTGAATCTTGTCAGTAGAACCTCTGTCGCCGCCAAGTCGGAGAAATATTTTCCCATCGGTACCTCCCTTGTATTTATTTCCAGTCTTGACTGAGACTGTGTAGTAATATGCTGAAAAATAAGGCGAAAATCATTGCAGCTATGTATCGAAATACTATAAATTTGCTGAAATTTCCCTTTTAAACATTTCATAAAAAGCATAGAGTCAATCGATTTCTCAGAGTCCGGCCCCTCTACACGTTTCCAACACAAATCTCCACGTTCCCTATACACGAACTCTATAACCGGCTTAGAAATGCTAAGTTTTCTTTGACGAGTTTTCATTTGATAACGTTTTCCCTTAATTGGAAATGGAAAAATACTAAAGGCTCTCCTTGAAAAGTTTTCTTGTGCATGGTAATTCTGATCTAGTTTGGATGAAGGATACTTTTCGAGGAAATTGTTTGAGGGCTTCACAAAAATTATACGGCCAATTCATCCGGCAAACAACGTTTTCCTCAAAAGCTCCCCAGGCAGGTAAACCTGGCTCGTTTAGACGCGGCTTAAATTATTCAATACTTACGAGGATTTGTAATGGTGACGGGAACGACTTTATCGGCGTCTAAATCGGGTTTTATGCTCATCATCGGTAAGTCGTTTAATTGAAGTGGTTCCTTAAAAGGTTGGGAGAGGGCGACAAAGTCAGCAGACTCCATTTTGTACTTGGAGAACTTAAGGTAAAGAGATTTTCCGGAGGGAATGGCATTAGTCTTCTTCGTTCCGGGAATAAAAATCTCGGCATCCTTTCCAGCGTTGTTCGTGAATTTAATGTAAAAGTAATATATAGACCCGTTCAGAGTCGACTCGCGACCTGTTGGAACATCAAAGAAAAACGTCATTAGGGATGGTGTACTGACTCAACTTAGGTTACACAGAAAAGATCACCATAAAGACAAGTACTGTATTAGGTCAGCGAGCGAGCGAAACATTTGGTGAAATATCAACGAGAGGATGATTAAGTTTGATAAACCGTCCAAGCATATTTTGAAAAGCTGACCTCTCTAACAATAGCCTTTAGACAGAGGAGGGGTAACGTACATAGCATCAAAATTTAAAAACGTATTCTAACGATTTATTATCTTTATCAACTTCAGGTTGACTATCAACCAGCCAGGATATTCCTGACGAAGGGCTAACGCTCGAAACGTCAGCTTAGAAACTCTTTACGGTTGCTAATCAACATTTGTCAACTCAGTTGATAAACCAAATTATCTTGTTATACTCCCCCAACGACGTAGCACCACAATTTCTTTAGAAACTTACCGCCTTTATTTATTTCTACTAAATCGATAGAAAGTGGCACTTCTTTTCCAATAATCGGAGTAAGAATTCTCCAAATGACTGATTGACCAATGAACGAAAAATCCAGACATCATCAGAATTTAACATACAAAAAAACTATGTCGCATGCTGAACTTATTATAGGATTGATCAAAAAGAAACATTTACTATCGAAAAAGGTATTTACCTTTACCAAAGCACGACTTTCGCGCATCGTCCCAGGTCATCTCGTCCGGACACGTCATGGTGTGTGGCTCGCCTTTATGACAATGGATGTAGTGAGTAATGTCGGTTGGGTCTTTAAACAGTCCCTCAGGCTGAAGACAACGGACTAGTAAAAAGAGAAAAGAAGGATACTGAGCATTTAACACATTGATCAGACCCATTGGTGATCAAAGTTTCTTGGCTTCTTCAATAACCGGCAGTTATAAAGAGAGTGCTTGTGAGAACAAAATACCAGGCAGTTGGCATTGGACTCCAAATTCGTTTTAAGTTTTGTTGAGCTTAGCCTCCCTTGGACTTGATGAATTGATCATTTTCTTGACCGCGTTGTCTCGCATATGCGATTACCGTTCTACGCTTTCGGATGTTATTATGATACATAACTATTTATATGATCTAGTCATTTTTACTGCTATCTTGCCACCTTTCTATTACAAGCTAACCCTCTCTATACCGTTTTTCTTCACGATTGTACCGTCGAGGAGGTCAAACTAAATTCGAACGAATTGTAACCTCAAGTGGCCCTTTGGAAATATATATTTTCTTTGCGCTAAGTTTCTAGATTTTCTCTATCTTTTATACAAACAGATACACATAAAGAACTCACAAGCTGCAGTTATTGTGACGAGCTTGATGTCATCCTTATTAGGACTGGGCACCACTGTCACCAGACCTTGCTGTCCATTCACCAGTAACTTGTCCCCAGGCGCCCACGGATTTTCGACTCTAAACTGGATAGGAATGTCATTCTGTTGGCCCTTCTCTTCAAAATTCAAATCCAACGTCATGTGAGGTTGCACGGTGTATCCTTCGTTTTTATTCTGTCCTTTGCTTGGTATGACTTTCACTTGAGTACCAGCTTTGTTGTCAAAACGAACTTTGACGAAACGATTTGAAGACGACGATTCGACTAATAAGACAATATATATCAAGTTATAAAGTAATCCTATTACTTCGCTTTGTTAAAGAGCTACCGGCAAATAAAATCCTGAGGAGATATTATTTCATTACTGATTTGAACCTTCATGCTAGATTTACCAATAGTAAATGACTCAGAGGTAGCGAGAAAAAAAAAGGAAAGAAGTGTACCAAGACTCTTACCATTGCTTGAGAAGTATAGGAACATATCTTTGGCACTTTCAGCTGGGACCTCGGCATCGAAGAACGCCAGCGATGAGGCGACCATCCTTGTGTAACCGTATGGTGTTCCTGCCGCATTGCGCCCCACGATAAGCCTGGTGTATGAATCTTTATCATGTTCCCCCTCTTGGGGCATATAGCCTCTCGCTCGGGTGACCTCTGTACCGTTGATATACAATGCAAGGCCGTTTTCACGTGCCCACGTCACCATAATATACTGCCATGCATTGAGGGCAAAGTCTGACTCAACCTGTTGAAAAATTTATAAGATCGAACCATTAATCATCGAGACCGGTGAGAAGAAAAGCTTGTTGGAGAATTAATATAACAACCTACCCGCCATACTTCATCCGGGACAGACACCACTGCGTACAGTTTGCCGTCCTTCACGAAAAGCGTGAAACCCCGTGACTTCTTGTTAGAGCCACCGCTGTCTACAATGTAGTGAGGCTCGTCCTTGTAACTTTTGGCTGCGTCGTCAAGCTTAATTCTTACACCGAACGTCAGACCAGCGGTACATTTGTCTGGATTGCTCAGGCATTCACCTTAAATGAAAGCGACAATGTACCATGTAAAGAAGGTGCAATAACAGAGTTACTAACTGACTGACTTACTGAGAGAGAGAGAGAGAGAGAGACTTACTGTCAGTTACTGACTAACTAATTGGATATAAATATCCTTGTTACCTAAATAAATCGACAACAATTTTGTATTCTCTATAACCTTGTTGATTAAAGAGATGACGTCAACAAAGCTCAAAACAAAGGTGTAACCACGGAGCGCAGCCGAGTGGTTTCACTGCTCATACTCTCTAATCTGTTTAATTCAACGGTTCATTCTCGAGATTTTCCACGGCATAAGGCAAAGGGGACAGTAGCTCCACCTATCCACAAGATTTATCTCCAGTCACAGTTTAGAAGCATAGGTTCACCAAACAGTTGCTTTTCAGTCGCTGTGTGTCACTCACCTTCAAAGTCGCCCATATCCAGCCAAGAATCATTGCCATTCAACAGCAGCCCCCCCTCCAGGGGAACTATAGCTCCGTGGGCCTCGGGCACGGGATCGTCTCCGACAAGTCGACCATTCTCTACTTTGTGTAGCGGCCACATCTTCTTGTAGCGCAATTTTGGTGCTATATGGGAGTAAATCGTATTTTATCAACTACTTTTAATGTTGAACACGATACAAAATTTTAAACAGAAAAGAGACACGTTCATCCTTATAATAAGACATGTACAGTGAGGACAAACTTGTAAAGCTATTATAAAAATTTAAGACACGATTAGTTGGCTCCAATGGTTACTCTTAAATACTAAAAGTAACGTCAAACACCGCTACTCTATGCTTTCCCGACCGAAAAAGTAGGTTTTGCTTATATTTCCAACTGAACTTACGTGCTACAGTTACAAGCAGCGTTTTACAAGGCTTCCTTCCATCTCTGGGAGTTACAGGAAATGCTTTATCAAAATCATTGATTCTTAGATGGGTGTTGGTCTGTTTGTCTTCAGCGATGAAGTACACAGGCTTGATAGGGGCACCGTCTGTTGACATGGACATTAGCGTCACCTCCAGGGTGGAGTCCGGCGCAATTTCAAACCCTTGGGGGTTACCCTTGTCTGGCTTCAGAAGAACAGGTCGGCCAACTTCATTTGTGACGCACAAAGAATCATAATATATTTTAGCAGATACTGCAAAGGAAGAGAACGGCACAAGAGTGAGCGATCGGCTTTCAACCTGAGGGGCAAAGTCTGTCCGTCATTTCGGCCCTACAATTGATTTCCATGAATAATTCCAGGTCTCAGCTCGTTGAAAACATCAAAGAACACTTATAGCTTACGGACACAACAAGTTGAAATACTTACACCCACTCCAAAAGAATATGTAAGCAGCGTTGACATCATCTTGCGCTAAACGTCCAGCAAATGTTGTGAAAGAAGCCATATCAAATGCTGAAGGGTGGAAAGGACCGTTATTTCCAACCTCTCGTCCAATCACAAAGTTGTCCTTGTATGAAGTGACTGAGGTCAGGGGCACTGGTTTCCCTGTGACATTGTGAACGCGGAGGTCTGCGTTGTAATACATTTTCATTCCGTCTTCCTTACTCCAAGTAACCATAACGTACACCCATTTATGCATAAGTTTCGGGCTTTCGACCTAGAGTATCAATAAGAGTACAACTCAGTTTGTGAAAAGAATAGTCGGTTGGAATAAAAGAAAAGTGAAATCAAATACTTAGGTTCGACGTCTCTCAAATGAGTTTTTCACTTTGGGTTGCGCTAAGTTGATGGCTATGTCGAGGCTGCATTTGATAACCAATTTCTTTGACGGCGTGGAAGTAAAAATAGTCTTTCTTTAGCGAGTCTTTTCAAAGACGGACACTGTTTGAACAAGGGCTTTGGTCGAAAAAAATTGTAAATGGTTTGGGGGCATCTGCTTCAATATATTTTTTTCAAATATATCTCCTAACTGTTCAGTTCGTTACCACAAATGACCGAATAATGGCAAAAACTTGATTTTGATGTCAATAGTGTGCAAAATGAGCTAAACTATACTCTCTCTTTTGTGTTCAATGCTACACCTTCGAAAACTTACCATCCATTCTCTATCAGCATTCCTCACCAAAGCAAACAATCTGGGTCCTCGAGTAAACATGGAAAAGCCACGCATGCGCCGGTTGTGAGCACCGGTGTCCACAATGTATCGCAGCTCCTCATCCCTGTCTTCCTTCTCAAACCTAAGTTTTGTACTAAATGTAAGCCCATCTGCGCACTTCTCTGTGTTGACCACACAATCATCGGCAGGGACCTGCGCTACAGCATGTGAGTCCTGTCCGTCAAACGACAAACCCCCGTCAACCAGTTTCAAGTCTCCATGTGTCCTCAAGTCGGGGTTGCCAGGAATGTCCTGGGACGTTGAATGAAGCGCATGAAAGATAATGCTGCTGCTAGAGAGTTTGTCAGCCGGAGGAGTGTGTCCCACCGGAATATGGCTGTCTTCAAATGACAACATCGACCAGGAATGGACTGGCTTGATTTTAGGCGCTGATGAGAAACAAGCGTGTATGATAAATTACATGTTCAGTGGAAAGAAGGATTTTGTTGCGTTTAATCACTAATCAGATCATTTAATTACAAGAAAATAACTTAAACATTACACGTGATCCGATCGATCCGAAAAAATATCGTTTATTCTACTGATAAAATCACAGAATACTAAAACATTTAAGCAGTACATCTCTGGCTCCAACACAGTCGTCATCAAATCGCAGGCTAACCAAACAAGTAAACAAACAAACAAAATTCGACTTACCTGGTGCGGTGATGGTCATATTAATCACCTCATCCGGGAACTCTCCAGGTGCAATTGAAACCGTTTTCACATCACCATCAATTTCTAGCTCACTCATAGTTTCCAGATCCTTTGCTTCAAATGTGACGGGTTCAGAGAGAACTCCGCTCTTGGGAAAAATCATAGACACCTTGAGGTATCCATTCTTGGCGACAACATACCCTGCTTTTCGGCCTCTCGACGGTATCACTCTAATTTCACGACCAACTTTATTATGGAGGAGCAGTGTAATGTATCGCTCTTCAGGGCCCATGGGTCCTCCTTCTAGCAAGGAGAAAAATAGATAAGTCTTAGCTATCAAGTTCTTCATTTTCAATCCATTCAAACATTCCCTAATAATAACACTAAAATTAGTACTAACGATAATTATCAGGATAACTATGATAATAAAACAAATAATAATAATAGTAATGAAAGCGTTATGAAAGAATGAGATGCGACATAAGTGCGAGTTTACAATTTATCAATGGTAAGTTAAAATCTAAAAGCCAATCATGTAGTTACAGGAGTAACATATAAAAATGCTAACCAAATATCAATTTACAAAAGCTCGTTAAATCGTTCAGTTTTGACTCTGGCGAGCTTGAAGTCATGGCCCTTATCTCTGAGAGAGATTCATGGGAAGGATCTCAATTAAACAACGCTTGACCCTTTTAGTTCCACCTATTAAATAATTTCCGTATTTCTGTTTTGTAGCCTCTTGCACTGTTGTGCAAATGAATGCATAAACAAGCGTTGTAGTTGTCAGTGATAGTCTCTATAATCCATTATTAAGTAACTTTGAATCGAATTGAAAGCTCTCAAATTATTTCGAGACAAAAATGAGAGCTAAAAAGAAGATGAGAATGGACATATACTCACTCAGAGGAGATATGACGATATCAGTAACTTTTTCTTTAATCTTGGCGGGTTTCACGATAATGCTCTTACGATTGTTAATCATCATTGGTAAACGAGAATCAGGATCAAAGGCTTTTAAGAGTAAGGGCTCTGCGCTCTGGAACTCGCGCGTAATCTTCATAATGGAGTCACTGTTAATGTGGAAACCCTCATTCAGACCCTTATAGCTTGGTGCTATGATTGACTTTTTGCCTGCACGGTTCTTGACTTTCAATGTCACATAGTAAAGCGACGGTTTTTCAGCGATGTGCTGTCTGGCTACGGGCACTCCTGATTTCTTCTTTCCCGTAACTGAAGGAAATTAATAAAAACAAATACCGAATTACATGCATGGTAAAATATCAAAACAGTTTAAAATAAAAAATAATGGCAATAAATTAAGAGTTCGTGAAGCTAGTCGTTTGTGACTCTCCATTCCCTTTGTGCACATAGAATAACCTCAGACATCTGTTCAAACGTGATAAGCGTAGAAGCACTTGATATACAGTGCTTATATAAACTGATTGACCAGTCCGGATATAAAACCTTCAAATAAACAATTAGATTCTGAACGAACAATGTAGTAAAAAAAAAAAATCCTCGTTAAAAGGTAAAGTAGACCACTAAGTGAATGGTAACCAAGTAAATGAACAAAACTACGGCTGGACCAACGAACGTGTGAACGAATTAAGGAAGGAACTAGTAAACTAGCGAAGGAACGAGGGGACGAACCTACGCACGAATTACACAACAAACACACAAACCAATGAGCGAACGAACTAACTTACGGATGGACGAACAAGCAAACGACTGCAGAGCAAAAACAGACGGAGCAGATAAATTTCATAAAATTACTCCCTTTATCTGTAATAAGTCGTTTTTATCACCATTAACTTACCCTGGGTTCCAAGAACTAACTCTGTCTTCTTATCCTTCGTAAGCTGCGGCGTTAGAGCCTCCTCCATATGACCGTTTATGGCCAGCGGTGTTTTGCCGTCAGCTGATGTAGCCACTAGTGTCACAGGCTGAGCAGACACGGTACCTTTCGTGATATCCATCATGAAGTTCTTTTTTACTTTCCATCCCTGGGCGGGGTTATTGTCGCTTGGTTTGACTATCACGTCTTGTCCGGCCTTGTTCTTAAAGCGAACACTTAAGTAATACTGCTGTCCTCCTGTTATAAAAAGATACGTCAAATTCTATTAATATTACTACTGACGGTCTCGGGGCATTGGCTGGAGATACTATATCTAATTGTGCTGTACGATACTGATCTTCTCCGGATCCTCTTTCCCTTAGTAAAAAGGACCAGGAAAAAACAGACAAAAAAAAAACACAACAAAATTAATCAAACACAACAAAACAAAAAACAGAATAAACAAAAGAAAACAAAAGTGTGAAGTTTAAAGGTTGGTTTTCACCAGCGACAGAGTCGGAGTTGTAATTGGAGTCATTAGAGCGATTATGAATTAGAAGAAATCCAAAATCGAAGTCGTTGGCGGAATTTAGGCAATACAGAATTGGAGTCGGTCCGAAGAATTCGAAAGGTTCCATTTTCTTCCGATTCCACACAGTACTCGCAAACTTACGATCCAGTGACTTATTATGAGTGACGGATTCTGTACTCTTGTTTCGATTCCGTCGGTTTGACTTTCACCACATTGTTTCGCTCCGCACTACAGATTACGACTTCGACTACGACTCCGTCGTGAGAGGAAACCCACCCTTAAATTCACCACGAGGCAGAATGTAAAGTTAAACCACAAACCTTGCGACATCCCTGGTGCCAGAATCTCGAATGTCTTCGGTGCACTTTTAACTTCAGTTGGGATAAGTTCAACCTTATCCTTGCCATTAATCTTCATCAGCTGGGTTAAAGTCTGATCCATGACCTTGAACGTGATGGCCGAATTTCCGGTGGTTGGCTTAGTAAAAGACACCATGAAGCCTTTTTTGACAGGGAATCCTTGAGGGGGATTATTGTCACTTGGCATGATCACCACATTTTTACCTGACTTGTTCATTATCTTCATTGAAATATAATACGTACCAACGGCTGAAGTTCCTACAACGAGATATATAGTACACAAATATGGTTAAATGCAAACGAACGAATAAACAAACGACGAAATGAAAATACAAACAAGACAAAACAAAACATACAAAAGTGCTGACTTATGTATGTTATTTTTTCTCAGTTAGGGTAGTGAAATTCAAGTTCTTTTTCACCCAAAATTTACTTAAGACATTCAAAACTTTTCTCAAACACAGAGCGTTTTAACCGTGAAATAAAACTTAAATGAGAAGCTGTTAATAAGTAAAGCTTGAATTTATGTGCTCAATACACTTTCCCTGGCACTCATCGAAAGATGTCGGACACAGCCTATAGGAGACCTGTCCAAGTGAGTGTCAAGACTGATATGGGGGTTGCTTCAGATTAACAATGCTATCCTTTACGACAAACAGGTGCAATACTAATCACAGTAGCATGTGAAAGTTATTAGTGTAAAGCCACAGGGAACCGTAAATGATCCTACCTCCCCCTTCACCGTTTATCTTCTCCTTGGAGATAACCAACACGAACGAGCCTTTACGAGTCAGTTCCGGGGAGACTGTGACTTGGTCCTGATTGTTCAACAACAGACTAACAGCTCCGGCCTTAGCACTGAAAGTGACCGGTTGACCAAGAGACACTTCTTTGCGAACATCCATTGTGTACTTTTTAAGAATCTGCGAAGAAAAAGAAGGAATTTCAAAATGAAGCGGACACCAGCACAACTTTCCCTTTTAGCCTACTCCTTTCCCAGTGTAACTTAAGGTGTAATTTAATTTTTGTCAGCTCATTACCCTGGGTCCTGACACAAGGTGGGTGGAATTAGCTTCTGAGTGCGAGCAGCACTCAGCGAGCAATCCGTCGGAGGAAAGAGGAGACGCAGTAAACATTAAGAGCTTTAGATGCACTACCTTCTTGCAAATTACAACTTAAAATTCTCAAGAGATTTAGTGTTAGCATACCAATCCTCACCTGAACACCTTGAGATGGCTCTTTGTCGCTTGACATGAGTTGCACATCTTGGTCAAATGTATTTTTTACTTGCAGTTTAATTGTGTTCGAAGCAGATGCATCAAACATGCCTAAAATGACAAAATTAACTTTGCTTAATCAATTTCCTCTCTTTTTAAAATCGTTATGGAAAATTCATGTGCGAATTTCAATTGCAAAAAATGTCGCGTCTCTCATCTCAAAGCCTGTGTTCTGGAACTTGCAGTCAAGTCGCAGGCCAGGTGATTTACGATATCATACAAACGTAGCTTTTTTCAATTCTTATTTGTGTTGGTCCCAAGAGAATTATAATATGTATTGTAAAACAAGCAGCGGAGGCAATTTAAGCAAACAACAGAAAAACACGAAGGAAAAAAGAGCAAGGAAAATTCTCAAATACGACAAAAGCTACATTTATTCGTTTCCTGAACTTTCTTTTGACTTCTCCAGCACCCTTTCATTAGCCCCTTGATGAGACCCCAACAACAAACGCCAACACTCACCACTCCTAAAGTAGAAGGTGTACACATTACGCATCATTGGCGGCGACAAATATGTGTTGAATGATGAGAATGTTCCGATAGCAAACTTAGCAAAATGGCCTTGGCCTTGTACGTCCCGTCCAAAGCACAAATTTGGTTTGTTCGTGTTAAGTTGAAGGTCAAGGTCTTTGCCGGTAGAATCAGATACCACTTCAGAACCATCAAGGTACAGCTTGAGGCCAACATCATTCTTCCAAGTCATACTAGCGTAACACCACACATCGGGGGAAATTTTAGTTTGCACCTGAAAAGCACATAACGAATCACTTTATTCGAACAGTACTTTCCTAATGTGGATTTCATGTAATTCGTCTCTACAAAAAGAGCACGTTATCGACAAAATGAAAACTTGCCAACTTTATGACATATATAAAACTGGAGAAATCGATGAATAAATAAACAATATTAAAAAAAAAAATCGAGGACGCATCTCATCTTTCAACATCTTTCTCACCTTCCAAGCCTTTTTGGCTGTGGCAAGTTCAAAGAAAAGATTGCCATTTACGATGTACGCCGACACCCCACGTGTGGTTAGACTGCGGGCTCCACTATCAATAATGTACTTGGGTGTAGAGTACGACATATCTTCTTCATCAAACTTCAGCTTAGCACCCATAGAGAAGCCGTTCACACACCGTCCCGGGTCTTGTAAGCAGTCACTTTTTGGTAGGGAGGTGGTAGCGTAGGTACCCACTCCGTCAAATGACATTCCACTACCTTGAATGGGTGTGTCGCCAAATAAATTGAGAGGCGGTGATCCTACTATTTTCTCGTGAGTTTTGAAGATGAAAGACCAGGAGTGAAACGGACTGACTGGACTGGCTGATAAAGAAAAATATAAGATCTAGGGATAAGTCGTTAGTTATCGCCGGGGGGAGTAGGACGATCTGGGAGATCACATGGTTTCAGGGGGGGACAGAGGGGGGATAAGTCGTCGAAAACAGAGTTTAAAGGGGGGGGGGGGCGCTGCCAAAGGAGTCCCTTCGAACCCCGCTTTTTGCTGATTTCGTACCTTTTTTTCTTTTTCTAATCTTTTAAAGACCCAACTGAAAAACAAAGAAGCAATTCTTTTTCACAACAAACGCTGAAAATGTTCACTGTGTCGCAAGACAGCTGAAGCAAAATATTACTTTTATCCGTTTGCCGGTCGGTTATACATAGTTCACGATTTAAAACTATTTAGGCAAAATACTAAAATTTTGATGAGAAGAGAAATCAAACCTGGAATAACAGCAGAAGGAATAATTCTGGCAGCTTCGTCGTTATTAACTCCTGTGGAGATTAAAATCACGCATTACCAGTAAGCAAAACAGATATTTTCCTCTTCATAAATTATTTTATCAGTTTTGATTAATATTTCTGTTACGATATAATATATATTTGATATCTATATTTTTCCTTAATCGACATAAGCATGTACATGCAACCAGTACACCAATTCACCTGACGGTGAGAGAGTGACATCCATGACGTCTTCTTGTGAATGCAAAGGGTTTACTTTCAGCCGTGCCACGTTGTTAAGGAAAAATCTCGCCAGTGTATTGCCGTCGATGGCTGTGAAGAAGACGGGAAGTTTGGAAACCATTGTTTTCTCAATCGTCAAGGTCGAACCTTTTTTCACTAGCATGCCGTTCGGTGCTTGGTTGTCGTTGGAGAAAATTAGCGCGTCTTGCCCAATGTTGTTGGTCACTCTCAGTGACATGAAATATTTCTCTCCTTCTCCTTCAGATCCTGAAACAAAAATTACAAAGCCAAGGTAAAACCTTCATTGTGATTATAATTTCATATCCATGATCACAAGTGACCTACTGATTAAAAACTATCCTTTCTAACTATGAGATAACGTTCTAAAAAATAAAAGTTGTTTACCTTGTAATATGGAGGTGTTTAAAAGTACAAAGCAGATGTCTCAGAAGAAAAGGTTTACAAGAAAGTAACGATCGCTAATCTTTCTTTTTTTCAAAAAAACATTACAATCAAATCCGGGCATTTGAATACAATTTTAGTCCCCGAAGGAGAGGGGAAGAATTTAACGCATCAATCTTCAAAAGCTCACATGCCTGGGGGTTGCCCGGGGGGAGACGTTGAGGCTTCAAATTGATCGACGCATAATTTCCTCCAGTTTGAGGAGTAACACGATTGTTTATCAATCAATTTTCCAAACCTGAAATAACTTTGATGATATTTTTTTCATTACAACGCATCATTTTCTTCCCCGTTTTGCTGTTAGATCAATCTAGAAAGCTTCCTCATTTTATATCCAGGCGAAGAGAATCATTTTAAGGAAAAGGTTACTTGAAATGAGATTGCACAATGGATAAAATCGTACTTTACCTTGTCTCCAGAAGTAACTGTAGATGTGAGAAATCGTTTCCGGTGACAGCTGTCCTTTGAAAGTAGAGATTGAACCCAATTGAAACTTGGCCTGTGCGCCCTGATTGACACTGCTGCCTACAAAGAAGTTTTGAGGTTTTGCAGAAGTCTCGTGATCTCCGCTGGTGCCCAATAAATCTCCATCCGCCAGCTCACCATCGGAGTAGACTTGAAGACCAGATTTCCTACTGAAGGCGCCCATGATGTAGAACCATTTGTTTGCGTAAACGGGGATGGAGGCCTGTTTGGAAAGAATAAGGACGAAAAGCTATTTTAAGGAAACCACCACATTTCTTCTCTTCTTCTTCTTCTTCTTCTCTCTCTCTCTCTCTTTTTCTTTTTCTTTGGGGGGTATACATGAAGTTCAGCACGCACTAGGATGGGTTTGTGGCGCTAATTTTAAATTCAAATAAAGAATTTCCCATTTAAATTTAGTAGAAGTGCATATACCTGATAAACCGCATTTGATGTAACAATCTTGAAATAGAGCGCATTCAGCTGCAGAAACATGCCAACTCCCTTGTTACCGTTGCTTGCACCAGTATCAACGACGTACTGTGGCGCGTTTGATGTCAACGACATGTCACTGAATTTCAGCTTAGCGCCAACAGCAAAGCCATCAACACACATGTCTGGATCAATGACACATGCTTTGCTGGGAAGCTGTCCACTCAAGCAGCTCTGAATACCATCGAAACGAGCCCCACCCGGTACTGCTTCCAACCCTCCCACAATCGACAGTGGTGGGTTGCCAGGTACTTGTTTATCATTCATTGATGTGATTATCCACGAGTGAGAAGGGTTAACTGGAGGTGCTACAAAATGAAAAGGAAATATTATTTTAGTTTCCTTTAATGCAGAGAAAAACGTCTTGGCTTAAGTAAGAGAGGCCAGAGTTAGCAAGAAACTCTCAGTTGTCGCAGTAACCGGAGAAGTTAGGCAGAGAGGCTTTTGACACATTCCTGCAACAACCAGAAGTATGGAAATAATTCAGGAGCGCTTTGACGTTGATGGATCAACCGAAAAGTCGTCATTTTGGCATTTTAAACCAAACTGTGCCGACAAAAAAGCTATCGTGAGTATCAGCAATGAGAACTTTCAACTTTCAGCTGCTGCCGGTATCTTGAGGCACGTTTGTGCTCAAGCTTTCTAGTTGATTATGACGAAAGGGAGTAAATTTTGAGCTTTACCTGAAACGCTGGACTCTTCCATAGCTCCACCTTTCAAAGAAAGAAAGACAAGAAATAAATAAAGAAACAAACTAATGAAGGAAAAATAAAAATCGGAAAAATTAAACGTATCATGAACTCACCAGCATTGATTACTGGTTCCGTAAAAGGCTGTCCTGAAAATTGCAAATAGATAAAAAATAAAATCAAGAAAAGAATGAAATTCAATAACAGGAAAATTCGGAAAAGTAATCAATTAAATTGAAAAATAAAATTAAAAAAAAATAAAGAAACAAAAAGGTGCCAAAAATATTTTTAATTTCAAGGGAAAAAACGCCTTAAACAACGGAAAAATTCTTCTCATTCGAGAGTCTCTTTCCCGACATTTTGATGCTTTTCTCAAGTGCTGACATTTCAATAAGTTGCTCAAATGCTGAAATTTTAACAGATTATCCACCTGAGACAAAATAAAGCACGACAAATGATTGGAAAAAAACATATTCACTTTTTCAATAAGAACGCATGAGGCTTTCCTTTAAAAAATGAAGGAAAAAAATATCTTGAATTGTGGCTACCTTCTCCTGTTATGGTCACTTTCACATCTTGCAAAGGCGACTTGGTTGGCGTCGCAGAAATTTCCTTTAAACCGTTCAAGTATAATGCTTCTTTACTCCCATCATCTTGTGCAGTGAAAATTACCGCCGAGGGCCTGGATACGGCTTTTTTAATCTTCGCTACCACCCCGGCGTTAATAGTGAAGCCATTGGACGGATAATGATCTGACGAAAACAGCGTTAAATTCTTTTTCGAAAGGTTTGTTACTTCCAAGACGATGTAAAATTTGGCTGGAGCTCCTGAAAAGTAAGAACGAAAAGTTTCAAGTATTTACTCAAGCAGTTATAGAACTATACCTCATCTAATGATCTTTGAAAATACAAGTAAAAATCGTTTAAGGGACACAAGGAAGGGCGAAGTGAAACAAGCGGCGGATCCTCTAAAGGTTTTGGTCATTAACTGCTTCTTATCACTTACCTGAACCGTCATAATCTTTGTAGAAAGAAGCGACACTGCCTGTGTGAGGTGCCGGGATGCACTCATCAAACACAGCCAGAGATTTCATAGAAAATTTGGCAAAATCTGATCCAAACACATTGGGTACTCTCCCGCCAACACAGAAGTTTGTTTGTGCAGCGTTAGTTGGTCTCGCCGGCTCTTGTTTGCCTTGTGCGTCTGTTGCTTTAAGAACTTCATTTTGATATAACGACAAACCGTCAACTTCGCTCCATGTGCTAGTCAGGTAGAACCATTTGTCAAATTCTAACGGAGCTGACACCTAGGTAAGAAATCATTAAATCATGTTTAAGAAAGCTGAGCAGACAATCAGGCTAACTATTGATGACGGCTACGTAACCCGTGAAATATGAGGGAGCTATTGCAGAGCGCGATCGTTGGGGTCCTGATAGCCGGTTTACACGTCACGCCATACTGGCTATGTAGGTTACAACCTTTTCGTCATAGACCTCTTTCATCGATGCTAGCCTAAAGATGATTATTTTATATACATGCTTCCTCTTAAAAGATTCCAGGAAAACTCTTTCCATTCCCATTTCGAATTGTTAACATCTTACCTCCCAAACTTTCTGAGAAATCGCCAATTTGAAATATATCTTCCCATCTTTGACATACATGGACACACCGCGGGTCTGGGAGCTTTGAGCGCCAGTGTCAATCAAATATCGAGGCTCCTTATAGTCCTTCATTGATTGGTCGAATTTCAGATTCATACCAATCGAAAGCCCTTTCATGCAGAGTGCAGGATCCATGACACAGTCAGTACTCGCCATGTCCGTCGTAAGAAAACCGGACTGCCCGTCAAATGCCACCCCACCGTCGCTTGGTTGGACAGTACCGTGTACTCTGAACGCTGGGTTGCCTTCTATGAAGCCTTGTGGCGAAATTGACTTCAGCCTCCAAAAGTAGATATTTGAAACTAGATATGGAGGCAAGCAAGTTGTATACAAGAAGCTTAAGCAGAGATGTCTCCGTGGAACAAAATGAAGTTTACCTTTGGACATAGGTGCTGATTAACAATAGCAAATCTCGATAGGCTATATATTGCGACTAGTTCACGGTGAATAGTGCAGTACACGAAGGGGTAAAATCACAAGTCAGGATGGGAGTTCATGTCAGAAGGGGAGGTCGAAATCCGATGTCGTAAGTTAGGGAAATAAAGGTAAAGATCGAGGTTTGATTTTCGTCCATTTTAGCGTAAAGAGAGTATAGTTCTGCTGCCCCTGTCGGCGTCGTGTGAATCACCAATTTAGTCATTATAAGGCTGACGACCACTTCGTTGATTACTTTAGCAAATCATGTGCATTAACACAATCGTAAAATACGTCAGGAAAAATCTCAAAAAGACTCACCCGGAGGAGTATTAACCACAATACCACCGTCTGGGGCGGCGTCACCTGTAACAAAATAATTATTGCTTTTTTTATTATCAATATAATTGTTATTGTGACTGTCGCATTAGCACTACAACGCAATCGTCTTGACTTGAAACAAGGTAAAGACGAGCATTCCTAAATGAAGAGCATACTTGCTCGTGTGAAAGTAATTTTCATACAAAAAGACTTTTCAGTTTGATATTACAGAAACGTGTAATTTGTTATTGTTGATGTTTTTTTTCACCTTTATTTTCCAATTAATTTTCCAAAGCATAAAAAAAAGCTTTAGTTGGAAACGTATCACATCGATCCTGCAGGAAGGTAACTTACTCTTAAAGTACAAGAACAGAAACACAAACGAACAGATAAACAAATCAAGCACCTTTTCTGCCAGTTATTCTTAACAATATGGGATCTCCAGTTGCTTTGGAGGGTGAGACTATTATTCTCGGTTGGCCATTTACAAGAAGTGTCTTCTCCTCGCCGGGTATCACAGCATGCAAGGACATGTCACTCGGGTTGCTGACTTCTTTGGTGATGATACTTGTGTGTTCCGGTTCTAGTTTAAAGCCATCAGGGGGGTCATTGTCACTTGTAAGTATTCTCATGGTCACGCCTGCCTGGTTTTCCACAAGGAACGACATGTGGAATCTTGGGGGCGGAGACAAGTCATCTGCGGAATCAAGCAAAAGTTTGTTGATACTCTGGGTTCATTTTACCCTCGATGTATATAATAAGTTAAAAGTGCATCGAGGTAATTAAAATGACAATACGCACGGTCCATATCAGCCGATAAACACCGAATCAAAGGCTTTAAAAGTCGTTTATGGTGAAAGTATCAACAATTTAAATCCTATTTCGTAGAAATCTGCGATGTTATGTGGTACAACACTGATGACTCACCACCAGGTTTCACCAGCCTGATCGAGACGTCAGTGGCGTCCTGTTCGAAATCACTGGGCACTATGGTGATTTCTCTCTCTCCATTCAACAGGAAAGGCTTGTCAGTGGACATGCCCCACACACGGAATTTCACTGGGGATGGACTCTTAAGCTTTTTTACAAACATGTTGCACGTTTGACCCTTCAGAGCGAAGCCGCTGGCCGGTTGACTATCGCTTGCAGCGAGTAGAACATCTTCTGCTTCAGTGTTATTTACAAGAAGAGTTACGTAGTACAACTTGGCAGGTTGGACGGCGACTGCAGAGAGAAGTCAAATCATTTAGTGCAATTGCCTATTTATACTTAAACACCGATGAAAAACTTAACAAAAAGTGACCTAAGTGGCAAGTATCTTCAGACCATTGAACATGTTTCAAAAAAAGAACAGTAGCGCTTTCAAAATATATTGCCATGCGACAGACTTTTCTTTCCTCTAACATGTAGACGATTGGCGACAAAATAGTTGACAAATTAGTACTGAGATAACAAAATTCTTGACTTGTATCAATTTCATCCTAGATTTGCCTATTCTCTTCCCTACTTCCGCTGAAAAAAATTGTACTTTGTGACCTGTGATTAGAGCGCGTCACATGGAGGAAGGATTTACTGTGTCAAGATGGGACAATTACATTTTTTAAACAGCCGTAATTGTAGCTGCGCAAACAAAGGAACATTGATCTTACCATCGTTATTGTAGTACTTATACACAGAATACGCCGTTTGAGCCTTCAAGTGGTTCTTGAAGACCACAAAGGATGCGATATAGAAATTTGTAAAGGACAATCCATTCCCTCCAACGTTACGTCCAACACAGAAGTTATCATGCTGCTTCCAGTCCTTCATGTTCTGAACACCAACCCCTCCCTTGTCCCGCGCCTCTTTCTTGCCGTTTATGTACATTCTAAGGCCAGATTTCATCCGCCATGTTGCGATAAGATAGAACCACTGGTCTGTAATCGCGTCCGTTTCAGCCTGGGGAGAGTCACAGAGCAGTTATTATTACACCGCAGAACGTGCGGTCTTTCTTTTTATCTGTCTATTTATGATTACTGTGATTGGCATCGTTAATAGAATCTCGCATAAAATGTCTTTGGTAAACGTAAGAGTTAAGCATTGCAAAATTGAAAGCTAGGTTTCGCAGTGATATCATAAATCAAATTCTGCGAAAACCCACATAATCATCTCAACACGAAGTATCTAAAAATACAGTGAGTCGGGGACTGTTACAAAGAACTCAAAAAATACCCACATTCAATCCTTTACAAAGATAAAAAAACAGCAACAACGACATTAACACCTACCTTCCATCGAGTGTCATAAGTTGCAATTTCCATAACCAATTTTTTATTCAACAAATACAGCGAAACTCCCGGCGAATTGACGCTCTTCTCCCCAGTGTCCAGTATATACCTGGGGTTGTTATAGTTCAGTACCGCCGCAGGGAATTTCAGCTTCAAACCAAAAGAAAAACCGTCCAAGAAATCACCAGGATTTACCAACGGATCCTGGCCACTCAAATGAGAGCTGAGATACCCTGAAGCGCCATCCAAGAGGAGACCCCCCTCAACACTCCGAGAATTGCCGTGTACCTGGAGAGCTGCCTTTCCAGGAATAAGTCCGTTTGATATGACAAAGAATGACCAGTACTGACTGGGGGACAGAGCAGGCATTACTAAAACAAAAGGGGAATATTAACATAAAATGTAACATAACGTAGCGGCCATTAGCCTCCCTTGACAATAGTGCCTTGAACCGATTTAATATCCTATACGGCATTTTGGATAATGAATTCGACCGGAGAATGGTAACAGGAAAAAAAACGTCCAAATAATTTCAGGTTTCCCTGATTCATTTTCGTCGACTTTTTCTTGACCTTGCAGGGTAACAAAAAGGCAGGAAAAAAAAAGAAAAAAAACAATTACGATAACGTGAAAAATTTGGAAAAAAAGCAAAAAAAATTTACCTGGTTTTTCACCCATACCATCTGTTGAAAACAAAAAATGTAAATTAGTTTCCAGTGATGTAAAGGGATTCTCAATTGAATTAATCCAATTAGGATTTTCTTGCACTTCGGGGATTGTTAGTTTGAGTAACCATTAATGCAGAAGATAACATTGCCGCATTTCTAAGTTGTTCAAAGCTCAGCCACGCATAAATAAACCTGATTTCTTCGCTTGTCAGTAAATTTTCGAAAAGTAAATTTGACTTGGGCGACTAAGTTGATCCGGAATAACAATTGTTTTACTGTACTTTGCTCAGTGAATGGTCGAAAAACTCCCACAATCCTGCCAACCAAAAAGAAGCCTTAGTAAAACTAATGGTGACCTTGCTACTCGCGTTTCCTTCGCTATACGCAGTATGCATGTTAGCACTGTGAACAGTCACTGACTGTTTAGAGCATTTTGGTTTGGGTTTTACGACCACCTAATAATGTACTAGAAAAAATTAAGCGCTTCTGATTGGCTGAAAACGAATGCATTCTCATGTAACATGAGTGCAAGGTTGTAACACGAGTGCAAATCACAAATAGCGCGCGCACGCTTTCAAAATTTCGTTTGCTTTGACTTTCTGTGATGTTTTTCTGTGATGTACATTATTAACAGGTAAAAACACGATTTCTTTTGCAATTTGGTGTACCCTGCGGGCTCGTGCAATTTAGTTATCTTTGAGAAATTCACTCGTGATTATTAACACCAAACTACACTCGAAAACATGTTATTACCTATACAAAACACACTCTGACGCTGCATCGGTTTACAATTCAGAATAATCACCTGATATAACCAGAGGCATCACAATCTGTTTGGTGCTCGGAGACACACTAACACTTTCCATTCCGTTTATCAACAATCGTTTCTCCGTTGTAGAGTCCACAGCATAGAATTTTATAGGTTTCATGTGCGTGGTCAGTTTGCTGACTGTTAACATACTGTTTGGCTGAAGATCGTCACCGTTCAAAGGTTTGGCGTCGTTTGATACAAGTGTCACTTGGCTTCCAGCATTGTTTGTTACTTGAAGTAGTATTGAAAACTGCTGAGGCGGCGGGAATATTGGAGGAACATCTGACATATAAAAAAAAAAAAAATAACACAAAAACATTAACATCACAACTTTAAAGGGACTTACCTTTTCTTACATTTCATAAACTTGTTTAATTGAGTGAGTGATCGATTTTCTGATCGGTTCGGCTGATTGGTTTCTTGACTGACTGAATGGCTGTTTGACTAGTTACACAATTTATTGAGTTGTAGAATAATTGATTGACTGATCAACTGATTGATAATGTGCTTAAATAAATGACTAATTTATCTAACGATCAATTGAGCCATTAACTGATCCAAGATTTGGCCGGCGGACCAAACCACTAACACTTACATTTGTCTGTTATGTTCACAACTTGCCAAGGGCCGAGTTTTTCTTGAGGAATAATGATCAAGCTGGGCTGATTGTTGAGAACACAAGAATGATCCATAGCCTTAGCCCAGAATGTGATGGGAGACTTGTGTGTGACATTCTTGGTTATCTGGACGATAGTTTTCGCCTTAATGGTAAATCCTTTAGCCGGTTCCTTGTCGCTTGTTGTGATGTTAACACTCTGCGTTCCGTAGTTTGCAAAACGAACGCGGATGAAGTAAACTACAACTGGAGAAGCTGATGAAGCCCAAAAAAAAATGTGTTAGATCGTTCTTCTAAACTGATTCTCTTCTATTAATCTGGTCGTTTTGGTCCTGCCTGTCTGTTTTCATTTCGTCGGTCACTCCGTCATTTCATCAAGTTTGTTTTTTTATCGTATGACTGCACACCTGTCCATCTCGGCACTTCCGCCTCAAGTACTGGCAAAAAATTGAAGAAACTGCGCATCTGTCTATCACTTACCATTGGTTGTCACCGTAATAGTGATAGGAGCTCCCTCGGTAGGTAGGGGTTTAAGTACTAGACTTGATTTGTAGTTGATGAACAACTTCTTTTTCAAATCTGTCTTTAGGGACGCTTCAAAGGTTATAGGCAGAGGCGATTTGATTTTCTTCTTGATCACAACGATTTTCTTTTTCAGGACAACAAAACCGCCAGGGGGATCGTTGTCTGATGGTATGAGTACGATGTCAAAATCGTTTCTGTTTGTGATTCGAAGTATTATGTAATACCACTTGTTGGCAACTGCAATAAAACGAAGGGAAATAGATCAAGACATAGAAAAAAAACTGGTTATTTTCAATGAACTTCGATGTTGCCTTTTAACCTTGAGAGAACTTGAGAGTAGCCAACCTTCAAGATGGACACGTGGGGTGGAGTTGTGGAGGGGTCTTGTAATCTTTTCAAGAGAGCAGGTGACGACAAATTTTCGTGTCTTTACAAATCACATGCACTTTGTATATCAAATTATAGGGGTTTGCCCTTAAGTAATACCTTGACCTCAGTTTCTCTCGATCCCCTATCTCAATTAAATTAGTCTTGAACTTATAAGCTATTAATATATATTAATATGGGAAGTTTAGTTGACAAACTGTCGTCGAAAATATTGACTTTGAACACAAAAGGTGAAAAGGAGGCGCAATAACTGGCAAGGAGCATTTACTAATACATATAGGAATCGGGAGAGAACATTTTTTTTGTTCTCTTTCACATCGCAGGAGCACTTCAGAAATTGAATGGGAGTGTCCCTCGACAATTTGTTGACTCACTTGGATTTCCAATAACCAAATTTATCGGCACCACATTCTTGTTTTTAACAGGCCTCAGGGTTATAAGTTGGCTACCATTTATCAACAAGAACTGCCGTCTACTGGCGGCATCTACGACAGCAAATTGCACGGCTGGCACGTTCGGTTCTACCACAGGAACGTCTTTGGATATCATGGCAATAACATTGGCGTTGATTGGCATGCCACTTGCAGGGTCGTTATCACCAGGAATGAGAAGAACTTTCTTCCCAGAAAGATTCGAGATCTTCATCTTAATGTAATAGTCAACGAGCGGTTGCTTGGACACAACTGAAATCGAAAGCAAAGGACAATATTAACTTGTTTATTTCAAAGGTATTAAAATTATGGCAAGTCGAAACATAATGGAATGCAGAACGCTGCCATAAATGTCACGTGTTGAAGAGGTCTTTCTCTGTACCAGAATTCCTCTCATAAAACTAAGACACGATTGAGAGCCATTTCATAATAAATGGGCCCAGTCTTACTAGTTATGACTCTTAACTTCTTAATTCTATGAATTTTCTTTGGCAGGGGGACGGAAGGTGAGGAAGGCGAGAACGTGGCTTATAAACTTTTTTTCTAAGCTTTTCTTTAATTAAGGTTTCCAACTACTGGTTAAAATTTTTCGCAATCCGATAGTTTTTAACCTTAAAAACATAAATCCTTGGTGCTTTACCCCTGGTCCGAATTTCCAATCTTCCAAAGCGGTTCCATGAAAAATCAATTTAACTTACTGTTTTTCCAGAAGAACGCGAAAATCTTTTTCACCCATTCCTGATTGACGTATTGCTTAAACACAGCTGTGGACGACATGTACAATACGCCACACATCTGTTCAGGCTTCTGATTCAGTCCACGTCCAACGACGAAGTTGAGTTTACCATTGTACACAGGCGGTGGGGCTGAGTTAGCCTCACCAGCATGAAGGCTGGTCTTCAGATTACTGTTCCCATAAAACTGCAGTCCCTTTTCGGGATGCCATGTTATGATGATGTAGCACCAGAAATCAAAAGCTGCTGGCGTTTTGACCTTGATAGAATGCATAAAGAAATTAAAGAACATGAGCCAGAAAGGAATAAATTTAGTTCATTTCGTTGTGTTTATGACTATAGGAGGTTGTAATTTGACATAGTGACGTGCTCTTGCTAACAAAAAGATGCAGAGACTTCAAAGTCATAAGCTCATTATTTTTCCTTTTGCCCGTAAGCAAACCCTGAAGTCTGTGCAGTTCACTGTTGGTTCTCAATATCACCTTCAACAAAAGCACTTTACGTCTCTTTACATACCTCCCAAGTTTTCGTTGACGAGACCACTCGCGCAACTAGCGTGTCTCCCACAGCGTAAAGTGATACACCACGCGCTTTCACACTTGGACCAGTATCGATGATGTACCTGGGCTGCTGCTTACAAGACTTTACGGATAAGTCTAACCTTAGCTTTATACCAATAGTGAAACCCTTCTCGCAGCTGTCTGGATTTAGAAGACAGTCTTGCGAGGAAATCGTTGTAGCTAGCCACGTTCTGTTAAAGATTCTGAAACCCATGTTGAGAAGACTGACTTGTCCACTGATATACAATGGAGGGACACCAAAAATCTTATTCTTTTCCAAGGCCAGGAAATACCAGTAATAACTTGCAGGTATAGGGGGCTCTAAGGAACAAAACATAAAAGTTTGTTGGGCAAGTTTGTCTGGCAGGTGATCGCAGATTCGCCCTGAATTTTAATGAATGAATCGCCTTGACGAGATTAAAGGCAAAAATGGGCTTAAAATCCAGGGACACACGCCATTTTTTGTAAAGGTTTGTTTATAATAGGATTTGGACAAGTGCATGCTAAGTAGGTGATAGACTGTGGAGATAACCTCCAAGAAGTACCCACTCCTCTAAGCGTGAAACATTTTTAACAAGAGATGTGAGAGAGCAGTTGGCATTAGCAAGCTTCCAAAACACCAGCTGGCTTTCCATTGCAAGTAAGTAATGTCCAATTAAACCACTCTCTTTCCACTGGTCAAGAGACCACAATATCACCTATAAAGAACTGCCGAAAAAATCAAGCCTCTGATGCTAGGAGTGTTTTATGGAAAGTACTGTAATTATGAAAACAGACTCGGTAAACGTTTGATAAAGCAAATACTGAACATGTTTATGGCAAAACATCGTGATTAATGGTCCGCATATGGCGAGGTTCTGCTCAAATTTGCCCAGTAATAACTAATTATTTCACTACAAAGTCTTTAAAAATAAATTAATTAATGCAAATAACCAAATAGCGAACATGGTTCACACCTTTAGGACCCGGCCCCGTCGGAGTAACAATCGTTGGTTTTGGTCCTAAAAGCAAAAACGCAACAATGAAAATGGTTATTAAGAAAATGGTTTATCAAAATCAATGTGGCCATCAATTCATGGAAAAGGAGGAGAACAAACCTGAACACTTAGCTTTACAAGCTGCCTCTGTGGGGTACATGTTCTCATTTCCAAGACACAGTCCAAACTTGAATGGTTTACACTTGTCGGTGGCCGAATCGAAATAGTATCGCAGCTCTGCATTAACGCATTTGTCAGAGTTCCAAACTCTCTGACATATGTCTGTTTCTGAGGGATCTGACAAGAAAGAGAAACGAATTTTATCACTCTGTAAGACTACCAAGGATCACGTGCACGTTGATATTTCACTTATGTGACCAGTGGCCATAATCATGGAATAGAACTACGACAACACGAACTTTTATGCGGAAGACTTTGATTTGTAATTGAGGGTAGCGGGAGGTTTAAGTTATCGAAAGTCAGCTGTTCGTGTTATGTTTTTTTATGGCTTGTTTTGTTTTTGAAAACGACTCAGAAGGGCAGAAAGAACCACCTTTGTTCTCAGACGTACAGGCTGGCAATAATTTCATGTATTTTGTGGCACATATGAATCTATTCATAGGAATATAAAGCTATCTCACTTGAACCTCTTAGGGCTTAATGTTAGTGGTTTTGTTTTTTAGGTTGTTGTTTCCGTTCGCTTTTGGCTTTTTGGTTTTTATTTTTTTCTAACTTTTTCTTGTTCTTTTTCCACAGGTCCTAATCAGAGCCATAATCAGAATGATTGAGGTTCGATTTATCTTCTAGGGTTCGATATCTCGACTAGCATTTTCATTCTTTTTCCCACTTATTTTTTGCAGCCCACGTATACAGAAGGTAATTATCTTACACCGGCATTACCATAGTACAACAGGTATTATCCGTAAGAAATATACATAGAAACCTACCGCATATTTGCTCGCAGTTCTTTTTCGAATACAAATGCGACATATTTCTGTAGCTACAGTGAGCCAGAACTTCCTTCAAGAAGCTGACACAAGGAGAGCTTTGTTCATCAACAGACGCTTTACCCACTTCTTGTTGGATGTCAACTTGACAAGGTCCTTCCAGTTTACCGATGGCACATGGAGAGACTATAAAAAACAAACAAACAAACAAACATACAGAGGAGATATCAACAGAAACTATTGAATATGATTGGCTTTCCTATGTTTGGTTATCTGACAATATCTTGCATTCAGTATGTCGGGACACAAATCAAGAAAACTAAATCTGATTAATGGTAAGCCCTTAACGGTTGTACTGCTCGCAATTTCCTAACTCGCATAGCTCACAGTTAGTAAAGGTAACAATATGATTTCGCGTAAATTTGGTGTCATATGCACTGGTAAATTTTCAAAGACGACAAGTGGTTACAAGTGTTTATCACACCAAAATGCACGAGAAATCATGTTGTTACGAGTTGATAATTTACATGAAAAAAAGAAAAACCACAGAAAGTCATCAAGGGAGACGAAATTTTGAAAGCGTGCGCGCGTTTGCGCACGCTATATTTGTAATTTGTACACGTGTTGCAATTTTGTACTCGTGTTACAACTTTGTGCTCGTGTTACAACTTTGTACTCGTGTTACAACTTTGCACTCGTGTTGCATGAGAATGCACTCGTGTTCAGCCAATCAAAAGCGGGTAATCTTTTCATGTACATTATTGGTTAAAAAAAAAAATGCGCGCTGAAAGGGTCATTTACTAATCGTTCCAGTGTAGTAGCACGATCCCATGATCATTCTTATTTGGGTCAGATAAGATGACAAGTACGACTTCCTTTAAGAAAATAGACTTACATTGACTGTGATTTCAATGCGAAATGTTATTCTTACCTATGTTACAGTTAGGACCTGAATATCCAGGTGAGCACTTGCATTTGTTGTTCACACAAATTCCTCCATTCAGACAATCTGGCTGGCAAGTTGCTGAAATTGGAAAAAAAAAGGAAAGAATAATAAAATGAACGCAATGGGTATTATATTGGAAGAAAACACAGAATCAAAAACAAAACAAAGAAAAGAGTTTACAGCAGAAACAAAAGCCCAAATTACGTGGCGGAGAAACAAATTTCTAACATTTACATAAATAATAAAAAAACAAACAAACAAACAAACAAAAACCTCAGAACAACGAGAAAAAGTTAACATGTAGAAACTGTGGGAGGTGTTTTGTATATTTACAATCAACCAAACTTACACGAAAACAAAAGAAATTTAGGTCTAACCCAAACCATGGTTTTACGCAAGCAGCGGGCTTCAGGATTTCTTTATAAGAGGGTTGATTTAATTTAATATATGTCCTTCCACCGTTAGCCCTCTTGGCACTGTCCACAAAAACAAATTTTCAGATGAAGGGTTTGGCTAAATTGAAGATGGCTTAGAATGCGATGCTGTTAATTAAACAACGGCTAAACTTCGTTAAAAAAACGGCCCTTGGGGTTTACTGCACTCGGAAGCTCAAAAAACTCAAGTTTTTTATTTCAACAAATGACTGCAAAAACATATAGGGCATTAGACGTAAAAAAAAAATAAACAAAAAGAAACAAAAGAAAGAAACAAAACACAGAAATAGATAAATTATTCTTATCTGTCTCAGATTAGAACAATTCTTAATCGTTATCAGTACGTACAGATATGACACCACTGGCCGGAGTAGCCTGGTTGACACTGACAAGTGTTTGGAGCGACGCATTTTCCACCGTTCTGACAAACTCGCTGACAAACAGCTAAAAAGATAGAATACGAGCCAGTTAATTCTAACACAATTCACTACGTTCATCCTTTCCGATTTCACCTTACTACATTCTGTAGTTAACTAAAGCACGGCTTACCATCAGCTCAATCATCAGAACCCGAGACAAGTTTTTCCGTTTTAAGGAACCATAAGTTATAAAAACACGTACTTCTCAAGTGTAATTTATGGCCGTAGATGTTTCACTTTCATTAAAAACTTCCGAAAGATCCATCGATAAAACTTGCGTATAAATTAGTGTACAACATGCCTTACAGATTATAAACTATGAGTTAAACCTTATCACAGCGAGGGAACAAAAGTATTACAGGATTTAAAGTTTACTTACGCTTGTTGCAAGTTTTACTTCCATATCCAGTCGGGCAAGTACACTGATTCGGTTTACTGCACGTCCCTCCATTTTGACAAGGGATTTTACAAATAGCTGCGTAAAAAAAAAATATATATTTGACCGATGTATTGCGCATACAGAAAAACAAAGAATTTTTACCCGCCTTAGTCAAAAACAAAACCTGTTCTCTCAAAAAGAATGACAAGAAACCTGAAGTGTTTGGTTTCAGAAATCTGGAGTGTTGAGCTCTTGAAAGCTTTCGTAAAAGCAAAGTTATACAACTCGCCCAAAGACAAAAAATAGTTGCCTGGGACACCCGACCTCTTCTCGAGTACAGCATCTTTTCTATTTTTATCTTTAAAACACTATCTTCGCGCGTTTCAACTTTTGCCAAAATAATTGAGAACAGCCAGCTGTAAAAGCTATGGTAACCTTATGACTTACGTGTCTGACAGTAGTTTCCTCCATAAAGTCCCTGACCACACTGACATTTGGCATTGACGCATGTTCCGCCATTTTGACAAGGTGGGTTACAAACACCTATTCAAAACAAAATTACATAAAGAATAAGAAAGGATCACGAAGGTCAACGAAGCTACTCACTATTCAACCGAGTTGACTTCTCAACCCTTACACCATTACTTTTTTTTTTCTATCTTTTCTTTTTTCATATTTAACCAAACCAATATTTTTTGGTGATGCAGTATCATCAGCTGCAATGTGGTGCTTTCCCTCAACTCCTCCTTCGGTTTATGTTTGATATCTTTTATTACTGCCTATTTTCAGCCGAATCATCCTCAACATGTTGCGCCAGGAAAGATAACCAAAGTGATATGATTGTTATCCTTCTCAAACTCTTAATTCTGAGTCACCTGTTTCCTTAGCTACTCACTAGGGCATGGCTGTACATTGCACACTTGTGTTTCTAATTCTGGTCCTATACCCTGATCCAGACATGTCTTTCCTCCGTTCTGAGGTGGAGGGTTCGTGCAGGACCGAGTGCGCATGCGTGTTCCTCCGCCACAAGTCGCTGTACATTCTGTCCACTGGCTCCAAGGAGTGTAGCCACCATCCACTGTGACAAAGAGCATAATAGCAATGAAAGTTATGAAATATTAATCGCGAGCATGGGGTAAAAAAGAAACTCAGTGTCCAATTACACTGTAGTTTCAAACCTCAACCTGTCAAAGCCGCAGAAAATCCATTGGTCGGGCCACGTACCATATGTTTATTAATGTGATTTCCGTACGAGTGTTGTTAAATTACGTGAGTAACTCACGCACTAATCAAAAAGTTCTTGTTAATGTACACGTACGAGTGTTGAAGGACATGTGTCAAGTTGAAAAACTCAAAATCGCGATGAAAAGCTGAGTTTCCACGGACTGCTCCTGACATAAGATACAAAATTTGAAGGCGTACAAGCTAAAGCTACATTCGGTAAGTACTCTGAAGGAAGAGCACAAGTGAAAAAGAAAACTTGAACGTCAGCGAGTAAAAATTTTCGAAATGTCAAGGAAAACTTATCAAGGTAGAATTTCCCCCAAGCTCTCTATGATATCCTAGACAAGAGTCTTCCTTATACATTCACCCTTATAAGAAAAATTTTGTCTCTAACTAATTCTCCCCAAAATCCGGCGAAAAAACTTTTGAATGAGTCAATAATTTTGGAATTTTTAAGTCAATAACCGTACTTTATCTCATAATTTCCTTTCTATCCTTTCTGAAATGGTTTAAACAATTTGAAAACTGCCGTGCTGGTAGTTTACCTTTGACCCCTGGGCAGGCATCAGGGTTACAGTTGCGGGTTTCCATGTTGCCTCCTAAGGAGGAACAATCGGTTCCCCCATTCAGTGGTACAGGATTGGTGCAATTTCTAGTCCTGACTTGAGTACCACCCCCACAGGTGACAGGACAGGAGGACCACTGAGTCCATTCATCATATCCACCAGGAACTGTAAATATATGCGATTAAGCACGTTAGTGTGTTATTTAGGCTCAGGTTAGCAGGGCACTTTACAGTTAGTGTCGAACGTTACCAGGATCGCATTGCATTTCTCCTCCGCTCTCTGACCGGACTATAGTAAATTTGTGCCCCTCTCTTGACCAATCAGATACAAAACTTAAATCAATCACGATCTGCTGGTGCAGCTTAAAATAAACCAAGTTACTACCGTCTTCTGACCTCGGAAAAGACAGTAAAGAGAGGATACTGGTAGAGCCGATGACTTTTACAGTTACTTTCACCTTTTTAATTAAATGAATATGAATCAATTAACTAACCTGGAAAGGGACACATAGGATCTGGTTTACCCCCTTCAGGCGCTGTGCAAAGAAGAAAAAATCAAATGGTCAATACCAGAGCTCAAATTCAAACCGTATCATCACCATTATCACTAAGGTGCTTTTCTTTTCTTCTTACACACAGCTACTAAATACCTTTCAGCATAGTGGAAGACTCCTTTACCCAGTACCAAATAATCCCTGGATTCTCTGAGTCCCCACTGATCCACTGAGCTGGTTGATTGTCGGCAGTTTTGGACACAATTGTTCCATACTTGGTTGGACTTTCGCAATCAGATGTTGTCAAAAGCGACTTATCATCACCAACTGTAACGTACGGCATACGCTTGCCAATTCCTGTTTGGTCCTCTGGCCAGGTTCCAAACTTCTTCAGTAACTGTACCCCATTAAGTGAACACTTCGTAGTCGTGAAGCTAAACAACATGAAGTATGTATAATCATCATCACTCAGAGTTCAGGTTTTTAGTTTCAACATTATTAAAACTGACAACAAATGTTTTATTTTTTTCCAATTTTTGCTGTCATGTATAATCCTCTCTCTTCTATACTTGTAAGAAATCGCAAAAAAATGTCAGTTTTTGGCATATTACGTTCTCCAAAAGAATAATTGTCTTCATACGCACAAATTTTGAAATTGAACAAGCAAAACAGAGACTTTGCGCTCAAGCGAGAGTACAAAAAGCCAACCTGTAATTCTGAGGAGCCACAAAAATGCCGCCATTGCTGCCTCTCTCTCGCGCCTCCAGTCGATAAAGGAAGTACGGACTAACAGCGATTGACTTGATTGTATCACCCTCATCCAGCGCAGAATAATCTTTGGTAACAGACGGCTCTGCGATATTCCTAGATTTTAATAACAATATTCAAAAGTGAGTTTTGAGTACATAAAACCTAGAGTTGTTAAGGGGGTATGGATGTTTTAAATGAATAGGGTTTTCTCAAAGCTGTCGTATATGGAGCCGTTTGTTTATGAGAGAATGTCTGTAAATTAGATATCACACAAGATGGTGGTTAGAAAAACAGGGAAAGAAGTTTAGTACAAGGTTGGATGTGAAGATGCACATCCGTCGTCTTTAGCTCTACGCGCGTTAAACGGGAACATAGCACAAGTAAAAAGAGGTTAATAACGAGAAGTAAGCTGGGAAGAAAGAAAGAAGAGAACGTTCAAAAGCACTATCATACCTGCTTTTTAAACTGTCTTTGGTCCAACCCTTGTTGGTCGCACTTGTTACCAAAAGAGTCCATCCACCATTGTCATGTGTCATATCACAGAACACATTGGCTGTTTCAGCAGAGTTTGGTTTTTGTAGGTAGATTGTGTATATACCATCAGTTTTACTGTGGCAGCGTTCAAAAAACTCCCGACAGGAACGTATAGGGACTGAAAGCAATTAAGCAGACGACTTTGTTAGCTCATAGAAGCATTATCACTACTTCTTACTTCTGTCTGGGGTAGGAAATTGTTACAAATACCATGATCAGCCATTTGTAGAATACAACAAGTAACAAGTAAAGGTGTTAAAATTACCCCACTCAACGCGCTTCAATAGAAGGGCGCAAGTCTCAAAACTCACTAAAAGTCATCGAAAAAATACTGAAATTCCGTAAAAAGTACATCACCCTTAGCCTCTAACTACAGGCCATTAAGTTATAAAATAATATTGTTTTGGTCTGATTCGTTTTTCTTGTTTGCTTTTGGTTGTTGTTGTATATCTTGTTCTTTTCACTTGTTTTTTGTTTTTTGCTGGCGTATTAATATGTATTCGTAAGCCATGATATTTGTCTATACTCACTCTTTGGTTCAGGGCAGGGTTCTGCATTACATTCTTTAGTTTCCACAGGTTTTTCAGAGCAGGATTTGCCTCCGTACATTGGCATGGGGTTTGTGCAGCTACGTGTCCTTGATGTTACTCCTCCACCGCAAGATTCAGAGCACTCAGTCCAGTTTGTCCATGAAGTAAAACCACCATTTACTATCATGGATATAAAAAGTGACAATGTTACACGAAAAAACAAAAGCAAATGGCAATGATAACTATGAAGCTTACTGGTTATGTGCTGACTTAAAGATCGCGAGGTCATCGTTTGAGACAGGACAAGGTAAAGGTGTGTTATAATTGTGATGTGCTCTTGGACAACACACTCTACTCTCAGTCTCTCAGTAATAAGTTTATCAAATTGCACCGTCTTTGTGAATAGGAGAATTAATCTAAGAATTTATCTTTCTAACCTGGGAGGGGGAGGGGGAGGGGGAGGGGGCATAAGTCCCGTAGGAGTAGCAAAAATTCAAGTACAAGAATGGGATAAAAAGAGATAAGCCACAATAGCCGTTCACCTCAATCTAAAATCCAATATAGGAGGCATTCCTCTAATGAAAAGAATATTAACCTAATGATTTCTGAGCCCTACCTGGGCAAGGAAGAGTGTTGCAAGGCATCACTTTTTTCGTCATCTGTCCTCCAACATTTACCATTTTGAACTTTTCACCACCACCACATGTTTTGGAGCATTCTGACCAACCGGTCTCTGGAGCTGAAGAAAAAGTACGGAAGATGTCAGAATAACGGACACGTATTTGAAAAAAAAGTTGAATCACACAAAGTCAATATGGCTCATGTTTGAACCCGTGATAGTAAGAGCTACATTAACTTGCACATGGTTTTAAAAACCCAAAACACATCGTGGATATGGGAGAAAACATAAACACGTCCTCTCGACAGCTAAAAGGAACTTATTGTGGCTGTTGGCCATAGATTGGAAAGGGCCTTGTCTTTTACAGCATAAAAAGAGATACAGCTACTTACGGCCAGGAGGACACACTTGAATATAGCATTGCTTAGTCTCGGTAGGTTCACCAATAGCCGCACAGTCAGCTCCACCATAACTTGGCTCAGGGTTGTTGCACGTCCGAATCCTACTTTGCTGTCCATTGCCGCAGGTTACGCTGCACGCTGTCCACTGTTCCCACGGCGAGTAGCCACCATTAACTGGCAAAAAAGTACAGTATAGTGAAGAACAAAAACGAAGTCCCACTTTTTCCTAAGATTTAATTTAACTGGTCCACAAAACTTCTTGAAGGCAGTAAATATTCAATGACATTTTTGTATATACATATATATACAAAATATATAACCTACCTGGACATGGATCAATCTTGCATTTTATTGTTTCAGTAGATGATCCCAACGAAGAACAATCTCTGCCCCCAAACTCAGGGGAAGGATTGCTGCACTGGCGCGACCTCAGCGACTCACCACCGCCACATGTCACCGTACATGGTGTCCAGTCACTCCAGGGAGAATAGGCACCATCCACTGAAAAGGAAAAGAAAGCAAGAGTGTTCAGCATTTTTGGGTACAAAATATTCAGTCTCTCCATTGTAGCATGCGTGTCACTTGAAGAATGCGATTTTCAGAAACTCCAGATGCTTACAAAGAGTTGTCAAGAGCGGTCTATTTGCGAACTTCTACGATAGCTGGGGAACAGATGTTAATATTTGCGTCTCCCACACAAGCAAAAGAAAACGATTTTAACCTTTCACAGCTCTTTCTATAACACGTAGTTGCCATTTTTCTCGTCCTCGCTCGCTTTACGCTTGCCCCGACTCACATGGGAAACACAAAAAATGATGCTTGTTCCCTAAGCTAATCCTATTTAGATAAAGGTAACACATCTCCCACTCTATGTAAGATTATACAGCTTCATGTGTGATGAAATTTTCTTACCAGGACATTTCTGCGGGTTGCAGGGCTGTGTCATAATTTCTGGTCCGTCCACTGAGCAGTCCTTACCACCATACTGTGGCGCTGGGTTAGTGCAGTTTCTTGTTCGTTTTACAATTCCTCCTCCACAGGTAACACTGCAGGTTGTCCATGCAGTCCACTCTGTGTATCCACCATTTACTGCAACAAAATCGTGATAGTTACTCTGGTTATAAAATGCTCGTTTTCAGTTCCAAATCTCATGTCAGAGTGGAGGAAGATAATCATCACAATTGTCTTCTATGAGGTATTCAGTCACCTCGCCACCAGGAAGACTCGTCACCGGTGAACTCGCATCAAAGTGTTATCGATTAAATTTACCCGGGCATTTCCTTTGCAAGTCGAATATGAAAGTTGTGTTACACTGGCCGCAGTTTAACATATCATTTTAAAATACTGAACCGATTCAAATCGGGAAGCGCGCAGTCAAAGCTATAAATCAAAGAAATAACATGCAGGTATTTTCAATGATTATCAATGAGAACTTACTCGGACATGGCGTAGTACTGCAGTTCCTCGATTCTGAGCTTGGTCCAAGTATGCTGCAGTCTCTGCCACCATTTGCTGGGGCAGGAGCAGTGCATGATCTTGTTTTCTGCTGCATACCTCCACCACAGGTGGCACTACATGGTGAATAGTGACCCCATGGGGTGTACCCACCGTCAACTGAAAACCAAAAAATGGCACATTAGGTCAGACATTAACATTCACTCATTCTTTCATGTATTTAATATCCACTTTACTACCCTATTGGTGCTTACGTTAGCGGGTACTTAATTTCAGGATTTTGGCGATACAGTATTTCGCGGGGATTTATTTCCACGATTCAAGAGACAGGCACGCAAAAGGGCATAAAAATTTAGTGATTCAAGTGTTCTCGACTTCAATTACTTTTCAAAAAGTCTGAACTTTTCATGATTACAGGAAAGATATTCTGAGGAATTTTTACGAATCTCGCGACTCGGATAAAGTCATTATTGTGCGCGGGTCATAATTATATTTCATTTTTTTCACAATCGCGTAGAACGCGAAATAAAGACTCTTGAAATTAAGTACCAAAAAGTTCAAAATCTTTAATCCGATGTGTTGCTCATCTGAACCCCGTTAAGTTTGTATAGTGTACCTCAATCAGTTCCTCAATTGATCAAGAGTCCGTTAATACTTCAACGACATTGTTACATTAGTCTGTACCCAATAACCAACATTTGAAACATCAGTTAAATTTTCAGTCATCAAAACATGCATTGTAACAGAACGTACCCGGACAGGGCTGGGTGTTGCATTCTTTAGACTCGGATGTTGGACCATTACAAGGCTTGCCTCCATTTTGCGGCACTGGATTTGTACAGGTTCTACTGCGCATCTGATTTCCTCCCCCACAAGAAGAGGAGCATATAGAATAATTACCCCAGTCACTAAAACCTCCATCAACTACAGATAACAGAGAAAGGAAATTAATGATCACGCTGAAATGGCATCACCTGGAACAGAATGTTATATTACTTTTGCCATCCAACAACATGTCCATATTCTTACTTGGACATGACTGTGTGTTACATTGCCTGGTTTCCTCATAACCTCCAGAACAATTCTTTCCACCAAACTGTGGCAGCGGATTAGCACAAGATCGTGTACGTGACTGAACTCCTCCACCACAAGTCTTACTGCAGGCTGAGTAGTTAGAGAATATGGTAAATCCACCATCGACTATAGAAAAAGAACATTTAGAAAGTTCAGTAAAAAAACCACAAACAAACAAACAAACAATTATTTTGTAGTCTTCAGTTTTAATTGATGTTTTTCGTGTTACAAAGTTGAGCCCGAAAAATATGCTTAATAAACCTTTTTTCTGATATAGTAGAAGTTATGTTCTCCAGATCATAAAATATTCATTTTTTTAATTATCACAAAAAATAGTTATACAAGGGTGTACAAGTTTAACGCACAAGTGACAAAGTTACCTGGGCATTTCTGTGTGTTACATTTTCTTTTTTCAAAGTCTGGTCCAAAACTAGAGCAGTCTTTACCACCCAGCTGTGGTTCAGGATTAGTGCAAGTGCGAGTCCGTGTCTGTTCTCCTCCACCACAGGTCTCTGTACAGTCAGACCAATTTGTAAATGGAGAGTAACCCCCATCAACTGAAAAAGAAGATTTTAAAATCATTAGGAAGAAAAATTAATCATAACACAAGGTGTAAGGGATACTGCGGTTGAGTCATTCATGTATCACGTACTTGTTGCAACCTAAAATACATGTTAATTACAAATAAACAAATCAGTGACAATCAAAGCTAGAGGGATCACACATTTTTGTGTTGTGGGGAACTTCAAAAACACAATGTTTTTGCTTAAGTTTCAAAGTTTGATAAGGTTTTGCAAAACTGTGCTCTAAGGAGAATCACTGAGTGACTGAGTGCCTCAGAAATCTGATCTAAAAACATTTTTTTTAAAAGCTGAGTGATAAATGTAGACACTTACTAATTAAAAGACAGTGGTTATTTGCCTACAAAAATGCAACTGTGGGCTTTAAGCTGATTAGCACAGCCCTGTTCAATTTCAAGCAATTTTTCCCACATACAATAAATTAGTCCTGCTATCGAGGGAAATCACTTGAATACCTAAATTATGATTCTGAATAACTCAATCTTCAAAGCTACATGAGGCCATATATACAGATAAAAATGATTTCCTACTTGGACATGGTTTAGAGTTGCACTCTTTAGATTCCACTGCAGGACCAAATGCAGAGCAGTTCTTTCCTCCGTGTAAAGGAGGTGGATTAGTACAGCTTCTGGAACGAGTCTGCACTCCTTTACCGCATGTTACACTGCACTGCATGAATTCTGACCATTCACTGTAATTACCATCAACTGAAATGCCATCAACAAATCTCAATTATGGAGAAATTCATTTTTTTTATCTGTAACTAGACGAGAAGCTGATTTATGATTTCAAATTTATCTCAAATAATAGGAATTGCATGATGAGTCATGTCATCCAAAATGTAATTACCTTGTCAAATTTTTACTTTGAAATGCTACTTTATAACAAAATACAGTTAGTGGAGAAATGCCCCTTCTCTAAAACTAAACAGTGTGGAGCTGCCTCCACCAATGGGCAAGATGAATACAAATGTATTGCCACAATAAGCTGCATGTGGATTCAAAAAGGTTAATTTGGCCTATCCTGACAGTTCAGGATTTCTTGCTTTTTCCCCACAAGTTATATTCTTAAGGAAAAATATACTTTGTTTGCAAAGATGCAGGAGCTGCCATGGCCTGACTGGTAGCTCCCCGTGACTTCAGGTCAGGAGATCCTGGTAGGAGACCTTCTTAGCTAGCCTATCAAGCTCTGAATTTGGACAAGGCACTTTACTGTGACTAGTAATGCCTTCATCCACCCTGGAAGGTAACATATGACTTGGCCAATATCCATACAACCACTTTGACTCACCACCTAATTATAACACTCATCTTATATCTCAGTGCCAAACTTACTTGGACAGTAAAATGTATTGCAGGCCCTTGTTTCATTGGCTGGCCCTATGCAGTCTTGGCCATTGTACTGTGGTGTAGGGTTGTTACATAACCTGGTCCTAGTCTGGACTCCACCCCCACAAGTTGTACTGCAAGGGCTGAAGACCCCCCAGTTATTGAAGCCACCATCAACTAAAAAGAGGTAAAAATAAAATTAGCAAATGAATGTTTCTGCAAAGAAAAAAAAATTGGGATTTACTTTCATGAAAGTTAAATTACCAGTCAGATTAAATACTGTTCTTGTATTTCACAGACCTTTCAAAGAGCCAAGGAGGCAATGAAAATTGAACTGGCCTTTTCATTTGTTGTTAAATATTAAAAGTAGTATCATGATTGCAAAAACCAGAGATTATCTGCCCATTTCCTTTTAAACAGGCTTGTACATTATTTTAGGAGAAAATTCACCTCAAATGTTCATTCAAGAAAAACAAATTAAAGGAAAAAACTTCATTGCATTCATTTCTGGCTACAGGATTAAGGTTTTTAAATGTACCATTTGATGTTGTTTCAAATCCAAAAGTGAATTCAAGGTTCTTACTTGGGCAAGGTTGTGAGTTACAGCTGCGAGTCTCTGCGGCTGGTCCTAAAGCAGCACAGTCCTGTCCACCATTCTGAGGTTTTGGGTTTGTACATGTTCGTGATCTCTCCTGAATACCACCACCACAAGTGGCAGAACACTCTTTCCATATACTCCAGGAAGTATAGTTACCATTTACTACAAAGAGAATGAACATGATTTGGATTATATCCATAGAGAATGGAAAAGAATGGGACATGATTGTTTAGCCCACCATAAAAAAATACAAGTTTATCAGTTCACATTAATTAACCATTTATAGGCTCCAAAGAAAGTTTTGTTATTAATCAGAGACAATATTTGTGTACATTTCTAACCAATATCTAACTGAAAAAAAGGGAAACAAATACAAAAAAAATAGTTTGCATCTTTCAGTCCTATGCATACCAATAAAAAAGTATAAGAACCATGTGAACTGGTTTTCAATTTAAAAGAAAAAGATCTGGAACAACAGTAAGGTAAAATAATCAAGTATCAACAATTTGTGATTTATTTCACTCAGAAATTACTATTTAGTGATAAATCCTGGAAAGATATCACTGCAATCCCAACCAAAATTTATCAAAAAAATGTCCTTGCAAAAATAAGAAATAATAGGAAGAAGCACCTACCAGGAGTCTTTGGAGCTAGAAGAAAAAAACATAAGATAGAACAGTAGAGTAAGAATATATCACATATGACCTTTTCAAATTCATAATGAGATACATTTGTCTTAAGTCCTCTAAGAACTCCTGCCAATAAATTTTAGCTAAGGATATTACAGGAAGTTCATTTCTGCTGGCCATTTGAATCATAATCAACCCTAAATTCAGTCCTTTGAAAAGAAATTTTGACCACAATGGTAACAATGTTACAGCTTTTGAGACATTTCCCCTGTCCACGTTGGACTTCAGGAAGAAACATCAATATATAGAGGGGAGGATGAGAGCTATAGTTCTTCAAAAAAAAAATATTTCATCATTTTTCTTCTAAACTAAATAACTTGCAGTAAACAAAAAATAAAATGTATTTTCAGTTATCTATAGCAAAATGGCGCATTCAGCTTCCACCAGCAACTTACTTGTAAAAACAGGAGGAGGTTTTGGGGTGGTGACTGGTTTTGCTGTTATGATCACTTTTGGTTTGGGTGTGGTGGTTAAAGGGAGCACAGGTCCTGGCTTCCTTGTAGTTGGAGGCTTTGATGTACCACGGGGAGATGTTACTATTTTTGGTGAGGAAGGGGTGGTTGGTGTTGTTTTTGTTGTTGTCGAAGCAGTGGTAGGTGGTTTAGGAGGGCAGGGCGCCGGACACTGTGCTGGACATGGCTGCGGGATTGGACAGTTTGGAGGAATAACACAAGGTACACACGGTGGCAGAGGAGGTAGAATTGGTTTGCTAGTTGCTATTGTCCCATTATTCCCTCGCATACAGGCTGGCCATGATCCTGGCTTTGGAATGTGCACACCTTAAGACAAAAACCCAAAGGTAACAGATCTTAATTCAGTCGTAAAATGTCCATGTACCCCCTACTGTCTCAAAACAAAGCCGTAGTCTCAAAGGTAATCTATTGTTTTCGCCATTGTTTTCTTTCATCAATAGGTAGCATTCATAATGAAGCGTGGAATCATGTTGAATTCTTGCCATTCAGTAACACAAGTCTAATTTTTCCTCGATTTTACCCTCAAACTGTCTCCAAAGATTTTCTCGGCGACCGCCATCTTTGTTTCACTATTATTTCAGAAAACCGCAGGCCAGTAAGGACAGGCAGACTCGTGGCGGGAAACCGGCATAGTTTATTATTTAGCTTGTTTGTTATGTATATATATATCCCTACAGAGCTGTTTCGTGGTGGCAACCACGAAACAGGCTTATAGGGATGAACTTGTAGTTAAATTGTCTTTTTCCTTCCACAATATATACATCGCTCTATTCCTATGTATTGAGCACTGTTTTGAAAGCACTATTTTTACGAAAGCCTGTTTCGTGAAAAGGGGTTTTTCACGAAACACTTTTACATAATATTTATTCTGCTCTGCTTCAATATTGAGCACTGTTAGAAAATAGACTTCCTATATATATATATATATATATATATATATATATATATAGATAGATAGATAGATAGATATAGATATATATATTTATATTTGATCAGTTTTTTATTTTTTATTGAGGAGAATAAAGCTCCCTGTCAGAGAAAAATATTACGGAAACTTAGAAATACCTTTGCTGTCTTCACATACACAAGCCAGGTGTCTTATTTGAGTCTGTGTCAATGCAGACGTGTAGATGTACACTTCATCCACAGCTCCAACAATGAATCTATCACCTTTGTGACTTCCTATTCCCGCTCTCTCGCCCCAGTCCTGCGCCAGATAACCCGCACCGTTAGCGCTGGCTGCCGGCTGTGTATTTACATATACCCGTGCAACTCCTGTGAATAATAAAGGAAAAAAAATCAAGTGTCTCAGAAGTATTGTGATATTTTAGAAAACTCACAGAGGTTCGTTACACAAAATTTACTCTCAGATACATCTACAGCGAACAACCTAGTTCATTAAAAATTATCCCTTTTTGAGTTACTGTAACGTTAAGTATCTTGTGGTTCCATGTTTGCGATTAAACTTGGTTTAAAATAAAGCATAAATAAAGCTAGAGGTACATTTTCATGTCATTTTCATCGATCTATTTTCTCAATCTATGTCACTTGTCCCATGTTTATGCGCTTACGAGTAGTGTTCTTGAGTAAATACAAAATAAAGATTTTAAAAATTGCCCTAGGTTTAATCAAAACTAACACTTACCTTCCTGTTTGTCATAGGTGCCAACGAGATGAGTCCATTGATTTGGAGGAACCACTACTTGTGCAGTATTTACATTAAACACATCTTTTCCATTTATATCACGAGCAAACCACCGCACTTTTCCGTCAACTACTTCAAAGTGGTAGTTTCCTTGTTTGGCTCCAGTTGCAATAGTGTCAAAAAGTGACTGCCTCCCTGCCGTTGAAGTCAACTTCACCCACATTGCAATCGTAACTGCAACACTGGGCTTTGGAAAGAACTTTCTTCCGTTGAAGGACACGTTACCGTGGGAGAATAATCCCACCAGGCCACAACCTTGTGGCAGATTTGTTATGTCCACGTTATTTATTTTACCATTGTTTGCCTTACTGGAGGTGTCAAGAACATCTATCCCCGAATGTCGATCGAAAGGTAAATGAAGAGCTAGCAAGGCAGCCACAGGCAGACCAGCCTGAGGATTTGGCTTGGTTGGATGAGGTACCACGGGAGGTTTCACTGGCTGAGGTGCAGGGGAAGGCTTTGGAGGAGGTGGCTTGACAACTGGGGGTTTAGGAGAAGGTTGTAGGACTGGTGGCTTTGCCGGAGGGTGTACTGGTTTGGGGCCTGGAAGAGGTTGGTAACCCTTCGGTGGACATTTAGTCTTTGGATCAAAAGGACCTGAAAGAGAGGGGGAAAAAACCGTGATTGACTGTAAACCTATTTTAAACTCAGAAAAAAACTTAAACAGACAAAGAAGACCACCTTGGGTAGCAATGGCAAGGTAAGATGGCAATTGTCTCAACTGCTTACCTATCAAATGCAATGACTGAGGAATGCACTGATGCTTGTTTAGTACTTTTTTGGAGACAAGATGATCTCTTAGCGTTGCAAGTGGATCTGCAACAGCCTTTTTGAAAGATATTACGAAGAAGAGATTGATGATGTAAGGTCCGTTTTTCATATAAGGATTCTTCGTTTTCCTAAAAAACGAGTGAAAACACAAGCAAACTTTAAACTGTTAGATACGCTAAATTCAGAGAAATACGATTGTTGCCTTCCTGAACGTTTAACATCTAAAACTCCCGCGTGATCATCAGAATAAACTCATACTTCTCTCTATTACTTACTTTCACGGGTTGGTAGTCTTGTTGTTAAGTTGGCCATGATTATGAGGTACTGTTAAAATATTTCATACCTTACTGCAGTAAGTCGTGCAGATTTAAAGGCCGGGTGAACTCCTTTGTAAACTCCAACAATCTGAAAATGAGTCGGCATATAAGCAATGCACCATTTCTATTTAATAATCTCTCAATTATGCATTTATTTTTTTATTTTCAGTTCATCCCCCTGTTTTGCCTCGCAAGTCAGTTCCATCCACAATCAATTCTGTTCGACCGTTACTATAGAATGGTAATTTAATGTTATCAACTGAGTTGATAACGTTAATTGGTCACCGTAAAGAGTTTTAAGGCTGGCGTTTCGAGCGTAATCCCCTCGAATCGTCAGAGGTCCGACGAAGGGCGAACGCTCGAAAAATCAGCCTTTAAACTCTTTACGGTGGCCAATTTACGTCATAAACTCAGTTGATAGCGATTAATTACCCTGTTATACTCTCACACTGACGCAGCGCCACAGTTTCTTTAGAAACTTACCCCTTTATTCGTTATTATAGAACTCTGCGGGCAAACGAAGATAAAATGAATTGTATTTTGTTATCAGCTGCAACTACCATAGCGAGCTAGGTGACTCTATTTTGCGTTTTCAAGGTATTAATTACCTGCCCTGTCCAGGTATTCGTTACAGTAATCCTTACGAGCACACAAACATATCATGTGATAATCAACTTTGGCTGTCAAAGTACTGGAAACTAATCAGCTGACCTCACGCCCGGTCAACAACCCAAGATTATTCAGTCCATCGTATCACTTACCCCTTGTGAGATCTCTTTGCTAAGTTGGCGTAGGTAAGCCATCGCGTTACTTTTATCTGTTAGTTGTTCATACCAAACTTGACCCAACAGCAAAGATCCACACACGTCTTTGGCAAAACCTAATAGGTGCAACACGAATCAAACTGGTGTATCAACTGAAAACAAATTCAAAGTTTCTTCATCTTCAGATATTATTATCTTCTAATTGGTCCATTGGAAAGATAGGAGATGCACTGAACAATGGCGTCACTATACCATGAAAGCCACTTGACGCTGAAAAAACTTAATCTGTGGTTTTACCCGGGAACAACGTCATAGAGATGAGCAAAATGTCTTGTTACTTTAAAGAAAAATTAACATAAAAATCCGTAGGTGCTTACTTTGCTTTATTCAATTTCTTAATTAGATATACCTGTAGGGTAAGTAGGAGGTGGGGGCGTAGGTTTCGGTTTTTGTTGCGGTTTTGGTTGCGGCTGCGGCTGCGGCTGTGGTTGTGGTTGCGGTTGCGGTTGCGGTTGCGGTTGCGGTTGCGGTTGCGGTTGCGGTTGCGGTTGCGGTTGCGGTTGCGGTTGCGGTTGCGGTTGCGGTTGTGGTTGCGGTTGTGGTTGTGGTTGTGGTTGTGGCGGCGGGCATCCGTGCTGGTTGGGTCCCGCTGCTGCTGTTTGGTTGTCGGGACAACATCCATACAAAGTTACTTGACAGTATACATGATATACAGCTGGAGCTGGAGGCTGAGTGGCTGCCGTAGTGGGAGTAGACGATGCCGTAGAGGGTGGTGTTTGGGTTGTCTGAGGTGGTGTGCTTGTACCATTCGCTGTAGGGAGTGACAAATCATAAAAGAGGCTATCAGTATGCATACCTTAGGAAGACAATGTGCCAGACGACATATCTACAGGCTTTTAAAAAAAACTAGATTACTTTCTGGAAATACTTTGCAGATTAGAGATAGAGAAGACAACTACGATCGCTCCCAACGAAACGTGGCCGTTTCCTTTGACTGTTAGGTTCGCGTAACAATAGCATTTGCTTGCCAGTTCCATATTATTCAGTTTTGAATTTTGTTTCTTTATTTTCTTTTTCAACGAACCTGGCTGTTGGCTCTTTATTTGTACACTTATATTATATCCAATAGAGATGCTAAATCAGCCCAAGTCGTTTAAAAAGCAAAAAACCGAGAAAACAATGCAAGAACGATAAACATAGCCAGTAGGTACCTCTGCAGTTTGGCGTTAACCCAGTGACCCTCGTTCCAGTAATCTCACTGCCAGTGTTTTGATTCACACACCAGCAGTCAGTCTTCCCACTTGCAGGATAGCTATAACACTGTACTTCTTTGAAAAGACCCGATGGCTCGCATTCAGGGACAAATATATCTGCTGCTCCACTGTTTTTCGCATTTTGTTGATCCTTTTGGCATTGACTTAGCACCGGTGGTGATACAGGAGAGGCTAACGGTGTAAGGTGTTGGTCTTGCTGTGGTGGACAGCCCTCCATATCCGGTCCTTTGGCAAATGTTTCGTTATCATGGCAGCAGCCATAGGGACCTAGGTTACAGCTTGGTACGGTTGTGATGTTTGCATGAACTGTACCTGTAGGAAAGGGAAAGGAATACGTTGGTGCTGGCTGAAGAATTACTCTAAGGGTTGCTTGACTCGTGACCATGATTATTTTAGATTCATATATGATAAGCGTTCTGCATTCCTTAGGCTCAGTAATTTCGTGAGCCTCCTGTGTGAGCTCTGTCGTCCATGGAATAAAGGGACATTTAAAACATTTTTCATGAGCCTGAGGCAGAGAAAAATTGGCTCAGTTCCGCGCAAGGTTTTAGAAAAAGTTGTATGTAGGTCCAATAAAGGGAAGATTGTACTGTTGCTAAAGCCTTGCAAACAACTAATTAAACACTATAGACAAATAAGCAAAACACGAAAATAAAATATTCTATACACTGACCACATTCCAGGTTGGTGCCGTTGTCCGTTCTTGTTCCCTGAATTTCTTGACCTGATAAGTCTACACACCAACACTGTTTACCGTACACGTCGTGTTCGAAACACTGAAGTGGAACAAACTTTCCGTCCTCGTCACATACAGGTACAAAGATGTCCGTAATGAATGGCGAAAGAGATATTTCTCGTTCTTTCTGACACTGCGTTTTTGGTTTTTCTGCGGATGAATTTTAAGAGTAAAAGTAAGAAAAAGGAAAACAACGTGCAGAATGCCGGATAATCATCTATGTTTCATAAATATTAATGATGCCGGGCTTTAATAAGCCCGGCATCGAAAAGACGAACATTGGCCAACCGGGTTCTAGGAAACTTTCTCTTAATTTCATGAAGAGCGGGTGTTAAGTTTCATCTTAAGGATGTATCTACGCATATTTATCTACCTTTTACCTGTGTCATTTTTAAACATCTGTATTTCAACCTCGTAAGTTTTCCCGCCTTGATCCGGTAGCTTTTCCGTTGTATTCATTTGTGTTTCCTCCTTAGTTGTCACTGGCTCGTCATGATGATTCTCTTTCTCCTTTTCATCCTTCTTCTCTTCTGCTGCGACAATCTTTGCACAGTCTGGTGTTTGTCCATCTGACATGCGGCTTCCTCTGATCTCCTGACCATCGCTGGTGACGCACCAACATTGTTTTGCAAACCCTTCGTGTTCAAAGCATTGCATATCGCCGTAACTGCCATCTTCTTTGCATTCAGGGACAAATGCATCGTCCATCGTTTTCGCCATTTGTCTTTCTAGTTGACAAGATGACTCTGCAAAGTTCAAATAGGATAAGTTTTCGGACAGATTATTGAAAGACTCTCATTGGAGAACAACGTGCCGATGATGGTCGACGGCTCTCGTGCTCTGGAACCACGGCCAAAAAAAATGTAAAAGAAAACAGTTTTTTGTAGATATATGAGCTCGTGTAAGACCAGAGCCGTTGACAAAAAGAGGTCAATCTCTCCTAAATTGTACTTGGATCACCATCACTCCTGCGCACGGAGATCCCGAGAGCTCTAAGATATACCTAATCCTACGAAACCATTCTTGCCCGACGTCCCGTACTTGTCAATTCGATTACAATCACATGCACAGTGCATGTTGATTTAATCCTATAGGGCCTGGAGCCTATAGATAAGTGCTACCTTATGCTATCTCTAAAAGGAAGTTCTGCCCTAATTAAAGGTTACTTACTTGTTTCATTTTTCACCTCTGCAGGGGCTGGAGAAGGTGCTTGAGCAGGGGCTGGGTAAGAGGAGGGATAAGAATATGGTGCGTACGCCGGATAAGGATAAGGAGCGGGGGCAGGATATGGAGCATAAGCCGGTGCCGGATATGGTGATGGATAAGGCGCCGGGTAAGAGTAAGGTGCTGGATAAGGTGCTGGGCTCGGCGCATACGCTGGATACGGAGACGGCGCTGGAGAAGGTGTCTGAGCTGGCGCCAGCGCCTGCTCTGAGTATGTATATCCTGCTGACTGCTGATCTGAATATTGTGTGTCACTTGCCAACGGACTCGACGAATTATCTGTGCCATTGTAAGGAGATACATTATAGTCAGCTGTTGCGGCGGATGAGTTTGTCAGACTCAATGCATCCTGCTTCACAAAAGCATTCTCCTGTGTCGAATTATTAGCATCTGTGTAAGAAGACGCTGTATTTGGTGCCGCATGTTCTGTTTTGTTTGAAGTTGAATTAGATGCGGAAACATCGTTGCTATTATACAAGGTTGCTGACGAATTATCTTGTTGCGCTGAGTAGTATGAATTGTAGGCAGGGCTGTTGGAGTTTGTACTGTTGTTAGCACTGTCCTGCGCTGCATTATAATTATTGTAATAGTAATTACTATCGGCGTTTGTTTTATAATAGTCCTCTTGACCATAAGCAGTTGCTAGTTGCTCTTGTCCATTTGATGTCCCGCTGGTGCCCGTAGTGTCGGAATTTGACCCGTAACGATAATCACTGCCGGGGTAATTGTAATAAGAGTTTGTGTCATATGAGGCTGATCTTTGAGTCCTCATGCTTGAATCTTTTTCCGGATGCGGGATGTAGGAATACTCAGATGGATTCACGTCTAAAGTGACTGTTCGATCCTCTACAAGTTCAAAATATATTATCAAGATTCTTTTGATACATTAACCGATCTAAAATTTAAATCTGAAAACTTTTCGCGACAAGTATTTGCTGAAATAACCCAGAAGAAAAATTGTTACCTTCCAGTCACTCCATTTAAATTAACGTCAGCCAAACCTCTTTTTTAAACTTAATATCAGTCGATTAACAAGATCTTATTATGAGAAAAAATACCTTAGCTGTTTACCTCTGCGCAGTCGATGACACAATCTAACTTTTACACAATAAGCTAAATTATACACGCGTTTTGATCAGCTCTTACTTTGTTTTATTAGAGGACAGACGCGCAGATGACGTGACCATAAATAACATAGATGCTGCACATTCTCCCACATTACCATCATACGTACTACGTTTTGACGTCATCTGTGACGTGTTATTGAACATACGCACGAAAACTTGGAATCTATCTGTTGTAAATATTTCCGTCTTACCTGGCTTACGATTGTACTCTTTAACTTTGTCAAACAAAACTACTTCATCTCGTTTGACTTGTTTATGAGATGAACCCTGTCCCTCTCTTGAAACTGGGTTGTGCCCTAGAACATAAAGGAAAATTAACTGAATGGCGTTCTATGTTTCCTTGCTACTTGGCATCTTCATAATTTGCATGAAAGCGGGCTGCAAAGGGGATAATTAGTTTCCCAAACTTCGATTCTTCTGCGCTACCCGCTGCCGTTGTACCAAAGAAAACGCCTGATCATAGGTATACTTTTAACCTGATTGGTAATTATTACACTGATAAATAAAAAGAGAACAAGCCTCACTTTCAGTGTGGTTTATGCCTACCTGTTTCGTAAACGGAATTAGCCCAGTGGCCACCGCAAAAGGAATCCCTCTTGCTGTTACATTTGCTAGAACAGAGGGCATCTGGAAGTTCTCCATATCTTCCATAACTGTTTCCACAAAAACAAAGATATGAAAATTGTAATCCAGCGTATTTAAATTGTAATTCTTTGCACTTTTCTATGCAAGTGTTAGCGTCTAGTTCTCGTGCGTGAACTCTTTGAGGGAGATCCCGCGGATCGCCATCTTTGTAACATCCTAGGTGGTGTAATTCTGAAAGAAGAGAAAGAAAAGCGTTTTCATCCATCAAATAATTTCTTTAGCATTTGATTGGTTTCAAAGCGTCATACGATTGGATGTATCTTTTGTAGAGCTGCAAGTAAGGGAGCAATCATTATTCATCGCCTGTGTTGAAGTAGTGGAGGATCTTCTGGGGTATCACATGGTTTTCAAGTTGAACAGAGGGAGATCAGTCGTCGCTAACAGAGTCTAAAGATAAAATCGACCGTTCTAATCAACCGTTCTCTGAAAAAGTTGGACTTGATCAACACTATAGCTTTCACTTGGCGTGTAAATATGCTTTATCGCTATTGTCTTTTGACAGTACCTGTGCCTCGAGGCTTATAGTTTTCCTCAAGCTCTGCGGGCTCTCTCTGTCTCTAAGTGCGTTAAAATTTTCCACGCCAAACCGAGGTTATTGTTCATGTAATTAGGACTTCTAGCTGGTGGTTGAAAATGCCGATATTCTCATTGCACCACATACCTTTTGTTACAGCCCTCCACGGAAGCACTGTTAATAAAAACAGCACCAAAACCGGGCTCATTATCCTTCACTCGGTCCTCTTTCCTCCTTCAGTGGCAATTCTTTTCTCTGTTGAGAGTAAATGGTCAGATCAGTTTTGCCAGCCAAGCTAGGGTGCAATTTTGAAAAAAACGGAAAAATCTTCGGTGACATATTATTTAAGTTCGATTGTATTACTTTTGGCTGATGTTTAAGACATTGAAATGGAATAACAAGGCGGCTGAGAGTGATTAATGAAATTAATTCTTTAATTGCAAATTTCAAAATGGAGTTTTAAGATTTTCTTGCTTTACCAAGAGGAGAACCAGCCTCCCCTACTTTGTTTCGATCAAACACGCGTGGCTCCTTCTTGACTTTTAAAAAGGGTCTAAAATACAAATGAAATTTTAAAATGGAACTTCAAAATTTTTACAGATGGAAGAAGAGGGCTGAATTCCAGACGACGTTCCACATATCGAGACATCGCCACAAGGAGCACATTGATGTTTGAACGGTGTCAAATGAAGCGCTTCAAACAAGCCAGCGAAACGCAGTCGGCCGTGGAATTAACATATCTTAATGTCCAGTCCAACATGCTCTCCGAAAAAATACACCTCCTACAACTGCGACGACACGGTTCTAGTTAAGCTTGATTTCATTCAGCTTAATTTGAATAAAATTATTCACTACATTCTCGTAATTTCAGAATCAGAAGAATGAATTCCAATCCAACTATGTTTTTCATTATGCAACACCTTCATAGATCAATCGATGAAGGTGGTGTAAAACAGAGACAAAAAAAATTTCTAGCTCACAGATCAAGTAGCTTATGTCCTTGATTACTGCAATTAAGCTGTCGTTACACACGGGTGGCGATTGAAGCGTCAATCGCTTCTACCCCAGTGGACTTAACTACAAGGCTGACAAGTCTTTTTACGAAACTTGCAGGTCTCTCCCTAGTTTGAATACCTTTGCAATAGAAATGGTAATTGAGCTGGACTCTCCATTTTTGTAGCCACTGTTGCAAACATATTCTTCAGCTAATTTATCTAAGAGACTTTATGACAAAGACTTTGAGGCGGTTCGTTCCGTTGCATTTTTTGCAACACCACTGTCTACGATTCCTTGTGGTCAAATACAAATCACATACCAACCTTACAAAAATCTCCTCCCCAAGATGAAAACCTCAGAATTAGAGTGTCAAAGCTTTTCCTATGACATTCTAGCAATTTCAACAGCTTAGCAGTATCAAGACTTCGATTTGTACGCCGCCATACAATAACTGACTCCCAACTCTTTACGAATTAATGACATGCAAAAGAACACTAGCAAGTGGTTGTGCTATCCTGGTGCTACCTGTTTTAAAATAAAAGCCTTCCGTCTCTTCTAAGGATCGAAAAAAAAAACTGATATTGATTTAAATGTCGCCTATGTCACTGGAGGTGTAAGATTAAAAAAAACATAATTTTGGGCAGTACAGTACTTTTTGAGTTCGTAAAAGTCGCGAGAGACCTTCAAAGGACTAACATAGTAAATACTGCTACTACGTGGTTCTGCTCTTAAATTGTCCTTAGTTGCTGATACCACTAAAAAGCTCGATTCCCTACTTAAGCAAAGTATTTTCCATATTCCAATAAACGTAATTCATTGAGCATAGTTTTGGGTTAGTAAGAATTCACCAATTGAAATAAAACTTATCACAAATTAGAAATGTCATAATTTTGAAACTCATAACTTAAAATTTCAGCGAGTAATGAGTGTTAGAATCTTCTCAGCTTCAAATCCACGAGAAAAGAGAATGAAGCTGTATTTAAAAAAGGCGTATTTGAGAGGATTCAAAAACGAAAATTTGTCTAAATTTATTTAGAAGTTGTTTAGTGGAGGAATCTCAGTACGATCTTATACAAAATGGCGGACCGTACTGCAGGTGGTTTGACAACCAGAAAAGCAGCTCAATCCAACTGATTTGAACTTAGCTGTTGTATTCGAATTCCAAATACTTTGATTTTTCGTTTACCGCAATGACCTATTTCAGCATTTGACAATCATACAAGTCTTATCCCAATGGGCTGAAAACCGTATTTCTTTTAGAGAACTGGTTATTTATAATTTTCGTAATATTTTTAGTCAGGAAATTGTTGACAAACGTCAGCTTCATTTACAAGTTTAAAGTTTAAATCTTTGAGATCTCTCAGAAACACATATCATGATCAATTTTGATTGTAAGTAGTGAAATTAAGTTATAAGATTTAAGACTGAACGCGGAGTTACAGACGTTTAAACATTTTTCGAACTCCGATCAATTTTTGGATCTGACTTATCAGACTAGACTACACATTCATAAACACTGGAATTTGCCTTACCTCTCAGTTCCTAAAGCACAAGTTTCGACCCAATAAAATCCAATTTTTTAGAACGCTTTTCTTGCTATTTTTGCTAGAATCACGTCATTTGAGTGCAGCTATATATTTCTCCTGATCGTTGGTGGAAGAGAGCTTCACGTCCCTCAAAATTATTTTTCTCGTAACAAAAGAAATTCAATATTAATGATCTCTCGGAAGAACGAACTGGCCTTTTTTACGCAGGACTGTGATTAAACATTGATTTGCCTGACCAGGGAGGACTTAACGACCATGTGAAATTACCTGCTGACCAAATTTATAAAGAAGGAAACAAAAACAATTATGAGAGAACAAGTGATCTTTTTCATTCATTGCTTGGCATATTATGTTTCTCAGTTGTATACCAAAGTCAGATTGACTGCAGTGATCTTTGTATGCACTCTTGTAACTCTCAGCCCTAACAGCTTATATTAATATCATAAAAATGAAAAGGAGCTCCAAATATATTTGGTATTTTTTCAGGTTAATTTTCTTTACAATTTTCCGTTTCAGAAATATTACGCTAAACAAAGTGCTCAACCGTAAAATCTGACAATGGCGGAAAAATATCGACGTTGAATTTCAGAAATAAAATACCATTGCTCTCTTGTCTCCATCAAGATGACATTTTGTAATTAGTTGTCAAAATCCACTCAAATAGGCAAAAATAATCATATCTTACGCGAAAGACATATTTCACTAGATGTAACGGTTGAATAAATATGTTTGAAGGTTGATTTGAGGTTAACACTTTAATTGTTTCTCATGTCAGGAATACATAGGAGTTGGTTTCACTTAGGTTGTAAGGTACACCAACCGTTAAATCATACCCTAAAAAATAAACATGTGAAATGACAGTTTCTTTTTAAGATCGTTAACATGTCTCTAACTTGACTCTTGCTAATCGACTGTCTTTTTTTTTTTTCGTTTTTATTACACTGGCTGAAATTAATGATTCAGGAATATATTTTAAGTTAATAGTGTAGAATTTGTTAGGTTAGCGTTGTTTCTTCATATAGGCTTGTAGTTTTGAGTTTTTTCTTTCTAGAAATGATTCCTATAATCAGGAGATAGTAATTTCTTGGGACAGTCAAACTAAAAATCTTTCCAAGGGTGACGACGAATATCATGTCTGGTAACTATTTTCTTGAAATTGAGGTCTTCTCTCAAAACTAGATGAACAGGGACGCGAAAAATATATCAAATTTCAATTGATGTAGTAAATATTTCAGAAGCAAGCTTATTCCTCTTGTGACACTTTAGAGAAAGACAAAATGTTCCCTTACGTTCAAGAGTTAATCACTGACAATGAGATGAATTGACATTACATCTCGTGGATAACACAATAGATTGAAACTGGTAGTTTTACTGTTAAAGAGAAGAGTACTTGTTTGGTGCCCTAAGAATGAACTCAGTTGGAATATATTATCTAACTTAAACACATACATCCGTTTTCCCCTTAATTATAAAGCTTAATTTCAAACGCTATCATTTATAACACTGCAGAAAAAAGGTCACATTGCCGGTCGAAAGATTTGATAGGAGAACTTTGCCTCTTGAGGCAAAGGTACAGGTTAATGGGCTGGTACAGCTGCCGATGCTCCTTCTGGAAGGTCAACCTTCTGCTGGCAGCTATCGAAATTTCTCTTTTCTAAAACTTCCCTTGTAATAAAAAAATCGAGGCAATTACAGTTTTTTTCTCGACAAAAAAAGCAATAAAATAATATTAACGGTAATAATAATAATAATAGTAATAGTAAACATTTAAATTTGAGGAGAAATACGCTTTTGAATTCATACAGTTGTTATCCTTCTCGTTTAAGATTTTTTAACTTTGTTTTAACTTTGTTTTAACTTTGTTTTAAAGGTACTCTGTTGTAGGCTTTCAGTTATTAAACGGGAAAAAGAGAAGAAGGATGATCGGGCGACTTTCTTCATTACACAGTTTTAATGATTTGCTCAGGAAAAAAGCACTACCAGTTTTATTCAACATCTAAAACATTCAAGGAAGTCAAGCCAAGAAAACAAACAGAACAGCGAGATATGTCCTGGGATGCCAGAGTTCCGTTCTCTCTTTCAGTCAGTGGTTGGTACTTTTAGCCTTCTTGTGTTCCTGTAAATTCGGATGAAAACCCATATAATGATCATATATCATCGTCAAGACTGCCGGGAGATCTCCCATTTTTTCATATTTTATTCTTTATATTAAAAAGGCCAGAACTAGTTTCGCCGCTGCTTTCTTTCTTTTGCATGTAGTTCATAAAATTAAGCACAATTTTTCAATTGAGGGTTACATTCAATCAAGACAAAAAAAAGAGACCTTATTTTCTCGGGTTAAAATTTCCTCATTACGGTTCTGAGTTTATCTTGCCCTGTGCAATATTGTTTTCTAGTTTCCTCGAATCAATGATTATTTCCAAAATCAAGCTTGTGTGTAGAACAATTTCAAGAAAGCAAAAGATGAAAAAAGGGGAAATGTGAAATGGTGCCAAGGCTGCGGAGCTAATCCAAACATTTACTTTCACGTTCTGTTTTTATGAATTGTTTCTTGAACAACCCTACCCGTTTGAAATTCTTCATCGTCATGTTTGTCATGCTCACCTTCGTGTGGTTGGTAGCATTTACATGCGGTTTGAGATCAGCTAAGGCTTTTGTTAGCAGTGGAGTTATCTTGACACCAGCCGGTGGATCATAACCTAAAGTCAAATTAAACAGAAGTTGTAGACGTATTGGAATGGGAATTATTCGACGATGTTCATTGAGTCTGCAATAATTGTCTTGGTATAGTAACTCAGGCGATCATCAGAGCAGTTGCAATTTCGGTGGAGAATGCAAATTCTGATGCTTCAGTTACATAACCCCCTTACGCGGAGTGATTATAGCAAGATGCGACGATTGACTCGAGAGCCAATTTTGTTATAACCTTTCAAAGAAATTATCGGCGAGCTCTGATATCAACTACACCTGTTTTGTAAATGGAGTTACTCCAGTATCCTCCACAATGCTTGTCTTCTTTATTGGTACATTCACTCGAACACTTCCACTCCGGCAGCAGACCGTACCGCCCTCGCTTGTTACCACAGAAGCAGAGATATGAAAACTGTAGGCCTGCGAATCTATAAAACAGGTCCTTGCAGCTCTTGGCGCACGATTTTACTGTCACTTCACGGCCGTGAACTCTTTGTGGGAGATCTCTGGGGTCCGAATCTTTATAGCAACCTACGTATTCATAACCTAAGACAATTGAGTGGAATGCATTTAGTAAGAGACGACAAAATTTTTAAGTCAAGTTTAATGTTTGTTTTTAAGGAGCCCAGGGTATCAATTTATCAGTCTCTTGGTTACTGGAGGTGAGCGAATGAGCAAGCGAGAGAAATTGGCAAGGTTTTTTTTAAACAACAGTGACAAGGGTCCTTTCTTCGATGTACTTAGTCTCCCTCGTTTTCTATCACACTTTTCTCGCAGGCTACCTCCCTCCGCCCTTCTATTTTGCTGATTTCAGTGTTAAAATGTTCGATGTAATAACATAATTTTCGGCTTCAGTTCAGTACACACTTAATTAATGCGTTGTGCGGACTTAAAGCTGGTATTTTGGGTTCAGTCCGGAGATAAGGAACGAATCTGCAGATCTAATTCTATCCACCTTCAGAGCACTTTCATCGTCACGTTTTTTTACTGAAAAATCAAGCGGAGGCGCGACACACGCACTTCAATATCATTGACATTTGTCAACGCTTTGTTTAAAAGATCTCATATGCAGTCAAGCGTTAATTTCGCTCACTAGAGAAGATGAATAATATGTTAACATGTCAACTGACTGAGTAGGCAAGGCTGTAACCCTTGCAACAAATCATCGACAAAATGGTGCTAAGACGCAAACAACTTTTTTTTTTACATCGGAGTTTGGGGCTTGCTAATTGCTAAGGCAGAGCAACAATAGGCAACAATTTCATTATAACGTACACCAAATACCTCCACAGGTGACATACGACACGGACAACACCAATGAAATAAAGTCAGTGCATCGCATGGCTCCTTCTCGTATCCACTATCTTTCAGTCTTCAATTTTCTAGAGCTGATCGAAAAAATGTCAAATGTCACCATAAATTCACGAATAAATGGGTATCACTTGAACAAGTGGTTTCATTCATTCGAGCATGTGACCGGATCAAGTTTTGACGTGATCTGGAATTTTACAATCCGTTGCCTGTTTTGCTTGAAAGATTTAATTTCACCTCAGTTTATGACTTTATATCTAAGTAAGCCTCCAAGGTTCGTTTCGGTATCAAATAACAAAGTAGCGTTACTTTACCTAGAAAAACCTTTGAACTCTCAGCCATCCGTGACTGAATTATCTTCGATCAATCACCATTATAAACGAACTTTCATCATTTCATGGAAATAACTAAAGAATATGAAGCCACGAGCAACATATCAGATTCTAATGTACAAATTGAATAGATGACTGTTCTTCAATTACAAAAAAAAAAATCATGAGATATCGTTTATGAGATTATTTGATTCTTACCTTTCATTGACTTACACCGTCTACGCCTGTTATAACTGTGCTACCTATTGCTACTTCTTACTGCCTTGAAAATAGGTCTGGTGGAATCCTCGTGGTACCCAGTAGAAGAAAAAAAAAGGAAGATGATCTCGTCAAGATTTCTTTCGCTGGAGTTTAGATGACAAAGAGAGAGAAGCCTATAAAATATTGAATAGCACGATGAAACTAGAAATGGAAGACAACCTGTCTACATAACATACTGGTGCTATTTCCAGGGGAGGGGTGGGTAGTGCGAGTGACTTAAGCATTATGAAACAGTGATCCATGTTTGATGTGATCAAGACAATAACATATGAATGCATACACAAAAATGCCTTTGTATTTCTCTTTATTACAGGTGTTTTTGTTTATTAATAATTCGATAAATATCCGATAGTATTTGTAAACTACATGTTTATACATATCTTCAGTACATTCTGACAGCAACTGTTTCTCACTCCTTGGGAAACAAAAAGCAAATATTTCACAATTATTTTTTCTTTTATAAGAGTTACTACTGTTTGCAAATTTCACTTTTTAGACATCTCTACACTTGATTGATAGTCATGATTCATTTAAGCTATTTTTGGAAATATTTCAAGGTAAGCCCTTGTACCCCGCATTGTACTTAACTTAACTGTAAGAGTGGTTCTTTCTGGAATTATTTCAAACATAGCTAATACGCATGCTAAATAATGGTGCCTGCTGGATTACAGTTTATCAATCACTGTTCGGTGAATAATTTAAGTCTTAATAATGAAATAGAATAGCGAATTGCTCATGGACACATAGACTGTCAGCCCTTAGCATCATGCCGGCAGCTCGGTAGATATCTTGCTTTGCATGTAGACAGCAAAAGACTTCTGCAAATGCTGATATTTCTTCTTGAACGCCTCTTTCTCTTTCCAGACATTTCTTAGCTGACTTCTCTCACTCTCCAGTTGCTCTTTCAATGAGAAGTTCTCGTTTAGCAGATCTTCGTATTTTTGCTGTTTACGAATGCGACAATTCAAAGCATAGTTTCGATTCTTCAAGTTGCGTCTTCGCTTCTTTATTTTTGCTGCCTCGTCCCGCGGGAGGTCCCGAAGAAGCTTGTTGAGATCTTGCACGCGGAGATTTTGAATTTGTTCGTCGCTTATCGTCGAAGGATTCAAGCTCTCAGTTTCAGATTCAGAAGATGAGTAATTTTCTTCATTTCTTGTATCTTGGATGTCGCGATCTGTGTTGGAGGTAGAACTGTTTTCCTCAAATAGAAGACTCTCTTCCGTCCATAGGTTTTCAAAAACGTGTTTCATGGCATCGGTGCAGTACACACCGAACAGGGCATCAAAATCTTCCTCCATCATATAACAAATGCAGCGTCGATGAACAATTTCTCCCTTTTCAGAAGCGAATCACAATGACTAAGTGAAAGTCTCTGAGGGTTTTCCCCCCAATTTCGCAGCTGAATAGCTTATTAAGTTTCTGAAACAGGAAAACTTTCGTTTTCATTTCGGGGGGAATTCCCTTGCGCGGTCCTGTTCCAAGAATTTTCTTGAAGCTTTCTGAGTATATACACAGCAACGAGGTGATGGAAAAAAATACATCAGTCTCGCAAACTATCTACAAGTCGTGTCTTCCATGAGGGTTAACGAGACTCTTGTAACCAACCAAGTTTCTTTTCTTTTCTTTTTCATTTGGGAAATTAATCAGATTTAATATTCCTTCCTTTTTCTTCTTCTTCTTCTGCTGCTGTCTCTAAATGAACCTATTCATGGATAATGGAATTCTATTTGTTGACGCAAAGAGCCGCATAAACGTATGCAAAGGCGGAGATGAACTGAACTTAGTAGGCATGGAAATCGCAAAACAAAACAAAACATTGCGAGCAATCAAACAAATAATCACACAAAAGGAGTATATTTCGTTTTACACAATTTGCTACATGAATGTGACACTGTTGTGCGGTTTGTTCATACTCTTGGTTCCTCGAGGTCTTCATGTGGTACTGAGAGATGTTCACAACGTATCCATTTTTGTTGTAAAGTCGAAACAGCACTCATGTGTTTGTGGATATGTTATGAAAGCCTATTTTAAGAAGTATTGTGATCTTTGGTTTTTTCCCCTCTCGTTGATTTTTTATAGTTGGGTCTACTTAAAATTTTCTTTGCCAGCATTAAAACTTTCTCCTAAAGGATTTGATATCTTGACGTCCATTTCGACCACTGTCGGAAAAACATTTTAATTTAAGCGACTATCGACCGAAGAAGTCAAATTTTCTTTTTATTCAATGAATCGAAATTCATGTGCGTCTCAAGTTCTCATGTTTAACACTTTCTAGTCTCTTATACCCAAACGAAATTGAATATCTCTTGTAGAGGGGACGTCCCTGTTATCGTTAAGAGTTAACGAGCTTTAGAGAATCGTAATTATGCTTGAAAAGTTTCCCTATGAACGAATGGTTCTAAATTGATAAAAACGATTTGAGAGACACGATGGTTCCATGATCAACTCGCTGGGTTCTAGTTGTGAGTTGTTTCAATTTTATTGTTGTGTTCTTGGCGAAGATACTTTACTGTCACAATGCCTCTCTTCATGTACTAAATGGGTGCTGAAGACCTATCAGCCGCGACAAAACCGGATGAAAATCTGCAGTGTAACTTACAATTGATTAGCAGTTCATCTCGGTAAAGTCACAATATTTCTAGGTTGCACTTGGTTTGATTGAAGAAAAGTCACTAGCCTAGGCATATAAAGAGTAGCAGTATCATATTGTTACCAAAGAAAACGTTTGCTTAAGTCTGTAACTTTTGTCGAGACATCACAAACTGTTCATGCTGCTGGCTTGCCTGAAATTTGTTAGTTCAAAGACATTTCCCTTTGATAAATCAAGCACCTTGAAGTTGTGCAGTATCAGTAAACGTAAACTCAAGGAAAACTTTAAAAATCTTTTGTCTAATGCTTTGACCCAAAGTAAGCAGGGTGAGTTAAGCTGAAATCAAAGCCGTTGTGTTGAAGACATCAATTGCATACAAAATTTACCTGAAAAACTTTTTTTATTAAAGTTATTAACACCGGGTTTGTACATAATTTGTTAACAACATGCAACATCAAATTGAAGTAGAGTATAGTTTCTTCAAATTACATGAATATCTCTAAATTCATTTGATTCAAAAATTTATTCCTTCCTGTTTACCTAAAAATATCGCCTACGGACACAATCATATAATACACAAAATGACTTTTTTCAGTCTGCAACAGTATTAAATGATCTTTCAGTGAGACATTTTCTCTAACTGACGAATCAATCTTTACCGACTTTATAACGAAATTTCCACAGCAAGTTTTGGATTTTATAACAGATATCATTGTTAGTAGTAGGTAGGTAGAACTTTCCCCCTTCTGAACAACAAACAATATGTATACGCAATTGTTCGAATTACATTAGACTTTTCGCGTTATAAAGAGGTCTAAAAATAAATGTTCAAATAGAATAAGCTTGTTATCAAGTGAATTGAAGTAAAGTTAATTTTATCACTGACTGAAATACAAAGCCATTCTAAAAGCAACTATAATGTCTAAACACGAGAGTTGTGTCTGAGTCTCTAAAGCTATAGTTTACGGAATTTCCAATTGAAATAACCAGGCGTTATAAGCCTCAGTATTCTAACAATACGCTAGGATATGAGAAATATGACTGATGATGAAATTCTTTCGGAATATTACTCAAAATAGCTCGTGTAATTGGTATACATTTGGAGCACACTAACCTTAATTCGACTTCACATGATAAAATTTTGAAGGAAAGTTCCAGTAACACGTATTATTATTGTTTCCGTGGCTGTGAGACCGGTGATCGAATCTACTCAAATTAATATGTCGGTCCAATACTGAATGCCATTGCATGAAAGTTACCATTTTCTTGCAACATTAGGTCTATTAAAGGTGACATACGCCTTATGTAGTTCTGAAAATTTTCTTTTGTAAGAGTCTCTTTCTTTTACCGCTCTGGAAAGGAATTCATTTGCCGCCCGTAGCTGATCTTGCAATCGCTGATTTTCTGTCAGCAAGCTCTCTTTAACCGCTGCACGCCTTCGCCGGCAGTTGGTCGCGTAATCGCGGTTTCTCAAGCTTCTCCGGCGTTTTCTGATTTGCAATACCTCTGCTTGGGGAAGGTTCTTCATGCGTTTGTTAAGTTCGCGTATAGGGAGTGTTGCGATTTCCAAGTCGGTGATCTGCTCACTAGGCGTAGAGCTGGTTGTGTAACAATCTGGGCGCACAGAATATAGGTGCATTTGCGTTAGAGAGCTTTCATCCTCGGCAACGAGCGGTTCAAAGCCGACCCAATAAGAACTGGGTTCATCTTCAGCCAACCTAGCATCAAAAGTGTCGTCCATTTTGGGAAAATCGACATAAAGTTCTTCATCGGTCATGTTTTGTCCGCTGTCAGTCTATTACTGAACGTACCGGGAGCACATGGCCGTGGATACGAAAGTTGCGATGCTGCGATATTACCTCACGTGACTTTCTCCGGCTGTCAATCAAGTTTTGAAATAATGACAGAAATGATTTAGAGCTCTGCCCAATGAAGATGACGTAGGGGGGGAATCCCGTAATATCTTTCGCTTTTGAAAGCATTGAAAGAGTCTCGGAGCGAGAGTGTTCCAAGGATAACAGAAATTGACAACAAAAATCAAATGATATATAAGAGTAGAGCGATGGAAATTATTATTTGGCAAGTTTTAAGTTCCTTTTTCAGTCAAGGCTCCGTTACAATTCTGCCATAGTCCACCATAGAAAACTCTCTTGATGTGTTCAAAGTAGAAACAGGACCCATCAATCGTTCGTATTTCTGTCGATATTTGTCCCTTTCCTGGGTAACTTTTCTCAATTCCATATTTGCTTGGAGAATTTCTCGCTCAAGGGCTGCATTTTCATGTGCGATGTAGCTCTGTCGCTCTATTCCTTTCTGTCGGCACTTTAGAGCATATTTACGATTCTTGAGAATTCGTCTCCTTTTTCTGAATTTCCGAATCAGCCCTTCAGGCAGCCGACGAAGTTTCTTGTTCAACTCTTGAATCGACGTCCTTTCGAGGTATTCGTCGTCGAAAAGCTTCTTATTTACTTTGAGCAAAAGAGAGCGATTGTGATTTAATTGTTGGTGAAGATTACCCGATTCTGTAAGGCGTCCTTGACTCACGATAGTTTCTGGCGTGATCTGCAGGAGTCCTTCAACCATACGTGTATAACAAACACCATCAGAAAGCGTTCGTCGACCCTGCGTGTTATTCGAAGTAAATTCGCGCTCTCCAAATGAATCAAGATAAGACTCCTTCTTCTCCATGACAAATTTGCGATCGACAGACTATATGCTATTCAGTATAAAAGCAATGCAACAGAGGGCAAAGGTTTGGTTTCATTAAAGACGCCCAGAGCGGGAAAGTACCTCTCAAACACAAACGATATTAGGGAAATCCCATGCTTTTATCCAAGTTAATCAGTTTGGCCAATGATAGCGTCTGTTTTCGGTTTTGTTTCAGTCGGTAGATGTATTTATTTTTTACAAAGAGAGATCGAAATGAATGCAGCACGAACGCATCTGAGAGCCTTTTTTCCTAATATATTTTATGATTCTTTGGTGATGCAATACACTTCATGCTACCTAATAATAAAGCTCGATAGAGTTTATCATCTATGATCGTATTTGGCGCTGATGAAGGGCTAAACTCTCACGAAAGAGAAGCTTCGATTGACTTGTGTTCACCCGGCTTGCACTAGTGACTAAACGTTGTGTTTTTCAATATATTATTTTTCTTTTCCCATCCCCGTTTTAATAACTCTCTGCTTGTCCCAGAATCGAAACTAATTTCGATCTATTAATGACCTCTACTTGTGGAAACAACAGTAGGGAGTTTCCCTTGCTGAATGTTTTCGTACTTTGCGCATGCATATCTGATTAGCTGAGCATTAAACAGGCTTCCAATGTTCGCTTAACGAGCCGATTTTGATCCCCAGAAGTCAACTTTTAATACAGTGATTTATTTTGTTTTCTTCCTGGCCGATCTGGTACCAATATACTGACCAAAGACGTCACGTCGTAATGTAAAATACTCATAGCTGTAATAGCGATTGTAAACTTATATATCATTCAAGAGTTTTATGTCTATTTTTTGCTGCCTGAGTAACGGAGATTTGTATTTTTCAGCTAAGATCGTGTTCTTTCCTTCATAACGAGACAGTATGCAACTGCTGCATTTTTTTTTGTATTATAGTAAGATGAAAACACAAGACAGCAGATAAATATTGACCCCTAAATAATCGATCTTTTCTTCGCCCGACATGTTTTTAATATAAAGTGGTGATTATTGAAAGGAGACAGTAATTACTTTCTCTCCTTCCCCGGTCCCTCTCTCCATGTTTTAAAATATATTTAAATAAAATTGAAAAATAAGAATTCACAGCAGTGACGTTCGAATTGTTATAGCAACATCAGTGCATGTCGCAATTCAGATCATGTTGACCCCCAAAGGTTAAGGGAAATTTCCCTACTCAAGGCAATTGAAATGAAATTCTCGATAGAGCGAAAATGGTGGCTAAGATTTGGCAATATAATATGGTTTTGAACTAAATGACCATAAGCACAATGTTTATAGGCCAAATCGCCAAAATAGAAATAAATATTACGGGCAATGGAATCAGGGAAATTTACTTTCAGTTTCGAAAGTGAAAATTTGCATCTGACATTAAGTCGGCGGTTTTGTTTCATTTCCGAAGGGGTTTTTCCCTTTTTGGAATGCGTGACACTTAAAAGTCTCTGATGAACCGCCCTCTGGGATCTTTGATGTAAAAATTAATTTTCTCCTTTTCCAAAAAGATTTTCCACGCGAAGAAATCAATTTCTTTATACTTCACATGTTACAGTTTACCGATTTCACAATTTCGATAGGATGAGTTCGCTGCATATTTTTCATACCTGCTTTTCATTGTTTTGACCCTCAGAGGGCAAGGGACTTTCCCTTCTCTTTTAAGGTGGAACCTGTACGATAAACAAATAGCTGTGGCCAGTGAAATACGAAACACGCATTCTGCGCGACGTTTTCTGAAACATTAGAACTGTTCTTCGAGAAAGAAATCCTTAATTGCCCACGAAAATTTTATTCAGGTTGAAAACCGAACGAAAACCAAAGAATTGTAAGAATATTACATATGACGTAATGATATTTTTTTTTAGATCTGAAAAAAAAATCGCAAAAGTTTTGTTTTTTCCGGTGAGGGAATGTTTTTCGGACGTTTTCAGGGGACAAGAAACAATTTTTAAAGGTTCCAAGATCTATTTTACCTTGCAAAAGCTGATACGTGCTTGGACATTTCAGCTGAGAAGCTTAGAAACTGTTAGGGGATTCCCCGTTTTCATGATTGACAGGCAGGTGAGATGTAGTCAAATCACGCAATATGATTGGACGAAAATCCAGCAACCCCGTATGGAGCTGAGTTTTGATGAGAAATCGTACCATCATGTGTCTCATTTTTGGTTAGATTCCCATTTTGCTAACATGGATTACAGCGAGTTTTTCCCAGAAATGTCCCCGATGGACGAAATTTTGGAGAGGGATTTCTCGAACGATGTTTGCGGTCCAGATTGGTCACACAACCATAGACTGGGAGATCTGGTTGGCGAAGATAACTTCGAGAATGTTTTGTTGCAAACAAGACTTGATTTGGACAACTTCGAGACCGAATCAATCGCTAGTAGCGAGCCTCAGAGCCCACTGGATTTGCAAGTTGGCAAAAACCAACTATTTACCGACGACGAATTGATTAGTATCTCTATAAGACTTCTGAACCAGCAATTGAAGAATTTGCCAAAAGCGGAGGCGAAGCAAATTAGAAAACGGAGGAGAAGCCTGAAGAATCGTGGCTATGCTACAGTCTGTCGACAAAGGCGCACGGCACTGAAAGAAAGCCTCGAACAGCAAAACAAGCGATTGAAATTGGAGTTGAAAGAAGCGAAGGAAAACCTTTACAATACTTTGAGAGACAGAGATATGTTTAAGAAGAAGTATGAACAACTCCACGCATTGCTTTCGAGCCGTAAGCGGCACTTGTCTTCGTGATTATCGGTAATAATGGCTTTGAGGCCACATTCATGAACACATTTCCATTCCATGCACTTATATTGTGGATGACATGATCACGAAAGTAACTTAGCTGACTGTAATTAGAATTTCGCAAAGTCCAAGAACCCACGCTCAAGGATTTACGCAGCGAACGTTAGTTATGTTAGTGACATTGAACTTTACTAGACCCTTCGTCGCGCAACGAGTCTCGCTTAAAGTATATCGAGACAAAGGTAGAGCTGTTTCTCAGAAGTGTTTAATATAATTGAATGATCTTCATCTTTTACGAAACCTTGCTTTCCATTTATTCTATCGGTCATAAACCGCTGAATATAATATATTTTGAATATTTGTCAGTTTAGAGTTGTTGTGGCGTTCACAAAGCTCAGTAGCATATTGAGTAATGTATTATGGTAAAGAAATTGTAAAGTCTTTGGATACTGTTGATGAATAAGTAGCCAGTCAGATTGATTTAGATGTATGAATTGTGTACATTGACTATATTTTGGAACCCTGACATGCTACAGTTGTCCAGTTGTTGATAAATTCAATTCAGTTAAATGTTATCAAATTCCACGGAAATTTTGTCGTGTTGCGACCAAAAATAGCTATTTAAATCTGTGGTGGTCTATTTTAACTTTACGAAAGAAATTGTAATTAATGATTCCGCCAAAAGATGAGAAATACATGTACTTGATAAGTGTTATCTGCGGAATAAATTATAACATGTTAAGTTCAGATTGTATGGGTGTTTATTTTTTTACACTTAGCAGTTGAAGAAGCGGTATTAATTCATATTTCTCTCATTGCTTATGTGTACATTGCCTTTTGATAGCAAAAAATACATAATTATCCGTAATTGCACCCTATTTCATCGTAGGGTCTGGTGGAATTGAAACGGAGAGAGTCGAGAGTTGTTGAAACGAAAATATAGATACGAACTGATATATTTTATTCGCACCAAGTACGCTGACAGTACTTCAAATATTTCAAACTAAATGTGTTTTGAAAATCCGTAAGTATTCCTTTACAGCAGAAAAGGGATGAATGGAAAACCTCGCTTAAAAAGACTGCGTGTTAGCCACTCCTTAAACCTCATCGCACGCGGCTTTCGAGGAACTCGAACTAGGTTCGTGGAATCTTTGCATGCGATCATCGCGGTGTATTTCGTCCATAATTATGTGAATTTCCCGTACAGAACGTCAACTCGTTTCGTACCTTTAGTCATCACAATCAACAGGATTTTTTTTATTCGAATCTATTTTGCTCCCTACGGTGGAGGTCGAAATAAAATGCCTTTGTTAAACAAACATGTGACCATTTTGTTATTGAGATAAGCAGGAGACATGCGTGACATTAGTGAACATAGACCATCGAGGCGTGATAGTCACGAGTGACAGCTGAAAGGAATATGGGGTCACAAGACGAGTTCAGCTTTAGATTTTATACAAATGTTAAAAGCTCGTTTCCTCATCTAAAATGAATCTTATGGATATATATAAATAGGGACACCGTTACCCATTGTTAACTTAGCGACATTCAAACTGTGTCACGCAAACTCGCCAGTTTATTCTGAAAAACACATTTTACCACTTTTCTCGAAGTTAAACCCTTTGCTTGATTATTCCCAGCCTCAAAAGCAAAAAAGAAGTTAAAAATAAAAAGCTATAGAGATATAATTAATTACCAGAGTGATGCGAAAGAAGAAAAGAAATTATTATTTTTGTAAATTCAATTTCTTCCAAGGACAATTGTTTATTTCCATCTATCGCGATAATCAGTCCGAACATCTAAGTTTTGAACTGTTTTTCAAAAGTAAAAACCTATTGTTTCACTTTAGTTTATCTTGACGAATAGCTACTTTAAGGAAATATTTTTCCCTTTCTAACGTTATCTGGAAAGAGTTCATCACCCCTAGAATTCAAGGAATGTTGTTATTCAAAAGTAATTAACGCAGCCTTGTCAAGCGCACCGGAAACTTGTAATGCGTCATTAATCACGAGCCAGAAATTAATGTGCGTTGAAAAAATTTGCATATCATTATAAACCTTATTTCTACTTAAGTTGTAATTGTCTAGTCATTAAACATATAGACCTCGCTTTCTATTGGCGTAATAACTCACGCTGCATGCTGACAAAACACGAGAAAAGTTTGTTAATCACGAGCCGGAGACGGGTGATGTTTAAACTTTTTAAGCGTTTTCCCAACTTCCCACGCGGCCTAGTACGCCTATTGCTTTCACAATATAAACTTTCTATGGGCTAACCGGTGCAATAGAAGATAGGACTTTGACCAATTAGGGCACAATAATCTCAATAATTTTGTAAAATCAGACAACTAAGCAGAACTGCTAAACTCCATGAAACTTGCGGAAAATAGCCATGACATTATATTATTAGCTGACACTTCTTCCCTACAGTACGTTCCTGTTCATTTACCGTTGTTGATAAAATGCTAAATCAGACACGTAACGGTCTGATTACTTATCATATCTCATCGACAACTTTATTAAATTCACACTTCCTGATCACGGGATTATACATGAACCTTACCACTTGACTAAAGAGAGAATGAGAGTAAACGATACTGATACCAGCTGAAACGAAAACACCATAATTCGTCTCGATCTGCGCTGAGGATTTTGTTTCAGACATTGAATTATAAAATCTTTCATCTGGCATTACTTCATGATATTTGATACAATGCTCGATCGAATTTTTATTATCAAATTTTACACTAAACATTATTACGAGTTTATTTCTTTTCGACTGTTGCCGGCGATATGAAACAGCGTCTTTTTTTATCTTTTTAAATTTTATTTGCAATCCTTGACTCGGCTTACAATTTTCTAACACTTCCTTGGTGTTCTCCGGTTTACAGAGTTTAAGGTCAAAACAGTCACTTGGAGTGAAAGGAAAGATCCCTCAACTGTGATCATAACCTACACATCAAGGTCACTGTGATTCTGATCACTCAGTCTTTTATAAAAACAAATCAGTTTTGATACATTGATAACCTGACTTTGAAGATGATATGGCACCTTTACGTGATGGCGAAAGCGTAATGACCCCCCCCCCTTCCTCCTCCCCCCCCACCAAAAGGGAAAAACAAAAAGTAACTGACGACATTGGTACATTAGTAAAGTATTTGTAGCCTATTGCATCGTGATCACGTTGCTTCTTGAAGAGTCCTCTTGAATTTTGTCCCCTTTGGCCAAAAACTGGCTGTTTCGAAATAAAATTTTCAAAAAGGTTCGTGGTACCATCTATTGTTGTTTCATTGTTTTGTTCATTGCGATTGATTATATTTGATACCCATTGCTGGTACTTTTTACTTTTTGGCTGTGGTCGATCTCGTCTCACTGAGCTCCTCCTACTACTCATGGCAAATATAGAGACAAACATGGCTCATGTTTTCCGGCCAGCTCAGCTTGAACCGAAATAGAGATATTTAATCCCAAGCAACAGCCGTTGAAAACAGGAAACCAACTTGGTTAAGTAAACTTGGCCGCGGCGGCGCATGCACCACAAATCCTAAGAAGTAACTTACCATCCAACTGCCAAAAAGTAAGTGAGTCTATCTTAATTGTGTTTTTTAACTATTTTCTACACCTCGTATATTTTTTATTAAATTTTACCTGTTTTATTTTTACATAAATGACATGTTAATGATGAATGATGAAACAAAATGTCTCAATGTCGTCGGGCTGCTGCGCAATTATCTGCCTCACTCTCGAGTCGATACATGATTTGAAATTGAATACCCCCTCCCCCTTTTTTTGAACCAATCACTTCGCTTGATTGGAAGTTATTCCTTGGATTGTATGCTAAAACCATGACAACCATTTCCTTTAAAAAGATGATTTCGTGCGGTAACAATCGCAGGCAGGAGCCATTAATGGGCTCCTGTCGCAGGCAATAAACTATAGTGAGAAATTCGTTTCTTTCATCCTTATGATGAATAAACGATGCCTCCGGAACAAGTCAAGTAGAAAGAAACATACACTTAGGGAAAATCAGTATGCTAATTAAGTTGATTTATTCTCGGAATACATGGAAAGCCATTCGAGAATTTCCTGGAATAGCGTTAGGGGATTCCCCTTTATCAAAATGTAATATCGTAGGTATCTGATTGGCTTAAGTAGTTCACTCGTATGTATTACATTACAGCTTTTTGCCGGAACATCGCCATCTTTCTTTTGATTATGTAAACTGTTGAAATATTACAGCTTCAGCCAAACTTAATACCTACAGATTCACGTTCCACCATGGAGGAAGATTCCATGGATTTACCGGATTGGTTTCTCGCCAGTGAAGAAACAAATCTTCCTTTCAGCTGTTCGTGGATTGTTGGAAACGTTTCATCTGCGAAGAAGAGCAGCGAAATGGCTGACAGAGATGACAGTCGCGATATTCAAGATCTTTTCGACGGAGAGACAAGCCAAGAAGTACACCAGGACGATGACAACGCGACCTCAGAGTCATCAGACGATGAATCGATTCCTAAAGATGTTAAAATATTGAACGACGAAGAAATTGCGAACATGCGGGTGCAAGAATTGAACAGGTTTCTGCGAAATGTTCCTTGGGACGAGGCCAAGAAGATAAGAAAACGAAGACGCAACTTAAAAAACCGGGGTTACGCCCTGACTTGCCGTCTTCGAAAACAGCAAGAACAGGAAGATCTTATCAACGAGAACACTTCGCTGAGGAAACAAGTGGAAGATGGAAGATGGTCATTACTGAGAGCTTTGAAAGAGAAAGAGACTTACAAGAAAAAATATATGGAGCTGCAACAATCCTTTACGCTGTTTAAACAGAGCATGGTAACCCCGAGAAAAGATGCCTGAGTTGGGTGATAAAATTTAGCTTTTGCGAAGATGTATTGTTTGTAACATGCATATGGCACCTTTTTTTGTCAAAATTAAATGTATTTAATGACTAATCGTTCGCAGAACATATGCATAGCCTCAGAGACATCTTAACTATTCTACGAAGGGGGAATTCGAGAAAGCTGGAAATTTTGCATCTTCTAAAGAAGTAAAAGATATGATTGATCAGAAGATTAAATAAAGTCATTTCTGTAAAGATGTAAGATACGTACATATTGAGAGTCAAGCGGTTGAAACAAAGCTTATGGTCCATTAAACAGTCAACTTTATAGATATAGAGAACAGAAAGAAATTATAAAAAGTTAAAAAAAAGAAATAAACTTGAAGAAACTTTTCCTCCGCAACTCACGTTCTCTCCTTCTTAAAAACTTTTCTTTATAATGCAATTGTCTGTGTATTTTCAGTATTTCACAGTATTTTCCCACTGTGTTGATTCACTCCCGTCAAATAAGAGTTAAACACAGTTGTTATATATGCCACTTCAAACGCGCGATTGTCAGATTTTCACGCACCATCGATTTCACAACATAATTAATAGCTTTCTTTTGTTTCTAGCGTTCTTGAAGCAACCAGTCTACACCACTGCTTGAGCGAAGGAGCCCCGCTCCATACTTCCGGCCAATAACATGTTTACACGGATACAGAAACTGAAAATGACTACATCATCTATCGAAACTGAAAGAGACTCTCCTGGAGAGCCGATATTAAAATAAGCATTTGGTTGTCAGATCTAATCCGTCAAAATCTCGGATTCTGTAAAATTACTCCCGGCAATTTGTAAGGCGCAGGTGAGGGGAGGGAAGAGAAGTTTTGAATAGAAATGCCTATCCACCCATCCCCCATTCCGTCCAAACTCTTCTATTTCTTGATGCCGCATGTATAAGAAAGAGAGGCCTGAATTTAATGTATGTTCATGCATGTTATCAGTAACTGACGTCTTCGATATGTTGTCGTAAATCTACTTAGCTTGTAATATTAGAATCACAAAAGGGCTTGAAGTGGAATGAGGAAACGGAGAGACCTTTGAATCTTTAATGACTGAGTAATAGACAAAAACATCCCGAATAACGAATATTTCAGAATCCGGAGAATTTTGCGACTCAATATTTTAACCTACGTTCCATTTTCCTCATTAGGTTTCTAAGTGATGATAAAACATCGAAAGTAAGGATTTGGAGCCAGAGCTACCGCTTAAGTTCGATAGCATCTCGCTTAAGCTGTAATAAACCGTAGGTATGATCATAATGTTCATTTGCCGAAATTGCTGGGAAAAAATCCTTTGAATCTGTACATGAAGAGTTTGGCATTTAAATAGATTAAGAGGGCGATTTTAAAGGCTTTAACCAGTATAACTCCCATGAGTGACAAAGAAAAAATGTCTCCTTACAATATCGATACAATATCAACCAGACAAGTGATGAGAATAAAGAAAACTATCAATTTGGGGATAATAAGTTGATCCAATGCCAAATTATTTGAACCAACATTATAAGAATTGAATGGTTGACAGTAAGGAGAATAATAAATTTGGTCTGGGAGTTAAAGGGTTAACCGTATTTAACGCATGGCTAAGCTGTGAATTTTGTCCGAGCAACGGCTTCGACGCAGCTTTGATTTACTCGCCAAAATCGTCGTGTGTTGATGTTAAGGCATACGTCAGGATAACAGCTTCATCCTGAAACCACTCGAAGTCCTGAAACTGAGTCAGAAACGACTCTGGAACGGCTAACCGAGGTCAACATTTGATACTTTAGCGGCTGGCAAGACAGTTATTTGCGTCGGTCTATAAAGTTCAGCTCTTGAAAAGTTCGGCGACTGAAACTGTTCTTAAGACTCTGGGTAATCATTCTATTGATACCTAACTATTCGTTTCATTGTCGATGAAATAAAACTACCTTCAGTCGGTTAACGAGGGATACGAACGAAAATTGTTTACTATGACGTGTTTCACTTTACTAAAATAAACCGGACGGGGAATCCCCTTATCCTCAATCATTAACTTGCAATCTGATTGGACAAGTATTCTTTCTTGTTTTGATTCTTCCTGCGACATGAGCATAGAGGCAAACTAACGACGGCCATCGAAGGGTTCCACTTTTCCCGATTTACTCCTTAAACGAAGGTAGGTCAACCAAAAAGCGGGGTGGTTTTTAGAAGGAAATTTAAACCGGCGAAGAGAGTGGACTGAATGCGATAGATCTCTTTAAAGCTTACTCGGGTATAAGGATTATGGTTCGTGGAGAAACGTCTGAGCAGAATAAAGCCAAGAAATCCAAGCATGGAAGTTCCAGTTATCTTTCTTTAATCGCAAAATTAAGTGACGAGAAACTTGAAACGATGTCTATTCAAGCTTTAAACAGGCGACTTCGCAAACTTCCTCAAGGTCTGGTCCAAAAGGTTCGAAAGCGAAGGCGAATCTTAAAGAATCGCAAGTACGCTCTGAAGTGTCGAAAGAAAAACTCATCAAAAGAAAAGGATATCATCCAAGAAAATAAAGATCTTCAGCTGGAGATATCTAAAGTAAAAGAAGAATTGAAAAAGGTTATCAGCGAGAAAAAAGATTATGAACAGAAATGCGCGACACTGACTTCAAAGTTGCGTTGGATTCAAAGCAGCGACTTCGTTTAAATATTTCCCAGAATATTCTCTGGCTACATCTGGAATTATTTCTCTCTCTATAGAAGCTCTACAGAATGTTACTTATTTAAGACAGGGATTCAATAGATGTAGACATCGGTAATGAAGGATTCTCTCTTTAGTAAGTGGTAAACACAATTGCTGTTGTGATATTGTTAGATTGTGAGTCACTGTTACCTTATGCAATCTTCGAAATCGAAATTATCCAAAAATAGAATTAACTCCCCGTGTCGATCATAAGACACAGCTAAGCTATGAAGCATCTATATCAATATACATTTCTAACTTTGTGTCTATACCAAAGTGGATGATGTTGTACCAACTTTCTTCCTTAAATTAATATAAGGTTCGACTTCGAAGATCGCGTCGCGTGTAAATTGAAGGTAAACTAGAATCCTTGACTCACAGTTTTAAAGCAGCAATCGTTTTTATTTCTAACAAGGTAATTCACGATGGAAGGAAACTGTTTGGAATACACGAGACTTAATAAGGGGAGACAGGAAGTTGGTGTAGGGTGACGTGTGTTCTCAGCTGTTGATTTCCGATGGCGTCTACTGCCCGTTTCAGATAGGGTCAGATAAGTTAAGCATTATTGGTACAATGTTATAGTCAGAACATCTAACATAATGCCGGCATAATGGCCAAAGTTCTTTAAAACTCACCTGATGTTACAGTTCAACAGGAGACAAATTCTGTAGCCTTAGCACTGTAGACTGTGAGCCCACCTTTCTCGTTGCCCTTTAGAAATTTGATCTAGTACAATTTTGTGTTCTGAACTTTAGTAAGCCTGTTATTCTTGGCAAGTTTTACCTGTTGGTGGTAAGAATGGGGGAGAGGAGGTTGAAGGGCTCTTAAAAGCTCTTATTTTTAGTTATTAAATTTCGGCATGATGCCATGTTTTCAGGGGTGACACTCAAGAGCATAATGCTCAAATTTTCGAGCATAATTTATCTGACCCTAGTTTCAGGCGCCAAACCGCTCATAATGGACCGAATTTAATTTGCATATGGAGAGATCCAGATGCACAAAAGTACGCCTTTTGATCTAGGTGTCAAAAGTGAATAACAGATCCTGGTGCAGTTCTAAGATTTTCATTAATACTCTGAGAAAATGCTGTATTGTATTTCTTTAATTTTGACAAAAATGATAGTGACTTCGGCGTTAGCTTCCTCCAGGAAGTTTGTAGGACACGCAAAAAATAGGGTGAGCGAGGACAAAAATTAACAAAAACAGGGGGAAGTAAGGTACCCCTTCATTAAAATCCGGGTGATTACTTCTTAACCGTGTTCAGCTGACCGGAAGTGTGACACATGCTTGCAGGGTGTCTGAATCGAAGCCCACCTCGAAATGTATTTGATTAACTTATAGGGTTCAGATTATGAAAAAGTCTGAAGCAGGCTTGCAAAAAGCTATACGTAAACTGGACACCAGGAATATATATTTTTTAATGATTATTGTTTCATCAGGTTTTTATTTACCTTCATTGAACCATTTTTAGTGGTTTGCTAAAGAGTTTTAATTGTTGTTATCAACTTTTCTCATACTCCTTGTAAGAGAGAGAGACAGATTTTCCTTAATCCGGTTTATTTGTCTGTTTCTGTGAGTCTCACGCAATCTCTTCGAATTAGTTTGACGTTGTACAAGACGTTAATTACGTCTTCTTTATGTTTTTGACACACCTATTTTCCCAAGGGCATTGATAAGATTATTCCGTTGGTCTCTGGGTATATTGCGTTCGACCCCGAACTTTGATAATTTGGGTACTCTCAGAAGATAGCAATATTAACTAGCTTGAGAGTTTCTGTGTAAATAATTTCAATAACTTGTTTCTTGATTATCATTATAATCTTTACTGTTTGTTGTGATTAGTTTTGATCGAAGCGCTCTTTCTCCTGAGGAGAATAAATGCTATGTTGCTGTTACAGTTTGCTTTTCTATGTTGGCGACTTATCACCTCAAAATATCAGTTATCTGTTGCCACTCCGAGGATGCATTTACTCTCCGCAGCTTCGGTTGATTCCAGGGCAGGATTTTCCTTTTTTCTGATCTCTTGCACTGTTTTTGCCAAATTCACTAAAGAAGTTTTTAAAGTTTAATACTACTAAAATTTAACACCGCCTTTCGTTATGAAACTGCAAAGCAGTTTCAGGTCGTCACTGCGCGAAGCAACAGATTTGGAAGAAATTCAAGATCTTTTGGAAAATGCTGAAAATTATGAAATGAGAATCGAAAATTGTTTTTCCTGCGCTATGTAGAGGAGTAATTCTGACTACCATTTGTCATAGAAAGGGTATCATTTTCAACCACGTGTGAGTTTGGATGTCATTATTAAATGAATCATTTTCATGAACTGCTGGTGTTTCTCTCTCTTATCATTATGATCAGCCATGGAGCACTTTTGATAATAACGCAAGCGGACGAAATTAAGTGCGCCTCTGTTTATCCTAATGGGGCTTGGTGGCATGAAGAATGCTAAGCATCAAACCTAAATGGTTGTTATTATCACAAACAGCACTATTCCAAGGCCTGCATGGAAAGAATTTGAATCTCTGCAGAGGACGGACATGAAATTAAGACCAGTGAATTTTACCCCTAGACATAAGTTAACAGCATACTAGACAACATAAACTGATGGTTTCTGGCATTATACCGATTGCTTAACGGCAAATAAAAAAAAATTAATAAATAAATAAAAAAAACGATCGAACCTTGAATCGAAGGCATTTGGGGCTTTCCAGAACAAACAGTTTAAGATCGATCTTAAAAATCATTCTTAGAACGTTCTCTTTTTTTTCAGTTTGCAAAAGTTTTTTTTTTTGCTTTTTGGTCTGTTTGTAAAGCTTCATATTGCTATTAAATGACATGTAATAAAAAGGAAGTTTACATGCAATACAACAAGTATCACATGGCATCTGTTACGTATAGTACAGTTTCTTTGCCAATGATAAAACATATCTGAAGTATCATAATTTTCTCTAAGTATCGTAGAATTTTCGGTGCTACGGTCAAACCTGAATGCAGAGCTCAAAATGAATAATCTGTTACACTTACCTTTACTTCATCGAACTTCTCACTGGCTGTTGGAGGCTGGATTCAAAACAATTTAGGAACCAATCAGTAATTTATAATGTCGAAGGGGGTTAGAGAGTTAATGTTATTTATTATTATTATTATTATTATTATTATTATTATTATTATTAAGCTAAGGTAGTCATGCTCTCTCCTTGTGTATCACCTGTCCTAAATAATTAAAATAAAAATAGAAATAATAATAATAATAATAATAGAAATGAGGAACAAACTAAATGGCATAAACTGAGGAATCATACACAGGCAATGAACATTAGTACAACCCAACATGATTGACTAAAACATAATAACAAAGCAGTAGTCTTGCATGTGCTTAAGGTTACTTCCCACCTTCAGAGTCCGAGAAAATCGATTTTTCCTTTATTCGACTAAGCTAAATTCAAACTTTCAACTTAACGTTTCCATAAAAATAATTCTGAATTCTCTGAAAATATCCGAGTTATTTAGCGAAACGTTGTTTCAGATAAAAATTAATAAATCAGGAAGGTGTCATTATCTCGAACCTGGGCGATTTTCGCGGCAACCGCTCATGTTTAGGCTCAATTTTAATATTATTTCCTTATTTTTTTTACATCGCGCGCTTTACAAAATTCACATGTGGAAGCTCTTTGTTTATGGAAAAATCTTTGCTCACGGAAAAACCAAAAGCGGAAGAAAGTCCTTGGTAAAAAAGACAAAAAAAAAAACAAACAAAAACAAAAACAGGCGAAAAGAAGAAAGAAAGAGTACCATTCTGTCAAGAAAAGGAAAAAATCCTTTGTGAAAGCGACTGGTACTGGCAGAGCTCTACGCTGGCGTCCAGATTTCGAACAAAGAAGTCGCCTTCTAACCAAAATTTGCCACACTTGATGTTAAATACGAGGTTTCCTTTCCTTTATGCAAGTACTAGCCTTGATACAAAAACATTAACAACCGCCTCGAATCGTAATTTTGGAAGCTGCATGTCGGTTCGTTGTCTTGCTCCTCAGAACATGTTCCGGTTTTTCCACTTTTGCTGCGGGATGTTCCTTTGCCTTTGGCAACTTTGCTCATTATTGTGTCGTCCGCCTCAACGCTCCACTGAGCAATCGAGATAAAAAGAAAAACTTTTCTGCAATGGGTTAGGGACGGACCATTATTTTTCTGGAGGGGGAGGGGAGTATGAGAAATATTGAAAAAAGTTGTTTGCAGGGTGTGAAAAGATAAAATAAATTGTTTGCAAACGTGGTAGTGTAAATATAAATGTTTGCAGAGAAGTCAGGTAGGATATTAAAAAATTTTATTACCAAACTAATAAAGTAAAGTAACTAATTGAAGCATTAGGATGAAAATTAACACAATTTGGCCACTAAAAAGTGGTTACTCTGTAGCAAATCACAAATCTGCAAATTGTGGCGATTAAATCTCAACGTTACTTGTCAACATTTTGTCCCACTACAAAACTTCATATATCAGGTATTTTTCTCAAAACTGTATTAAACAAATAATTTTATTCAATCTTGGCTACTTTAAAGTTTCCTAGAGTGACCTATGACAACGGCAATCGTTTCAAATCAGCAATGAGCTTGCCTTCGCCCCTGGTACCACAGGCCGGGTAATACAAATATGATGGATATCAAAGAGAATCAGGATTTCGGTTGTGGAATCGTGAAAAAGCCCGTTACTCCCTCTGCCTATTTCCTGTCGTATGCCCTTTATTTGCGCCAAAAAATTTCAAAAGGTTACTGGAGGGTACATCAACAAAATAAGAGGCTATAGCACTATTGATTACGTTCTTCGTAAAATAGTTCAATAAAGCAACGCAATATTTAGCTCGAATATAAAGAACACTGAAAAAAATAGGAAAAATTGTTGCATTTGAGTTTAGGGGGAATACAACCACTTTAAGCACATTTACAGGGTATATAGGTTGACCGATTTTCGACAAATTTCGCCAAAACATTCTAGGAATAATGATAAACGAAAGTCTGCCAGGAAATGTTGATATTTGAAATATTTGTCCCGTGGCGTCCATTTACGCAACCCCCCTTAGCATATTTTTAGCTACTCCAACTTTAGATGCTGATATCTAGACAACCAATCAAAATATCGAAAAAGCCAGACGCACTTTAGTTGATTGATGTCTTGTGAATGACTGTGCACCCATTTTGCTCGTGTTGCGGCATCCGATACCCGATAAATTCAATAGAAGAACCTGCGGTCGTTTCACGCCTTACCCGCTCCTGACACTTCCTTAAACGAAAAATTGCTTAAATTATATTTTTATCGTAAACTGCAGTTATTAAGCTTTCTTCTAATATATAGTATTCTAGGATTTTAGTGAAACTTGCGCGCGTACGAATTTTTTTCCTGAAGGACATCGGCGAAGGTGGGAAGTAACCTTTGTTGCAATCTTTGAGTTGATTTCCTGTCAATGGTGTGTGTTCGGCGTCTTAACCGAAGATAGTCTGCAGAACAGTCGTAATTTTGGCGGGTTGTTGGGTTCAGATTGTTACCCACACTATAATAATAAATATTAATAAATTTTGAGTGAGTTTCCTCAATGGACCTTTATCATTCGAGTGGTGCATGTATTTCTATTCATGTCTTAGCTAAAAAGAATGGTTGTCTTGCTCTAAAAATATCAATTTTTAAGGGAACTTGGACTGAAGTGAAAATAGACGCGGGTTTTTGTTTACCCGAAAAAAGTAAAACGTATTCTTTTACCGGGAGGATTGTTCTTCGATCACTAGAGGGAGAAAATTAAGAGATAGTCAAGGTTTTCATAACATTTCTCTTTACTAGGTTTCTTTGACATTAAAAGCCATCGAATGTACTACACTTTCATGTTAAAAAAATACATCTTCTCCCTCTATATTCCTCAGTATTGGAGCTATCATGCTACATGCAAATTATTTGCGAGGAAAGATAAGAACGAATCGCAACAAATGCAATTAATCTAGGTAAGACTGAAGTAGCAGTGCGCCAAACCCCTTCTTGAATCAGTCTCATTTCGTCCCAATCTCTTTTCACTTTCTTTTATACTCTTGCTCCGCGAGGAAGGCAGATTGACAGCCTGATTGACAGCAGTGCACAAAATTTAGACCATATGTACAATATCAACCCAGTTGTGATTCTAGTTAGCATCAAAACTCTCACAACGACCATCAACTTACTTCGTTTCATACTAATATGATCACACGCGATCATCCTTTAGACAGAAACGAAAACAGAGGCCATAATTGCGAGGTTGGGTTTTATTTTAAATTATGCCACTTGTGATCACGATCACAAATATTATTACGTACATTAGCACATCAATTCGTAATGCAATCAGACTATGTCAATAAAGGAAAAATATTCACATGAAAATTTTCAATAAAACAAAACGAGTAAGGTACAATTTCGCTACAAGCACTTAAGACAAATCATTTCCACTTTGGCAAAATAGACCCCTGATTAGGGATCACCCGCTTGAGCGAGATGTCACGCATTCCGCAACGTTATTGAGTAGGTCTGGATGGATGGACAAACCTCTAATTCATATAACAGTACTAAGATGAAAATAACACAATAATAAAACCATGAAATGGGACAGTATGGTGGTTAGTGTTAACCCGCTGTTATTGGGAAGTTATGTTAAAAGGAAGGAAGGAGAAAAAAGAAGGGAAGAAAGAGCGGCCCATTTGGGGGAATGCTGTTTGGAGAAGTTCATTTTAAGTTCGCTTCCATTCTTAAATCGCTTTGTACCACGACATCACTGTACAAATCAAATCTGCTAGAAGACTGTAACAGCTAGAGACCTGTAGACCTGGGGCGGTATGACCTGTAAGGCTGCTCTTAAATGATTGAGCGATCGGGATGGCAGTCAGGCATCTATAGTATTTTTAACTTTAATGTATTTTTCAACTTGTTGACACTTTTGAACAAAGAGTAATTTATCAGTTGGTAATGCGATATCTCTTCCATTTTCAAGATGCAAAGTGTATCAAAATTCAAGTGATGAAAGTTCATTTCATAACATAAGAAATAAATTCAACGCAAACAAGGGAAGGTTTTGTGTCCTACAGAAATGTGTCATTCAGTGCTTTAGCTTTGTAATCGAATACTAAACATGTTCAGATAATGACAGGCAGGTGTCGTTCTTTACTTTTGTCTCCAATTAACTCAAAGGAAGCCATAACTTGTAAACAATATATTCGGGGTTTCAAATTACAGTGAGGGCACCTTGAAACTCGTCTCAAACGATTCTTCAAAGAGTAATGGCGAATGCCGGCTGCACGTGGGTGTTACTTGGTGCAGTTCGACATTTTGGCGGCTGAAAAACAAGGATTATATTTTCAGGACACTAATTCAAGAGACGACCTACAAGAACTGCAACCTTACCCGGTAAGTTTAGTAAATGTATAGTAGTTGGTAATCCCCGATGGCATCCTATCTAAAAATCTTCAAGTAGGCGTCTGTCGAACCTTTGGAATGTTATATCTAGAGCTACTTTGTCTCTAGATTAAAAACAAAATATGCTTGACCACACTGTAGTTTTGCAAAAGACTTTCAAGGATCAGTACTGTTATGGTTGGAGAGCAAAGGAGAATAAATGGCGATCAGTCGGGAAATCAAATTGAGATGGGTAGTTCATAATTCCTTTGACGTATTCATTACAATATTTATGCATCCTTCAAAGAACAGCTTTTTGCCCGAATTGTGTGGGTTGGAGATTGCTGCTTGTAATTTTGTCGCAGCTCTCAGGGGGCGTTTCGCGATTCTTTAGCCAAACTAAATTAAAATCTTCGCGTGATTCACGTCATGTGAGATTCGCCCTCGACGCAAAACGTTAATATTGACGTTGCTTGAATGAAATTTAAGAAAGGGCTCATGTGTCCAGGTATCATGTTAACGCAGAGTGGTTTTTTTGTAAGAAAATGCGTTTCTTTCCGGTGGTTTCTTATTGCACGGTTTATCTTCTGCGGCGCGCACGCTGCTTATTGCAGTAGCGCCACTGGAATTATGATTAAATCGTGTATGTTAAGTGTTCCTTTTCTGGTCAAGGAGAAGTCCAATTTGTGTCGTATTTGATAATAACCCTTTTCTTCATCTTTCCTTTTTTCGAGTTACTTAAGCTAGGTCACCCATGAAGTATGACCCGGAATCGTTTTTCACTCAAACCTCCGATCAAATTCTGGGTAGATCTGCCAGATTTGGCGTATTTCCTACAGTTGTATTCGTTTGTGTGAAACACGTCAGTGATTGAAAGTCAAGAGCGTCAAATGAAATTATCAATGTGTCGAAATAGTCTAGTGTTGCAAGATTAATTATACAAAGGTCAATTTAAGCTTGAAGACATCACCAAAAGCGCGCTCACAGATGAATTTTGTGATGCGTAAAAGCGGTGAGTGAGACGGTTATCACTTTCATTGGTGGTTTGAGGGTATTTGACTGCAAATACTTCGACTGCAAAGAGGAATTGAATGCTTCAACGTGACGGCGGAAATTGAAAGTCAGTAGATGAATTGATATATTTAGGTTGTGAGGTATAATCAACAGAAATGTTTGTATTTATACCGTATTTTGCTCGGAAATAGAGACTATAGGGCTATTCATGCAGGTTATGCTATGCAGGCTATGCATAGGCATGTCTTTCCGTTTTAAACTGGAAAATGATATCCAGCGCAACGTTGTCTGCTTCACTCAGGGATACTCGCTGAGCGTAAAGACAGATAGAATGGCGTTATTGTTGTTGTCGGGTCGTTTACGCCTAATCCAACCATATTGTAAATTTTATTAAAAAAATGCCCCAAAGTATTTGAGTTCATTTTCCTGTCAGATCACAGTTTTACATTCCTTTTACCTTTATTTACACTTCTCACCAAAAATATGAGCAAAATAAAGACGTTCTAAACAAACTCTCAGCTTGGCCGTTTGTTCTTAGTATGTTCTTAAAATTTTAATTAATCTCACCCTGAACGCTCTTAGAACTGAACGGGGTGTTATAAAAATAAAGAGCGTATCAGTGTTTCGGCACCAGTGTTTCCACGCCCATAGGAAATATGAGTTATGAGCAACGCAAGTTGGGCGAGAGGTCTGCTAGAAGATTATTAGTGCCAGTCTACTGGCAAACCCCTCCCCGACTCGTCTCAAATCTTTCCACTGGTGGAGTAATGCGCGTCCTGTAGCACTAATAATAACAAGGAACCTCTCGTAGTCTAATTTAGGGACGTTTGAGCACATTTTGCATTCTGAGCACTTTGCTGGAGTGCAGAGGTCAATTTAGCAAGAATTAAGTGTACGAGCAAATTTCAGTTCATTATGTAGGAGGGGAAAGTTAAAAAGATTTGTGATTGCTCGGCTGTCTTTGTCTTGAAAGTTACCTTACTTCTACTTTCTGTGATGCCACAATGGTCGGTTCGTGAAAGATCTCGTTATAATGACAGATTTCACCAGGCATAGTATGTTTTCGACGCCGAGCTAACGCCGCAAATAAAGGGGCATCGACATGATATTTGTTGATTTGGTGCCATGATGCTGTGTGATTTTTTTCCTAGAAATCCATTCCGAGAAATTTTTCATAATATGGAATCGACTGAAGCTCCAAGCAAGAGAAGAAGGTATGGTATACGCGCCTATGGTGATGGGAAAGAAATAGCCTTTGGTTCATGATCTAAGGTGCATGCTGCCTTTCTTGCGCTTCTAGAGACCAATAAGATTAGGCAGGGATGATACAGGTTCACAGGATGGCTTGCGTTGTTGGAGACTCTTTGAATGTTCAGTGGAAATTAAATGAAGGCAAAGGTACCGTGGATAAGAGAGGAAGAGTATTCCTCACGCGGCTTCGACAGTCAAAATATATTTTGCACATAAGGGAGTTCCAAAAATACAGGAAAACAACTTTCAGGGTTTAGAAAGAATGTGTGTGAATGCTTGTTGACATATAATCCGTCCCTAGTGTGGCTAATGATTTGCTATCAGTATCTTAATGTGTAAAATACTCCTTATGTGGTTTTATTCGTTTCTTTTAGGTTCGAAACACCTCTTTTAGGTGCTTCTGGTAAGTTTTACACCATTTTTCAATTGCATTTTTCTTAAATTCAATTTTTTTTCAGTAAATATATTAATTAGGTTGTTGATATCTGTTGAGGGAAATTTGCTCAAGTTTCTGTACTGATTTATATAAGCAAATTTTGAACTTATTATTCTTACTACTTCAAGCGATTACCGCAGAAAAGCTTAATATAATATAGCGTAAGTTGTGGTCGGAGAAAAAAATTTACAAATAAAATAAAACGTACTGATAGTGATGTTCGAAGGTTGCAGCGCCTTTTGTCGAATCTCTCGGATCTGCTACGCACTGAGCCGTTTGGTGCATTTTTAATGCGAAATTACAAATGTGTCCAGCGTATGCTGCAGTTTCGTCTGTTTACACTTTGTTGCTTCGTAATGGGTGGAAATGCTCTTGAGGTTCAATAAATCATCGCCAAATCCTACATCTTGGCTCTGGAAAGGTCATGGGTAATGCTTTTGAAATCTTTGTTGTATCCATGGTGATTTCGCGTGGGGAGTTTCACTGTGCTGATAGAGGTTGTACCCAAAAGATAGACGTCCCTGGGGTAAAGCCCTACTTTCCACGCTCAAAAGGTGTAGTGGAACTGCAAGTATAGGAGGCAAGAGGAAACACGCCCCTTCCCCCCCCGCCTCCTTTCTCCGCTAAGACTTGTCAAAAACTCTTCAACGAACGAACCGAACAGTGCGACTTAGCTTTACAGTCGTACTGAAACTGCTTATTCAATCACAACTAACCAACAACCGGGCATACCGCCAAACAATGGTAAGACATTAATCTACGACCCAACTGATGCAAAAGAAAGATCATTTCATGGCCCTAAACTAGGGTCAAGTAAAGAACGACAGTTACACCAAGGCTCGAACACTTTGATTAAAAAAAAGATATGTGGAAGTCTCGCTTTTGTGTAGTTGATAATTAACAAATGTTTACTGAAGTTAAGGTGGGTAAATATCCACCGCTAACCACTGATACTAAGGTAAACTGAAGTAACTCGATCATTTATTCTTGCGACGATTTCAATATTTTCGGGTGCGAATGCCGTGCGAGTTGCTCAGAGGAGAATAGGAAAGGATACTCAGAGTTTGAGTACCCAGTCGGAGTGTACCTTCAATGCTGTCTACTGTTCTAGTATACAACAAAACACCGTATTCGTACATTCGCGAAGTAATAGTGATGACTAGGTTTGAATAAGTAATAGTCAAGGATGTAGAAGAATCGTTTTGAATAAGTTGGCTCGTTGCTCGTTGCCTTGTAATGTTCTGAAATTCATAAATACATCTATCATTGCGATTGTCTCCATAAGGGCTTGCTGGTTGCTTGCTTGCTAGTTTTTTCCAGTTGTATTTGAATTTTACAGGGTGTGCTTTGTTTCATAAAATAATTTGTCTAGCCGACTAGACTAAGTAGATAAAAACAGATGCAAATTTTGCTCATTTTTCTTGTTTGTGTAAACTTCACGACCTGTATCTCTAAGGTGCAGATGAAGATTTTACGGAGGAGAGCACAGAAGGACATGTTGTCGTCCACTTGAATGCAGACCTTTTGCATAGAATCAAACAAGAACCAGTGGACAGCGGTGAAACGCCTGAACTTACATGTGTCGCCTTACAAAAGGATTCCAACGACAATACTTTTCGGGAAACGCTTTTGAACGAAAGCAGACCTGACCCAAGCAATGATGACCGAGGATGCGCAAGTCCTACCATCCCAATGATGAATGAAACATCTGCTGAGAATGAGTCAGGAATCATAAATGAAAGAATTTCTCCTTGCATTGGGGCCTCACCTGCCACAGCCAGGACTCGATCTCGAAGGAGCGTGCGTAAGCGCTTTTCAGTGCAGCGATCATCACCCGAAATTGGAGTTAGTTCCTCTTCCAGTTATCATAATCTAAGCGTAAGCAAGCAATCAAAGAATGCGTTATCAATCAGAAGTGGTCATAGAAAGAGAACAAATACTGTGAATCAACCTGCCTTTTCAAACCAGCTTGTCAGCGAAGGAAGCCTTGGTTCGACCGATGCATGTGACATAACAAGTGATGCCAGCGATTTGTTCAAGCGTCGATTCCGCAAGGTAGAACACTTAATCCTGTGATTTAATTCTTGGATAAGAGCACTGTTGTACACATGGTTATTCCAGTTATCTCAGCCGTTCCAATTGTATACCATTCTAGTATCAAAGGCCTTGATGAGCGAAACTTCATGATATCAGGCTCCTAGGTAGGACGAGCGTAATGAATTTGTTAGGAAGAGGTTACTTTTCTTTGAAATACTGATTTCACATGTCACATCAAATTCTCAGTAGGTGAAAACAATACAAACAAACTAAAGTGGCAGAGTCGGTTAATGCTGATTTTCCAAAGCAACCGCTGCCTAACCCGTATTGGTATTACTATGATCGTTTGGTTGACAGTGCATTGCAACACTTCTCTTTGACGAAATAGGCTCTCTGCCAGTTAAACATCAGTTCAAATAAAGGCATAAATTTCTTAAACCACACTATAAACCAAAGTAGTTAGTAAGTATCAAGAATTATATAATAAGCTGAATTATACATACGTTTTGATTGGTTCTTACTTGCGATATATTGGAAGACAGACACACGAATGACGTCACCATTAAATATTTTTCTTTGTCATCATATAAAACCAATAGATTCCGTGTTGCTAAGTGACTGCGGTTATTATCATTGCTCCACAGATGCTTAAGGACTTGGTGGCTAAACGTATGTTAAAATTGCAACATTCAGCAGTTTATAGCGGTACTGTTTCAGCTTTAAGGCGCAAGGTGGCGATTCTTGAAAGAAGAAACATGCAGCTGGAAGATAAAGCAGAGAGACTCCAGACATCCATGATGAATCTCCACAACGAGGTCAGTTTATTCCTAAGAAACACCTGGTACAAATCTTTTTCTAGTGCTCAGGAGATAAAATAGCTAGATCGAGCTGAAATTGTTTCACTGCTTCATAGGAAACTGCAAGTAAAACTTTTTCTTGTTTTGTTTTTTTTTTTTTGCTTAATGGCCAGCCACTGCAGTAGAGTCTCTTCTATTGTTTGCAAACAAACATCACTGTTCTGTAGAAAAACTGTTGTGCTGGGTTCACAGGCAAGTGTAACACCTAAATAGTTCGACACATTTGAGTCATAAGTGAAGATTTACAAAAATACTTGAACTGTGGAACAGCAGCACCTCACAATTCATTACAGCTGTTTGTGTACTTATTTTAGAAAAAAGTCGATGATAAAATTGGATTAAACTCGTGAAGGATTTCACGACTGTGAGTCTGGATAAATTATCAAAGGGGACATTGTGCATGGTGGTTAACTATATGTCTTCTATTCTTTAGAAAGAGAAAAGGGCGACTAAGACTGTGTCACGTGGTACTCAAGTCTCTATGGGAATGGTAAGTTTGAGAATTTCTTTTCTCAAAGGTTGTACTTACAGACTTACAGGACTCTTGTTTTATTAACAATATGTGAACTGTTTTTTGTTACTTCACGTAGATCTTGAGTCGTGCATGGTCTGCCTGTCAAGGCATAGACAAAGCTTCATCATTTGCCTCAGAGGAACGTGGGTCCTTGGCCATTCCCGGAGATGGCCCTGTCATTATCAAAGTTTGCGGGAAACAGGTAAATGATGCATCTGCGCGTGTTCAAATACCAAAGCTTTCTGAGATAATGCGAGAGAATACGTCGCAGCAACAGGTAGAATCACAGCAGTATACGCATTCTCCCCAAACAGACAGTGCGCTACCCAAAATTCAGCACGTTTCTTCTGGCAGCCTCCTTGTACCACAACAGCCTCGTCAACAACCTTGTGATTTTATACTTCCGGAACATCGTCTTCTCTTAAACCAAACACTTATTTCTCAAGGTAATAGGGCCAGGCCTTTGCAAGATCCAAACTTGCCCTCGCAAAGTTCGGGAATAAACAATTTACCTGTAAATCGTGAGGTAGTAATGGTGACAGATCAGCCAGCACAACTTTCTGGTGTCATAGGTTCCTGGCCAAGTAACTCTTCCTCTTCTGCTCAGCAGCATGCAACCGGACCAGTGAATCGTATCGCCACAGTTCGTCCTCAGCAGTTCATTCCGTCCTCAGCAAACATTTCATTAGCTCAAAATGTTCCACCGCAAGCGGCTCAAATGCCAACCCTACCTCGACCTCGGCTGGAGTCAATGAATCTTCCAATACCGAAAGATAACACAGCTAATATATCCACAATCATCAGCCAAATTATCCCGCCAGTCCATCAAACTGACTTGTCATCATCAAGGCCTGCAATGACGCAGACTCAGAGTGGAAATGCACGTACTGCATCAATGTCAAGTACTGTAGGTAGACGTCGACGACCCCCAGGTGGCTGCTTCTGTTGCCCTCCGGATCCGAATCAAAGACATACAGTTGGAAATCAAAATCCAGTACGAAGCGGAGACGATTTGCGCTTGCATCCAGGAAGTAATCACGAAGCAACTCGTGGGCAATTTTCTACCACGAACCAAGTGTCACCTTCTATATGTACATCTGGTGCTCGTACTCAGGGGAGTTTGTCGGAGTTGCAGCCAACTGTTCCTTTGCCTTATCCACAACAATTCTTTCCAGTCACACAAGCATCGAACAAGTCAAGTTGTTCCGTTCCGACGGGAGAGCTTGCTAATCAGATACGCTCATCCGGTCCAAATCACCACCAACGTCAAAATATTTTGCCAGGTCACGTGAACTCTCCAAGAGCCGGTATGTTATGCTCACAGGCCTTACCCACTATTCCAGAGAGTATAAGAAGTGCGCATGGTAAGCAACTGACTGGAGGCCCTCCACTCCAAATTTCTTCCCGGGCAGTGCCACAACAATCGGAAATACAGATATCTTCCAGCATAGTCCAAAACCCTCTTAATCAAGAGTGGTCCAGAAGTCATCCCCGAGAATCCATCAGAGCTCCGGACCAACCACTTAGTCCTCTTAGTGGGGTTGATTTGCATCCAGCTAGTCACCCGGCACAACGGCAAATGTTTCCCTTTACTAAAGAGCAAATTGCATGTAATAGTGATGGTAGTTACGCGACGACAATTCGCCCGTGCAGTTCTCAGCAGCATCCTCAGCAACAGCAACAGTTGCCTACACAACCATATATTCAAATTCACCAACAACAGGTGCCCTTACAGCAGCATCCGCCTCGTCAGGAACTGGAACAGCAACAGCAGCGACAACAACAGCAGCGACAGCAACCGCAGCAACAGCAACAACTACAAAAACAGTTGCACCAGCATCCGAGGAGAGCAGGTTACGTGCCGCCCACTCCAATACTTCCTAAGCCAGACTCAAGGGCACATCAATATTGGCAACGCAACCCTCAATTTACAGCATCAGGTGCTTCGCATTGTGGAACATCTGTTCCACAACAGTTACCGGCTGCTCTTAATACTGCAAGCTCCAGCAATTTCTGTCTAAACCAGAGACCTCCCATTCAAACACAATTCCTTAGACCTTATACTCCGCAAAATGTAAGAAATGGAGCCTATTTGCAGCATCCAATCCAACCGTCAGTCCAGCAAAATCAAAGTAGTGTTCAAACATCCTCAGCCCCAGTTTCGCAGCTCAGTGTTAATATGGTGCAGATCTCGAAGTCAGTTTCCCTTCAAAGGGAAAGAACGGGTGCAGGAAGTATACAACATAGTCAGACTCCGTACTCCCCTAACACACGAGCTTGTCTCCATCCTAATACTACACACTCGTCATTACCGCGCCAGAGGTCAAATGATTCGGAAAGAAACTCAGCAAGAGCAGCAAAATCAATCACACCCACGATTTATAACGCGGCGAACGAACACCTGCTTGAAAGAAGAACGTCTTTTACAACTCCAAATATAGCTACTACATCAATAATACCGGCCAATAGCTTTCGATCTGCCCCGCAGAGTCCATCGATGCCTTCAGAACCACTGCTAAACAGCCCGACCAAAACGTTGCTGCCTGCCACTCGTACACCTGAACCCAGAAATACACCATTACGAAATGCGCAAGGGTCGGAATTGAAAGGCAATGAAGCAATAACTGACGAGGCATCTTGCCCGGCTACAGCTTTGTCTTCTAGGACTGGTTTTACCACTCGTTTGTTACCTGTTCAGAACTTCGTAGGAATGAAACTGTCAGACGATTTTAAGAACGTGAATAATTCGGAGACGGATGGAAACAATAAACCGTTAGATTCACAAAGAGATGTTGCTGGCCAGATCGTGAATTTTTCAGATATAACAGAAAAGGGTGACAAAGAAGGCCCGCAACTTCAAAAAGACAAAGCTTCTTACTTAAAACCTATTCTTGGTGTAGAGCAAAGTAGTAATGGTATCGTGTTGTCATGGGATCTAACCAGCAGAGAGTACGAATCAAAAGTTATTAAGTATGAACTGTTTGTGACGACGGCTTCCAGCGAATCAACAGGGTGGCAAAGTTTGGGTGTCGTGGACGCCCTTGCACTTCCCATGGCTTGTACAATGACGCAGTTTCTTCCAGGAGCCTCTTATTATTTTACAGTACGCGCTATTACAGATGTGGGTGACTGCGGTAGCGAGATGTTTAGTCATCCTTGCTCTATAACTGTTCTCGAAAGTAATCAGAACTCTTCCTCTGTTAGTCCCGTTTAAATAACAGGGCCGTTTTTTATTTCAAAATCTCTCCGTCGCTAAGTGATCTCTGATTATTGTCAAGAGTAACTATTCATCGATCAATAATGTCATAGACTTTGACTGAAACGGCAAATGTGGTGATTATTAGATGAGTCTTGACATATGCAACACTAACATAGCTTTTGGAGAAAGGCCTTGGGGCTTTAAACTGCGAGCTCAAATGACGCTCAAATTTAGATTTAAACGAGAAATTTGCTCATTGGTTCACTGACAGGGTGAACTTAGATTGATTTCTATTTGTTATGAAACGATGCAGCTGTCATTTCTACAGGGACATTTGATTCAATATCGCTTCTTGTCGTGGAGAAATATATTAAAGGCATTGAAGTATTGACAAAAAATAACTTCCTTTCCTTATTAGGTTGATCAAACAAGCTCGTCTCAGTGCCCTACTCTCTTTTCCTTCTTGTCTTTTCTTGTTCGACAGTTTTGGGTTTCACGAACGAGCTTTTTTAATCGACGGAATAAACTCACCAGTAGCTTTTAAGCCACACTAAGCAGCCTCCTTGAAGTTAGTCCGGTGCTTTTTACCATCAGACCAACAACAATTTATAGCAATTTTATTTTTGATCCTCCGAGTTAATTTTCATACGATGTACATCTCATGGTGAACCATCCGTACTTTATTTAGCGACTGTTTGTTTTGGTTAAGGTAAACGATAGAATTGGATAGCCATACGCATGCTCGCAGTTTCAGTTCTGCTTCTCCATTTACACTCACCGATCACAAAACAGCTGGGTTTTGATTTCTGCTCCTTTTTTCGTCTTAATAAAGATTATAGACCTGACTTATAAATTCGTAAGAAATACTACTGGTTCCACGACGTTCATACTTCAATCGAGGACGATCAATTTAAAAAAATATGTGAATCTATGGCTTTTTTTTTATTTTTTTGCGGCCTTTTCTTTCGTACTGTTTTGTTTGTTTTTTCGCTGTTGATTTTGCTTTTTTTTTTTTTCAACCTGTGCTTCTACTTTGCAAAATACTTGGGATTATCTGGGACTTAGCGGCCTTTTTGTGATTGTACAACTTGATAACGTTTTCATCCTGCCAGTCTATAACAGGCTGATTTCTCAACGCATTGATTCGTTCATTGGATCAAATATATTTCCTTGCATCTGATTAGCAAAGCATTGCTTATTCAAACAATCGGTGCTGAAATACTTCAATTTAGCTTGGGAAACGAAGACATTGCAAAAACCGCATTGGTTTTCTCAGAGCCCCTAGGGTTGTCAACGGTGGTCTTGGAAATAAAAATAATAACAAATTTTAAAATGATGGTAACAACTATCAAAGACTCTAAATATATTTTAAAAAGTTGTTCGGGGTTCGGACGTGATTCAAGTGAAGCTGTTTTGACTAAGGGAAGAGGTTTTATCGAAGATTAATTTGATTTCTTAACAACCTTTCAACATGCCGACCATAATGGCAACAAACACTTGAAGAGTTTCTTATAAGCAACGACCTCACTAATGAAAGATTTATCAACCTTTAGCCGACTAGAAATTATCTGCGGAGTTGAAAATTAAGTACGTGGCCATTATTCAAATACAGCGCGAATTTTGTCAGCGATATCAATTTTGCGCTTCTTTTCACTAGAAGCCCTCTCTCATAAAGTACTTTGAAATGTTAAATTTTGGGCTTGTGGAATTGTTATTAGTTAAGTAATCAGTCACCATAGTGAAAGGCTTACAAATATGGTAAAAGCCGTGAACAGCCTGCCATTCTCCTCCTGCCTTTGTTTATTAATAAAGACATGTTCAGACAATAGCATCTTCCAGGTAGCAACAACTGGTACATCCAGAAAATTAATATTTTCGTCTTTTCTTTTTTGAAATGTAAATTTTCTTCTCGTTTAATGTAAGCCGAAGAAACCAATTTATGAATAGACTTAATTAAGTTGATGTCGAATCTTGCGATATATTTAATTCTTTTGCTCGCAAAGTTCTGAACGTTTTTCACTTATTTAACATTAACTCTGAAGTGTATGTTAACTTTACAAAAAATACAGAAATGAATAAATAAATAACGAATAAATGCATAAGTCAGTACAGGAAGATTTAGCAAGACAAAGATAGTCATCTGAATCACCGAATGGCAAAAAAAAAACACAAAGAAACAAAAAGCCAGTCAAAATAACAATTCTTACGATTTCTACAGGTCTGAATCAATAACGCTGTATTGTAAAATTCTTTAGAACGCGTTACATGATAAACATCGCAAGTGAAGGCTGCGAGACGAGGAAAGATTTGTGTCACACCGCAGAAATGTAACTCTTTCACGTTTATTTTACTTTAATTTGACTGTACAAAATATAAATTTTATCATAATTATTTATTGTTACTTTTTTCTTCAATACATATATAACTCGAGGTTTGATACGCGTTGTCTTTCTACAAACTCAATAAGAATGATGAGTGAAATATAGAAAGATGATGGCATTTGCCCTGTTTGAACATAGACATCTTGGATGTGTTTTTTCTCTCTACAAACAAAGTGTCATTTGAATTACAAAAGAACATCGAAGATTATTGAGGAAAATAACACTAATATTACCATTACAGTCAAACAGCAATTTCTTCGATCTTTTGGAAACTGATTTACGTATGAGACCTAAGTGTACTTGATCTGACATGTTTCTGAAAATATTTTGTCTCATCAGCAAACAATTTGGGAAACGAATTTGTGTATGATATAGGCCCATCGACAGACTGAAACTCAGAACATGTTAATTGTGCTTAGCAAACGTTTAAATGTTATTCGCAGATAAAATGCTTGTACTAGCGCGATTAATGACTAACATCATTAACGCTTTGCTCGTAAACATGGTCGTTGGAGGAAAAACATTTTCCGATACTGTGGAAGAACGTGTGTATGTCACGCCTTGATGAACAAACCTTGAAAGAAAAGGCGACATGGGCAGCGCAGCTACCCAAAAGATCTTATCTTTGTAAATTTATACAAAACCCTCTCAGATGTTGCGAAGAACAACTGATACCTCTCTAGAAAAAGGGGATCCTTTACTTCTTTATGTACACCTCACATGATGACAGTTTCTACCTAGAACAAAGTGTCACACTCACCGTTTTGCTGTAAGACGTGACGGTATGCGTAAGTTTAAAAATATCAAAACATGAAATTGCGATTACTGTTTACATTTACAACCCAATGAGAATTTCTTTTCTTCAAAGCAACCTTCAAGACATCAAGAAGTGTCTATATGTTTTCCAGCATTTCAAATGTACTTTCCTGCAAGAGAGCCTGACTTTAAATTCCCGAGGGACTCGGATTTCATATCTGATATCTTATGTAGATGTTTGACGCTTTTGTTATATATGCACATGGCACTCGTCTGCACGTGACTTGAACAAAATGTTTGGTTTTGGTTCGTTCGTTTCGCACCTCGAAATAACAACATGGGCAAATCGCCAGAGTTAAGCTGTGTACGATCTCGGTCTTGTATAATTGTTGTTAACAAAGTGTCTTTTTCGCCAGGTTCGTCCCTCTCGATCTTTCTTCAGCACCCCTGAGTTACGAGCTCGCTCGCGATGTATCTCGGCAAGGTCTCGGTTATGCTCTCTTCCGTTACCATCGACGTCTTCCTCTAAAATATCATCGAGATTCGGCTCGTACGAAGAATGGCGACGGATCCTGCCGCCCTTGACCTGTACTGGAGCGTTCTGTTGTTTTGCCACTTCACAACGCGCCTGGTTGGTTTCCATACTTTGCCTCAAAATTTCGACATCTTCGCTTGAACTTTTGCGTGCGTAAACTTTCTCTACATCAGCACGTTGAATTTCCTTCCATTCATTCATGGAAACGGGTTTGTCCGTTACAAATAACATTGTATGAAATATTTCTTACAATTTCAAGAACAAATTGTTCTACCATACGAGGAGATCACGTCCTAAGCTCTAGTAACCACTTTGATCTAATCCTGCCTCTAGCAGAAACAGGGAGGCAGAATCTTGTTTACATCGCCTTGAATTTCACGTGCTATTAATATTAAATAGACAGGGTTATCTGAGAGTGACAGGTGTCAGAATTTAAATAACAAACACGGGACTATCGTTTTCTTCGCTCCAAAAGCTTTTCTCGATTTATGAAACCAAGTTAAATGCAAAGGGATAATTACCTTGTATTCAATTGGTTAGTGACAAAACCATGAAAAACAGGGCTTTAGAATTTAAATTAATATCCTAAAGTTTAGAAAAAATTCAGCAGCAAATGATTACAGTTTTCCTTATTTGGACGTAGAAAGGGATGTGTTTATTTACCAATCAAGGCAGCGAGGTGTCAAAAATCCGAAAAGCGTTCGATAAAATAAACTGAATTTGTCTCTGAATAAAGACTACATGATCATTATCTTTTTTAACACATATGGATAGTAGCTTGAATATTAATAAAGAGGTGGTGTGTTAGGGCTATTCAGCGCCTCTAAAGTTTGCTAAATGCATTGCTTCTAGGACACTTATCGTAATGTGTAAACAACAAGAGGAGCCAGAAATACATAAAGTGTGATAGATCCTGTCTGTACGCTTTTACAAGAAAAACAATCGTTGACAGTCACTTTGAAGTTCGTCACCTTTTATTTGCGCTATGGTGTTTTTTACAATTGTAATTTGCAGTTTGAGCAGTTGCACGGTGCGTCTAGGAAATTGTCGATGTAACTCGCAAAATCTACATACATCCGATACGAATGATTTGTAGCCTGGAAGTCGGGTTATACTGACCTCCTCCGGTGAATAAAAAAAGAAGTGCCAAGATAATGATATTGCTCTCCCACGATTTTAGCTCATTTCCAATTCTATTCCCTACTTTACTGGTTTCGTTTAGTTTTCTTCGGCACAGCTTCGGCCCTCTGTTTTAGATACCCCGGGGCAAAATATTTTTTTATAACTGGCTAAACCTCCGACAGCAAAGGCGAAATCTAAACGTTTAAAGTCGGCAGGTGATATGAATGTTCTAAGCTGTTATTTTACATACGTATCCTAATGGGTATCATTTCTTGTGTTCACGTCGGCCTTACTTTCACAACAGCACCCTCATTTATTTTTTTAGCGCGCTAATAATCGAGAGGAATAATTTTAAGCTTGGAAATAGAACTGAAAAATTTGAAAGTCCATTTTTACATTTCATTTTCCGTAAAAAAAAAAGTATATTTAAGGCGACCTACGGACAACAAATTGAAATGATGCGTAATCGCCCTCCTCTAGCCGATTGTGCAATAGCTTATTTACTTTGGCTTCGCACAGTACCCAACGATTATTTTGATTGGGTTGATGTAAACATACACTGGCGCTCTTCAGTTTTATTCCGCAAGAGTTGCCCCTCACTGAATACCTGCATGGGGTTAAAAGTGTTTTCGGTCAAAAAGCTATCTCTCAGTTCCTAAATAAACAAAAAAGTCGTTCGCCAATGAAGGCTTTTGACACTTTCGACTCTTTTCTATTGATATTGTGTCTTTTAATATTATTTTCACAACTTTTCTTCTTCTTTTTAATTTTAATCCATTTATTTTTTTCCCTACTTTTTGGCATGGACTTGTGCCAAATGACAATGTTGATTTAGTCGAAGCAGCGGAGTGCATTCTAGTCATCCATTTGTTATTGCTAAAAGGATAATACAGATTCCCTCTGTGAGAGGATTACTTCTTTTTGATAACACCGCGACTGCATTGCAGAGGCTTGTTATTGAATAAACATTGGAAAGCAGCATGCTATACAGCGGGAATGTAGGATTATCCTTGTGGAGTCAATTTTGAGCGGAATTTTCTGCTTAAATAGGTAAAACGGATAGTAATATTGACTCCCTCTGAAAATTAATTGAAACAGCTAACTGCGGTTGTCAGGTAAATTCCGAGCGTGGAAATCATCGACTTGGGTAGATATCTTTAGGGGTCGACCCGCCGCTAGGGCCTCCATGTACAGTGCAGCAGAGAAACCATTGTTATAATTTAACCAGTTGAGTGGTATTGAATCTGTACAGCCTTTAGCTTTGCGGAGTTAGAAGTCTAATAATCCCGCTAGGGTACTTAAGCTAATAAATAACAGAGCCCATTTTCTACCACCGCCCCTCGTCCGGCCCCCTACACACCCAAACCGGACTGGATCAACTTAGCCCTGTTGATGAACGATTTTTTTATTAATTTATTCTACGATCCTTCGCTTGCCAGTGGAATTGTCTGGTTGTCCGTTGTTCGCGTCGGTGATAACGTTAAGCCAATTTCACAAAGATAAACAAAAACTTACGGTTCCCTTTTATCAACATTACCTAAATCGATTTATGATAACACAGCGACGAAAAATTGCTCATCTCTCTCCAAAATCGTTCATTTGGCGTCAAAACAACATTTCGCTATTTATTTCTTTCTAGCAACTTGCAATGTTTGCTCCGTGGCGATCCCACAAGGATCCGATTTCTGCCAACTCATTAACTGCCTTTCTCTTTCCACCAGAGAGAATCAACTACCGTGACCTTTCTCCTCCACGTCACGAACCAAATCGAGGCTTAATGATAACAAAACCGGTTAAACCAGAATTTATCCTGGGTGTTGTTTAGTGTCGCAGCCAAAGGTACAAAACTCGAAGCTAAGAACAAGACTTGAAAGCGATAGCCATAAACCAGTATCAGTGCAGTTTCAATCACCAAAGCAGTGAATTGTTAGGTAAGAGGACTGTCAAACGACATCTTAAGCAAAGTTCAATCATTTGTTATTTCACTGATGTCGCGATTGCAAAGACAAAGAGAAAATGAAAGACCAATCGACGACACATCCCGGAAGTATCCACGTCTTTGCTACGAGTGAGGGAGTAACGTTAAAGTGAATAGTTTGCAGTTTGCTTTAAAGTAACGAGCTTTCTCACCCGATGCACGAGTTTTGTTCACGCTATAAACACAACAAAAACTTCTCTATTTTAGGGAATTCGAAGACAGTTCTACGGATTCGATTTGCATGCATACAAAGCAATTCTGTCTACGCCATAACACGACTAAATTTAAATGCTTCAAAAACAAAACAGAAATCTGAGTTAATTATCTCCTCTAAGCTGCCTACCGGAAAGTGGAGCAAAGAGGGTAACTATGTGTTTTTAATAACTTGTGGAACGTTTAGGAACAAATGTGTCATTAGTGAGTGGTTTTTATTCATAAATTTATCGCGTATTGTTTGAGAAGTGTGGCCTTCGACGAAAGCGTACACAACGGATTCACATAACAATTAAAGACAATATCTGTTGTATATTATACAGTGCTCTCATTATCCACCACCATAAAGAGTGAATAGAATCGTTCACTGCCAACAGGATGCCTTTGGATACAGTCTTATGTCTCGACACTTCGGGATCCATGGGTTGGAATAACAATGAGGGAATCAACCAGCTAAAAGCTGCTGCGCTCAAATTTCTGGAAGGAGTCGAGGAAACTGCAAAGCAGGCGAATTTGAAGGTGAGAAGTGGCGATCCATGGGGTTATTGTAAAAGAACGATTGTATGGCTGGTAAAGAAGGATTTGTACATGTGAAACGTTCATGTAATTAAACATACTTAAAAAAGGAAACAAAAACAAAAAACAAGCTTTCTGGTTACTGATTAGGTTTGATGCGTCAAACAATATGGTTACTTCCGTTAACCGGGACTTCCCTAACTCAATTCCCAAATTAAAGAACGAAAAGTAATTCATTAAAGAGACTAGTAACATCCATTGCATCCTAGAGTTTTAATTAAGCGAACCAGTGTCAAAAATGGTTTATTTCCTTTTAAGTGTCTGAATGAGATCTGGAAGTGATCTCTACTGCGACCTCGATTAAGTTTATCGGAAAATGGCGAGCATGTCGCAACTTCCGGTTTTCCAGGAATTTATCTGATAAGTGATTATAATAGGCAACTGCTTTGTCTCAGCTTACTCCTGTTCTAACCTGTTCATATGATCTATTTGGATTAATTACATTGTCGTTCTCAAATTTTCATCAATGCGTAAGTTTTCAGAGAAATAAAAAACCCGCGCTGGAATGGATTTGCTTCGCCAAAATGACTTACAGTTTTGTGAATTGAGGTCCACGTAACTTTTATCTGAAGAAGTAAAGGCTGAGGAGACTTCTCATTGAAAAGTGGCCGTTTTAAAAACATGCTTCTGGATGGATCCTGTCAAAATTCAATTAATTTCTTCTTTGCGACTAAGCAGTTATCGTCGTTATAGGGAGTAGAGCTAAAATCTCTGGCTTGTGCATTTGTCTCTCAGTGCTTTGTCTTCGATCTTGTTTTTTTGCTCTGAGCTTGAGTTAACTTACTGTACGTATACAATGTATTTTATTTTCCGCGTTTCGAGTTTAGGTGCATATCTTTTTAGTTAGTAGTTTGATTTCTTAATCGACATGTATTTGCTTTTTACACTCAGGAAAATGTTGCCATAGTAGAGTTTGGGGCCAGGACACAAATATTGCATAGTTTATCAAACAACTATCCAAGTCTCAAATTGAAAATTCGTAAGTTTCACTCCTTTCTTCGTTTGAAATTCTATAGATTAGCCATGAATTCTACCCGATCCTCTGTTTTAATGAAACTATACATAGGTTGACATATAGAGGGTACCTGAGTTTTAAAATTACGTGAAGCTATTCTAACTAATTTCAAGAACATAAATTTGAATTTTTAACGCCTGTTTGAATTCAGCCTTTCCAAGTTGCCTCAGGGGAAAAAGAGGTCAAGATGTCATGGAATCTCATCTTAAGAAGATTGACATGATAAAAGAAAGTTCTAATCATATCTCGTGATGGGCTTGTTGTTCGTTTCCTGAGGGATGATTTCTTTTGTTTCAGGTGGACTTAAAGCCAATGGAACCACCCCAATGAAAGATGGTTTGCTGATGGCATTACAGGAGATTGGAAAAAATGGTAAGACGATAACTGCTGATGAGGCGAAACTTAATATTGCTTCTTGACAGTAGAAACAAGATTTTATATGACCTCATCCTTTTTTTTTCCACCTCAAGAAAGAGACAAGCATGTTTAAAGTAATTAGCAGGCGATTCCATTTTGGTTACAGAGAAATGAGTAGATTACATCTCATGTCACGAAGCCAATGAAGCAACCAAATATAGACAGTAAATGTCATTAACTGTGTCGAACACGGAAGTTATACACGCTTTCTTGTCTTTCGGACTGTTTACTTTCTAAGGTGGTGTTGTCAATGTCAATGGAAGGAAGCTTTGTCCACGCATCATTCTCATGACTGACGGGAAACCTACTGATGAAAATGGACGTGAAAATGAACAGGCAAGACTGTAAAAGATAAAACGGTGTCCTTTTTCCGGCATTAAAACGATAACGTTTGGAATAAAATAAACAGAAACTTAATCCTCTTTACCAGGGAATAAATGGAGCTTTAAATTCATGCACTTTCGGCTACGTGATATGAATATGGATTGGCGGTATTACCGATCACTTTACTTAGCTTGGCTTAATTATCTTGCCGCAAACTAGTAGTTAAAATCATTGTTTATTGCAACGCTTAAATAGCATTTCTAAGCGTCTCGTACATTTTGATAAGATCTATCAGTCGGTTTTGCATTTTAGACATGAGTGTTTACGTTGAGCTTTCGCCAATTTTATTTTAGGCCTTGACTGCAGTGCTACTAGTCGCTGTGCTCTTTGGTCCTCGCTGGCAAGAAGTTGGTCTTCCTTATAAGATCCCAATCGCCTGCGTTGGCTGTGGAAATGCTGATAAGGTAAATTGAATTTGTTAATTAGAAAAAAGTAAAGTAGCACGAGTCAACAAGCCTCGCTGTATAGTGGCTTTCCAAGTTTCGTTGACAATAATGAGTCAGGCGTTTTTACCAGTCTTCCTTAGCGAACTGATATATCCTTTTTCATCGTAGGCTCGTTAATTTTTCCCCACAACACTCCCATAAAGGACACTTTGAGCGCTAGGTTTCTTATCGAGAACACGACGCATTACGCAAATTAAAGGATGATTGTTGTCCTGGTGTTTAACGATTCAAAAACCCTGATAGCTAGACATTTTGCGCGAACGTAACGTCTGTGAATTTTACTGAGTAACTTGTTCGCTTGTTCTTTTTTTAAAAGACAGTAGAGAGGTAGTAATTCTTCCATCAAGCTGCCGTGATTTCCTTTTAGTTAAGTTAAAACAATCAAACATAAATATATCAATTACGACCTGTGGCTATCGCTAGTTGTCTGCTGAATGATATGTTGATTTTGTTAGGAGATATTAAATGTACCTCATTTCTGGAATTTACAGTGTTTATGATGAGCGCTTTTTGTCCCCTTTTAATTTAGCCCATGGCTTGTTGCAGTAGCTCCCCACCCACCCTCCCCTCCGACCCCCAAAACAAACAAACGAAACAAATCTAGGAACAGACACAAAACAAAACAAAACACAATAAAAACTTACGCTTGACTATCACTAGGAGCTGAAGATTTCCCCCAAACCTCAACCATTTGCCGTTTGTCAATTAGAAAACCAAATACCTGATTTGTGCTCTTTGTGAAATTTTAGAAACTTTTGGCAAGCATTGCACAAACAACTGGAGGAATGTACGTGATGGTGCAAAACATGGATGAACTCAGCACTTTTTTTAAGCGCCAAGTGTTGCTATCACGTTTTATCGCCCAGTTTTCCCATGGTGAGTTTGCTGACCATAAATATCCGTTGCACTGGAACCAATACTTTATTTCCTTAAATTTAAACCATAGAGTCAACTCTTAACTTTGTTTTGTGATAACTATTTCAAATGTATAGTGAAATAAGAAATTTGCCATTTCAGGGGGGAGTTCGCCTTTTCAAAACGTTTTCTTGGAACAGCTTGTCCTCTGTAGTTGAGGGTGGAGGGGGAAGGGGTTCATCATGTCTTTCACTTTAAAAACATCACATACATAAGTGTACTGCCACACAGAATAGAGTAACATTCAACCCTATGCATTCAATTCCCTTTTTTTTTAGTGTTATACCGATATACGATATTAGACGACTGAATTCGCACTGCGAAAATGTTAAGGGATTCATCATAAAATGGGCGGGGTGGAGGTTTTATTTCCAAAATTTGGAGACTCGTGGTGAACTTTAAAACATTAACCAGCAGAGTGGCTCAATTTCATTGGCAACATGGTAACCTCAGTGTAATATCATTCTTACTTTTTTTAGTAGATTTCAGTTGCATTTGCCAAAATTTGCTCAACCAAAAGCCAGATGCTAAAAATTTTCACAAATCTGAAAAACTGATTTCTATGTGACAAATGACAAACAAGAAGCATTGTTTTGTTTATTTTCCTATTCCACAGATATGACACAACTTAGGAACTTGCTTGTGCTGCAACAGTTTATGCGAAGTCTCGGCGAAGACATGGAGGAAAGGGAACTGGTAAGAGAGTTATCAATGCATGGATGAGAGAATTGATAGCTCAGTTCCATTAATATCAAACTCTTGCCAGGGCTAAGGATAATTATCCGAGGAACTGGGTTAGAATGGAGAGGGCCGGGAAGGGAACAAAAAAAAAGTGTTTAGATTACTAAACTCAAGTTTACCATAGCTCTCAATCTTACTTTTCACAAGGAAAAACGTTGCACACACGCGCAAGACAGTTTTACACTTGTTCGCATGTTATTTCTTTTTGCAGCGTCCTTTCATGGCTCTCTTATTGGCCATGTTGGTTGCAGACGATGACGATGACGATAATGGGGTGAGTAGTATACATTTTGCTTTGTGCGAAGTTTATTTTTGAACTTGATGCTTTTGATGGTACTTCCTTGTCTTCAATTAATACGGGAGAGAAACAGTAACCATGAAATTGAACTACTGACCAATCTGGATACACGCAGAGATATTTCAGCAAGATTTGCGAATGCAGTAGAAAGTATAAAGAAAGTGGCACTTATATAGTTTCCGTTGTTATTGTTGGTGTCGTGTTGTCTTCCCTCTCATGCTTAATTTTATGGCCTTTATCAGCAGCAACCTCGGAGAACTAGCAAAATGACAAATGGCTAAAATAAATTAACAAATAACTGAAAGGTAGATAGCTAAACACTCACAGACCCGCAAGTAATCAGTGCTAAGCCTCTTTGCATTGAAATAAAATTTCAAAATAGTACATGTCATGTCGGAGCGGTTGTTATTATTACTCCTTAGAACTATCCCAGACCTCCCCCACCGGGGACACGTGTTCGCAGAGGACCGCACTGGAAATGGGGCGACCAAGATGGAGGGAGAGTTGGCACAGTAGTGGATGCTGGAGGAACGCCTGGTCAGTTAGGATTTTGATAGCTAACTTCATACTGCGTCCTGTGAATCCAAGTGCAGAGCCAGTAGGGATGGAGAATGTGATAATTAGTTTTATTGTGAAAAAAGTCCTGGTAGGCTCCTGTTTAACTGCAAACCTTTTTTTAAACTATTCATTTATCTAAAAACACCAAACTCGAAGTTCAGTCTTTATTCACACTTAATTTGTTTTGTCATTGTGATTTCCGCTGTTGTTGTTTTGGTTTTGCTATGTTGTCTCTTGTTTTTGTTTCCGCTCTGTCTTTGTTTTATTTCTAAATAATTGATTTATAAAACACTCACAAGACCCACGTTAGATAGCGGCGAGATTTTGATGCAGGATTCCTATTACCTGAGCGTGAAGAGAAAATGATGAAACAGGACGGTGAGTAAGGAGTTGGTTTATCTACTCATCTGCATGGTGCCACTTGGTAAATTCTCGCTCAGAAAATACAAACGTTTTTCTTTTCCAATTCGTTTCTTTGACAAAACTCGACAATGTCAATTTCGACTTTGCAAGCTTGATTCCACCATAACAGAATTTATGCGATATGTCCCAAGGAGGGCCTTAATGAGCTGATGGCTTTTACGGTTAAAATTAATTTTTAGCCAATTTAAGGCTATCGGTTAATATCTTTCCATTGCGATAACCAGAATTTTTTTTACGGTTAATATTTTTGCAACTGACGGTTAAAATTTGTCAATTCTTACGCCTAACGATGAAATTTTGGCTGTTTTACGGCTATAGGTTATTCCCATTGAGACCCTCCTCAAAGTCATTTCCATTTTTCATCTTTCGCTGAGTGTGTAATCTGATGGGATCACATTTGCTTTCAGGTTGGGTGGAGGTTCAATGGGATCGCGGAAATAAGAATTCCTACCGCTACGGAAAAGAATCTGCTTTTGATGTCAAAGTAAGAAACATTTCCTTGTATTTAAAACTCATTATATGGAATTTCTACATAATATGTTCGCGTTTCTTTCCGCACAATGAACATGTGAAAGGGGAAGATTACGCACTTTGGTAAGCCGCCGGTCACAACGGACGCATGTTGAAGAAAAATATGGTGTGTGCGCAATTGTTGGAGTACATGCGGATTGACAGAGTAGAGAGATCTCCAATTATATTGACTACTTAAACACTGTGGTGACAAAAGTTTCCGCTACTTTGCGCCCCCAATGCTTGAGCCTGAAGTTTCGTGAAGTAACACTGTCATTTTTAGGTTGTTGATGAGAACAGACGCGTGCTTCTCCTTGAAGGAGTCCAAGTTGGATGCCGTGTGATTAGAGGTTAGAAAACTTCGGAGTCCTCCTACGCTTCCGATGGAGCAACTGGGTGGGTCAGGCGGGTAGGAATCAAAGAATCAATCCAAATTACATATATGTTGCTAAAGAGATTATTACTGGACAACAACAACAACAAAACGTGCGGGAAAGTGTTTGGTTTCTTGGAAATTTTCAGAACATATATGAAAGGGGACCACAAACTCAACATGAAGGCGACTGGAAATGGAACTGTAGATTTTTTTATATTACAGTCATTGTGGGACATGAATTCAATGAGAAAAGGGAGGGAGAAGGAGTAAGAATGGCCTGACTGTATTTAAAGACCACAGTAAGCGCTGCAGTTACACAAAGAGCAATCGCAGAGTCGTCGGGGAACTTAGATTAATTGCTTTGACTTTAGATGTACTTTCTATTAATTTGTAGGACCAGACTGGAAATGGGGAAATCAAGATGGAGGAAGTGGGAACATCGGTCGCGTTTTTCATGTAGGCAGTGGAATTGCAAAGGTGAATTTAGCATGTTTCAGGTTATGATTTTTTTTTTCTGCTTCATTTCCTCTCTTTTGTTTTGCTTCACACATTGCTCTCTCAATAGTTTATGTTCTGTATTTGCTTAGGGTTAGGTTAGTCTCCTGATCTAAGGGGCAGTTTAAAGACAGGATTTTTTTGCACAATTTTTTTCTAGAGAAATTAACTATCAACTTGACCATTTCCCCACAAACTTAACGTAAATAGGTTTTTGAGGAGCATCTCACTAATTCACCTTTTGGTCCCGATTTAATTTTTGCAAGTGTCAATGTGGAAATAGTCATTTCATGTAAGTTTGTAAACACGTCTAATTATGAGCAGGTCCGCTGGCCCAATGGAAACACCAATACTTACCGAGATGGTGCAGAAGGAGCGCATGATCTTCTTGTCCACCCTGCGGTAAGTATCTTGAAGTCAATAAAATTATGAGCTCACATAAACATAAGACTTAATCAAAGGTTGCCTTAATTTTAAGTTGCACTGTTTTCGCCCGATGATCACGAGTTTCAGTCGCGTGATCATATAGTCCTGTTTGTTTGTTTGTTTGGTTTTTTGTTTGCTTGTCTATCTGTTTGTTTCGGATTCATTTTTAAAACTACAACGATCTCCCCTCTGTTAACATATTTGTTCTTTAGTTCAGCTATATGATTTTCATGAAACTCTCTCGTAGGACGTGATCATGATGCCTGTCTTATCTGCTGGCTCACCAAGGCAGCAGCCGTCTGAGGCTTGTCTGGTGATGTAAAGCTCGACAGCTATTGAGTCCGCATGAGTGACACCAACTATAATGAAAAGGCAAAGTTTTTAGTTTAAGTCTTAGCTTTAGAGCTTGAAGGTTGTTTAGGAAATGCAATACTCTGGGCCTCTTTATTAGATACAGAGCAGCATAGAGCTGAGTTTAGGCAAAGCACATATTAGTAGTGATCTTGTGTGGTGACTTTATTGGTATCTAAAAACAAATTTAGTAGAAAAAAGAAGTGAAATAACCTATAAAGGATTAGGATTTGTAAACAAGTTTTGCAGCTGTTTAGTGTTGTAAGAAGAAGATCAGTGAAACTTCACCAATGAACAAACACCCAACGACGATGGTGAATTGCAGACATAAACGTTCTGGACTGACCTACAAACCGGTACACCCGGGGATGTCAGAATTGATTATCAAAAATTGATTATGATGGATTGATAATCTGCATGGCTTGCTATTTTCATAAAAAAATTGTAGGGGAAGGATTAAAAAGAAACTTCAATATCTTTTGCCTATTGATTAAACTGTAAAGATTTGCTTTTTACATGTCTACTACATATATAAGGCAAGCAGCTAGAATAAATGCATGGCTCTTGTTTCGCAAAATAATACGCTATTCCCTTTATACTTGTGTCACCCGAGTGAAAGCTACCTGTTCTTTTCTTTTGAGTTGCCCTGTCACAGATTAAACCTCTCAAGATAAAGAGGGGGTCCTGTTTTGGAAAGACTGATAGCACTTAGTTAACTAACAAAAAAATGCTAAAAATTGATAAAGAAAACCGCGTATGTATGTAAGAGCTGGTTTGTAATTAGCTAAAATAGGAACTCGGGAATGGTTTTGTAAGTAATTGTTGTTGACTGGTTAATACATTTCATGACAAAACGAAACTTTCTGTTGTTGGTTTCAGCCTTGAACACTGAAATATACTTCTTTGGGTTAACTAAAGAGACGAATGAATCGTGAGCGAGAGATAATAATCTCTTGATTGTGAACTAACTAAGGATATATTCAATGAGGTTCGCCAAGACTTGATATATTTAGCATGATGACGTTCATAGATAATCACAAATTGAAAACCTGCCGGAACGTGGTTTAACAGTCAGGGAAAAATTACGTCGGGATTAAATTACTTAAGTTGCGTATCTTGCCCACTGCGTGCAAATATGGCAATTGTTCAGCAATGTTGTGATACCTGCTGTGCAGATAACAGGAAGCACCTGAGCGTTTCAATTAAACTGGAACGAAAAACATCTAGGAAAAAGGGAAACTTGAATGATATCAACTGTCTCCCGGATATTTTCGTGGCTCTTGTAAAATTTTCTTGGGCGGCGCACCAACTGCACTCGTGCTTCCGTGCCCTCGCTAAACGTCTGCAAATTCTCGCATGCTGTAATAAATTTAATTTGATCTGCTGCAACCATACTAGTTGTTTTAATCTGAATGCCGTAAATTGGTATGGATTCAAATGCATCTCGCGTGGCATAGAGATGCAGTTCGTCTAACGAAATATTATTATCTTACGTGGCGCAGAGATGGAGTTCCTTTAACGACAAATATGGCGTTTGAGTGTAGAAAGATTACACATGTTCTGTATGGAGAAATGAACTTGCAGAATACTTTCTACTCACCACTTGTGTTTCTTAAGCCTCGCCACTCAGAAACTAAATTCATGAACAGCTCCCAGCCGAAAATTAAGTTAAGAGGTAATTCAAGGATAGTCGCAGATTCTTTAAAGGATCATTCTATCATCAAGTTGATTGAATGAACCTTAAAGTTTATTCAGTAATAGTAGATTTCCATTTCCTGAATATGCGTCCATTTTGTATTGTACTAATAATACATTTGTCGTCAATATTCCTTATCTTTACTCAAGGTTGATTACAACTTAATTTCGTTTTGATAACCTTATCACAAGTTTGACGCGTGCCTGGTTGAACCACGAAGCCAAATGTTCAGACAACGTGCGTTGACGATGTACTTTGGTATAGATTAAAAAGTATTTTAATCAAATCCATGCTGATATAATTGAACTTCTGACTGCAATAAAGCCGTTCTGTTGACAAATATCAGCACATGGAATGGTAGCGAAAACGGTTTTATACTAAAAGCAAACCAGTCTGAACCAGGCTTGAAGTATAGCTAAATATTTCCTAACATCTTCCTGTTTACTTGCCAATCACAGATGATAGAAGCCAAACAACATCTGTCACTTCCATTAACCACACAGCACGCGACCAGAAATTCTTACCACGCCTCCTACAGGTTATCAGACATTCTAAAGCATTTGATCTCATAAAGTTTAACAGGCAAATTACAGTCATACGTGCGCTTTAGTACACTACAATAAATTAATATCACGTAGTTTGCCTCGAGGAAAATATCTTAACTACTGTCAAACGTTCTTCTACCGCAAAAACGGCTAAATGTGTTGACCTTATTAATGACAATGACGACGATAAAGCCATTTATTGATGCATGGTTATTTTGATATTCATTTGTAGAAAAATAAGTGTTTTTAGGAAAATATATTCAACTTCTATAGAGAGTAAGGGCAAGCAGACCGTCAAGTTGATTTTGACCCAAATGATAAGTCATTTGCATTAATGAGTTTAACTGAGTACGTGCTTGGTGAGATTAGTCTGTTTGTGTCAAAATTTCACTTTTGCCGAGCTCTCGCGTTGATTTTTACAATTATCGATCGGCGGGTAGCATCTACGACAGGCTTCTAATTTCTTTTCCCTTTTTTTCTATTTGTCTTTGTTTGTTTGTTTAGCGTAGCCCATCAGTTGGTTAATTGTGTTTCTTGGGGGCTATACGTGAACAGCATATGTTATAAATTGCTCTCTCACAGTACATTAAGTCTGGAACAAATCTTTTATTTCACTGAAAATGATCGCAATGTAATGTAAGCCCGTTTAAGAGATAAACAGAACCTGGGTGAGCAGCGAGCTGCCAAAGAAGAATATTTAAGAAGTGAAGAAGGGTTCTGTGGCAGTAACCATATGTATTGCAGGACGGAACGAAGACAATGAGTAAGTGGTCATTGGTTGAGTAATTATTCCCCTTCGTATCCAGATTTTGAAATGGCACAAAATAATCAGCCTATGGACTGAGTCGCTGAATTTACTTCAGGGAAGCTCTTTGAGTACGAGTGTGAAACGACATGAATCAGCCGAAGTACTTTTTGCTGAGGTTTTATTTCTTTGTATCGTTTTCATTTTTTTGTTCCTTAATCAGAGAAAAACCACTAACCTGAGGTTCGAAAACCAGTAATATAGGATATATTATTGGTTAATTGCACAAGGTCTCGACACGACGGATAGTCGTATTCGCTAGCAGTTTTCGTGTTTTTGTCGACAGTATTTCCAAGTTTTGTATCTAACAAGATTCAGTTGAAACTTGAGGTCGGCATTAAGTTGGACGACAACCGGCTTTCCAGTACTCGTGGTTTTGGATAATCTGCTATATCTAGGCTTTAAGAATCGATCTGAATGTCGGCTGCAAGGCAAATTATCTTAAATACTTCAATTGTCAACAAATTGCAGAACATGCAGTTTTCGAGTTTTCCCTTTTTCTTCCTTAATCCAGAAAACGCTCAGTATGAAAAATGGGGGCAGGGGGGAAGTTTTTTTTTCTGCTCTCATGCGTCGACAAGTGGGTTTTCCTGCGTGCTTATTCATTTTTGTTTGCTCTTGTTAATGTTGATTTTCAAGTGTTGTCGTTGTGATCTTTTAATTGAGCCTACTGATTTAAAAAGGAAAGAAAAAAAAAAGCGGCACTTATTTTTAGAAACTTCTTTCGAAATTCGGCACAGCTATCTAGTTTCCCTCGACTGATTCCATATGTTCTGTTTGAGGTTAATGTTCCCAACCTCAACAGGCAAAAGTCCAAGTCGCATATTTCTGCTGACTTTTCATTGCGGAAAACTTGTTTCAAGGTGAGCTTTCCAACAGGTTATGTCATTTTCTGAGAGTGATAACGTAACATCTCGTTAAACGCAGTTAAGATTCATGATGAGACGTGAGCTACATGTTGTGATACGAGGGTTCCTCTGAATTCTTTCCAATTTTGTCATAGTTTGCAAATTTAAGAGTGTTCTCGATCACGAGTTCTTTAAACATCTGTTTGTTTACTGTAATTACGGCTAATTAAGGCAGTCACTAAGATGATGTTCATCAAACTTATTCTTGTCGGCGCCAGAAGACAGCATGCACAAATCCCAGTCAAAGCGAGAGTACCTATAGCAAGTATTACGTGATAAAACAAATAAATTCCATTTCACAAATTGGCTTGGCAGAAGATTTAAGATAAACTCTCGAGCGCTGGCAAACCCGCAAGATAACTTTGTGGTTATGACCGGAAAATGACGATCTCAGAGACTTACTTTAGCCAATCAAGTGCCCAAGTGATTATCATCTTAAAACTTAGCAACTGAAAATTGCCATTCAATTACTTAGTGATTGATCAAATTCAAACAGGGCTAGTGTATGGCTTGATTTTGCAATCCCTAAAGAGATTTGGAATAGAATAGGACACAGTCAATTTAAAACAAAATTGACGAGTTTATGGGTTGAGCAGATTACTCTTGTACAGAATCAACATGGTGAACGAAAAAAAAACATTTATCACAGTAATAAATAATGCCCTTAACAGAGCACATGCGATTTTAAATTGCATCTTTTATGGTTAAAACAATTCGACGCCAGAAGAAAGTTTGTAGCATAAGCAAATGAAGGGAGCGTCTGACTGTTTCGAATGAAGCCTGCGGATCCTTATATTGAGTGGCATGATCTAATCTCGAAACTGGCACATGGAAAGCATTGTTATTCAGTCATGCCTGATAATTCCATCTCGTCCCAAGCAGATGCCGAACATAGCCTATCTTCCTCTTTGAAGTGAGAAGAAATAACCCTGGGAATAAGCCGGCTTAAGGCGATTATCACTCGTTTCATTCAGCTAGAATCGGTCAAAAAGCTCATGATTATAGATGAGTTCCTAATACAAGATCTCAGCTGTACCGATGTAAGACTTCCTTGCTATAGGAAAATTGAGAGAAAGCAAAGCATTACACTACAACCAATTCGAGCGAAAAAAGAGTTGAAAGCAGCAGCAACAGTTAGATAAAGAAAATAAACTTAAAAATGCAATCAAACTTAGAGAGCTACTAAGTCAAGTGCAACAAACTTTAAGTAGTTAGAAAACCACAAATGCCACTGTTAGTGAAAAGCAGACATTGTTCATCATATGCCGTGTTGTTATGAACAAGTCCATCCCATGATTCTCAGATACATGTCGGAATGCCATCCGTCAGAATAGTCGAGGAGCTTGGTAAAAAAATCTTCATTTGGAAACGGAATCGAAATAAGGCTGATACAAATCAAATCAAAAAGACTGTCTGAAGGAGGGGTTGTTCAGGAATCACCTAAATTTCGGCTGTAAAAACTAAAGGAGGCCGGTAAACAATGATTTGACAAAGTACCTGGCTAATGTCGTAGACACATGGCCGTCTGTGTTGCTAAAGCTTTAAACGCAGAAAACAAGGCCATTTGTCTCAGTTAAGCGTGTTCGAACACAACGTTGCTCTGAAGTTGGCTCAGTACGGCTCGAATCTCCAGGTTACTTTTTATGCATATTTTTTTTTTTTTTTCCCTTAGAAAACTGATGTAAATTTTATAAATAATTTAGGGGGATTATGGCATTTTGTTAGGGTTGGTCTAAGCCACTTCCCATGACTGATATCATAGCACTGAAATTGAAAAGTGACAAGAACTTCCCTTGAATGTGTTTCCGTATTCCTTTTCTAACCCTAAGTAAATTTGCAACTTGAATTCATCAGGGAAAATAAGTGTTAGGAAGGTGCATATGTAATCCACTGAAAATCAGCCGGTCAATAAGGATTATTACTTACGCAAGATATTTTTGCTTAAGTTCACCAAATGCTCGGATCAAATTTGGTTATATTTATCTTCAAGGTGTTGAGAAATACGAGGCTTGAAATTGGGGCAAAATATTACACTATTTTATGCAACTATAGGCAACTAATGAGAACCCTTTAAACGTTACGATACCAAAACCGCATAAACCATACTTTCCAAAAATGCGTGAGAAACATAGATATGAGATATGTTTAGTTAACAAGACTTATAATCTGAGCTTAATGGGCGGTCACGGACCTTAAAGAGATTTCAGAAACAACCTAAAGATATCACTTACGATTTTCATCTCAGTGCGAACGACTCTTACCGCATTCCATCAATACCAGTGCCATCGGCTGCGGCTTGAAGGATTTGTCATTTTCAAAGAGGGGTCAAACTCTAAGGAATCGATACGTGATTCTGACATTACAAACCTCAAAACAGAAAAGCATTCGTTGTTCTATGTAAAGACATCACTGTGTTATTTTATCTATTTCAACGTTTCTTTTATGACTGACTTAATAATTGATTGTCAATAAAGAAATAATCACTAAGCATCAAACATAACCGCTGTGCGGACACATGATACCAAACTTAATCTCCTCTCACAACATGTAAAAGAATATTTTAGCCGCAAGATACACAGTAACATATAATGCATTCCTCGTGGTCAATGATCGTGCGTAATGCGGAATGCGCCCATAGTTGCTAGGATGTGGAATATTTCCAGACGTTTTCTGACAAGGAAAAACCAAAATTCCGCCGTCTCGTTCTCAGCGGAAGCTCGTTATAAAGGCATCTACCTTGATCTCGCACGGTACAATCAGTGTAGGTTTTCAAAGGCTTGCGAGCGACTTCCCTTTGCAAGATTGTTGTCTGTTTCAAGTAGTCGCTTTTTCCAGCGATCATAAGGTAGGTCTGGTTAATATTCACTTCTTAATTAGGCAGGTAGTGGTAGGAACCAGATGCTGAAAGAAAGGGATATTAATTAGAAGATTTAACATTCTTAGAAAATCAAATATACCCATTATCTTATGGCTCGTTTGTCCGCCTTCGCGATAGCGGCATTGAGTGATCGAAAGTTGGAGCGTGATAAGCGCACGTGGGCCGCTGAGACAATTTCCCTTACGGCAAGAATGTACCAGTGTTTAACAGATACCGCACACCTTCAATTTTCTTGAGCCTAGTTAATCTCTCTTTTCGTAATCTTCGTCTTTTTAGGTAATTGTTGGCGTTCTCACTAATCAACGATTAGTGTCAGCGGAGTACTCCGCACGCAATCTTTCTATCAAAAATGTTTGTAGTGCTTGAGTGGCCCTCTTTGTCATGGACGCCGCTCTCTCTCCTACTGTCTGTATTTGCAATCGCAGTCTTCAGCATCGCAGTTTCTTTCATCTTTGTTCTGGGAAGAGCTTACTCTCAAGTCCGTAACTTTGATGGTCCACCATGCCATCTAATCAAAGGACATTTAGAACAGGTAAGATTGAGTAAGACCATATTTGGTCTTTGACATTCGCTATCTTTATATTGTATATTGCCGCTTTGCTCATAAATTGTTTGCCCTATTTAGGATTTAAAAAGATATTCCTTGTAAATGATTTGTTTGACGTTGCACTTCACTATGAAGAGGACACAAAGTAGAATAGCATCTCTAGCCCATGTCCGATACACTACCGTCAAAAATTTGAGTATTTGCCATGATAAGCTTCCACCAGGGCGAATCGAGCATTTTTTGATGAAAATCACTTCGGACGATTACTTTTTGAAATGTACGAGAGATCAAGTCTAACGAGCGTTGTGATCCATTACATTCCAAGCTGATCCTGCTTTCTATAGCATAAGCGCCTGAGAGAAACCCTCTTACTAACGTTCTTGGACGAGATTTTTCACTAGTAGTGAGTTGGAAAACCGAGCAAATGGGGTTTTGCAGAATTTAACCAAGGTTACTAAGCTCACAGATTTTTTAAGTTATCAAACTTTATATTTTAAATAATGAGATAAAAGTCAGTGTGGAAGTCGCCAAATTTACTGCCAAAATTATGGAAGCTTAAGGCTTTGTTAGGGAAAATGTGCTGTCCTCTTCTAGATTCCGAAAATATATTGTTTTTAGCTAGTTTGGGAAACAATGATATCAAATGAATCTAATCTGTTCTTTAGCAGCAAAATCAAATGAGTCTCATTTGGTAGTAAGCCCTGACTCGTATGTCTTTCCTCGCTTTAACAATTAAACAGAGCATTTCCGGTTTACTTTGATGTGAACGTTAAATAAAGTCCGAACTTGTTTACTCAGTTACCGCAATGCCCTACGGCAGCGAACCGCAAAAATACAACTGACATAATAGTTTCCGCCTGTCGCAACCTTTTGAAAGTCAAAAAAATCGATAAGGAGGTGCTGTTTGCTTACTGGTGTTTGTTTACGTGTTAAACTTGACGCCTGTCGAATGTAGACCGTGTGCGAAGTAACACACTTATTCCAGGGCGCCAAAGTAGACCCTTTTGTCACATAAAAAGTGTAGATCAATTAAAAAGTTAAGCCATCGTATTTGAATGTTTTACATGGTGGCCATAACCTTGTGGTTGTTTTCAGTACTGAAAAAGTATTTTGTTGAAAACACTGCAGGATTCTGTTGCACCATGCAATATTTGAACCAAACGTCATTTTAGATCTTTATAGCTCCATGCCGAGGGGATTCGCTTGACGCGGAAAGGGAAAAGTGGGAATTTGCTTTTCATAAATGCACAGTGAACGCTCAATTCATACAACAGTCTCGAAACCAGAATAACTACTTTCTGTGTGAAGATAAGCGGGTTGGGCATAATTATGACATCAAGAGTCAGTTAGTGCATGATCTTATGGTATCCTTTCAAGCCTTTAAGTTCAAGGAAAGAGCTTTATTTTTCCTGGGGAGAAATATGCGTATCTTCAGAAGCAAAGATTTGTCATTGGATCACCCAAGGTTTATTCTCTTAAGACGTTCAGTTTTAGTAGGCTGTTCCGTTCAAGAATCAAAGATCTTGTCTGGACTTTTCATCAAGTCCTAAACCAAAGCAATGAAAGAGACTCTCGAGTTTTCGTGGTTTAAAGGTATTATTCTTGTCATGTACGTGCGTCATCACATCTTCTAATCACATACTTTTGGGTTGACATTATGAATAAGTGATGTATGTCACTGGCGATAAGAGATCAGCTTAAGAGGATGGTTTGTTTTATTTGTCAGCCGCCCTAGTGCTTCACATGCTTAAAATTAGGGAACAAACACTAAGAGTTTATGACCACGTGGTTCCACTGAGACGATCAGGGGTTTGAGTAATCATCACTTGATGTGTTGTTCTTCGGTAGTATCGGTGTAATGGAGCACTTATAAACTTCCAATTAGAAATAATTTGTAATTAAAATTGTGGCAGTTACTTAATCCTGTTGATTCGGTGATTATGATGTGTATTACATAAGGTGTGCGCCAGGGGTTATATCAGCTTTTATTGGAACCTATTAGCAGGACTGATGTTGTATCTTCTTAGCTTGTTTTCTACAAGCTTATACTTCTGGAAGCCTTATAACCGCTTACTCCATAAACGTAAACAAAAACGTGTTCAAGGTCGTAGCGAATAAATATTTGGTCACCCAAAGTATATGTACATTCCCTCAAGGCACGCACCTAGACCAAACATACTTCTTTACTTATAGCAAAAAATGTCGCTTGAAAAACGAAATCAAGTCAAAGGGTAACGGTTGTTCTTAAATTTACGCTTAATGTTTACCGCAGGCTACATTCGATGGTCAAGGGCTTCGTTTTCACCAAAAGTGTACAGAGCTTTACAAGACAGCTTATCGTGTTTGGTTTGGACCTTTAAAGTCGGCGGTCGTTCTCTGTCACCCTGATGCTGTGAAACCGTTGCTGGCGACCACTTTTAAAGATCGAACTGTCAGCCACCTGTTGGCTGCATTTCTAGGTACATCAATCGACAGTGTTTATACTTGAGATACAAAAAATGAAAACAAACAAGTGTTTTGTATTGGTTCTCAAATCTTGAAAGAAAATTCTCAATTGTTTACGTCTTTATTTTTTAGCTCGTGTTATTAGATCAATTCACAGCCTTTCTTTAAAAATAAAATAAAGAAATGATTCTCGCTGATGCGCTGCAATTTTCAATCCGCTGGTCGAATGAAAGTCCTTTACGGGAAAAAGGAACCCTCTTAAATTTGCCTCGCTCCCTATGTGTGGCTTCGTTGTTCAGTTGGAGCTTAAATTTTTTCCTTTTTCAGCTTTGTGTTTCTGCAGTTTCTGAGATCGCAGCTCACCTGCGAAGGTAATCGCGTTGTTTTATTCAGTCGGAGGATTAATCACGAGCTGAATTACCATAATGGAGAACTTCAAGTTAGTTTTTTCCCGCGGCTAGACTGTTTTGTATCTGTAGTCGGTCAACGTTTTCCTTTTTCCTTTATTTTTATATCTTTTTTAACTTTAATTGGATATTTTTCGGACTTTTAGGTGTTGGTCTCGGTCTCCAAGAAGGAGAGAGATGGAAAAATTCGCGGAGACTTCTAACTCCAGCTTTCCACTTCGAAACTATCCAACCATACATCAAGATTTTCCAAGAATCTGCAGATATTTTATTGGTAAATAGATAACTTGTATATGATAATCAAAGTCACAAGAGATAACTATTGCTCCTATTTTAATGTTTGGAAAAACATCGGCAGAGTGGCTAATCGCTGACGCCTAACAGCGAGCGACTACGGCCAGCTGATTCAGTGAATGCCCCATATTATATAAAGGAGTGACTTCGATGTAGATGAAGGAAACCTCGATTGACTAAGGCGTTACAAGCCTGAAGTCTTTTGTGTTTCCCAAAAATGATTAAATAAATAAATAAAAGATCAATAAAAACAAGAACAAGCGTGAGTGAGGTTTTATAGCTTTCACTGCTAAATGAACACTAAGAAAATCGACATATTGCAAATTCAAAGATTTTCCATTTGCAGGTGTTTATATCTCTGATCAAATATATATTCACTCGATTATGTTATTACTTTTTAGGGTAAATGGGCGTCGTCCCCGAACAGAGAGGTGGAGCTCTTTCATGATATAGGGTTGTTGACGTTTGACTCCATCTTGAAATGCGCCTTCAGTTACTGGAGTGACTGTCAAGTGAAAAGATAATTTGCTTTATTGTTTATTATTTAATTTGCATCTGACTTCTCATGAATAGTTGCACTGCGCGGAGATATATCCAGAAATGCATACAATAACGAAAATGGCGAAAATTCGTCAAAATCGTCAATTCCGCCAAGATGATTTCGCTTTGACGAATTTGACAAAAAAATCCCCAAAATCGTCGAATCCATGAACATTGACTCGGTTTGAAGATAGAAAAGTGGAGAGTTGCGCTAGTTAGTGCAAAGCTAAATTGTCAACGGGCTTGACTTGATAGGGAAAGGTATCGATTTTTTTGCCGATGTTCAGTTGGGAAACTTAACGATATGCTCGGAGGTAATCGTTAAAGGCTTTGATGCCATGTTCTGCTAATTGGTAATTCAATACAAGGGGCGTGGATTTCTTTCATGAATGTATACGCTGGGATTTGGGCTGGTAGGAAAGTCTGTCCAAAATTGGGGTGCACTCGTAAAAATTTTGCGCATTCCGAGAAGGATGGCGTTGTGTTGATGACTTTAAGAACCATCGATGCTCTTGAAGACGAGATTAGACTCGTGGGTTCTGATCGGGTGAAAATGGCCTCGGCAGTACTCTTTGCCTTTCTCTTGTGGTAATTTGTATTAAGCTGAAGGTTCAGTCAGTCATCAAGCAGGTACTTATCTCCAATGTTATTGTTTTCCTCAGCACACCTGACTCCTTCCTGAGAGCAGTTCACGAAAATACTCAAGCAATTATGGATCGGTTTCGGTAACAAAGTTTTATCATCATCATTATCACCATTTTAATTATCATCATTGCCATAGTTTTCAGTTACCTACTAATCTCTCTGATCATTGACCATTTGACATGTTTTACCCTCAAAAGACCTCCAAGAAGTTTTCAAAAAATTTCAGGAAGAAGTTCTCAGATTTTGTCATGAATGTGCCACTATAATCCGTTGTAAACGTTTTGGAATCAAAAAAGGTTGTCTCCCTTGCCAAGTTACAACATGATTTTACGTGAAATAGGAAAATCAAACCGGTTCGCTGACACTTTTTATTAACAACTTGAAGGAACATTAAGAGTTAAAAAATTATCAAAGTGTTGATGAAACTCTTTCTCTTAATCAGGACTCCTCTGCACCATTCAGATTTTGTTTACAATCTGACGTCCGCGGGAAGAAGGTTCAAAAAGAATTCTGAGATTGTTGGTTGCAAGGCAGATGAAATTATCAAGAAAAGAAGAAAGGCTCTGATGGAAAGGGTAATCGATAGATGATAATATAGCGAGAGCCATACATCGCTAGGCCATTTTACTATACATGCCTTGCAACAATTCTGTTATACATTTTTGAGACTTACAGTATTATGCATACAATAGTCATTTATTAATACATCAGCATCAATATTTCTTACTCCCCGTTTAGGAGCAATAAATATTAATTTGTTATAAGGCTTCAACCTCGTACTTGGCCGGGCCTAACCAGTTGATGATCGAGCATAGAGACTGAATCCTCCCAGCGTATGTGCCCAAGTCAGTTTTAGATTATTACCGTTTCCGAAGATCCTATGAGGATCCAGAAATATCCATCCTGCTTCCCAAATTTTTCTCATCTGCTCATCGCATTCTGCTTCAGCAAGAAACTCAACACGTGCAGAAAAAAGGGGTTTCTCAAGTTCGAGCGTCCTGTGTATATTTGCATTATAAGTTCCTTGACAACACAACTGATGAAAATTTCAATTTTTAGCCAGAAGAAGAGGCTTTGAGAAGACAAGAGCATTTTGACTTCCTCGACATTCTTCTTGAAGCCAGGGTATGATTGCCTTACACCTCTGTGTGTTGACTGTTACACCTTTTATATCACGTCTTCGAAGAACCAATTGAAATTCCTTAGAGGCCGTCAACAACGAACAAAGCTTCACAGATTATTTATTGATTCTTAAATCGCTGGCTCTATAACTGCCTATTATCTCTCCTGATTAGTGATATAATACCACATTTATATCATCATATTCATATTTTTCCTTTTTATTTTTTAAGCGCGATGATGGACAAGGATTAACGGATGAAGAGATTCGAGCTGAAGTAAGAACATTCATGTTTGCGGGACTTGACACGGTGACCAGCGGTAAATGCTGCTTTCATTATATTGATCAATGCATGATTCTTCGTACTTTTGCATTTTTTAGTTGGAGAATCAATCACTGGATTGTTCTCTTGACGTGATTTAGAGGAAAGGAAACTTAATCAAGGACAATTTTCGACAAAATTTTGCCGTTGCATCACTTAAAACTGATTTGATTATATCTTGACCATACGTCGAGTCAAAAATTGTGAAGATTAATTGACCCTTGAAGTCCCATTAGCGACTAAGACAAAATTTCTCCTTACAATATCAATACGATATCAAACAGACAAGCGATGGGAATACAGAAAAATATCAATTAGGGGATTATAAGTTGATCCAATACCAAATTCTCCAAACTAACATGTATGGCAGACAGTAAGGAGAGTTACTAATGAGATCTTGGGAGTTAAAGGGTTAAATGAGACTTGAACCTCTTGTGGTTTGTGTGTAGGCTAGAGTTCAAATTTTATTCTACATGTAATTGCCTTTGTTTCGAACTGATGTATCATACATAAATGTAGCTGCCCACAGTTTAACGAAAATGAAACCAATATTGAAAGAAATGAACCGCAAGATATGTATGTTGATATTTCAAAATACGCTGCGATTTAATCAAAAGGTAATATGTCTTGTTCCTACAGCAATCAGCTGGATCCTCTACTGCCTAGCACTCTACCCTGAGCACCAGCAGAAATGCCGGGAAGAAATTGATTTACTTTTTGAAAATGGAAATGATTTACAACGGTGAGTCAAACTTTGCCAAAAGGAAAAAAAAACTATACTTAGTAATTTAGCTCAACAGGTGAGGAAAATTGCACTAATCTGTCGAATAAGGTCTTCACTTCGCATCCACAGTTAATGCATCGGATGTTCTCAGACCATTCCACAGACCATAAAACTATGTAACTGTGTAAAATCCAACTGAAAAACCCAAAGATTAAGATCCTTCTCATGACTGTTAAATTATAGTTGATTCGGTTCTGTTCGGTTGCCTGTGTTTTATGATATGAAATGGCGCAAGTGTTATTTCAAGCAGGGTTTTTTTTTATAATTCCTACTGTTTCCTCCACAGAGCGGATCTCTGCAATGTTCCTTATCTCAAGCTTTGCATCAATGAGTCAATGCGTCTGTACAGTCCAGTTCCGATTATATGTCGTTTATCGGACAAGGAATATGAAATTCAAGGAAGGACCCTCCCTTCAGGTATATAAATTAAGGCAGTACATCAAGCAGATATGTCCTGGCAATATGTTCCAGAAGTGAGAATATAAAGTAAAGGAACATTTGGGGCGAGTTTGAAACTCGAGTTGCGTTCTTGCACAACTCTTGGAACTAAATCAGATGTTTTTGTGTGTGAAAAAGCTGAAAAAACTGACAATCTGGAAACAGTATTTGATAACTTGATACCAGAAGTAGATAATAAAGGCATTAGATGATTGACGATGATTAACTATTTTGACACAGGTACTTTTCTGTATGTCAACATCTTCGCTATTCATCGTAACCCTTACATTTGGAAAAATCCAGAGGTGAGTTCGCATAAAAATGCAGTCACGCGCCTCTCACAAATCACTCGGAACTGTTGCTTACCAATAATAAAAGCCTTAAGATGTTGTTACGGCTTTACTGTTCGCGTCAGTATGGCAAGCATACGTTTTTTCTCCATTCTTTTTAATTTTTGAAGAGGCTAGGGTGTGGTTGTAAACGTGACAAAACATCTTTGCAAATGTTGCCTAACTGCAACAGTACCTCTTACTTCATCATTCTTTTTCAGCACGGCTTTATGCTAAAAGCGACCTATAAAAAAAAAAGGGCATATAGGGAATGGAAGGTAGCTTGGCTGTAATTTAAATGGAATTAAATTAGCCGTCTTATGTGATTTATTTCACCCCTAGGTATTTGATCCTTTGCGGTTCACAGAGGAGAACACCAAAAAACGGCCATCGCACACTTTCATTCCATTTTCATCCGGAAGAAGGTAAATTTCTATCTTTCAAAAATCACAAATGAGATATTACACGTTGCAGGATTTTTTACTCCGAATGTTCAGGGAACTTTGATGTGTTGATGGTATTCGGTTATTCTAATTATCCATACCTGTCTAAACTTCCAATTTCTTGTTGATTTTGTAACCAATCAGTACGAAAATATAAAATACCAAGTCTAACGGGTAGGTAATTTTACTTGACTCATTGACCAAATCATGCAATCTTATGGTATAACAATTTGGATCATTCAATTTGCTCTGTTATAAGACTGATCTGCTCACCAGTTTTAAAAAAAGTTCCTCCGATTTTAATAGCACACACGTATTGTCACATTTCTGATGTAGAAATCAAAGTTTCCTAATTTCTGAGCACCATCCCTTCTCAGATATAAATCTCATTTCAAATTGGTATTTCAGAAACTGTATAGGCAAGAATTTTGCAATGGCGGAGATCAAATCTACAATAGCTATGATATTGCATCGGTAAGTCAAGGAAAATAAATAAACTATATTGCCTCAATTTTTTCGGTCGAATACAAAGGCGAAGATACTTTTTTCAGGAGAGGAGAAAGAGAAACTCATTTCGTTGTGGGGTAAAGTAGAAGTTCTTCAATAATCGGCGCATGGAATACTTTAATGGGGAGTGAAAACGTACGGTATTTTGGCATGTCGTGGGTGAAAATGTCGTGCGCGTGTAATCAAAGGTTCCTGAGACGTGTCGTCTGCCTGTCACAAGCTTGTCGCGTGCCGCAAAGTTGTGCCGTGTTAATCGGTCCCGGTGTCATAGTAAATCGTATCATTTTTTTTTTATTTTCGGCATTTTAGGTTTGAGCTTACGGTTAATGAAGATAACATGGTGTCTATGGAGGACCTTCTCACAGTGCTTGTATTACGTAGTAAAAAGGGACTAAAAGTTAACGTTACCCCAATAGATCACAACCATAATTCATCGACGGTTTGTTCTGAACGAGCAAACATAAAGTGCTGACTCGACATTCAGGACGAGCCTTTCTTCCTCTTTTTTTTCAAAACAGACTGAAGCTTCGGGCTGAGTCATCAAAAGTTAAGAATGTTCAGACTCTTGCATCCTTTTTTAAAATTCAAGAGAGTAGAAATCAACGCTGTACCATAAAAAAAATGCGTATACATAAATTTGAACTTCAATGTAACCAAACGATTACCGTTACTTATTTATTTCTGCAAAACACACGCTGTGAGTGCGTATAAAAGTATTCTGCTGAATGGAAATTATATGCAAATAGCGATATTTTGATGAACATAGGTAATAAGGTAGGATCTCACTCACTCAAAGCTTCCTTTTATTTACTTTTGTTTTCAATGTATTCTGGACCGAGAATTGCTAAAGGAAAATCTAAAATATATCATTTAATTATCGATATAATTACATTATTTTACATCAATATCATAGAAGCGTTTTATTTTTGTGATTAGATGGTAAAAATGCCAATCAAAATTAGCATTTTACACCTCATTTGTCTAGAATAAACAGTAGTTACTTTTTGTCATTTGTTCCAAAAATTGGACAAATAAAAATGATGAAAATAAAAACGAATTATACCGTTATACTAGATAAATATAGTACTAAATCTTTAAGAGGCGATCTCTGTAAGAGCGGTCCAGGGTATTTCGCATCGGAAAAAAGTTTTCCCTCGAACTTTGCCCAATAAACTATCTTTGGTAGCAAGTAAATAAAACCACATTAGTTTCTGGAAATACGTTAAAATAAAATTTTTAGAGCTCTCAAAAGTCAAAGCTGCTAAAGGCCCTTTTTTGACCTCTTGCGACATCGAAAATTTCAAAAGTTGAATACCCTGGTCCTCGTATCACACCGCATGCAGCAAAAAATATTTTGTATTTTTAAACTGTGTGATATGTTAGGTGAACAAAAAGTATTTCAATTTTGATATTTGTTTATTTAGGGGTTCGTCATAATTTATTTAAAAACACTCGTTAGACAGCTTTCTGAAATTGGTCAAAAGTACTCTTTCCTTCTTGGTTGATATTGCTCAAGTCCAGATCAGACCATTAAAAACTCCGCTTGATTTCTTCTAATATGATGTTTGGCTGCAGAAAAATATAAAAACATCTTGCACTTATTAATTTTGTTCGCCGCGGTGACTTCAAACTTTTAGCGATTTTGCTAGCGTGACAGCCGATTATGCAAATTAGTTCATGGAAAAAACTCCGACCGTTTTATATAAGTAGCTCAATAAATCTTAGATTTTAACCTTTTTAGGTTGAAAAGATAGTGGGACAGAGCTTTTAGACTACACCGATTGATACTCTAAACATTTCAAAAGGCCAGAATTTGACAAATTTTACCCTCTCGTGACGCAAGACGTCAACAACAATGCATCGAATATCATAATTTGATTAGCGCTCGCCTAACATTTTATTAGAAGAAATCAAGTGGAGTTTTTAATGGTCTGATCTGGACTTGAGCAATATCAACCAAGAAGGAAAGAGTACTTTTGACCAATTTCAGAAAACTGTCTAACGAATGTTTTTAAATAAATTATGACGAACCCTAAATAAACAAATATCAAAATTGAAATACTTTTTGTTCACCTAACATATCACACAGTTTAAAAATACGAAAGATTTTTTGCTGCATGCGGTGTGATACGAGGACCAGGTTATTCAACTTTTGAAATTTTCGATGTCGCAAGAGGTCAAAAAAGGGCCTTTAGCAGCTTTGACTTTTGAGAGCTCTAAAAATTTTATTTTAACGTATTTCCAGAAACTAAGGCCTAGTTCAAACGTCGATCTTTACATGTACCGAACCTAATTGCAATTTGGGTCGACTCGAATAATTAAGAGCGGCAGTTGATTCAAACGTCGATCCGAATTTAGTCGATCCTAATTGCAAAACTGAACATAACTCCATTGTAGTCAGCGGTTAATGCCTACCAAAATGGCGGGAAAAAATGCGGGAAGCACAACTTGTGGAAATGAAGAGCTTGTTTTTCTTGCAAATGCGATTGAGGAGGGTAGAAAAAGGCGACTCAAGATGCAGTTAGCATTAAATAACCTTGCTGCCAGGAGAAGACGAGTTTTGAATTTGGCTTGCCTTCTATTATTGCTTATTTCCCAAAGGAACATCACAGTTCCTCGTCCAGTTCGTTCGTGTCATCGACTGAAAAGAAATTCTGGCTGGTGGGAAATAATATAATAATATTTGTGGTTTTAAAACAAGAGGAGCACGAGCCTTCCTCCTTTCCCGTCATATTGTTTGAATGGTTCGAAGGCTTTCGCGCATGGCACGTAAGCGAACTTTCTTGAATTGTGGGTAAAACATAATTATTTTAACGTATGTATAATGTATGCATTAAGTTCGGTACATGTAAAGTACGACGTATGAATCAATGCCGATCTTTTACCGTTCTATCCGACTAGCCGAGTCGGATAGAACGGCACTGTCGATCCGAATACAAATCTGCCGATCCTAATTGATTCAAACGTCGATCTTTACATGTACTTAATAGAAACGTTAGGTTCGGTACATGTAAAGATCGACGTTTGAACTAGGCCTAATGTGGTTTTATTTACTTGCCACCAAAGATAGTTTATTGGGCAAAGTTTGAGGGAAAACTTTTTTTCCGATGCGAAATATCTTGGACCGCTCTTACAGAGATCGCCTCTTTAAATGTGATGTTCTGAATAAAAATATTTCAATCTTTTTATTCCACCTACGTTTCTTGGCGTCGTTTTTGTATGGACGTATGAAGCAGATTGAAGCATGCCCCCAATGCGGGAGCGGATAACATGACTGGCACGCTCGTGTTTGGGCAAGCTCTTAGAATTTTATTAAACAACTAATACGGTTCGCTCAAATTTGTCTCCTGAGATGGGTGATGTGCTCAATACCCGGCACAATATAGGGACCTCCGAAAATCCTTTTCAGGCCACAGTGTTTGAAGAAGGTTGTAAAATTTGTGATTTTTCCTCATATCTGTTGTGATCATGATAAATCGGATAAATGAATGTTTTTCTCGCCATACTGGGAGTCACTGGTAATTGTTGATAGAGATAGTGGTAACAGCTTATCATATAACCTAAACAATCAACAGCCTGTAACGATTCGTTTAACCATGGTATTTAAAATCACACCATTTGTTTTCTTGCTGGGTTAGTTCACAAAAAACTCAAAATAACATACTGACCAATACTTAAAATTTAATTTAGCCTGTTTTCGATTCCTCATCCTAAATCAGTAAGCGTGGTTTTCTAAAGTGCCTAAACTAGATGCTCCTTCATTTCCTAATGTCTATCAGTAGCAGTTACCGACCACCTTACTCACTTTTTGATCGTAAGCATCTGTGCTTCGGAGATTTCGATTCCGCTGTCACTGATGATGTTGTAAGCATGTTTTGGGATGGCTTTTTCAATTGGGTATGTGTTCCAGTTTACTGGGGGTAATGATATTTGAACTTAACCAGGTTCAAAACAGTAACGAGTTCTGTTCCATTTAATAGCGCTTTACGAGGGTCTCAGTGGGGTGATGGCTTTTACTTCTACTGATTAAAATTTTGGCCATTTTAAGGCTAAAATTTAGTTTGACACTCAGATTAATGGCATATCGTAGATAGTTAAAACTTATGCGGTTAACTTCTGTAGCTATCGAAAGTCAAAATGTGCCAATTTTTAAGCCTACCGGCCAAAACGTTTTCTTTGCCGTTTTACGTCTAACGGTTGACCCGTTGAAACCCTCGTTTGTGCTTACCCAATCAGCTGCTTAAAACACACTCACACACATACGAAACAACTGGAGATTGAGCTTTTAATGATTAATCTTATTAGTTGTTGAAACAGTGTTAAACGTCCTCACCTAAAGGTGTTTACAACAGTTTATCACCATAACTATACAGTATTCCTTGTTTTGATCTATGAACTTAAGTCTAATTCTGTAGTAAAAATTTGTTGTTTTTTTTTTTCGTTTTTATTAGCTATGAGTCTATCAGTTGATCACTTAATTTTCGGTCCCTCTATCATTTATTATTTAAATATTCTAACAGTTCATCACCAGCAACCATTAGTCAAACCTTTTTACTTTCTTGGGATAAAATTTTACAGTTTCATTATCTCGAAGTCTCCAAATATAATCACAAGCACCATAAGTCTTGGTTCATTCCGAACACGGAAAACTCCATTTAAAAACTTGAAAAAAATTAGCTCTTTTTGGGTCATTTTTACTTCTATGAAGAGTGACAAGGAGTTCGTTTATTTTAGAAATCATCATCATGATCATTTTACACCTTTACGAGAAATGTTGTTGAATCCTAACATCATAACTCAGCTCCCTTACGTGTCGATGACAAATGGGTTGCAGTATTGTAGCCGAATCTGATATCATTCATCGCTCAAGAAGAAAATTATGTAATAGCACCTTATCACAAACCATTGACATCAGTTTGCCTGGTCACGACATTTTTATACTTCTCTTTTTCTTTATGCAAGTCCAAATCCTAAAGAAAGACTTCCTTCGTAATGAATGGCATCCTTTTCTTTTTCATTTGAAGACTAAGCGCTAAGTTTACCATTCTTTGAGTTATACTTACCTCGTTAGATAATGTGTAAATATGTTTAATAACGCAAATTTACTTGTCTTGCACATGCACAAAAAACACAGTAATTGAATGAGTGTGTATTGTAAACATCGCAGAGTGGTAAGAAACGTTGTCAATCAAATGACTGACATAGAATCGTAGCCTTCCTGAGTTTAATCAAAACCCACCTTTCAAATGTTCCATTTAGTTTTCGTAGAAGCTGACACGAGGACGCTTTATCGAAGCATTTGCGGAGTAACTGCATTCACTAATCTTCAAAAACTGTATTGGAAAATGGATACTATGCAATTCTAAAGAAACATTTTTGAAGAAATTTATCATTATCAAAAGCCTGTCACAGAAACAGACGTGAGCAAAAAAATGATTGTGCATCTGCTTCACCAGTTATCAAGTAGATTTCAATCGGTTCATTTTGTAGTAAAGACTGACACTCACGCTCCGACACTGATGTGTAGAGTCTTCAGACCTCAGTTACGTGAAAAAAGCCCTTGTTAAAATGCGACTTCAGGTCAAAATTAGTGCCTTTCAGTATAAGAGCATACGGGTGTCACTGAAAAAACAATTTTTTAGTGACGAGGTTCTAGCATAGCTAATTAGTGTAACTAGATATTGATGTTTCCTTCAAACTAGGAAAAAAAGTAGAAGCTCAACTATCTTACTTTATTTTAAGGCTTCAACAAAGAGGAACTGATTTAAATGTCAAGTTCTTTTCTAAAGCACAGAGCACTTACTCTCCTGCGTCTGTGGAGTGTCTTCAGTGGATTCTTGCGTTATGTCGGCTCCACCGCTCCATTTAAACAGCTTCTTATATTCGTCTCGGAAGGTCTTGTTCATGACGCCATAAATGACCGGGTTTATCACTGTACTCAACTGACCCAAAAATGTGTACATCACGTACACCTCACGAGGAAGGTTCCAGCCTCCTTGTCCAAACCCTATGAAATCCACAATGGCAATCGGTGTCCAACAGATTAGGAAGGCGCAAACTGTAAGAAACAAAGTTTTTGTCACATTTATCTCCTCAACAGAGATCCTTGCAGCGTTTGGCTGGTCTCCTCGGCGTCGCAAGCTATGGAACCGTTTGTTATGCTCTTTCAAAGCTTTGAAAACGTTGTAATAACAAAACGAAAGCACCAACATGGGAATGACAACGAACATGTACCCAAGTAAAGTGAAAAAGTCGACTTCGACGACTTGAAAACAAAAGAACTTCCCCGCATGGTACACGTAACGATGGTTGGAAGCAAGATAAGGTACTGGTTCAACGAGAGAGACGAGCCAAATAACAGCAATCATGATACGAGTGTTCCTTGTGCTGAAGATCTTCTGGTAGTTCTTGGGACGGACGATTAAAAAGTACCGATTTACAGCGACCACGGTTAGCGTTAAAAGTGACACACAAGCCAGCATGGCTATAGCATATCCTTGAAGCTGACAGACAAAATTTCCGTAAGTTCGTTTCCCCATCACGAGGACCGTGAGGCACGGCGGCTGGCATATGGCTGCCATTCCGATGTCGGCAAAAGCAAGGGAAACGATAAAATGGTTTGGAATTGTTCGGAGATTTTTGTTCTTCCACACCATCCACAAAACTAAAGAATTCCCCAGCAGAGCTGTGAGAAGTAGGACGGCGCAAACAAGCGCTTCCATAACCACAACTCCCGTTTGTCTATCGGCAAGGAGTACTACGTACTTCTCAAGCGACGGATGACCGGCTCTGTTTTGAGACATCTGGAAGACAGGGAAATTGTTTTTCAGCTCAATTCCAATAAAGAACAGGTCCTCAAAGGTTTGTCGTGACCAATCAACAGTAGAAAATGAAACAAGTGTAAAGATAAAAATAGGGCGTGTTTCTTGGCTTTAGATCTACTCTTTTGCTTTTAAAAATGAAGCAAGGCCACATCTCGAGAGCCGCTTTATGCTGTCTCTTTCAAGACAGATGGCCAATTAATAGCAATTACTTTGCGTCTTGTTTATCTTAAAGAGTTATCTTTTTGGACAATGCTATCGGTTGAAAGTATTATGTTTTGTCAAAATTTTTTTTTCCTTTCAACCATGACTGTCATTTCGATCTATTGTGCCTTAGAAGGCCAGGTGTCTGTCCATGACAACAATACAATTCAAGTCTTTTCGTTCACTTCATTTACATCAAATTTAAAAAAAAAATTAAGCCCGCAAAAATTTCTAGTACTAGAAATCGGCCTTTATCATTCATTGGCTGATGTAACTGATGAGCCGGAGGCAATTAAGTTTAAGAAAACAGTGCAAGAAAACAAAAAAGACAAAAAACGCTAAAGACGCAACTGCGTCTTGAGGTACGGAAATGAGATGCAACGGAAAAGTTCTTTTCTATTAGAGATTCGGCACATCATGAAATAACTAAATAGTGAGATCGGATTACTCTTTCATGCTCGCTGAAGAGTGTACTTTCTATCAAGAAACCTTTGCAAATACAGTCTTTGAGTGTTCTTGGTGTCATGATGGGCTGTTAACATTTCTCGGCTCTAAGCAGTTTTAAAGCGCTGCAACTCCCTTGTGCTCGCCACCTCGTGAAATACTTGCAATCTACGGTGTATGACTAAAAAAACTTTGTGTTAAATGTGACGTTTTGGTCACTTTGCCGAACGTCTTTCAGAGTCGCAAAATGCTGTGTAAATCTTTGCTTTTTGTTTTGGTTGGCTAAAAATATATTAATTTACGCCGCCGTGTCACATGTTTTAAAAGAAGCTTTCAAGTTGTAAGTGCCAAGGAAACAATTAAGGTACATTAAGGCTTATTGTATAGGTATAACAAGCAAAATTCAATCGAAAGAAGATCCAGAAAATTCGATTTAAAACGACAAAACGCTTAGTGTACGAGTATACATTGACAGAATCAAAACAAGTAACATTGCAGTTATTCCTTGCGAAAATGCCTTGGTTGATATGTTGTTTACAATGGCCAAGATCATCTTTATTGATAGGACAATGATTATTTTTTTTTTAATGAATTCTGCCGTAAACGAAAGAAACAAGTACTTGGCAATTTTTCCACAAGAAATAAACTGAAAAAGGCGGTGATGATTTTTAAAAAACAAAATTCTGAAAAATTACAAAAGACGCTTCTTTATCATTGTTGGCTGTTTTGTATTTGTTTCTTGAATTATTAAGCTTTCAAATGTATTTTAATTGGAAAATGATAGGAGAAATCATGGAAAGGTCATGAAAGCTATGTATAACTGGTTTCCAAACCTTTCAGTCGAATCCGTTTCCTGTGAAACTTGTATTTCCATTGCTTAGTCTGGCTAAGATTAATATAAGACCTTAATTTTTATCTAAAATTCTAGATGTCTGTTTCCAAATTTTTTTTAGCTTATTAGCGTTATAGAAAGTGTTCAAAAAATGTTTGCCTTTCGTTAGAGTAGTTTTATAAGGCAGGTGATTAATGTATTGAAAGAAACGTCTTTTGGGCCTTCTTTTCAAAATCCGTCCAATCACTTGGGTCCATGGCATACTCCTATAGTTACTATTAGAGACTTGTGGTGAAAAAAAAACTATAAGACATTTGAAAATAAATTGAAAAAGCTATTGACAAACGGAACAAGAAAATCATATCATGAATTAAATCATGGCAAGATCCGTCTGTAAACCGTAAATTGAAAAATCGTGGTTTGGCCAAGAATGTCAACTTAATTATTTGACAACATCTCTAAGATGTAACAGTTTGTAACTAGAAAAGGAAAGTAGGAGAGAAAATAGTCAAAATAATAACGATTAATCACTCTACAAATTAATTAAAAGTATTTCATGAAACACCTGACTACTACTTTTTTCTTTTGACGATCAAATCCGGATAAATGTAAATAATATAGGCCGGATTGTTCTATGACAGAAAGTCATGTTGGCTTTTCATGTTGATTTTGATTCGTGAAGATAGGTTTCAGTGATTTATCCATTTCGGCAGATCCACCGACGGTGTGTAGAATCCGTTTTCACCCTGAGACATCCTGGGACAGAAGTTGCCCGAACTTTGTCGCGTTCATTACGCTGGTATATAGAATGAACCTCTAACAGCTATATGTCGAGAAGTTTTGCATATCAGTGGTCAGTGTATCACGTCGAAAGTGCTTTTGACAAACCCGCTGAATTTGGTGGGGAGTGATGCAGACATTTCTGCACAGACTGACTGAATAATGCCCCAGTGTCACTACAATGAAATAGTCCATATCCGTAAAACTAGATGGTATAATATGACCTCCCTACACCCTTCACGGAAGCAATGCTGCTTTATTTCCCCGTTCGCTAGTTCGCTAGTTCGCTTCGTATTATAGATAAACACGAAGCAGATATATTTTAAACATCATTCGTCATGAAGCTGTAGGACGGAGTCGTAAACATCTACCGATCTACAAGCTGATAAACCATAAAACTGATAAGCTCAACATAATTGTAATGCCGATTCCTTAGTTCAAAGGGCTTGCGAAAGAAACAACGAAAACATGATTAGTTTAGAGGATATGAGTTGTCATAAGGAGCCTTGAGTAATAGATAGGCCTATTGTTGTAATTTTTACTCGACTGATAAACAATGGAATACACTCGGACAATGCTCTCTAATTTTTAAAGGCTTTTTTTCCGCTAATTGCTCCGAGAAAACAAGTTTGAAAGCCTCAAAGAAGGGCTCTAATATGAAAAACTTTTGCCACAAAACGATGGTTTGGTAAAGAAGTAATCTGAAACCACCCTCAACTGAGAGCTGGATCAAGGAGTGGCTGATTGACACTATCAAGCGTTTTCTTTGCACCTTCTGTTGGCGGTTTTTCATTAGTGATCGCGTTCGCCGCGCACTAGCGGGACCGAGTGAGCACCTTGTCATAACAACTAAGCTTTGGAACTGCAATTGGAAAACAAGAAAGTACGCAAAACTTCTGATTTCCTCTCACCTCCGGGACCCTCCGGAGCCAACGCGAGGAGAGAACATAAAATGAAAAGAAAAAAAAAAAAGAAATCCGGAAACAAGACGAAAGGAAATATACAAGTAAGGTGAAGATAATTTTAAAAACTTTTATATTAATCAAATATGCCTTGTAATAAATAGAGGGGCATTTACATTAGCTAAATAAGCAACTAATATCAACAATGTCAAGCTATAAAAGGCAAACATTGCTACTAATTTATCTTTTTCAGTTAAGAATTGTTTAAAAATAATCCTCGTGGTTTAACATAATCCATCTATATTTATTTAAGCTACACTTAAATTACTTTCATTTATTCTTATCAATTACGCTTGGTAATTGAGCGTATGAAAATGCAGATAAACTCCACATGTAAATTTTTAAGAAAGAGCCTCAAAGGAAAAGCATATTTTCCAAGAAGAATAAGATCTAAAATATATAACCACAATTTGGCATTGAAATTGACCGGAATTCGCAAGTCCCTCCCTGCCTTCGTCCTTCCACCACCCACCCCCACCCCCTCAGAAGCCTCCATCGCACAAATTAAACTATTTGTTCACCCTAAGATGTGCTTCGCTTATACAGTAAATAACTGATTTCAATCACAGTTATTGCTTATAGTATCACTTAACCTTATAAGATGTCTATATAATATTTCTAGTCTCCTTCAGGAATATTTGTCTGGGAGAATTATCTCTCCCGAAAAGCGAACGGTGTTCCAAGGCTAAGTTCTGAGAGAAGTGAGAAATTGTTTATGTCTCGGAACTAGTATAACTGAGAGAGTATTTCCAAACTAAATGGAAACCGTAATGTTTATCAACCTTCAAATTAATATTCTTTACAGAGCGCGGAACAGAACGCGAACATTCAGCTTGCCTTCGTGCACTTCAGCTCAGGTTTATCGATCTGTCTCTTGACGCGCTTAAACCAATCACGCGCTAGTACTTGATGAAATGTCCATAATTTAGTCTAATTTTACGATACTTAATACCAATTTATATTAATAATTTTGAAAAGGCTTTGAGTAAAAAGACCCACAACTTATACATGAACACATTTGCGCTTCTTGAAATGAGTTGCTACGTGAGAGTTACTCGTTAGTCCAATGACACCTTGTGCATCTGCCATCAGGAATTTGTCTGCTGTCTTGGATTTAAAAGTGATATAGTTATTGGATGCATTACCCAGGTAGAACACGTGCGAATTTGTCACAGAAGACGAATTCTTGATGAAGGAAGAAAAAAAAGCAAAGGTCAATTAGAACCAGTAGTTGACAAACGTGAATTATAACTTGTTGACGCTCATAATTCAATGGTGCGGTGTTCTTTTATAAAGATAATCAGTGATTTGGTTTTCTCGTTATCCAAGGAGAATCTTTTCCATGGTCATTCTCTTAGTTCCTGAATAAAAGATTGTGGCGTGGTACAAAACAATAATCAGGTAGCATCAGAAGCATAGGATGCAAAAAAGGGGGTAAGTTTCTAAAGAAACTGTAGTGCTGTACCGGTGGGGGAGTATAACAACATGATGATTTGAATTTATCAAATGATTGGCCCCCATTAAGAGTTTCTTAAGTTGACGTTTCGAGCGTTAGCCCTTCGTCATTTGCTCTGACAAAAGGCCAAAGCTTGAAAAGGCCGACTTACTTTATCAACTCAGTTGATACAACAAAATGATCTAACTAAAAGAAAAATAGCTGTGGATCAAAACAAAAGCAATATGCTCCAGAATGAGAAAAAAAATTCAGCAAAAAAGGGGTTGATGAATACTTGGAAATGAGGTACTTTCAAACAATTACA